GGGGGGGAAATTGTTTAAACAAGGTCATCATTACCATCAGCCAGCTTCCGCTCAGATTGCTAAGCTGGATCTCAGCAGGGTGCGCCATTATTATCCTGCTCTCTCGTTGATATAGCGTTAGTAGTTCCTGGTGCTCTATGAGAGAACACTGAAGTAAACGATTTTAAATATTGGTGTAAGTATTGAATTGAAATCGTGATATTGCCATCTCTCTGGGTTAGAGGCATGGTTATATTATATCTAAAACCACATTCAACCCGAAGGTTTGCGAGTTACTCGCCGATGCACAAGGACTCACGAACAAGTGAAGGTGAAGATGACATAACCACCTCAACTGTGATCCTTGCCTATAATCTGGCCCGGACCAACGGACCTAGAGGCTCTGTAGCTAGGGCTCAATTCTCAGCCGAGATCCTCGGGCTTCTAGATTCACAATGACGGCCATCAACTTTAGGGAAATATTGCAGGTGACCATGAGTAGTTGCCTAACTCTAGGAAACCCTCTATACAGGCTACCGAACTTCTGGGGGATGGGCAGTGCAGCGTAGATGTTTCAGGTATAAGCTCGGTTTTTCTATAGCTGGATAGCATTTTATGAAGATACCTTTTGGAGCCGTGGTAATGAGTCGGACCTGTTCTAGGAACAGAAAAGCTCCCGAGGCTACACTAGCGATTCTACTTCTTGGGGTTGCTCGTCGCCAATGCGAAAAAGGGATATATCATTGCACCGATATGATTATGGTACATATTCTTTTCATAATGACATAAGTTAGTGTACAGTATATCATAAATTAAAGCATTTTAGCCACCACCCAATAAGGTCAAAGTTCGACAAGCCCTGGCTAAAGATATGGGCATGATGATTAGGCCACCATGTGCCACTCTATTGATAAGATATTATCTCCGCAGATATGCGGGGCGGTGCGTCTGTTGTTATTCCGCATTCTCCATCCTGTCAATCGGCTTCATGTGTACGCATCAGCCGATCGCAAAAAGCCAAGTCTATCTTGGTGTTGTTTTGATAGTGAGGTTCAACCGTTGCTCGGAAAATGGTCCTCGCAACACTAACCCGATTAGGCTAGCCGGCTCCACAACCTAAAAGGGACTGTACCGCGAGATAACCCTGACTCTTGACAGATTGTCCTAGAAAGGGGGTGAGGAGTTCCACTAGGTCGGGGCTTCCTACAACTGTTTCAACCAGTGTAGTCTCAGGCTCCAACCCAAGTACGTACTATTTTTTCAATATCACCTTGCCCGGTATTTGCGCGTAAACCCGCCGAGGTTGATGCATGAGCATCATGGCCACACTTGTATTTACAAATGATAATCAGAAATATGCACTAACCGAAGTTTTCGATGCCATGGCACAAGTCTTCTCGGGGATATTGACCGTAAATAGAAGTCCCCTTACACGTTCAAAACTGCGGATTTGAGCGACACCCTCTCCGTATGCTCTTCCTTTCGTAGCCACATAAGTTCGTTAGGTATTCGTGTTGTCACATCCTAGATGTCGATAGCAATAGCATATAGTGTTATGTCCCCTGTCTAGTAAACTCGAACATTCGCCATTGAGAGAGCAATGTGCAATATAACGTTAGAGGCGGCTGAGAGATAAATTCCTATATGATTCAAGCTCTATTTCAACTAAGTCATACATTACTTAAATCCTCCGCCATTCTTTCACATATATGAGAGAAATGCAGGACGTAGCTATTATTTTGTGTACTTCAATTATCATTTCTGTTAAGCGCCGGGCGCATACGTCAATAAACCCTTTGCCAACCGTTCAATCTGCTTCCTGTAGTATTCCTAGACTAATGTCAGTATATGTAGGAAACCGAGTAAAAGATGGGTGCTAGGCCGATATTCTACAATGTTAGGATAGTCTTACCGTCTCTGCACCGCCACCGATTGCTGGGCTCCGCAACCATTTTGCAAACCATGGAAGCTCCACTTTTCTCAGGGAAAACCAGGCTTCATTGTCCGGTAAGCTCTCATCCAAGAACTTGTGAGGTATATCAGTGTAAATAGCAGCAGGACGCCCTATACCGATAAGGTCGCATGCGCCCGAGCTGATTGCAGCTTCAGCACCAGCACGACTACGGAAGCCACCGGTCAACATCAAAATTAGGTCCGGATACCGCTTTCTGGCTTCATGGGCAAATTCAATGAAGAATGCCTCTCTTGCGATAGTCCGGGCACTCTTTTGTGTCCCTTGGTTTGTATCGCCTCCGACCATCTTATTTTCAGATTAGCAAGGCTATGGAGCAATCAAAATCGCGAGATGACCTTACTTTAGGGTTTTCATAACTTCCGCCGCTTATCTCAAGGAAGTCAATGCCGGCTTCTACAAGAAGCCCGATTTGAGTCATGCAGTCCTCGAAACCAGACGAGCCATGATCCGCAGAGTTGAGCTTTACTCCAATACAAAAATTAGGCGGCACAACTTTGCGGCAGCCGGCCAGTATGTCCAGTAGGAACTTGGCCCGTTTCTCTGCAGATCCGCCATAGGCGTCAGTTCGGATATTAGACTATGGGGTAAGTCAGTATCTCGCTCATCATATAGGCTGTTTAGAAGAAATTGTACCTTAGGGTTCAAGAATTGATCTGTCCACGGGTGGCCGTTAGTATTCCCTTCAACATTAGACGAGACTAGAGACGACTGTAACTGACCAATAAGGTAACCATGAGCACCATGCAGTTCAATACCAGCAAACCCACTATCAGCCACCAATTTCGCCGTGTCGATGAAATGTTGTGTGACGATGTCGATATCAGCCTGGGTCATCTCCCTTGGTGAACCAAATACCAAGCACCTAATGAAATGGTTCACCCATCCATCTCCAATGTTCAGTGGAACAGCGCTTGGAGCAATAGTTTGTGAGAACAGGCCTCTGTTTCCAGCGCCACGAAAAGATTGCCTTCCAGGATGGCAAATTTGAACGATCGCTGGCGTTCCGTGTTCTTGGCAGGCGTCCGCATACTTTTTCCACGCCGGGATGGAGCCATTCTCGTGGCTAACGAATGCAAGGTCATTAGGTTGACCGAGATGGTTCAGATCAACTTGGACGTTTCCTGGAAAAGCTTCAATAACGACTTCTAGCACAATATGTCCTTTCATATGTTGAATTACCTGTAAGAATTGCTCCCCAGCCACCTTTACCCCACTGGCTATATAGCTTGTAGAATTTTTGTTCGGGACCATGATCGGGAGCCATATTCTCCGCCATTGCAGCCTAAGACACCAGTACATCAATCCATAATGCTCGAGCGAGACTTATATCTGGTCTTGTAATTGGCTTACTTTGGCGATTCGATTAGGCAGGGTTAGCCCGCAAGGAAGCGTTACCGCTTCACTCAGTTGGGATGGCATATTGACGAAACGAGTTAGGGGATGCTTGTGGAACAATTCGCTCTTGACTCTTAACTGTGGGCTTTGGGATATGTATATGTCTCAATTGACAATTTAGCTCAAGGCTACGATTCTAAATTTCTACCTCCCCGCTTAGGGTTCATATAACTATGCACCTTTCTTTGGCTCATACAATGGATCAGGCAAGCGGGGAGTTCAATTCCTCCGAGTCCGGTGCAGATACTGTTTTAAGTGAACCGAGGTTCTGTGTCCCGCTTTAAGTGGGGCTTTTCATGACCACCTTGACCACCTCTGATTAGTAACCAACCCGACAACTTTACTCATCATTTATTGATATCATCAGCCATTACCTACCAAGTTAGATGTGAAGACGATCATTCGCTTGGTAATCCTTTTTTGCCTACTCTAGAGTAATCAATAAAAGAGGACATTCTTTCAGTAATCTATATATGAGACACATTCCGCCACCTTTTAAAATTCTTTCTTAGTACACCTAAGTTGAAGTAAAATACCGAGATAGTCCTTTCCCTTTCATTAAGTATAAGTAAATTTGTCTAGCCCTATGTCTGAACGCAAAGGCTGTGTCAAAATACGGCCACAAGGAAATAAAGGTTACGCTCGGGCGACCAGGACAAGTTCGTCAACACCTGAGCTCTAAGCAGATTCCCTGGCTATTTTGTCGTAAAAAATCCTTTGTCTCACCTCAAATCAGAGCCCTGAATTGAGAAGTGACAATGCCAAACTATATATAATGCACTTTTCCATGCTTGGTGTATCCAAGCCCCTGGAAATGAATCTACACAGTTTTGATGCGATTATAGGCCTAGAAATATATCCCAAGGTCCACCTAATAAAGGAGCCGCTACTAGGGCTGAAACCAAATATATTTTGAAAAAAAGAGGTAATATCCATTAAGCATAAAGGCAAACTCATCTGTGGGTCCCTTCGCGCTTTATGCCGTGAAAGAAGAATGACATTTGACGCCCAAGGAATTTTTCACGTAGTCCGACGCCATGTTGCGTATGCCAAGTTTTGCAGCTCGAGATTGCTTCTTTACCTGACGCAGAATTCCCTGCCCATGGCAGGGTTGGAAGTGATATATATCTTCTTTGCCTGGGCAGGCGGAAGTTTATGTGAATGTTGCGCTTTATAATGTAGTTACCGGGTTACGCAACAGGGCACCTGGCGGCATGGCTATGTGTCGCGATATACTACAGCGGGTAATTTGTGACCTTTATTGAAGCTCACCGGAACATGCCATATTCTCTACGTTTGGCATGTCATATTTACTTTGAACTAGGGTTATACTAGCAAGATCCTAGACAAGTCTCTATCTAGCCTATAACATCTATGGAAGTTAGCTCTCCAGTCTAGAGGTTTCAGGTATTTGAAGGAGAATAGCGAGTAGGCATCAATCTTTAGAATCTTACCTATCATAAATCCTGGTGTTTATGATAACCATAAACAACAATAAGGAAACCTCCTTTCTGGGGCTATAGTCTAGAATGTATGGAAACAACAATACACTGGAACATATATAAGCTATCTTGGGACGGTTCGAAAACACACTTAATGTAGAATCCATGATCTATAATTTTAAGGCTCTTACTTCATCTTCTCTCTTCTTCTATCTTCTAGATATTTGAGGACCAAATATTAACAACGCGATTGGTTTATTGTATTGTTGTTCTTGGCTTTTCAAGAAGTTTCCCGTTCTTTGATATATCTTATATAATGAAAACGATTCCTTTATACTTGTAGTCTCAAATTATGTCAGGGTTGAGAGTACATGTTGAAGAAGATACACTCACTATCTATATTTTAGAGAAGTATCCATAAAGGATTTCCTGTATTGCCAATTCAATAAGTTTTGAAGGTATACTGGCTCGTTTCGTCTTACTTCACCAATGCGCTATACAGTATATCTATAAATTTATCGATTTTAACATACAATAGTCATCGCAATGTACACTACTCTTAAGCATATGCACAAGCCTTGCGGTATCGCGGAGCGGATAGGACTCGTGCCACGCGGAAAACGGAGTACTTGTCTAAAAGTAACTCGCACAAGTATTGGTATGATACCTTCATGCTCTAAATGTAGCAGCGGGGTTGATATGTATCCAAATCTCCCAGGTGAGGAGGGGAGTAGGTAGTAAATTACTAGACTTGATACTACTTTCTTAAGGCCAAGACTATGTCATATTACGTAGTGACCCAGCCCAAGGTCTTCCCTATGGGCTAGAGGCTTGACAGTACAGTGGATGATCTTACTGACCTTTTAGTCTCTATGGGATGACTGTTTCAGATCTCTTTACTGTCATTGCCTGTTTGCTTTAATTAATATATATGGCACTTTGACCCCTGCTTCATTTCGGTATTTAGTCATCTCATTGTCTGTTTTATCACAATATCACCTATCTTTTCAATCATCTGCTGAGTTACAAGAAGTGATATGATGAGTTCAAAAGTCTTATTATACGTTATTTCTTCTAATAATCAACTACAAGTTTAATCTATTTTTGATTAGGCTAGAGGGTATGTGAGGACTATTTGAGTAGCAACCATGAAGAGCTTGTTCGATAAACTCCCAAGGTAGTGGGGTAAAGAGAGAAAGAAGAAGGTAGTAGTAAGAGTAAAATAAATATATCTAAATCTAGGGACCGATTTTCAGGCGCCGAGACAGTGTAGACCTACGTAAATATATATATAGTAAAGGAAAGAAAATTTTCGAAAACCTCCTGGAAGTTAACACGAAATTACGTTAATCTATCTAGCTTCAACTGGCCTCGAGGCGTTTATGATATTCATTTGTTAAGTTCGCATGACGGTGACCTAGAGTACTTATTTATTTATCATGAAGAGTAGAAGATTACGAGGCCAGCCCCAGCAATAGCCTCCAAGTTAGCTAATTTTGAATCATCGAAACTCTCCAAGGACCGGCCGCTATTGTGGTGTCTAACGGAGTATCTCTTACATTCAAGGGGACACCAGTCAATGTAGGCTTTGGCTATCTGATGAAAATGTACTTAGGCTATTGAATTTACTCTAGGAGCCGATAGTAGCCACAATACTTAAACAGCACTTAGAGGGAGATGCCAAATCAAAGAAGAAGAATTCTTGAAGACTTCTGATTAAACTCAACGCTTTTCCCGGTTTTTCTTCTTCATTCAATCATATTTTTTGCCTATGTGGAGCAAAGCCCATTGCCAAGGCATCTTTCTTCTTGTTCGCCTTTGTGTATAGCATACTTTTCCATTGATAGTGAGGTTGCAGTGAACCGTAGGAGTTGCCCGAAAGAGCCTTGGGATTTGAAACCGATATTGTTCAGGCTCACAAGATATAAATTGATGCAAGCCCTCTTACTAGACCGTTAGAATTATGAATTATTGTTTATCTCATTCTAACTCTTTCCTATCAAGGCGTACAAAATATCGTTGTTTAAGGTATGTAAACACGTAAACATGTTTTTGACTTCAGAACGCCATGAACTAACTGGTATGTATGACAAAGTAACCACAATGTGCGAATCCGTGACCCAAATGCGTATATGCAACCATATCGAAACGACCTACGATAAATGTCATGAACACAACTGTAAAGGATGGAGGTTAACAACGAAGTCAGGTATCCAAGAGGGTATATGCCGCTCATGTGAGCGGTTCGAAGAGCGCAATGATGCCAGGCACAATCGTCTCTCCTACAAAGTCCAAGTCCAATCCGAAGAGTAAATCTCGTGTTTTCATATCTCGAAGGCACATAGATGGTTCTTAGTTGGCTATTTGGTGGGCTAGATGCAAATGAGTTAACTTAATCTCTCCTAGACCATTATTTATTCTTGCTCTTGGCGCTGTCACTATCTTGACTCACTTTGGTCCTATTATTTCTCTACACTTTCGTATTATTTTTCGATGGTTTTTCTGGTTCCTATCTCTTGCTCATACTTCTGTTCGAAGAGCTTTAAGTAAGGTATTTTCCCAATACAGTATCTCTTCTAGCACGCCAACTCCATATGTGTACATTATTATACTTGCTTGTCTAGTGGGTTGAAAGAAACCTCAGGGGTTGAAAGAGACTGGGGTTTCGTAGCCTTGTAGTAGTAAACCTGAACAAATTGTTAATGATAAATTTCTTGCATGTTTGGTTGGCGCTGACTAATTCATAGCGGAGAAAAGGTGTCCAACATTGATTGGCTTCTGGCCTCGTATTTGTACCATATCTCGTGAATAGCCACCGATGTGAATTTGTCACCAACACCTGAGTTGATTTTACTTCACAATGGGGGTACCTCGAAGTAGCGGCTGCATGCTCTGTGTACAACGTCGTGTGAAAGTGGGTGGCTCCATAGATGAAAGAGGGTTACAATACTGATATTGGGGTTACAGTGTGATGAGAGACTTCCTGGATGCGTGAAATGCGAGACCTACGGAAGACCCTGTCCGGGGTACGACCGAGGCTTCAAATTTGTCGCGGGGAAGCCGTATCGCTCTAGACGGCATCTAGGGCCAAAACCTGGGCAGCAGCGGGTAGAAGATAAGACGCATGTTGCGGGCATCAATTCAGGAAGAGCCAATCAGGCTATACAGCAATCTCTCATTCAGAGGGGCACTTCATGGTCTTTAAAATCTACAGATCTAAATATGATGCAGAGCCTTGACACTCTGATTGTTGATGTCTCACAGCCCTTTCCTGCATCGTCAACTTATACCACCTCTCGCTGGTTTACCTATCTTCCCGCTATTTATGGAAGGAACAGAACCCTGGACTCATCCATCAGATGCTTTGTTGCGCATCATATTGGCATGATGACTGGAAATCAACAGGCTATCATGTATTCCAGGTCTACATATGTAGAGGCTCTGAACAGACTACAACGGTCTCTGTGCAATCCAACGGAAAGTCTCTCCTCTGAGATCCTATGCGCCGTCCTGCTCCAATGTCTTTATGAAGTGAGCTATCAACCCCCTAACTCTACAAATAGCCCTGACCAAATCCCAGCTGTTCGCCAACGCACATGACTCGAACTCTTGGATAAAACATGCCAAAGGGCTAAGTCAGCTTGTCAGTGCTAGGGGATGTGGTCGCTACCAGACCGTGTTCGATCATACTTTGCTTAAAGCTTCGCGCGGTTTGATTGTATGATGCATTTTCTATTGGCCTGCTTTTATCATGCAACAGTCGGTTCACTAACTTTTCAAAGGTGATGCAGTCATTGTTCACCAAAGAGAAATGCTTCCTAGCGTCTGACGACTGGTATTCTGTAATGAGGCAACAGTTCGACTCGGCCTTACCAACCGATTTACACGCCCAAGTAGAAGAGCTCTTCGCTCTCTACACCACCATACCGTGCTTCATCCATCAATTCTTCGATATCAGACAAGCTGACCCCGAAGACCTAGATATACAGTTGAAGGCATTCGACCTTCTCACTGATGCCCTCAGTATGCAAAACAAATTAATGGTCTGGTACGACAGATTCAGCCGTACAGCGCCCCCACCCACTGAAGCCCTCTCATCCATGGGCGACGTTCTATTTCCAACTGTTTATTCCTTTTCGGATGTTGATACCGCGACAATCTTCACCGCATATTACTCGTATATGGTCATTATCCATGCAATATTGGGAGTCTGTCACTTTCCAGGCGAACATGCGGCCATGGTTGTCTACTTCCGGGATCAGATCTGCAAGTCCGTAGAGTTCAATGCCCAAGGAATTCTGGGCCCCTCGAGACTGGGATTTCCCTTGCTTGTTGTCAATGAATTTGCAGATCCTGCGACAAAGGTGTGGGTCCAGGGCTGGTTACAGCGACTTTCGACAAATTATAAAGTCATGCTCCCACGAAATTACGAACGATAGCACTCCCAATATTTGATCTTCACTTCATTTTCTCAAATCATGAAACGGCAGGATAAGATTTTCGCGGCGTTCCAACAAACACCAACCGACAGTGGTAACAATCAACTATCTAAACTCGAGCCTCTTCAACGTCAACGCTGGCTCCTCCCCAAACTGGCTCCGCTACCGCACGCGCCGACAAAAGAATTATCATAATCACAATCTCCATCAATAGCCCCATCCCGACCATAACACCCACATCTCCATTGGCGGGATTGAACTTTGGCGGGCCATACTGCGCCAGTAGCATATAAGCGATCCTAACGATGAAGAAAGGAAGCGCTGCCAGGACCAACAACACGCAGCGATGACCCGCCTCGGGTAAAAGAGTACGATAAGCAACTGCCACCCAGACAAATAATCCACACCCGAAGGCAAATATAAGGACGAGAACGACAGATCCGACAACTTTGCATGCGTATACGTCGGCACTCTCTCCCACCACAATCAAGACTACGCCGAAGAACACCGGGAATCGGAAGAAATGGAGCAATAAACGGATGGTCTTGGGATATCTTGAGTTTCCAGGGCCGGTTCGACCTGTTTGTCCGCTGTTGCAAGCAAGTTTGTTAGTCTCGGGGATGAAAGACGAGGCAAGAGTTAAAAAGTGAACGGACCTTCTTAACATGACGAGGCTCACTTCGAATAGTAGAGGCGAAAGACCAATGCCTTGCAAGATTGCTTCTGATATCAAGACTTTTTTGCTTTGGGAGCCTGAAAGCACCATTCCGGACCCGGCAATTCGGACTAGAGTGGTGAGGTCAGCGCACCGGACTGCGACTAGCAAGCAGCATCTTACTTACGTTGCGCCACTAATCCGATCAAGCCATACCATGAGTAAAAGATGCATCGCGGCACGGATTTGCGCTTGTTGTGATGCCAATACTTCCACTCCTGCATCAACCGGGTGGAGCATTGGATGATTTGGATGAGCGAGAAGAGAACCATCTCAGCGATGGCGACATGGCGCTTGGAGGGGGAAAATGCAAGGGTTGACATATTGCGGGAATCTTTTCGTTTTCTAATATATCAAGGCTTTATATATGCTGTCGCTTGTTCGTTATATACTATAAAGAGAAGAAAAAATTGTTTGTGTTATTGAGTATTAGGGGATAGAAAAAGCTATGAATGATAATAGTCAGGGTGGAGATGTCTAGGTACCTTTTTATATTCATTTCCTGTCCCTCCAACTCATATTCTGCCTGAACCTGAGACGAGACGACTGTGTAGCTGACTGGGTATAGAACCTGAGGCGCAGGTGGAGCCCTCGCGACAGCTGACCATTTCGGGTTTAGCGGTTACTGGGCTCACGGGCCAATCACCGTGGACAGACTATACGAGGACGAGGCTGCCATTTGGTTTGCCAGGTTCAGTGTCATGCAAAGGAATTTGATTGGTATTTCCCTCATTATTTACCTCGTATTACTCTATATAGTTCTATATAGTTCTATATAATGGAGGGTAAGGAAGAGTCCCGATGCCGGACGTGCTAGTATAGAATCGGACAAATAGATGCTTTTGTTAGTCCCATAGGTATACCCTAATTGCTTTTCTACTTTTCGATTTGCAAGACCAATGCGGACAAAGATCGATAGTTTTAGCAGTCAATAAATAGTCTGTTAACATCTAAGTAACTTGTTGCTGCAGATGACATTGGAGGAGCAATTCTACACTCACTTGCTTGTTTAGAAGACAAATCAAAGAATTGGACAACAGCCGTGGCAGTTAAGCGCCTCCTACAGAACAATGCTACCCTCATCAATAGTCATGATCATAATGGCTGTACCCCATTGCTCCTAGCGATTACCCACCGGCATGAAGAAACATTAAAGCTACTGCTAGAGAGGGAAGATTTAAGACCTGATATGCCAAATGAGTCCAGCAATACTCTGCTTGAAGTCGTCCTCAGCAGGCATCAATCGATACTAAAGCGACTCTTAGCACATCGTAATATTGACCCTAATATTGACAGTGCAAGGTGGGGTTTTACCCGGCTTGGGATCGCGGCTGGTCATGAGAAGACAAGTATATTGAAATTGCAGGTAGAACATATCCCGAATGGGCAGTTAAGCATGTCTGCCCACGACATCCTCTTCTTTGCAGGAGCAAAGCACAAGCATGCGGTAGAAATTTTGTTGGATAAAGTCCATGATATCTATTGTCTCACCATAGGGGGCCAAAATGTTTTGCGGTTTGTATACTCACGTCGAAAAAGGAATATGGTGAAACTGCTGCTGATGGAGAATGACATTAATGCTGGCCTGAAAGACCTGGAAGGCGCAACCATGTTGAAAACAGCAGTTTCTCGAAGAGATACAGAAATGGTGAAGATTCTATTGTGTCGAGAAGTGGAGATGGTTTTCAAGAGAATAGGTGGTTGGGAAAGCTTGTCTTGTCTTGCTAGGGATGCATATCTGGATAAACATGAGATTCTAAAACCATTTTTGGGCTTCTCATAGGCTGGTTGGCGTGTTTTCTCTTCTTGTTAACATCAATTCACCTCAGCTTTTATTCAATGTCACCCTTTTCTGTTTAGTGTTACTCTCATAACTTCTCTCCAGGGTTTTCCACACTCAACAGAATTTACTCTTGGTATCTAACCTTCCTCACCACCACTCAGCATTTATTTTAGATATCTCACATACCTCATTTGCAGTCACTCCAGGACCATATACCTTACATACGGCCAGACCATTCTTCTTGAGCTGCTGTATCATACTTTCGTGCCAAGCACAGTTTTACTTCCGCTGTCCTTGAGATAGGTACGCTCGAGCAACTTCGGACTGAGATTCACCTCCTCCTGATGGAATATCTCATGCCCGAGGATCAGTTGGCATACCTACACGTCTTTCCCAAGATAATTGGCTTGCTGACGGCACAGCACGCTGCTAAAACAGACAGTAAAGGGAGGAATATGGTGCCCACGTTCGCAACAGCTGAAGGAAATACCGACGAAATGGACACAAAACCCCTTCTAAACAATATGTGTTTATCCAGGGACCTAAATGATAACTGGGGCTGCACGCCACTGTGGTTGACAACATATAATCACCATCGTCTGAGGGTCAGCCTGTTGCTGGAACGGCGGGTGGGTCAGGAGACGCTTAAGATTGACGGCGTTACACCCCTCACTGCAGCTTGTCACCGGGGATGTCTGCGGGTCATTTATTCTTTACTCTACGAGAGTAGGGGCAGCGCATGTCAACGATGAGGGCTCCAGTGGTCGAACTGCTCTATCTTACGCATGTGAAATGTGGCATTATGAAGTCGTTGGCCTCCTCACCAGTTCATACATTCTCATAGATTCCTTGTCGAGAAATAAACTATCTCTGTGTGGAACTTATAATCAATGCTTTCTAATAGTATCGCATATCTATACCATACAATAAGACCCAAACCTTGGGGGACTATTGAAAGCGGCGCGCGCCAATCGTGTCCATTGGCCTTCTTCATTGAATACAATTTTGGTATCGGGCTTCTTTAGTAAATATCGCACCATTCGGGAATGTTTCTTCTTGACTGCATAATACAACTATATTCTCTATCTACTGGGCATCTGTACCCGTCCAGCAGCCTCCATAACACTCCATCACGCCCATGGTTAGAGGCGTATGACTGTAGTGTCCAAGCGCGTCTATCTCCCTCATGAATAACGTGCAGGCTAGTATGGTCTAATAGCACGTCCACCACGCTCACCTGTTTGCACATTATGGCGAGGAGCACTTTTCGGGTGCATTTGTCAAGTCTGTTCAAAGTTCCTGGGTTATTTGAGTCATTTAAGTCGTCAGAGTAGTCTACGTCGTATAGACTGTATGAGCGGAGCTCGACAAGGATATCTTATACTACAGAGACATGTCCTCCCTCTACAGTTAATGTTAGTGGAGTATGGTCATACCAGTCTTTGGAGTTTGCTCTCTGACACGAGTCTGCTTAAGTAGAAGTTTAACTATCGCTCCATGACCCTTACTAGCAGCTACAGAAAGTAGAGCTGTACCAAGTTTATTTGGTATATCGGGATTCACATCCCGCCTTTCTAATAGCAGGTTTACCGTTTCTTCGTGCCCCTCATCCGCTGCCCACCACAATGGAGTACAGCCAAGATCATCCCTAGGCTGTGTAAAAACACCCTCTTTCGTCAGAAAGTGACGGATTATCGGGCCTGGTTATTTTTGCCGTAGCAAGCAAGCGCAGAACTGTTATCCTATTGGCACCAGTAACAGCGAGAAGTGCGGGAGTCATCAAAGTCAAAAGACTAGGGAATGCTAATAAGAATGATGACTGTTCTTCAGGCCGGAGATACCCTACTATCATCAGGAGGATATCCGTTGGAAGCACAGTGAATGTATTCCGGGAGACTGCGTTGACCAGAGACTAGGTAGCGAACAGGAATACAGGTGAAAGTATCGAGATTGGTGATTTAGTGTAGTTCACTCAGACTCTGCGAAAGTTCTCATTTTCCAGGTTGCGTCCAGCCGGGATTCGCAGGCTTTATAGCGAAGTCGTGCCTCATAATGCAGGGCAAGTGGGTAAAAAAAGCTGAATGAGCCTTGTCATTTATTCATTGATCTTTCGTTTTCCATATCTTGAGTCTTTGTATTCCACCCATTGTCACCACAGTATATATTGCTTTTGTACGGAGTAGAAGTTGTCACTTCTTTGTATGTCCACCTACTATTCTTAGAGATAGTAGCCGTTCTCCCGGACTCGATATGATTGGCCAACCGCAACTCGTGACCGACCAACCCCAATGCAGGAATTCCTCGCCTGAGGCCTCCAACATCGCGAACTCCACATCGACTTCCTCCGCCGGTTCTGGCCGGTCTGCCTCAATCGCCTTCGCATTTCCCTTTCATGTCTTTGTGGTGACTACCAATCCCGGTCCTACCTCTCTAACCCCCACTCCTCTCTTTTATATTTCTCTCCCGCTATGTTTCGTCCCGCATCTCGAGTCCTCCTCCGCGCGCCAGCCGTCGCCCGTGGCCCGGCCAGCAGACGATTGATAAGCACCGCACCCGCCGAATCCAAACCGAGGAGTTGGAAGAACACCGCAGTCCGGCTGGGGTTGGCCGCAGGCGCAGTCTACTACTATAACACAAGCAACGTGTTCGCAGAGAACCCTTCCTGTATGTTGACTCTACGACCTTGATTCGTGAAATCTTCCAAAGAGCAACCCAGCTCATACCTTGTGCCGGCGGGTTCTCTATACACAAATTTTTTTTCTTCCATCAACATCGCAACTAACCAATCCCAGTCTCTCTCCTCTCCCAGTCCAAGACCGACTCTGAAGAACCCCTCCCAACCCTCGACTCCATCAAGCCCAAGATCCGCGAAGAGAGGGAATCCGCTGCCCCCAAATCCAATGCCGAACCCGCCCCAGCACAAGAGCTCTCCCTCGGCGAGGGCGCGCTGAAGTCGCCTCAGGAACTCGAAGAGGAGGCCGGTCAGGAAGCCGCGTTCAACCCCGAGACTGGCGAGATCAACTGGGACTGCCCTTGTCTGGGCGGAATGGCTCACGGCCCTTGCGGAGAGGAATTCAAGGCTGCTTTCAGCTGCTTCGTGTACTCTGAGGAGGAGCCTAAGGGCATGGACTGCATTGAGAAGTTTAAGTACGTTTGAACCTGGACTTGTTTCTTATACCTGGTATTATTTTTTACTGGAGGGGGTGTGGAGCTAACGTTCGGTTCGCTTTTAGGGGCATGCAAGATTGTTTCCGCCAGTACCCTGAGGTTTATGGTGCCGAGCTTGAGGACGATGAGGAGGCTGGTGCTGGTGAAGCCGCTGCTGCTCCCGCTCCCGAGGGTGAGGCCCAGAACGCTCAGCCCCTAGCCACCGAGCTCGATGCGGCCTCGTATCCGGATGAGAAGCGCGCCCGCGCAAAGGGGGTTGCCGCACAGGCGAAGTCAGAGTTCGCTGAGAAGGGCGAGCTCGCCGAGAGCGAGGAGTTGCTCCCCAAGGCTTGGCACGATACGGAAAGCAAAAACGAGACCGAGAAATAAAAACACCCTTAGCACATATTTCTTGCATGTGTCGTGAGACGTGACATGGACCAACAGAACAGAGTCGGATTTTTTTTTTTTTGTTTCTCGGTGGATAAGATGAAAAGTTAGGAGTCTAGATCTTGGTCCGATCTGAACTGCTCTAGGTCCGGGAGGGTTATTGCGGGATTGGGGGGCTCTGAGTTGGGGAGATTGTATATCTCCTTTTTTGTACTATATACCCTCCCCCCTCCACCCCCCTTTCCTTCTTTTGGTCTCTCTGTCGTGTCTAAGTATAAAGCTATCTCATGTCATCCTCTCTTATATAGTTTTTCTCCTTTGTTTCTTTTGTCTTGCGTTTTGCAGTCTCAGCATCCATTCCCACTTGTGCCTTGTGTTTTCCCCCCATTCACCATGTAACTTTTTGTACTTGTACGCTGTGGCCTTTCGGAAAGAGTCCTGATAGAAATAGAGCCTGCTTTCTACTCCGCAGTATGCTGCTTACATCATTTATTGATCGTCTCGCCTATGATAGGCTTTACATCGTGGCTAAGGTTTTCATGTGGTATGGCTTAGAATTCAAAAACACGGCATTATCATCGTTAGCGAATTTTTGTGCAAATTGTAGGTTAACACTAGCATTTTCCAAATTATCGGTCCATTCTCAGCGATCTCTCAGCCATTCCACCGCGTTGCTGAGCAGTTGCAATGCCGCAACGGGGAAGATTTGCAGATGGGTTCAGCATGACTTGTCCCTGCACTTCATGTTCTTTCCAATGTGCAAGGAGTGCAAAAAGGAGTTGAATCCTGCATCGATTTGCGCGGTTGGTTCCGAATTCTTCCCAGGACGAGTGTCTCAAAGCGAGTGAAAGACTGAGGTCACATGGTCAAGACATATCTCGCCGTAAGTCAGCCTAAGTGATGCTTGTGTTCCCGTAGATATAGGCCCCAGATGGGCTTCAATGCTGTGTCTTTCACCAGACATTAACCGTGTTGACTTGCCAGAGTGTCCCACAAGCGGTATACGGCTGACGCAGAAAAGCGCATCTTCTATCGCTAGCACCGATAAAGTCGGAGGCTCGACACCCTTTTGTATAACGATTGGTAATCCATCCACATGATTTACCAGTTCACATCGCTCAGCTGTAATTTCCGAGAACGGAACGCCAACCGGTTTCCGCCGGACTTGTCAACCCTGGCATCGCGAGGGGAGCGTTTTTCAAGGGCTAAACGTAGATTAGCATGACATCGGGACTCCGTCGCATCTTTGTCTCACCTTCGGCGGGGTCTGTTTCGTTAGACATCTCGTAATTAAGAACCAGGCTCTTGATTCTCTGTTGTTCTTCTCGATCAGCTTGCTGCTGGCTTCTCATGGCAACTGCAAAGCTTGAATCAGACGGCAAATCGATGGTGCGAGTCTAGACACAATTAGCAGACGTTTCCTTTCTATACATCAGTACGAGAGTGCAGACCTGTTGCTTGTTTCCTTTTTTGGTCATCAAAGAGAAAGCCATGGTACTTGGCTGCGGTTGAGGATTCTCGGGAGCGTTTTCGCCCGCTGCATCACGAGCAACTCGTTTCATGGGAAGAGGAATATCAAACACAGCTTTGCGCTCAAATTTTCGGGAATCCATGCTGTCTGCCATCATCTTCTCAAACTCGCGGTCAAACTCAGCTTCGGCCTCAGGGTCACGTTCCTCCTCCTGGCGTGTAACGAAGATTTGTTCGTCTTCAGAGTCACTGTCACCGTTTTGTTCGATATTCGGGCCCGATGCCTGCGAAGCATTGTCAGTAAGTTCGTTTGAACCGTGCATGTAGCAACAGAATTATGACTTACTTCAGCTTCGTCGCTGGACTCTCCGTCCTCTTCCACCTCCGGCATGACATCATCCTCAAAACCGTCGTCAGATGAGCTACTTTCTGCATCATCCTCATCCGGTTCTGCAGGCCTATCAGCATCTTGGGTTTTGTAGTTCTGGGTTACAGCTTCGCCAAAGATGCGCGTAGCCTCTTGAAGGTCGGTGACCAATTTCCATTGAGGACGAGTCATTGAGAAGGTATCTTGCACAAGAAAATCAATGTCCATCGGCAGAGGATCCTTCGTAGTCATATAATACTACATGACATATTAGTAACGTGTGTTGATCTGGCGGTTGGCAAGGGGAATTACCTGGAAGAAGGTCAAGAAGAAATCCAATTTCTTCTTGGCAGAGCCACGGTCAAAGCAGTGACCGCATGTATCCAAGAGGGTGCAAACCAGGCGAACCCGAAAGAAGTCATCCGGCAGATCCAACGGGTTCAGCTTTCCCGGAACCGGTGTGCCGCCCTCTATACCTTCGTTAGCATTGTATTGGCCTAACACTCAGTGTTCATTTCGGCTTACCGTGACCGAACGTAACAATCCGGTATAAGGTGTCGAAAATGACAGGCGAGTCGATCATTTTATAATTATACAGCTCTCCAAGGTATTTGACTTCAGCAACACGCTTCTGGTTGAACTTGAAGTCGTTCTGTTCAAGCCCCAGTGTAATCTGTTCAAGGATATTGTCGACGACACCAATGACGAAGTCCTGGTGATACCTATAGAGAGCACTGACCAGGATAGCGAGAAGGTGTATATTACCATATTTCACCTTCACTGGTTTGCTAAAGACACGCTCTAGAATATCGACAACCTGACAGTTTAATCAACAACCTTTGAACAAGACGTGCTGTAACATTAGGTGAGAATTTCTTACCTCCTGTTCTTCCCAGTGAAGCTTTCGGATGGACTTCAAAATTCTGGTGTAATTGCGCTTATTCATATCCAGATAGATAAGTCTCCGGATGTAAGACTCCATGGGAGTACGCTCTTTCTGCTGGATCGCAGGCCGAGGTGGTGGGTCAACATAATAAACGGCGTTCTCAATAATCATCCGCTCTTGTTGGCCCAGGTGCTGAACGGTTTTCTTTCTTCCAAGAGTCTCCAAGAATGATGCCATTCGGGGCGAGGTTTCAGGGTTGCGAAGCAGATATCTTCCACAGTTCTCCAGGAGGTGGCCAATAATCTCAATATTCATGCGCGAAAAATCATCAAGTGAGACCTTGAAACAGTGAAAGATAATATGCTCGGGGACCACACCAAACTTGGTCAACTCTGCGAGATAGCGCACGTTACTCATCCGAACCTGTCCGAGGAACTCCTTAGACTTCCGGCGTTGAAGACTTCGGAACTCCTCATCCAAATACGTGGTCAAGCCTTGAGGAATATCCGGTAGATACTGCCCGAGTGTAGCGACCAGGCGCGAGTACAGAGGCAGCAGGTCGATACGTCCCTTAGGGACATCTGACACGGCCTTGACGAGCCTGTTTCTGGACGCTTTGGAGTTTAGAAAGCAGAAATCTAGTGCCAACTGATCGACATGGTCCTTCGTCTGTAGATCGGGCAGTTTGGCCAGAAGCGCGTCTACTTGGGCTCCAACGGTCTTGCTTGCGATGGCCATAGACTGATCGTCTGCGTCCGTGGTGGTCTTGTCTTCCGCTGGCTGGCTTTGGCCTGGTTCAGACTTTTCCCCACCTGCTTCAGGGACATTCTCGCCGTCTTTCTTTTTCGCTGCTTCATCGGACTCTGGCTTCTTTTTCTTGCCATCCTCGAGTAGAACAGCTGGAACTTTGCCTTTGAGGTCAACCAGATTCTCATAAAACCGTCTTTCTTCTTCATCTTCCCAGATACCAGCACCTTCACCCTGCCCGCGTAGGTATTCGGATGTTTTCACAAGCCCAATTCCGCCGCTTGAAGCAGGGTCGGCAGATTCCTGCTCAGCTAAGGCGGGCATTTCCGCCCCTAGAGCCTCGCACAAGACCTGCGTATTGGCGACCAATTTTTCCAGAGATTTGCTTTGCTTCTCAAAGTTCGCTTGGCGATCCTCGAAGATCTCACCACTCTTGACATAAGCCTCCGCGTTACGGCGACTCTGGGCTGCCAGCGCTCTTTGGTCACGAACAACGTGGGCCTTGACATCTTCCAAGTACCGATTAAGGATGCTCTTGAAGCGAGATTGGATCTTTTCTGGGGTGAGAGGTGGGTCGTTCTCCGCAGTTGTCATGTCTCCCGGGCTCTCCTCGCCGTTTGTGGCTTCTGCAGGGGTGCTAGAGGCTGTCGCTCCATCGCCCTCTACGGTCTTCCTTCCTTCCTCGATGATCTTCACTCCAAGGATATCCCAGCTGAAGCTCTTTACGAATAGAACGGCGAGTGGCAAATTGGTGTGGTCACGGTCATGGCCCAAGAGATCCTTCAACACTTCCAAAGGAAACGGCTCCGCTTCCTTATCACTGTCTCGAACGGCCGATGGGGCCGCCTTAGCTTTGACTGCATTTTCAGACGCCTTACCACCTATTCCAACAACGCCGTCTTTGCCCTTAGCACCCAGGTCCTCCGGTCGTTCAATATCGTCCAGGGTTCTGAGCACTCCAACCAACCAGAGTTCTGTCGCCACTCTCAGCAAGACCCGATGTCTGGATAGGCGTTCTTTTTCTTCCCGCTCGCGCACCTCCTGGCTGAGTGCCTTCAGTTGGCCCTTGTCCGGTGTGCTCAGTCCTCGCCCCAGTAGCCACCCAATTTGTCTCGTGAACTCAGCCGGTCCGAACCGCTGGTGCAGTGCACTTGTGATTTCCACACCTGTGGCGATTTCTCCAGGTGACTTCAGTTTACATAGACCTTCATAGCATGCGGATATGATTTCTGAGAGATATTTGTGGAGCGACAGGGTGCGGATATCGGTCAGGAACGTTTGCTGAGCGGAGGCATTAATTCCGGTACGTAGACGCTTGATGAACGCCGTGTTTTTCTTCAACGCCGAATCAAGGGATCTGCTGACTGGGAAGATATCTGTTTCACGAGGTTGGGCGGTTAGAATAGGATCGATTGTGCGGGACATTGTCTAGGGACATCATTACCACTCTCGCCAGTCCAAGCTCTCTCATTGAGATCGCGAAGCTCTCCTAATATGCGAAATTTCATTAGGGTCAAATTCTACACCTGGTAGATAGGAGTTGAAAGCAGGGTGCGGGGTATATACGCTTCCTTTGACGCTCCATCTCGTACTGCCGTTCGTCGTCTGCACAGTAATCCCGCGGTGTCGGTTAACTATCGTGGGGTCCTTTCAAAGAGTCGGAAAGGAAAGCGCATAAGTGACTTGAACGCCACATTGGTGAAGCACGTTGGGATCGAGTGATGCGCAACGTCTTTTGAGAATGCTGTCACCGTGCGCCAAGGTTGAAATTGCTTTCAAGAAAAGCTGGGTCGGAGGCACTGCGGCGGCGAAGTGGGAGCCGAAGGCGGTCCTGTTGCTGTGCACTCCACCCACTCCTTCGGGGGGTTTCCCGCGCGGGTCTATCAAACTAAATTCCCCCTGCCTTCAATACTTTAACCCTATTCTTTGTTTTCTAGATTTACGTACTCCTTTCATACGTTGTTCTTAATCGCTCAAAGAATGATCTTTCACTCCACACCCACAAACTATTTGCACATGACCTGGTGGTGCTATGAGTCACCTCTAATATATAGTTATACATATATATACATCACACTTACTAATATCGAAACCAATGTCATAGTTTTTTCATTGCCATCTGTCAATTTGCTAGGTGGACAATGGTAGCGATAATTGGGAAAAGGGAGAGAAACCATCGCATCAAAGAAAAGAGAAGACGAGAGAGACAAAGTTGACGACATCCCAACCTCTCCGCTGTCATTCCCCCACCCTCTTATTCATATCAGCATCACGTTATTAATTCATATCAGTTCCATTCGTTAGTCGCCCATTCGTTTGCCCAGTCATCCATTCATTTATTCATCCAAGCTCGTGCGAAGATTCGGTGAAGCCAGTTTCCTTCCCCTTCTCCACACCCAACAGCCAAGCCTGGAGCTCATGCTTCCTATCCTCTTCATTCCAGCTCTGACGCCGATCAATCGTCGGTCTCCACCCCTCTGCTTGAACCTGGCTATCGCGATCGGTATCGGAGACTCTCCGCAATACTTCCTGTTCTTTGGTATGAGGGCTGCGTCTGGTTGGGTTTCCAGGGAGCAGGATAGTTCGGTGAGTTTGGGGGAATGCCCCTTCCTGACTTGCAGACGACATCATTGATTTGGTGACGTAAGGGTGGACTAGGTGAATGGCTGTATGCCAGTAAGTAAGAGTAAATGGCTTTTGATGTTTCTAGGTGAGCTTTGTTATGAGGGCGCCGATGATCGTCACACTCGGTTACGGGATATTAAATAGTTTTCAGGGCGAAACTGCAACCCTTCAGTAAATCAAGAACCTCCCAGTGCTCACTCGATAGCGTAAAACCCACATGACGGATCTGCGATGACATTTATATAGCATTGATCCCGGTGTAACAGTGACACGCCATGTCATATGTGGTGGCGAACCTGGAGATTGATTGACGTCTCCCGACTCAACCGTAAGGGGAAAGTCGGGTCCTTATCGCTCTTGAATACGAAGGTCAAGTTAAATCGGAACAAGAGAGCACGTATCAGGATGAAATCATCCTGGTTCCCGACAATGTGACTCGGCGCTAGACCCAAAGCAGTAGCCAAAGGCGTATTATTTAGCGGCCCCCCAACCATCATCTATACTCACCTCATTCTGTGTGAGATGGGTCATTTTCCCGGGTTTCTTCTTCATAGGATCCAATTATTAGGAGTTCTTAGATGAAATGTACCTAACGAAGTCATCTTCGATGGTTGACTACGGCTCCATCATCAAACCAATCAGACATACTCGCTAAGAGCCTTTCACTGCCTTCCGGAATGTTCTTGGACGCCGTCTTCAACAAGTTGTCAAGCTCAGTGGATGAAAACATGGTCAATGAAGACACTTTATCCTTTGATCTTGATCCCATTTCTCTAGACTCTGAATCATTGCCGACACACGCTACGAGGGCTACCTAACCTAACAATGAGGCTTACGTCTCTCAACAAGGTAGTGTCAGATTTTCAAATAGTCTGGAGAAATCCAAATCGAAGAGGGGCACTCCAACTTTCTCGGAGGACAAGTCGGATACCCTGAAACAATGGTTCGACTGCCACTTCCATTATCCGTATCCTACTAAGGAGAAGGCCTCCATGCCCCCGCTTGATCGTTGGGAGAATTTCCCCTGAAATTGAGGCTGCGCCTTTGGAAGCCATTGTGAGTGCGGTGGCTCGTAGTGAGACTAGTCCCCTGTCCGCCTCAGCCTCGTGCGATATGCATCGAAGTCTAACGACGCTGGATCAGAAGCATCCGAGTCGGGTCTATCAAATAGTTCTGGTTCATCGGCCTATAGCTTTGGATTTCATCACTCTCAGAGTTCTCTCAGCTGCTTCTATTTAGACAACCCATCGCGTCGCAGGCTTCAGCGATGACTCAAGTATCCTCCCGCTCTGCGCAAATGTCCTGACAAAACGGCGGCCACCAAGAGGCCGTATCAGTGTACATTTTGCACAGGCACCTTCCGTACGCCACATGACTGGATACGGCACGAAAGAACATTGCACTTAGCCCTTGAAGAGTTTACATATGCTCCCCTGGATCCAAACTATAGCGATCTTTCCAAAGATATCAAACGTTGTGTCTTTTGCGACGAGCGTTGCCCTTCGGATAGTCACATAGTCTTACATCGATTTAGCATATGCCGATCGAAACCGACCGTTCTTAAGGATGTTTTACCGCAAGGATCATATACTTTAACACTTTCGTCTCATGCATGGGTTGGCCAGACAACCACAACAGTGGAAAGGTGGAAGTCGCAAGTTACATATATCAGTTCACGATGCGAATTTTGTGATGAGATGTTTACGGTATGGTCTGCAACATTGCCCAACATTTCCGGGATGGAGCCTTAGGCGAGGATGTCGCGGTCTCGGATCCACCCGTAGCCTTAGCCGTGGAGAATGGCATGCCACCCTATTTGATAGGCATTGAATCGATGGACATGGCGCCTTTCAGTGCTTCTCGCTTACCAGGCAATGATACGCGGTCCAATTGTCGGATAGATGAAACGGACCAGCTTTACTCGACGCAACCAACGCCCACGCTATTCGAAAACCTCACTGCGGGCTTGGGGAAGTTTGTACTGAAAATTCAGGCCAACGATGAGACTGTCACAAATGATGTGTTACAAAAAGAAGCGTGCTGTATCATGTGCGGGGATGATGATCCGTAGAATCAGACGGCAGCAAATAACATTGAATGGCTGAAGTTATTCAAGGAGGGAAGTGGGACTAGGCTTAGCAGCCGGTCCGTCTCACTTGGGCCTTTATAACCAGGCCATTGGTGATGATTACCAGGTTTGTCTCCTATGGTCAGCTAGTAAATGGGCGCCCTCCAACTGACGACTGACGCTGCAGCTCCAATATCTGCTGACATGACCAATGCACACATAGCATGGCCATAGCAAAGCCCAGAGTGCCTTGTTGAATACCGACAACGTAGATGACTAGAGAGGCCGTATATCAGGCCAGTGTCGGAATTGACTGCTACCCATCAACGCCTCACCTGGCACCAGACATTGATGGCCTAATGTAACCCTGAACATTGAACTATCATTGGAGCATTCCAACTGCCGGATCTAAACTTGACCTCGTCCAGTAATGGTTTGGTTGGACAGGCTTTCTCACAGTCAGCTACTAGCAGGCGTTTGGTTCTGCTTGGTCTAGTAAATGGGCGCGAGATCTACGTAGAGCGTAGTGGCTTGGCCTCGACGACTGTCGAATATATCCATTGTGAACACATCGTATTCCATCCACATTTCATCTGCGGGTTCTGTTATGCAATGCTCGAGACAAATGCAACACGATTTTTCCGTAATTTATATTTATAAAGAAAAAAGGAAAGAAGGAACAAACGCAACCAGATTTAAAGAAGACTAATACACAAAGGAGGATTACAATGTGTGGATAGAAAAGGATGATTGCTGTATATATAGCATAAAGAAAAGAAAAAAAAAAAAGTTATCGTCAGCGAGAGGATTCGAACCTCTGCCCGCGAACGGAATTGATTTCTAGTCAATCGCCTTAACCACTCGGCCACACTGACTTTGATTTATATAACTTTTATATTTATTGATATGAGTATCCTTTGCAGCAGCCCTGATCGTTCGGATTTAATTGACACCAGGCAAATGCCAGGGAAAAAGCCACAACCAATCCCCTCTTGTCTACAGACTATATTCACTATTCTTCTCATTAGATGTACTAAGATGTGTAAGAAAGGCAATTACTCAGTACAAACATATTCTGGCTCTTCTTCGGTAAAGACATAGAAGTATATACCGCATAGAAGTTGGGTGATCAGGTGAATTATCTACAACATGACCATGTCAGCTAAACCACGACTCGTTGTAGTATATGTCTGGTATTATCCACTGTTCTCAATCACTTTAGATACTGAAAATATCCGAACAAACGCCTTTAATACTTCCTCAACAAGTGACCTTGGTCATGTCAACAGCGGATTCCCTACTTCGCCTTCCCGGACCGGCAATCATAAAAGCACACAACGACTACGCCAAAAGTTCGAGTGACTTATCTAGCGGATCTCTTTGTAATAATAGCTACCAATAACCAGCCTAGATCATACCCGGTATGTCTGTACTAGGCATATAAAATTGAGAAACAAACGACCAACGAGCCATCACACCCATATCACAATTTCCAACTACAAGTCTTACAATAGTATACCTCCTACAAACGCCAGAAAGCAGAGCCAATGACTCCATCCCCAAAGGCCCTTCAGAACCCCGAAGGCCAAACACTGCTAGTCAAGCACTTCGAGACTCGGTCCGTCTATCCCCCACCCAACACATCCCGCCACGGATTCCTAACTCTAACAACCCTATCTAGTCCCCCAAACGACCAAACAGCAGGATGATGCAATTTGTGGGATACAGATAGTACTGCCTTTTGGGATCGAGGCATGCCTTCCCCGGCATTAATCGATATCCTCGAGGGGAGGCAGGATCTGCTGAACCCGTTTACTGCCGATGGGAGGAGGAAGAGGGCGCTTGTTCCTGTATGTCTATGTCTTTTAATGAAATCCTTCTCCAAGATCTATGAAGTAGCATTTGGTGGCTAGTGGCTGGAACAGAAGAAACTGATATATAGGGCTAGGGATGTGGCAAAGGCTACGATGTCGTTATGCTGGCACTCCACGGGTTTGATGTCTTTGGCCTCGAGGTTTCGGAGACGGGCGCGGAGGTCGCGAGGGAGTATGCTCGGGCTGAATTTCAAAGTCCAAAGGAGTATAATTTTGGTTCTTCTTCTTCTTCTTCTGGAGTGGAGGCGGGACAGGTGGCGATTATTCAAGGAGACTTTTTCAAGAAGGAATGGAAAAATAGGGTGAGGTTTGATTTGATTTATGATTATATGGTGCGTTTTTTCTTTCCAAGGTCTTGTCTTTTGAGATTATGATGTGTATGTGTGAGTGATGGGCTGATGAATATAGTTCCTCTGTGCAATTCATCCAACTATGAGGCGCCAGTGGGCGGGTAGAATGGCTGATTTGCTGGCTCCTACGGGTCACCTTGTTTGACTTGAGTTTCCGATGTTCAAGGATTTGAAGCTGCCTGGTCCGCCTTGGGGGTTGAATGGGGTGCATTGGAATTTGTTGGCGGCGGGCGGGGATGGGATTGTTGGTGTTGGTGAGAATGTAGAAGGGGAAGAGAAGGGAGCGTTTACACGATTATTGTATGTGAAGCCTGGGTGGTCGTATGCGAATGGGAAGGAGACGGATATGTTGAGCGTTTATATTAAGAAGACTTTCTAGATACATTTGTCGTGGTTTGAGGGTCTGACTGGTATTGAAAGCTAGAACGAGCATAGAGAAGATGACTTTGCAACTACAAATCACTCTAAACCCTGACAGGAAGGCTTTCTGCATAACACTTTGCACCCTGTCCTGCCTTCTTCCCATCATTATCGCAAATCTCAACATCAATCCCATACTCCAAAAGCAGCTCCTCACATTTCAGATGTCGCTCCCTCACTGCAAAATGCAAAGCCGTCCAACCATGGAATCCCTGTCGATTGATATCTGCACCAGCTTCTACCAGGATCCTTACGATATCCACGTATCCATACCGAGCTGCCAGGTGCAACGGTGTCCATATATACCGATCTGAACTGTCGACCGTTGCCCCTGCTCGCAGTAACTGTCGGATACCGTCAACATTATTCTGGCGTGCTGCGGCATGTAGAACAGTTTCACCAGTGTGTTTTCGTTGGTCGAGAGGTGCTCCGGCATTTAAGAGCCTGGGGAGTAGGGACTTATTAGGACAGTTTGTAGATACAGCTCTGTGGAGGTGGTATTTTGCTCTGTGGCGCATCTCATGGACGAGATGGCGATCGATGTAGGGTGTCAGGAAGTAAGAGAATCCTGGGATGGCGAGTCGGAGGTTGAGGAGATCCCTTTTGGTGCATTGCTATTTGGGAGGTCATTTAGGTATATGTGTACTCTAGATACCATACACTCAATGGGAGGGCCGATGAACTGACCTTGGCTACTTGATGAAGGATGTCAAGGGGTAACTCCTCTAAAGATACCATACTTGGTGGCTATTCAGAGCTATCTATGGTTGAGCATATGGTTTTGTTCAGGTTAGGGACAGTCGGCTCTATCAGAAGAAACAAGTCAGGGTTGAGCAAACTCTGTGGATACAAAGTTCAAGCCAATAAAGTAAGTCAACGTGGTTAATGAGTTGGGCTGTTAAGTATTTCTAGTGAATAGAAGAGTTCATCCCTGGCTGAACCTGTACGACTTGGACCTTGGCTGTTGGTGCATGTTGTCCATTGCGCCCTAACTATTGCCTTTTAGGGAATATTGTATAACAGCGTCTCATGTCCATGCGCGCTTGTGTCCTCCTTTCAGGAACACGCTTAAAACTATGGAACAGATCCTCAGCTACATGAATACGAATACATTGTATCCCTAGCGATCAAGAAATTTCCGGTCTCACAGGGCATCCACAGAATGGTGTTGTGATAAAACTACGTCGGAATGACTTGAGTGGTGGTATAGTCTTGTTCCACATCCGTGGTGGGAGTGAATTCCAGAGAAGACCTGTGTCTTTGAAGTTGTTCACTGTTGTGGAGAGGTTGGGGGTGTCAAGAGCTTGTGTGAAGTGCCGGCGACTTTGAATCACGATGCCTCTGGGGGATCTATAATGAATTGATTCGGTTGAGTGTGGGCGTTGAGGATACGGAGGATCTGAAGGCCAATGTACAGCGTGCTTTGGAGACTGTTGCTAGGTGGGAGGACGCAACTAATAAATAACTATCTGATAAAGACGGGAAAATCTAGAATTAAGACGGGCTAAATATTTTTTTTCGTTTCGTGAAAGAAACTGTGATAACATACATCATAACTGTGTCCAAAGATGGTGAAATACAATATACCAGGAACCCACTGGCAGGACAATAAAACAAAGCAAGTCATACAGGCATGTCGACAGACAGTACCTCTGCAAACAGACAAACAGGGTCATCACTGTCGGTACAAGAATTCCAGCAAAGACCATGAACTAACAATAGTCAGGATGATCATCTGTGGAAGGAGAGTGGACGTCCTACATGAACAACCAACACACTACCTCTGGCATTCAACGTGAGCAGCAAGAGGCAAGGCAAGGTAAAGAAAAAGAAAAGTCACCGTTCGTCGTACACCTTCATAGAACAAAAAACAGACAGGGTATGCCACGCCACGCTATGCGAGTTTATAAGAGAAAAGAGAAGGAAAAGGTCATTGCAACTATGTACTAAGAACAAGAACCATCCAGAAAGCTTTTTACGGGATTTCCCCGGGAGATTGCAGAGGTGACTTGTCTTCAGTCACACTTCATTTATTTCGGCTTACGCCAGAAGTATTGCTGCAAAGGGTTAGGCCCATGTCATGAATTTCATTGTTGGCTTGCAAGCATACCTTATGTTGCTTTCGGCAGTTCCGAAGACCTGGTTTCCTGAGGTCATGTACCACAGCTTCCCGTCGCATGCTGTCCTCATCGAAGTCGGGAATATAGTAATATTCACTCTCAAGTGGCTTCCCTGCAGCATCTTTCCCTTCCCGAGCAACCTTTCCAATGCACTTCGTCGAGTCAATGATGGCACGTGTTTCATCTCTTGTGGGTCCTTCTTTTGAATGAGCATCTCGGCGCCAAAGGGTCGGTGGGAGATTGTTCAGAATGGTCGAGAAAGGAGTCGAAGAAAGGCGAGAGAAGGCGAGCTGATTGATGGCATGATTCTGAACCCTCTCAAAACTTTCGTCAAGCGGTTTACTTAGGACAATCTCAGCTTTCTCCACCGGCTTGGACAGTTGTCTGGGAGACTGGATCGGGCGAAGTGGCTGTGCTGCATGCTGGTTGCGGGGACGCGTTGGACAAAGTGGTGTTTCATCAGCGGTGAAAGAAGCCATACGAGGCAATATGTTTTCCCCAAAGGGTCCAAAGGAATGAACAATCGGATCATTTTCCTCGTCGTGATCGGACAGATCATCAGGCTTACTGAGATCACTCAATTCACTCGATTGTGAGCTCTGCAAAAGATCCCCGACACTGGACGCAGATTGGTGGCTTGCTTCAGATAGCAAAGCATCTCCAGAGTATTTACGGCGGATAGGAGATGGCTCATCTTCATAGACAACCACGGCATGTCTTGAGCGCGTGGGGGTATACAGTGGCGAGGACGGCGGGATGAGTGACTTGACTGCAGGGGAAGGCGAGACAGGGGAAGCCAACCGCCGGCGTTCCACGTTAGGACTGTCATGCAGGCTCCGACGAGACTGTTTGTTGCGTTTTGGGGTAGTCTCTTCCCAAGTTTGTTCCGAGTCGGTGGATGCGTAGTCCTTGCGTTCGTTCCGCGGCCACTGGACCAAAACACGCGCATCATGGACATCAATCATGATATCTGCGTCTTTTATATCGGAGGTGAAAGTCTTGCCTTTAGCCAGGTCATAGGTTTTCCCCTGACAGTGAAGCTTAATTCCGTTCCAGCCCAGGCACATTATCTCAACCCGATCACGATCGAAGGGGTTAGGTGCAGGCTTATAGGTAGCCTTGACGTGCACCCTCGAGATCATACGGTTGGCAGCGAGTTGATGATGGCAAGATGCACTCGATCTACCCATGAGGAGTGGCTCCCCATTTTCGGGTAGCATCATGGTCGGCACCGTGGACAAGGGAGTTCGTTCGGAGTTCGACGAGGTGAAGGTTCGACGCGAGGCCATTCGAGGGGGGGAGGAGGACATGATATGGGTGGACGAAGTCGGGACTGGGGTCGGATAGGTTGATACAATCCCATGATCGTCGCGAGCTACACGCTTCTGTGGCCGGGGAAGAGAAGGCGAAGAACTCAATGGCTCAAATGCCGGCAACAGGGTCGCTGGACGCTTCACACCTGCCACAGAAGCAGTAGAACTGCTCCTTGGAGGAGAAGACTCCATGATGTTGTGAGAGGCTTCTCCCAGACAGTCAGAGAAAGTCGTCAATAGTCTCAGGTTAGTCTAGAAGGGACAGATTTCAAGTCAACGTCGCGTCGAGGTAGGGCAGGGGTCTATGTCTATGGAGGATGAGTCGAGAGACGAGAAAAGCAGACAGAAAGAAGAAGATATGAGCGAGACTACAAGAGAATGGACGTCAATTCTTCTCCCAAGACGAAGACCAGGGGGTTGGGAGGCACGGAATTGGCCTACAAAAGAATGAGAAACATTAAAGAAAAGGGTGAGGGATAGTAGTGTGTGGTGGAATGCCTACCAGAGCGGAGCGTCTCGTCCAGCGCGGAAATGCACGCTTACAGCCCGAGACGCGTTCGATAGGCGCCGACGAGGGTCTGCGAGCTCCACTATGAACCTCGCGCAGCCTCACAGCCTGGCCATTTCGAACTATGTTCTGCACTGCATATCTGTACGTGATCTCCCAAAGACTTTACAAGAAAGAGAAAGAAAATTTTATCAGTACGTGGTGAAAAGTCAATGTTTTGCGCATGAATCTCCTCCGTTTTTTGTATGCCCAAGGCAGAAAGGCGCGTCCCCGCGTCGTCTAGAGTCCTGGCCTCCGCGTTCTTTGGAACGGATCCCGTGACTCGCGCCAGAGCACGTGACCTGTACGTGGAAAGACTTGCAGGGACTATTCCCAGAATAGCGAGGCCATGTGCAGGATGCAGGGTTTTTCGTCCCTCTCATTGGGCCAGAGGTTGGTGACAGGACCTCAGCGGTGGAGAATGAGGCTATTGCGAAATACTCGTTCAAGAAAATTGAGAGAGGGGGCTCCATGGGAAAAACTTGGTGCATGGAATTATCTATGGCGTAATTGACAGATGCTCCTGTGATTGAGCATTCTTCCAAGAGGACCCTCATTGGAAACCAAAAAATACTACGCGTCTCGTATGCAACCGGGAAGGGAAGAGTCTTACTATCATTACTCAAACTTACTGCCCTAAAGTATGCAGGCGAACGACTACTAGGAACCTGATTACAACGCCCAGCCTTCGCGTTTCCACGTTTCCATTAGAACTAGATGTGCTCACCGATCACCACATCCCACTCAGTGTAGAGGTGTAGAGGAAGAGGAAGAAAAATAAAAAAGTAGACAGTGAGAAATAATTAATTCGGCTTTGTCTTGTGAGCCAGTTGATAGGCTGTCAGCGATTAACAGGTCAACGGGCACGGGCGCATACCAAGGTACCTCCTTAGCCTGGTTGTCTCCCTGCCATCTTGCTTGGCCCTCCCTACATCCTTGTTACCAAAATCGAAAATAGGTAGGCGAGGGGTAAGATCTAGGTACATACGGTCACCCAGTCTAGAGGAAGTGGTCGAATACTCTAGATACGCTTGGATAGACTGCCACTCGGCACCGCTCTAAACTCCGTACTCCATGAAGGTAACCAAAGAGTAGTATATCAAGATATAGCCACTAATTTCAGCCACAGCCCCAATTCACTCGGCCGCTGCTACATGACATCATTAGAATCCAAATGGTCGCTACTGCGCGTCATGAGAAAGTAACACACATGTACAGGTAGGGAATTCACAATCAGTTACTTGGCACTAGAGAAAGAAATATCTAACCACAGATGTCTCTACCAAGGGAGTAGAGACGGGAATGTGTGACACGAAATCTCCCCAAGTCACATAAGATAATATACTAAGATACACAGAAGAAAACAAGCACACTGGACTTCGGATCATGAAGGCAAACAGGCATGAAGGGAGCCGGCGAATTATTTACCCAGGCCAGTCGAGCCGGTTGATGGTGGCCAAGTCACGGAACAAACGCACCCGTTTGTAGCGATAAAATGTTGTCAGTTGATTTAGTAGAAGACGAAGGTAGCGTCGCCAGAGTTAACCTTGACCTGTTGTTGGATAATTAGATGAGTGCATCACGTGTTTTGGGGGAGGGTTGGGCCACTTACAGTGCAACCAGAGTCATTGCTGCCAGTCTCGGAGGTGAACTTGCCGTTCTCGTATTTACAGGATCCGCTGAGGTTGTCACCCTGGATCTTGATGTTGAAATCAAGCTTCTCGGAGGTGGTGGGGCTGTTCTGGAAGATAGACAGCCACTTGCCATTGTTCTCACCGACACCCAGGTTGATAGGAGCCCAGTTACCGATAGGCTTGGTGCCATCACCCCACTGGCATCCCTCCTGGATGCTAGTGCCGCGGGGGTTAACATAGTACTGAGCAGAGGTGACCTTGCCTTGCCACTTGAAGTAAGTCGCGCCGTTGGGGCAGGTCAAGGGCTGAAGATCGTTGTCGCCAAGAGCCAGAGGGATGGTCTCAGCCTCGGTACCTGCATAGAGTTATTAGAAAGGATTGCTCCCTAGGGACTCCGGAACAGGTCAACTTACCGGGATAGTCAGTACGGCAGATAGCAATCTGTTCGCCGAGCTTGTTCTGGGCATGAACACCGCCAACACCTGGAATGCAAAGCTTCTTGGAGAGCTCAGTGTTGGTAAGGTAGAGCTTGCCGTTCTTACATTCGAGACCACCAACGGACTGACCAGTGGAGCCCTGGGTGAGGGGCCACTGGGACTTTTGGTAACCAGCGGGACAAGCGTAAGAGCACATGGCACCGGAATGGCACTTATCACCAGTCACAGCCGTGACAATGTCGCTCACAACCTTGTCGGCAAGAGTGACATATTGGATACCAGAATAGCCGCCAAGTCCAAGGTAATCGAGAGGTACGGCACCATAGTCGGAGGGGAAATCACCGCAGTCGATCTCTCCATCAGGGAAGTCAACATCCAAGCCCTTAGCACCGGATCCGCTGGACTTGGTGGGGGTGCTGGAGGCAGCGGACGAGGTTGCAGAGGAGCTGACAGACGAAGAAGAAACCGGAGTGGCGGAAGAGGTCTCAACAAACTCAGCGGGCGCTTCTGTGGGGGCAGCAGCCGCGGTAGAGGAAGAGGCAGGAGCGCTGTAGGATTCACAGGCATCAACTGCGGGTTGGCCCTCGGCGTACCTCAACTTCTTCTCTCGGATACCCTGGCACACATAATCGGCGGTCACTTGCTGGCCGTTGAGTTCGTACTGGATAACAGTGTCGCCGTTGGTAGTGACCAACTGGGTGTCGACGGTACGCCTGTGGTGGTGACGGTGGGGATGGTTGTGCTGGGCAGCCACCAGGGAGCCGGCCGTGGCCAGGGTGAGAGCAACCGAGTTGAACTTCATGGTGTTTGTAATAATTCGGAAATTGAGTCACCAGTCCTTCTGTGAGTGAACCTTGCGTAAGGTTTAACTATGATGATCCAAACCATCAGTTAGCTTGCAGGGATCAAATGAGACCATTGCAACTGGAATCAACTGTGAGCACATTGAGCGCCATGTTTATGCTCCACACACAGTGTCGCCGCATATTCACCGCAATGCAGTAACAATAACATTGGCGGTGACAGTGCAGTAATGCGACGTTGGTGGCACAATTGACCAGCGACAGTATCTTCAGGGGCCTTCCAGATCGATACTCATAGTCCAGGCAAAAAGATGTTTGCAATGAGGAACCACAGAGAAGGGTACATACATTTATGTCACTGCAAAAATCTGATGCGCGCTTCGGTCAAAATTCTGTACAGGGGTCGAAGTCGCAGAATTGCTGTTGCTGGGTATCTTATACAGGCACAAAGGCCGAGAAATGAATTATGAGAGTGTCCAAGGAGCGAATTCACGGAGGAGATTTCCAAATGAGTGTGCGAGAGAGAAACAAGTCTCTCTGGTCGGATGGGAAACTTCACAGGTCAACAAGGCGAAAGCGGAAGAAATGAAACGCTCTGGGGGAGGAGGAGGAAAATGTGGAGGACCGCGAGAAGAAGAGGGAGTTGGGAGGGAGATGAAAAGAGAGAATTAAACTCAGTCGGTCAGTGGCCCAGGGGCTAAAAGAGGGACAAGACTTGCAGACCCTTCCAGGGGGAACTAACCAAACAGAGTGAGAGAGTGTGAGTGCGCGCGTGTGGCACTGTCAGTGATGGGCAGACAGACAAAGAGAGAGCGGCAATAGTCAGAATAATAAAAAGGGGGTTCCACTCTCCAAGACTCAAGACATTGTATTTGGAGTTGTTGTTTATGAGCGTTACCATACCTTACGTACCGTACCGTCCCGATGTAGGCGTGCACTGCAGATGGGTTGACCTACCACAGCCAACGGAGTGGATATACGAGGTATAGGGGTGTGGAAACAACGCGGCGAATTGGCCAAAGGAACCCCCAGGCAAAGTCTCTGAGAATTGTAGCTGCTGAAGTGGGGGGCGACGGGGCCGCGGACGACGTGTCCACAACAGCCCAGAGCCGTGTTGGCTACGGAGTCCTGGACTAAGGAACTAATCCCTACTAGATTTCAGTACGTGACTAGTACTGCCCTGTTCAATACGTAACTCCTAGAAGACCAATTGTCTGGAACCTCGCCAATACCACGTCCAAAGAACTTGTGGTACAAAGTCCAATGGGTGGTCAAATTTCCCACCCCCCTTAGACTTCACGTCCACCTTTTTTCATGTTTGGGAGTTTCCTGTTCCTGAATGCAAGCTTGGCGGTTGCCGAAATTACTTTGGGCCTGGTCTGGCCAATCAGCACGGGCACACGAACATTGGCCGGTGGAAAATTGACTTTCCCCTCAGTCAGGTACACCAATCAATCGCTCCGGTCCTACCGAACCATTGCCACAGAGTTCACATCCAGGGAATGTCTCAAGTCCGATCATTTATGTTTGGTTGCATATTAGGGTCGGTATTATTAGCAGCTTCCTGGAGGAGCCCCCCAAGGCTGAAAAGCCTGAGGTACCTTTTTGCTACCATGGTTAGTACTTAGTTAGATGTATAAACTGTGGTCGACTGGTTCTTTTTCTTTTACTTTTTTTTCCCAAAAAGAAAACATAAATAAATAAATAATAATTTTTATTCTCCAATCGTCGACTAAAGAAGACCCAAGATTCAAACATCAAAATCACGGGGTAATTGTTTCGGTAATGATTTTGATTCTGCCTACTGCACGGCCATACCGTAGCGCAACGTGCCCGTTATTGGCTTCATTAAGGGGCAAAAGTCTGGAAGGCATCGCAGAATTCGATGCTTTTTTTTTCTATCCCATCTCTTTTGTTTTTCCTCTTCCCAAGAAAAAAAGGAAAAAGGAAAAGGAAGAACCGACCAGCCTCGACCTTCCAGCCGTATCCCCTAGCGGGTTATGTATTAATAGCCGTATGGGTAGTCATCTTACTGCAATACATACGCACCATTACCATTCTATTGCGGCACAGAGTCCACTCTGATCTGCGTTCAATGCAGACTTCCAGATCATTTTTCATGCAAAGATCGAGAAAAGAATGCACACTAAGAAAGAACAAAAAAAAAAAGATAGGAGATCCTCCTTTTCCACTGGCGCTCAATAGACGTTTTTATGGATAGACTACAGGCCGTTGCGGAGCATATACCTATTTCTCTATCACGACTACACAATGGTAAACCTCTGGCAATAGATAGTCGCCTGTGAGTGATTTTTTTGTTTTTCTTTTGAGACGCAAAATCTCCGATGCTGCACTGTCAGCCACTCATTGACCCCTATCAATTTAACAACACGAGCAATTGATTTTCTACTGACAATCGTCGAATCAAAAGAGACTCCAGTGCAACGCATCAAGCACCATCTTTTATCGATCTAGAATGAAAAGAACCCCGCATGAACACACCACACAAATACACCCTGTGCGCTGTGCAAATTACAAACAATGGGAATCATGCACGATCGATTCAGACACCTATGAAACAAGAAAGGGCTTTGGGCACATGCAGCTTGATCTCATCTAAAATAATGTAAAACAAAGCGAACCGGGCTCATAGGAATGCTATCGGCGCTGCAAGTCTCCTAGAGCGGATATTAGGTGTTTATTGTCCAGCCGTCAAATGATAGAAATATTGAATGCACGAGGGTGAGTTGCAGAAGTACGAAGGAAGATCTGGGTGCCTTGCAGAGCAGGAATGTCGATTTAATCCGACTCGCTCATGCCCTTGCTGGAACTAGGGATGGCGTTCCGACTCTGCAACTCAGGCACGACATCCTTCTTTCTGAGAACTATATCCAACCAACCCCTGCCGGGATGGGCGAGCGCAAAGGATACGCTGGGAATTAGGTAGCGGCCACATCCGTTCCTTAGTGATGATATTCCATGATCAACTGCTAAGAGGCGGCTGCTTATCGACTAGGACGAGCGTACCTGCAGATCACCTTTGAACCATGTGGCCCTGGATTCCTAGCATTCTTGGATATCATTCTTTCCAATCCCACTGCTTTGATATCCTGGGTGGTTATAGCAGCTAACTGGATACCTCAAATTCTCAATGACGTGACTTCTAGCTGTCATATACAGCCACATCATCTAGGTGATAATGGCGCAACCTTGGCTTGTTTAACCGGACTACATTCTAATCAAGTAAAACTTGGATGATTCCGCCAGCTGAAGACTGGGACTGCCCAGGCTGTCATCATTCCACTATATATTTTAGCCTTGCCATATGATGGGGAAAGGAGCTTGCCGTACGGAATATGTGTGTCTTTGCTGGAGACCGCCGATATAGTGCCAAGTCGTTCCTAAGAATCGCCGTGGGGACGGATGGATATAAAGTCGCCGAATAGACACTTACCATTCACCCTAGGCCGGTCATGTCCACTCGACAGTTACACCCAGTCACATACACGACAGGATGCGGTCAAGAGCATGAAGATCCTGCCCAGGACACACCGTTTTGGCGGCTTGGCACTTGCCAAAGTGCGATATAAGCGTTGTTTAGTCTGCGCAGCCGCTTTTCTCCGAGGAGTCGTCCCATTCCCTACGGAGTAGACTAAGTCGTGGACGTATCCATTGTCGCAATGATTTTACTTCACTAGTCTCGCTAGTCAATGGGCGAGGTATGGCCCGGTGGGATTGTTAAGGGGAAGTTCCGATTTCGTGCCCAGAATAGTTTTCTCTGTCGGCGAATCTACAGGTAATACCTACAAAAATCTACCACGTAATCGATGCTATACACGTATGCGTCATGTTCACCATTAGGCTTGAGATGACCTCCAGATTCCCACCAGTTCGGTCTCTGGAGAGATCCTATAGTAGTCCATGCAGAGATCGCAAATCAATTACGAATAACATCACACTTGCGCGGCTTTATCTTCCGTTACGTACCCCATCTCGTCCCATGGGGACTGAGGATGTTATCAGTCAGGGGTATCAACAAGCCAAGCATTTCTCTGGGACTCTGTACTAATAATTGATTATTTTTCCCATTATTCTTTACTCCATACACTCTCGTGATTCCGTGGCCGGACCATGGATACTCGGTGGCCTACAGTGGGGGTTTGTTTGGAGCGACACCTCGTACACTACACCAGAATCGGTATATTGTTATGTTCCGATTTATTTCAACATATTTTATCCCTGCAACGTCGTATTGCGGTTCTGCCTCTTGCCTTTTCTTTCTTTTTCTTTCCCCCTTTCAATTCTCTTTCCCATGCTCTTGAGGCAATATCTTTGCAGAATAACCTTCGGAGCGCCTTAGTCTATAGAGGGTGGGGGGACTAATTCTCAAATATTGACGTGTGCTCCACATAAGGGGCCGAATCGTGTCTGGTGAACTCGGCATTGATGTCCAGCCACTGCTGCAATGACACATAATTTCCATAAAATAGTTGAATCTATGAAAATATATATTTCTGGGTATACCGATTACCCTGCCCTATAGAATCAGTAGCCCATAGAATGTGCAGTACTGGGAATTAATCTTTTCCCTTAAAGTTGCTGCCAACAAGCCGAGCTTCTAGGCTCCACGTATAGACTGGATAGGCAACAGCACTTCCCTTCCTGTATACGATATGCAGTGTATACTTGGGACATTTTACTTTACTGAGGCATTTTTTCTTCCCCCTCTTCGCTTGACGGCCGGTTCATCTGTACTACCTTGCTATAGCAACGGCCTAGATACCTTTTCATTATACTCCGGGTTCTTTGGAAGCTTTGAGCTCAAAGTGTGATAGAGGTCACAAGTTACATTTTATATATGCCTACCATATCATGATTCTTTCCATTAACCCTCCAAACTAAACTGACGATCATGAAGAGTAGATATGGTGGCTTTATGCTGCCGCTTTAAGGGAAGCAAGATGGATGACTAACCGGCCCAGGTCGATGCCAAGACCGGGCAAATTTGTTCACCGCTTTCCTATGAATTTTTTTTTTATCACCATTATCGCAGACTTCGAGACGAGTCGAAATCTGCAGCAATCTACAAAAATTAGCAAAAATGGTGTCCTCGACCGCGGTCACGACCAAGGTGGCCTCTGGGTCTCCCTACCAGCTCGAGACGAGCCAGGTATGTAACCAATACCTCCCAGAGTCTACAATGACAACATGATCGCAGTAGTTAATCTGCTAGCAGGTTTCCAAAGCTTCTTCTGCGCTTTTGCGACACATCAAATCGAAGCAGTTGGACAAGGAGAAGTCAGCAACTAAGAAGACTCTTATTGGAGACAACGACGACTCCGACGATGAGACACCACTTAACAACGAAGCAATCTGGCTCGTAGTCACCACCAAGAAGCACGTTGTCGACAAGAACCGCTTGAAGCCCGGGAAGATCCGCATCCCACACTCTCTGAACGACTCACCCAATCTCAGCGTTTGCCTTATCACTGCCGACCCGCAGCGCGCGGTCAAGAACATCGTTGCCGATCCGTCGTTCCCTCAACATCTGACTTCCCGCATCGATAAGGTCATCGGTTACTCGAAATTGAAGGCTAGATACCAGAGCTTCGAGAGTCGGCGACAACTCCTGTCAGAGCATGATGTTTTCCTGGCGGATGACCGGATCATCATGCGCTTGATTAATACCCTTGGAAAGGTGTTCTACAAGTCCAGCAAGCGGCCAATCCCTGTTCAGCTCGCCGAGGTGAAGAAGGTAGATGGCAAAAGATTGAAGAAGGACCAGAAGCCGAAGTCAAAGGAGGAGGATAGCACTTTTGCTACTCCTGCCATAGTTGCGAAGGAGATCGAGAAGGCTCTCAACTCCGCGCCTGTCCAGCTGGCTCCCGCCACCACCGCCGCCATCCGTATTGGTTCCTCTAAGCTTACTTCGGAGCAGCTGGCTGAGAATGTGGAAGCTGTTGTCAAAGGCTTGACTGATAGGTTTATTTCGAAGGGCTGGAGGAACGTCAAGGCTATCCATATCAAGGGCGCCAACACTATGTCCATGCCTATTTGGTTAGCAAACGAACTGTGGGTTGAGGACGGTGACGTAATTGAGGACGCCGCCGAGGATGATGCGAAGGCCCTTGAAGGTGGCAAGAATAAGAAGCGCAAGCAGATTGCAGAGGATGAGAAGCCACTTGAAGGGAATAAGAAGGCTAAGAAGCCCAAGGCTGCTGATGAGGATGATGACGCTGCCGCAAGGAAAGAGAAGCTTCAGAAGCAGAAGGCCAAGGCCCTGGAGGATGGCAATGCCAAAACTACAGAGCCCGCTACAAAAGCTGGCAAGAAGAAGAGACAGTCGACTTCATAATCTATTACTAGTATGGTGTTCTATTATATTGTATTTGTCAATTGTAACGATGGGTTATCTGGCGGCGTACCGATGTCACGTGTGTCGATTTTTGTGATTTAGACAAAAGGCGTGTTTGCAATACCCTTTGAAGAGAAAAAAAGTTACTATTGCTACAATGCTTAGAAATTTACTGTGTAATTGGAATGTATCCATCACTATACTGATCTAAATTTCCGTATGTAGCCATGAGGAGGCACATGTCTTATACCGCCTTCAGTTAACCGAGCTCTCCGAGGATCGGCGGGTGCTTGGCGGACCGACGATAACCACCCGCCCGCCAAAAGCATCGGCAGAACTTCACTACTATGCTGTTGTACCTTCTTGTTGGCAGCCCGACAAGAGCCTAGAGCAGGTTCTCATAACTGACACAAATATATCATCATGATCCCAATCGCAAGGCATTCGGCCCTTCGTGCCGTCCGCTCGCAACTCGCCCCGCGGGCTTTCAACCAGCCGACAGCCTCTGCGCTCGCCCGCCTTCTCTCCACCTTGGCCGTCCTCGAACAGCGTGATGGCAAGCTTCAGGGCTCGTCGCTCTCCGCGATTGCGGCTGCACAAAAGCTAGGAGGACCTGTTACTGCTTTTGTGGCTGGAACCGGCGTTAAGGGAACCTCGGCTGCGGAGGCAGCTAAGATTAAGGGCTTGGACAAGGTGGTGGCCGTGGAGAGCGAGGCCTACGAGAAGGTACGGGGTTTCTATATGGCTTTGAAGAGTAGAATTGCAATGCCAGTGATCTAAACAATGTGCAACTCTAGGGCCTCCCGGAGAACTACGCTCCCCTCCTCGTCGAGAACATTAAGAAAGGCGAATATACCCACATCATCGGCGGCCACTCCGCTTTCGGAAAGAGTTTGCTCCCTCGTGTGGCAGCTTTGCTGGATGTTCAGCAAGTGTCCGATATCACTGGGATTGAAAGCGAGGATAGTACGTATCAGGAAGGCCTAGGCCGATTATGTTGTCGATGAGTCATATGCTGATGGTTGGCGCAGCTTTCGTCCGCCCTATCTATGCCGGAAATGCCATTCTTACTGTTCAATCGAGCGATCCTATCAAGGTGATCACTGTGAGAGGCACTGCCTTCCAGGGTCTTGAGACTGAGGGTGGATCTGCAGAGATTGTTGAGGGAGTCGACCCGAAGGCCCCAGCCCAGACCGAGTGGGTTTCTGAGGAGCTTGCCAAGTCTGAGCGCCCCGACCTGGGTACCGCATCTCGTGTTGTGTCTGGTGGCCGTGGCTTGAAGTCGAAGGAAGAATTCGACCGGGTGATTGTGCCTCTGGCTGATACGCTTGGAGCCGCTATTGGCGCTTCCCGTGCTGCTGTTGACAGCGGCTTCGCTGATAACAGTCTTCAGGTTGGCCAAACTGGCAAGAACGTTGCACCTCAGCTGTACCTCTGCGCGGGTATTTCCGGTGCTATCCAACATCTTGCTGGTATGAAGGATAGCAAGGTTATTGCTGCTATCAACAAGGACCCTGATGCTCCTATCTTCCAGGTTGCGGATGTCGGTCTTGTCGGTGACCTTTTTGAGAAGGTTCCCGAGTTGACCGAGAAACTGAAGAACCAGGCTTAGTTTAGCTCGTCACTCTTGTGTTCTTGTATCATGATTTCCTAGTTGTCTCATGCGAGGTCGATTATACAGTATACCATACATCTTTTAGCGCTAGGAAATTTCAATTAGACTCCTAGTTCAGTATCCTATACTTGTATCATCTTCATGAGCATCATCATCAGTGCGTTCGGCGCAGGAATGATGTACTTTGCACTGGAGCTATCTGCCTTTAGCTGAGTAGTTAAATGTTTCCATTTAACTACTCAGCTAATCTCATCCTTATTGTATTGAGGAGACTGATACTAAGATGGTGGGGAGAACATTACACGGCCATTAACAAATTGATTATTATAAAAGTAGAACAGTACTAAAGTACGGAGTATCCGGGGATCCAACTTCAAAGCTGGACAATGTAGTGAGTGACGTGACATACTAGCCCTGCCAGGTACACTTGACAACCCATTTTAGGGTTAGCGCGAACTCGCCGGGCGCGTCGGGCGCGTCGCATCACCCACTCCATCTAATCAGTCCACAGATAGGTACGGCATAGAAGATCCAGGATATACCCATTGAGTAATACGGAGTACAGCACTATCAAGATACGAAATGTCCCCTTGAACGCTTTAATGACATCGCCGCCATCCTCGTTTCCCCCCTCGTTTGACCCCGCCTTCCATCTCCACTCTCAGGGACCAGACGATATAGATATACTCCCGCCCGACGAATCTTTCTCCGACGAATTCGAAGCTATACATCTGCAGCGACAGGAAAATATTCGCAACAAGGTCGTCATTCTAGACCGGGCTTGGAATTTATCGGATGTGTTTCGCAGTGACGAAGATATAAGACCTGGTATGCAGTCGCATAGATAAGAGACATGAAGCATTCTGACGATGATATAGAAACTCCGACGAAACCCAAAAGATCACAATTAAGAAACGTGAACTCACCCAGCTGTCCCTTGGTGCTTCTACCGTCTTCGCCTCCCATTGCCAAGATGCCGTTTATATCGTCACCGGTTGCCTTCCCATCGAGTGCCCCCTCACCGACGGACTCTCAAAAAAGAAAAAATGAAGACACTCCGTCGGCCGAACCCAAGCGGCAAAAGATGATGGGAGGGTTTCTGGACGACGACGACGATGAGGAGGATGATATGGACGCATTTGGAGAAGCCCATCTAAGGAGCCAATTCGAAATCGAAGATCAACTTATCGATCAACCGCCTGCTGCGCCAACAGAACCCGTCAAGCTTTCGCAATTAGCTCAGACTTCTACATCTACACTTGATTCAATACCCGCTCCAATTACGTTGCCTATGTCGTTTAGTTCATCGCGGAGGGGGCCATCGATTCAAATAAAGACTTGCTCGGGCAAGACACACAACGTCTCATTAAAGAAGAGTACAGCCCCGGTTTCTTATGAGAGGCTTGTTGCCAGTCGCTCTACCACGGCTCCTGGGAGAGCTCAAAAGAGTTATTATGGTATTGATATACATAAGCTCATGGACGAAGCTGCGCAGGAGGCTGCGCAATCAAATTCGTCCCAGCTACCACCTGCTCCTGCGGTGCAACCGTCAATTGAAACTGCGGTGGGAAATCAGAGTGATATGAAGAAGGCAACGATAATGTGGACTGAGAAATATCGAGCTCGTAGATTTACCGAGCTCATAGGAGATGAACGAACGCACCGATCTGTCATGCGCTGGTTAAAAGGGTGGGAATCTATCGTTTATCCCAACTTGGCTCGATTGAAGCCAAAGAAGACAGGCAATGAAGAGGAACGATCTCACCGAAAGGTGCTGTTGCTGTGTGGTCCTCCGGGTCTTGGAAAAACGACACTGGCCCACGTTTGTGCCAAACAAGCAGGCTACGAAGTACTGGAGATCAATGCCAGTGATGACAGAAGCAAAGATGTCGTGAAAGGGAGGATTAGAGATGCACTCGGTACGGAAAACGTGAAAGGAATGAACGTTGAAGTAGGCGAGCAAAAGGTTCGGAAAGCTGCGCGGCCAGTCTGCGTCGTTGTCGATGAGGTAGACGGTGTTGTTGGCGGATCTGGTGGTGGTGGCGAGGGAGGTTTTATGAAAGCATTGATTGATTTAGTTCTTCTTGATCAGAGGAACTCGTCACGCTCATCCGAACAGAACGCCACTATCAGAAAAAAGAAAGGAGACAAATTTCGGTTCCTGCGACCCCTCATTTTGGTTTGCAACGATGTTTACCACCCCAGTCTGCGGCCGCTTAGGGCATCATCTATTGCCGAAGTGATCCACGTTCGCCAAGCACCTTTGGAGAATATGGTTTCGCGGATGAGGAGTATCTTCAATATAGAAGGGATCCCGGCCGATAACGACGGAGTGAGGCGGTTATGCGAAGCTTCATGGGGGGTTGCCCGAAGGAAGCAAGCCAACTCCAAGAACAGCGGAACGGCTGAGGGCGATATCCGAAGCGTACTTGTAGCCGCAGAATGGGTGGCACATAAGCTTAAATATGAGAGCTCAGAGTCTATGCGACTGACAAGAAATTGGCTTGAGCAAAACATTCTTAGCGACACCGCAGGGAGTAATACATTTTTCAAAGGCCTAAACCGCGGTGGCGTGCGTGACATCGTTGATCGAGTTTTTACAGAAGGGGCTGGATTTTCGGACGCACCTGTTGGCGTTGAATCCTTTCATGATCCTTATGATAGAGACGCGAAGGCCCCCGTGGGTGTTGCCGACCTGAAGAAACGTCATGCTATCAACAGACTACGTGAAATGGTAGATGCTAGCGGCGATTATGACCGCTGCGTCACAGAGTGTTTCACTTCATATCCTTTACAGACTTTTCAGGACGACACATTTCTATCCAAACCCAATTCAGCATACGACTGGCTGCATTTCCACGATACCATCTCGTCTCAAGTTTTCTCTAACCAGGATTGGGAACTCACGCCATATCTCAGCCAGTCCGTTTTGGCATTCCATCATCTATTCGCCTCCACCTATGGCAAGCGCAAAGTAAACGAGGCCGATGAAGAGGACGGCGAGGAGCATCCTTTTTCTGGGCCTAGGGCAGAGTTTGCAGCTCTCGAAGCTACGAAACACAATCGTGCCGTTGTCACCGGTTTCCAATCTTCGTTGTCTGCTCCGCTCTTACGGCTTTTCCGAGCCACGGATTGTTTGGTCACAGACCTCGTCCCCAACCTCATGCGGATGCTATCGCCTGATGTGAAACCAGTAGTTGTACGAGGGAGTGGAGAACAGAAGAGCACTGCCAGTGTACGTAAAGAAAGCGAGCGGGCTCTCGTGCAGGCAGCCGTCCGCGTCATGGCCGGGCTAGGTGTGACCTTCGAAAAAGTGCGAGTGGAGGGCGAAGGTGGTGCATACGGGGGATGGGCATATCGCATGGAGCCGTACGTTACTCTGGAACCTTGAACATGACTTGAGACTGACCACCCAGCAGGCCATTGGATTCACTCGTATCGTTCTCAAAGGTCAAGGGACACGCGTCAGGGAACACTAGCGCTGCACCAGTTCGCTACGCCGTTCGCCAAGTCCTCGACCAGGAGTACCGCAAACAGACGGTGCGAAAACAATCCGAAGCATTGACTTCATCTACAGTTCCCCAGAAATCAGCGCGCAAGTCTGCAGACGGCCAGGCGCATGGCGATGAGCAAGAGCCCAAGAAGTCAAGCCGAGAAGCCGGTGTCAAACGCGACTTTTTCGGACGAATCATCCGCGAGCCTTCGCCGCAGCCTGCAGACCCGAATGAGAACCTGGCGCAGAATGAGGCTTCAAAGGCAGGCAGAAAGGCTTGGGTAACGTATCACGACGGGTTCTCCAATGCGGTGCGCAAACCCATCTCGATGAGCGAATTGCTTGCGGGATTATAGTCGTGGATACCTAATATTATACTTTAATTTAGTATGAAGACATGATTGCATATTCCTTTATTCCACAGCTCAAGTGTAGTTAATCACCTTGTTCTTTGATTTACGTGCTGCCCGGCTGCCTACCGAGGTCGGTCTACTCAATTACCACATTACGAAAAGAAGCCAAGATCCCAAATCCCAAGTTAGACCATCTATTATGTCCCATTAAGCATTCAGCCCTATCTAAATAACCGATTACCAGTTCCCAATACCTACAAACCAGGGCAAAATATCCAAACAGCCCTATCTCAATTCCAAACAAAGCGCAAATGATGCAATATAACCATCGTCAAAGCCAATACCGCGCCTAGACGCCATTTTGCCCCAAAAGATAACAAAAGCGAGACCCATAGATGCACCGGGCAGGGTAACGTCATCTCAACCAAGCCGTCATGTATTCCCAGCATTAGTGTTCGATCCCCCTTTCCACCCCTTGATCGATATGATATATCTGATTGCCCCCCTTCACCGCAACGCGAGATACGTAGCGAGGACTTCATAGCTTATTTCTTTCTTGGTGTGGCGATTGGTGCGCTTTGGCTTGGAGGGATTTGTGCTTGTTTTTGCGTCGGTTGTATTCTTGGAGGAGAACCATTTGTTCTTGGTGGGTTCGGGGCCGGTGCCCTTTAGGGTTGTTGTTGTGGAGAGGAAGGAGTGGGTTGAGGCCGAGTCATCTGTGACTGTGGCAGTGGCCGACTTTGTGATGTTGGAGGACATTGTTGCTTTAGAGGGAGAGGTAATGGATGATATGGCTTGCAGGAATGGAGGACTGTTTGTTGGTTTGGTTTGGTTTGTATAGTTCGGAATGGAGGCTTGCTGTATGTAGATATAGATAGGGAGGTAGTAGATATAGTAGTGAACTCGATGGAAAGTGACTCAATTATCTTTTGCAAGTGAACTGTAATCAGTGAATGATAGATAGAGCAGTGGAAGGCAAGAAGATTCTTCCAGGTCTATATATACCCAACTTTCTCTACCTCATACATTCTCCCTCCTATTCCGTCGTATTCGACGTTACTCCGACGCCTTACGGAGTACCACAAACCCATAGAAAAAAAAAAATTCCAGGCAATCGACCCACCCAGGATAGGTTGTAAGGCTTAGCAATCCCGTCCAACCAAGCGCATCATCCATTCTACCCTTCCGAAGATTATCCCCACCAGCCAGGTGGTGCCCGATGGAGTGGAAATGCCAGAGATGCGTCATGGCGGCTCGTGTGAACCCCACACGGCCAGTCTATTCTAGTATACCAAGAAGCGAAGGGCGCAATCAACACGAATACATTTTAAAGTCGGTGAACCTTTTTTGGGCCAGAATCCGAATTACTCATATCTCAGGCTTGCCAATTAGCTTACCAAAGGTAGTTTTTCGTATTTCGTTTGCTTTGTTTGATGGTTCGGTTTGGCGGGAACTGCTTTTGGTCAGTCAGGGTTCGGGCTGGCCAGTCTCGTTTCACGTCGACCGTCCTTTTGGAGTTTAATTTTTAAAATATCTATGGCATTAGAAATCGTATTTCACAGACGGGTCTCGACTCCACCTGCTGAGAATTTGAATCTAGAGTCATTCCCGTCAAATTTAGGATAGGGTTAGGTCTGCTGACGGCCATTGGTGTAAATTTTTCGTGACTCCGATGCAAGACTTTCTGAGCTCCGTGGAGCGATCTGTCAGAACCTTGAATTGCAACATATGACGGCATTCATGGCAATTACTGGATATGTTTTGCAGGCATCTAGACTCCGATCTGTATACAATAATTTGTATAAAAGGGATACTATACTAGGAATGGGTGGTTCTATTCCGATGTACGGGCAGTCCGAACTCCGACGTGTCCATTTTTAGTCCGATGGAAATCAAACGTTTCCGAATTGGTATACAAGATGAGGACCTGTCGGGATCAAAGTAGATGATATCAGACATGAAATGCAAATTCAAGATGATGTGATGTGTGGTGATCAATAGAGAAAGGGAGATCACATCACCACCGCAAATATGTCCCGATCGGGAAGCTGTACTACTACTAGTCTATGATCTCTGCAAGATCTCCTATGGTTAGGGCTCATCTCATGCAGTATGCATTATATAGCATGTGTCAGTGAGTCACTGCATTGAACTTATTCATGGCATAAGCTTTCTATGTGTGGTTATAATATAATTTATATCATATAGTTTTGTGATTGATTGAAATATCACACAGACTACTATTCCAGTGTTTATCCGAATTTATATATATCCATCTCTAGCCCTCTCAACTCAACAACGATATCCCTCCTTTTACTTTAAAATATCGCTAACTGTACAACTATTTGTTTCACATGAAAATTCCTCAGACAAACTCACTATTCTAGGGATTACTTCGGATTTAAGCTAATGCCTAGAGTGACAAGTTGAATGTCAAGGAGACTATCACCAAGCCGCCTCGCATATTATCTCCAAAGGAGCGCGTCACGCCTCGAACACGCGACAATGTCAACTTCTGAGAAATAAGAACATATGAAGTTTCGTTCGGCAATTAAGACGGCGAGTAGCTTTTTCTTTGAGTTCTAAATAGCATGCGGCTGAATATTTGGAGTTTCCACGGTGCAGATGTTGATTACAAAGCAAATGGGGACAAGTCAGATCAATTGACCATTGAACTCAACGACAACCACAACAACCGGTTCGGCTCCGTTCGATAGCATTCGATGTCCGAGTTGGAAGCATGTCCTGCCTCGATTAACTGGCCCATACAGATCGCCATCATGATTGATTCAACCTAAAGGCCAAATATCTATGCTGCATTTGTCAGCGTACGGGGTTAGGTGGTGCTTGGCACTCATCCAGATTCATTATTTAGAGCGCCGGATCCCTCACAGATCCCTGGTCAACTACTGCAACACTGCTACCTAACCTTGCTCTTCTTTAACATCGAACCAATCATTTCGATTACTTTCGGCACAATACCTAGTCAAAATGTCACTTAAGCCTATCATCCTCCACGGCCATGCGGCAGGTCCAAACCCCTGGAAGGTAGCCATGCTCCTCAATGAACTCGACATCCCCTACGAAAACAAGCACCTGCAGTTCGAAGACATCAAGAGCGAGCCCTTCTTCAAGCTCAACCCTAACGGCCGTGTCCCGGCCATCGAGGATCCGAACACGGGAATCACTCTCTGGGAGTCTGGTGCTATCCTTGAATACATCGTCGAAACCTACGACAAAGAGAAGAAGTTCAGCTTCGAGGCCGGTACCCCGGAGTACTTCCACGCCAAGCAATGGCTCCACTTCCAGATGTCCGGTCAGGGCCCGTACTTCGGCCAGGCAGTGTGGTTCACCAAGTACCACGTCGAACCGGTCGAAAGCGCTCGGGTGCGTTATGTCAATGAAGTCCGTCGTGTGTCGGAAACGCTGGACAAGGTTCTCGCAGACCGCGAATATTTGGTCGGCGGAAAGTACAGTTATGCGGATCTCTCCTTTATTCCCTGGTTCGGCATTATCCCCTGGATCACCGGGGATGTGATTAACCTGGAGAAGGACTTCCCTCACCTCAATGCCTGGCTGGAAAGAATTAGGGCTAGACCTGCCATCGCCAAAGCGCTGGCTGAGAAGGCCGAGGCAACATCGAAGATGGCAAAGCCTTGAACAGGAAGGGCGAGGTGATTGCGCAGCAGCCCGATTCGAGAGAGCTAGCCGGTCCTTGCTCAATGGACGGGATGTGCGATTTGTATTTAGAATGGGCTATCTTTAGTCTGAGATTAATGGTCATGATATGGTTAGCAATCGAGGCATTCATGGGATTTCGTAAAGGTCCGGTCAATTTTCTTGCTAGAGAATAAATGATGTAAGATAATCTGGATGTGATAGTTTGATTCGAGAAATTCCATGATTTCGACTGGTATTTAGTACATGGAGGAGCTTGATTGTGGGGAGGGAAGGAAGAGACAAAATGCATGCCCTGGAACGAACGTGGTGAGTGGAGGGGAAAAAGGAACCGAGCCTGCGAGGCCTCTAATAATAGGCACTTAGCCCGCTATTGCCTCAGAAGGGTTTCTATGATAATCAACGAACAAATATCTCTACAAACAGATCTTAAGATCTTAAAGGCGTTTTCTTCCCACTCTTTTTAGATAGACTAGAGGTCGCCAGTCTAAATACGGGAAGATCTCCAGTTGGTTCCACCCCTCAAGGGTCCTGCATTTCCAGTGTTTGACTCGCCAATTTTACCTATACTCAGAATGCCATTCTGCAACCCCATTGAGACAGCTATATTCGGGCTTGGTACGTTGGTAAGCAGGTGCGAAAAAAGATCCTATTCGGTACCGTCATCGAGGCTTACCTCAACGCTCTCAGGTGGAAAGTTTGATTTCGCATGCTTGCTTGCCAAACTGATGACATCGTAGACGGAATCAAGGAGTCTTATTCTATCGAGGAACCTCGGTCTGGACCCTGAAGCACTGGCTCGAGATACAGGTGGTTACCTAGGGTTACATGTAAGATGCGGCGACCAGTGATTGGGAGTGTTTAAGAAGAGGAGAAGTTAGGGCTGTATACTGGCAATTGCTGGAAAATCCGCCATGGTTGCGATTTACTAAGCAGGTCATGTTAGCAAAGCTGCTGGGTTGCTCTGTAGCTTGGCTGATTGCATGTCAGGGGTTGCAAAACGTAAATTAGACAGAAAACTAATCAAACACCAGGTGAGTATGGGAATAATTTGGATAGCCAGATCCAGCTGGGGAACATAGACACATATTATAGGGGAGAAGCGAGACACCCCTCCTCCTCGCGTAATTCTCAGCAGACGTGTTGGCGATGCAGGAAAGCTGAGGCATGGCCTGTAAAATGGTAATTCTCGGCATCCCTATGTTTACTTGGTTAGTGATTGCTCACTCCGTCTAGATGCCCTTGTTAGCCACTACTATAGAACGTTCGATATTGCGGATGCAAGGCTAGCCTGGCCAGTTTCTATGTACGTTTCAGTCTAAGATATACGTCGTCAATAGCTGGAGTATGGGAGCTATGTAGGAGAAGCTGACGATATAATAGCGTCCGGAGTCAATGTTAGTATGGGAGGGTGCGCAATACCAAGGCGCAGAAAACATCAAGACAGCCTTGACCGTGAGTGTCATGCCCCGAAAGGATTGCGTAATGAATCGTTTATATCTGATTCGTCACTTTGCCATTAGAAACCCGAGTTAAAGGATGTAAAGACTCAGGTTGCTAGCATAGACGCTACACCATCTCCTCAATCAGGTGTGCTGATGACTGTTATTGGAAATCTTGCCCTAAGCGACCCTTATGCTAAATTTGACTCTAACTGATGCATGGTCTTGGACAAAATAGTTCGACGGTGATTACGACAAGCCATTCAAGTTTTCGACGACTTTCCACCTGCAATCTCTCCCTGGACAGCCTGGTGGAGTTTTTTATCTATAGTCAAACCTTTAAACCCTTTGATAAACTGTACCTCTAACCTGCCAGTGGTACATATAGTGAAAGGGATTATTCATCTTGTCCCGGGACAGGACCTAGGGCCCCTCTAAATAGAAATTACCATGTATAATAGAGAGCTTTCCTAGTCTTCTGTCTGTTAGATCATAATTCTATTTACATGATCCTTGCACAGGGATTTAGGAGTTTACAGCTTATCAATGGAAAAACAATACTTCGTTTATTACTGAATACTTGTTTATAGTAAGTGTTATTTTTTTCATAGGAGCGTTTAAGCGTATAATAACCAACCAACAGGGGCTACTGTGGTCGTCCGTAACTATGGTCTTGGCATTCACACTCACTGACTTTGATTTCAAAATAGAATACTCCTCCGCCAAGGGAAAAGAATGAAAGTGCTGAATTTCGTTTCAACTTCTTGATTAGATCTATTCTCGACACAACTCTCACCTTCTCTACCATCATTTCAGGGCGGCATCGCGCGTCTTCCAGTACTACTAGGTACGAGGTAGAGATATACACCACCCGAAAGCGGTTTAGCGCGTCTGAGGCTCTTGGCGCGAACTTTTGGAGCGACGGCCGTGTCGCGACAGTTGCACCGCTACTGAGCCATCCTTCTCATCGTCACCTCTCTCTGCTTCTCCCCGTTTGGTGTCACTCCCGCTTTTTATACCGAAGGTCCAGCTTGCCACGCTTACTGATAAACCAGTTGATTCGGGGTTGCATCTGCACCCTGTCATCCCCTCCATTGCCTTTCTAAGCAGAGACCCCTGCTCCGCTGCCTGCGACCTCCGTATCTTTCTATCATCACTACTAGTACAATATGGATGAACATAGCGTCGTTTCTAGCGGTGGTATCGATGATATTCACTCCGCGACAGCAGCCCAAGATGCCCCAGGTGAAGTGATCAATCCCTCCGGTGGGTTTTGCCTCTCCCCTGACAGAATGCGGGTTCTGCCAACATTCGCAAAATCTTATGCTCCGAATCGCAGTCGCGTCAAGAGTTCCAAGGAAATAACATTTGAAATTCCCAGGCACTGATAATTCTTTAGATGCTCCGGCCTCACCAAAACCTCACAACACCGAAGGCGAACAGGAGGATGAGGAGATGGGCGGCACAGAGACTGAACCAAAGAAAGAAAGCGAGGGCGCTGAAGAAAATGCCGACGGCACCGCGCAGTCCGGTACCGAAGGTGCTACAGAAGACCAATCTGGACAAGGCAAGTCGTCGATCGAATCTTCGGCGCGCTCACATCTTGTTTCGCAAACACATGCCATCATTCTTCCCAGTTATTCCACATGGTTCGACATGCACACGGTTCATCCGATCGAGAAAAAGGCCCTCGCGGAGTTTTTTAACGGCAGAAACCGGAGCAAGACTCCCGCAGTCTATAAAGATTATCGGGATTTCATGATCAACACCTACAGGCTGAACCCTATTGAGTATCTTACAGTCACCGCATGTCGCCGCAACCTTGCCGGAGATGTGTGTGCGATTATGCGCGTTCACTCGTTCTTAGAGCAGTGGGGCTTGATTAACTACCAAGTGAGTAATGTTTTTATGTCAACTCTGACCCATATTCTAACACACATCCAAGGTTGATCCCCAAACACGGCCGTCCAATATCGGACCTCCCTTCACTGGTCATTTCCGAGTCATTGCCGATACCCCACGTGGCCTTCAACCGTTCCAGCCTGGACCAAACCATTTCATCAAGCCCGGAAAGCCTCTACCGGCCACTGAGCGTGCGGCTTCAGCTACACCAGCCTCAAAGGCCGATCTCAACCTCGAAATACGTCGCAATGTCTATGACGACAAGGGCAAGGAGATTACCCCCGCTGCTGAAGACAAGGAGAAGCAGACAAACGGCGACGGCTCCACCAATGGTGCCACGGGCGACTCGGTCAAGGCGATGGAAAGCGCTTCCAAAGAGCCCCGAAAGAAATTCCACTGCTTCTCCTGTGGTATCGATTGCACTCGACTCCGATTCCATTATGCGAAATCGACCCCAGCCACTGCTAACGCGTCCGCTCCGGATTCGAAGTATGATCTCTGCCCTAACTGCTTCCTACAAGGCCGCATGCCCTCCAGCCATAGCGCTTCAGACTTTGTTAAGCTCGAAGACAATGCGTACTCCATCATTCCTGACAAGGATGCTCCATGGTCTGACTCCGAACTTGTGCTGCTCCTTGAAGGCCTCGAGAATTTCGATGAGAACTGGGAGCAGATCGCCAACCACGTCGGCACCAGAACGAAGGAAGAGTGTGTTATGAAGTTCCTGCAGCTTGAGATCGAGGACAAATACGTGGAAGAGTTGCCTGATATGAGGACCGCTGGTGGACGGGACCCTATCAGCCAGGCTGAGAATCCAGTTCTGTCGGTGGTCGCCTTCTTGGCCCAGATGGCAGAGCCTGCCGTGGCTGCAGCTGCAGCTGGCCGCTCCGTGGAGGAAATCCGCAAGGAACTCCGGAAGCAGCTTGAGAAGGGTACCGAGAAGAGTCAAGACAAGGGCAAAGAAAAAGAGGGATCTGGAGTGAAGACGGAGGATTCCATGGATGTGGATACCTCTGCCGTTGAGGTTGTGGAAACTTCTGATAAACAGTCTAAGGCTTCGCTCCCCACAGTAGCACTTGCCACCTCAGCAGCCCGTGCTGGCGCCCTTGCCTCTCACGAAGAACGGGAGATGACCCGCCTGGTCTCCGCCGCTGTTAACGTCACACTGCAGAAATTCGAAATCAAGCTGCAGCAATTCAACGAGATGGAAGAGATCATTGAGGCTGAACGCCGGGAACTTGAACTGGCTCGCCAGCAGCTTTTCCTTGACCGGATGGCCTTCAAGAAGCGCGTGAAGGAAGTCCAGGATACTTTGCAAACCGTTAGTCTGCAGGGACCCGGCGAAGACTCGAGCAACCTTCTTGGCGAGGTTGCAACGACGGGAATCGGGAACCGCTTCAACTTCCAGCCTGCCGGTACTGACGCACGGGCTGGTGTACAGCCTTTGAGTGCGGAGGGAGGTGCTGACTATAAAACCCTGGACCTGTAATGGGTGAATGGCCCTCCAATGGCATGCATAAATGAAGAACATTTTGAAAAAAAAATATGAACTATATTTCCTCACGATGCAACAGGGAGGTTAGCAGGTTAACATTATAATATCCATGTATTGTACCATAAATATCCTAGGGCCAAAGGGCCAGATACCAGGGCAAAAAGATCTGAGGGGAACTCGCCGGGGCTGTTTGGGCGATGGATTGATGGATGAATGATTGGGGTTTGGGTTTACTAGGTATGATTGATTGCTACTCAGCTAGGAAAAGGCGCAAACTGTTTTGGAGTTTAGAGTATCTGTCTGCGTTCAACTTTTATCTCAATCTGATTGTTTGATTAAAGGTGAAATGAAATTGTTGAATTGTTATTTTTTATGCCAAGCATGTAGTGACCAAGATAATACAAAACATCTATCATACAAAATGCCTGAGATGGTGACATCGGCTGTATGGTATATAGCACGGTTAGATTTTTGATATGTTCAATCACTGGTCCAGTCAGTTGGAGTCATCGGCTGCGAGTATAGAGGCATGCCGTCGTTATCGTCCTGTTCTGAGGACAGGTATCTTCTGAGTGCGAGAGGAAGGTCGTCGTCCGAACTGGAAGAGTTGTCTTCCTGCTTAGGCTCGGGTTTTATACTACGGCGGGTGAGTATGGGGGATCGGTAGGCGGGTTTGATTAAGGGTGAGGGTGGTTCTGAGTCGTCTGTTGCTCTCTTGTTTGGTGCTTGTTTTATTTGAGGTTCGGCGTCGGACTCTCTTAAATGGGAGTCTTCATCTTGCGGGATAGGTTTGTCTTGATCTGGTGCGTCCATTTCCATATCTTGGCTGTCTTCACTTGGGTTTATGTCCTCAGTAGGTTGTACATATTCACCGGAGGTTGGATCGGCATAAACTTCGTCAGTTGGCTTGCCATGACCATGTTCTGAAGGTGACGGGTCTCGAGAGCTGTCAATGCGTCGCCGTTTTCGTCGCATCTCTGATATCTCTTCATAAATATCATAAACTTCATGTCCGTATTCTTCCCAATCGCTGTGATATAATGTACTTTCACGCCAATCGACAAGTTCTTGTTTCGATTTGCGCTCACCGGTTGGTTTGCGTGTTTTGCTGTTTTGACTTTCTTCCTTGATGGCAACGAGAAAAGACGGTGCGGGTCTGTCTAAGGCTTCCCAAACTTCTAGCTCTCCGAGACAACTGGCCTTCTGGTCTTCTTGTTCGGCGTGTTCATCTTCAATATCTAATGGAAGTTCCTCGTCTGAGAATTCCGGTGATGGGGGTGCCGGCGGGACTGGGGAACGTCTGGGCTCGAATTCACTTCTACTCTCATCGTCGTCTTCACCACTGTCTGTTTGTTCGCCGTCTGTCTCTCCCCAACGTCTGCTTTCTGATCTGTGTCTGGATGTGCTCCGATTCGACTCTGCGTCAATTGCGACCTTTCCAGACAACATATCTTCTACCTCATCATGGTTGAGACGGACTGATTTCCACCCTTTCCGATGTCGAGAATCTTTAACTTCTAAGCTGCATCGTCGTGCCAGGCCAGTCCAAAAATCGTATCCATCTCGTTTCATCTTCAACACGTCCAGCGCAGTCCTGATGTCTCGGGACTTGACTACCTTAGCCTTGATATTACCCGTTTCCCTCATATTGCGTAGCCGTGACATGGCGAAAAAGAGAGCCGACTGGATCAAACGGCGCGTCACACTAATAGTCAAGGCATAAAACTCCGCCAATGCCTCAGCGGTCATAGCAGGGGACTCGCCCGCGTAGGCTACATTCACCCAATTGTCCTCGAATCTTTGACCCCCAAAATTCATAAAGAAGCGTTCTGAAAGCCGGATCCATTTCGGGACGTTGAGTAAACCAGCTGTATGATAAACGCTCGAGCCGGCCGCCGGGTGACTCCCACCTTGCGACTCAATTTCTTCTACCAGCTCAGCTTTTTCTCGATCGATAACCCACATATCGCGATGTTCATGTCGTCCGGCAACATTTTCATCCTGTTCTTCCTTGAGCGCTACCAGCTCAGCATAGTCGTCCAGCATATCGCAGCATTCCCCGCTTAATTCCTCCGCCGCAGGCACATCTCCTAGCACGATTGTTCTACTATGCCGATCCTTCAGATGCTGCCATTCCAGCCCGCGATGCAGAAGCCGGAGATATTCCTGAACCTCCAGCTCTGATTTTGTGCCAATAGCGTGGGCGATATCCGCGATACCATCCTTGCCTTTTTTATCGAGGACGCTGAAAAATATTTCCTTCTCTTTCGGCGTCCAGATCACGATCCCCGCTTGGGTTGATTGGAAACGTCCGGAACCGATCTTCGTCTCGGATGTGAGCTCGTCAGTTGTTCGTGCGAGGAGATCGGAGTACGCGCCTACTGACTCTTGGCTTAGCGACGTCTGTAAATGCTCCAGCATCTGCACGCGAGAGGGCCGTTTCGGTGCTTGCGCCAGTCTATATGAGGAGTCCCCATTGAGCTGGGTGAAGGAGGAGGACAGTCTGGTCTTGCGACTCAGCGGAGACGAGCGAAGCACTCTGGACGCTTCGTTTCCGGTATCGATATCGGAATCGGATGCTTCATCGTCTTCCTCTGGCTCGTAAAGGCTTGAACTGCTCATTGTCGGGTTGGTCCAGAGGGGTACACCATCGACATGGACTCTGGGGAGATGGCGAAAACATGCCCGGCATCGACCGATTAATTGAGCATAGTACAGAGTACAAGGCAGGATGTGCAAAACCTTCTGGAAAAGCAATGAGAAAAAGGTGATAGCTTGAGGGGATCCGTAGAAATATTTCTCTGATAAGAAGGAACGTTTGCACTGTTTGCTTCTCCGCTGGACTTATCGGGAACTAACTTTTTCTCACTGTGCATAGCGGCTCTGCTCCAGCCGTACAGCTTAGTGTATATATACATACTAAATAGGATTCGGTGAAATAGGTAAAGGAGGTTGCTGACCTGCCATATAATAAAGAACTGTAATATATTTTTTTTTTTTAATTTACTGTCCCCTCTTGTATAACTAGTAGAGTAGCCAGTGGAGCCAGGAACCTAGAGTTGCTCATAAAGCAGGTATTCAACTATTATGCATCGAAGATATGGTCAGCGGCACAACGATTATGTATCTTTCTTATTCTTGTTTAATTTATATTATCAGCAGACCGGCCGCGCGAAATGAGGGAATACAGCCTGCCATATTAATGATCTACAAAAGAGGAAAATATAGTACAATAATCTCACATCAAAACAGGCCCAACTTGCACTTTCTCCCTTGCGCGTAACTCTTCAAGCTCCCTAACCCTCTCCTCTTCCTTCTTTCTTCGTTCAACCCGCTTCTCGAACCTCTTTTTGCCCCCGAACTTCAACTTTGTTATTAGATCCGTTGCCTGGCCCCTCGTCAGATTCTCTGGCCGGAGCGTCTCCTTCCGCAACTTGGCTTTGTTTAGGAAGGTCAACTGCGCTGAAGTGGCGGGACGGCGCCGCCAGGGCTGCAAAGCGGAGATATACCGCTCTTCGAATTCCGATGCAGCGAAGGTATCGGCTGCATGGACGGCTGATTCGAGGTCAGGCCCTGTCGCAATTAGACGGGCACGGGTATACTGAGTTGTTCCTATGGGGGATGTGAATTTTTTGACGTGGTGGACGTTCCATGCGGGTGATTGGGTGTTAGCTGGCGAATGTTGGGACGTGAGACCAGGATCGGGAGATTTCTCGATTGTGATCCAGCCTGTTGCCTCGGAGAGGAGGTATTTGTTTTCTCCGGTGCGGACCCAGGCGTAGTGGCTCAGGGAACGGATGTGTTTTTCGGATTTCATGTCGAGAATGAGGTCGTAGATTGTGTCGTACTTGGTGAAGGTGAGGTTGACGTCGTCGAATGTATCTGGGTCTTGGGATTGGTCAGGGTCTAGGTCTGTGTATTGGGGTTCGTACTTTTTCTTTTTCAGCTCTTTCCCGTTGGCTTTGTCTAGGATTTCGTCTGGGTGTAGGCCGAATAGGGTTGGCGTTGAGAGAACGCCGGTTCCCAGGGTAGCGACCATGTCGATGATGTGGCAGTCTTTTTTGCCCGGATGTAAACGTAGTCCTCGGCCGACCATTTGAATGAGAAGGTTGCGGGATCGAGTCGGCCGCGCGAGTAATACACAGTCGATGTTAGGGATGTCGGTGCCTTCCGTGAAGAGGCCGCAGTTTAGGAGAACCGGATATTCCTGGTTTCTGAAGCGGTGGAGCTGGTCGTCGCGTACAACCTTAGGTGTCTTGCCCGTGAGATACCGAGCATCGATGCCGGCCGCACGAAACGCCTCAGTAAGCTGTTTGGTATGCTCGATATCAACGCAGAACCCCAATGTCGACTTGCACTCCTGCGCATTAGCTAGCCACGCCCGCACGGTTATGTCGTTGGTTCGATCTGTATTCACTGCCTTGGAAAGTGAACCGATGGCAAAGTCACCGAATTTATCTTTCTTCACACGAGAGAGGTTCGCTTCCGATTGCACAGTAGTGAATACAGCATTGGCTAGCCATTCCTCATCAATCATGTCCATGTAGTCCTTATGGTAGACGATATGGTCAATGGCTGCGCCTAGCTTCAATCCATCCGCGCGCGATAGCGTTGCCGACACGCCGACCAACACCGGCGAGTCGCGCGATGCCTCCTTCAATTCAAAATATTCGAGCACTTCTCGGTATGACGGCGCAACTATATGGTGAGCCTCATCCACTAGGACCAGCTTGAATTGCTTTGGATCGAACTTGGTTATGCGGTCGCCAGTTGTCAAGCTCCGCACCGATGCGATGACGATGTCTGCGGCTGGAGAAGCTTTACTGGTGCCCATTTCAATATCGACGGTTCGATCGGGGTAGGCAAGTCGGCAATGCCGGGCGGCCTGTTCGACAAGCTCTCGTCGATGGACGATAATCAACGTTTTGTTGTCCGTTTCATTTCGCGGGGGTATACGGCCGATCAACTGCGTGAAGATTACCTGGGAGAGAGAGGTATTCAGTTAGCAAAGTCCGAGCCCACATACTGTGTAGTCCGTACAAACCGTTTTGCCAGCCCCCGTCGCCAATGAGACTCCGAGGCGCTTATGGCCCTGATCCAGGTGGTCAAGCACCGACTTGATACATTCTTCTTGGTAACCCCGGAGGACTATCGCGGGCGACTGGCGTGCCGCGGGAGGAACGGTAGAACTGGGGCGGCGTAACTGTGGTTGGAAGATCCTAGGACTCCAGTATAGTCCAGAGGGTCTCTGGAGGACACGCGAAATGGGAACCCATCCAAATTTCCGACGAATATACTCCATTCAGCTGCCATGCATCGAGTTGATGATGGTGTAAATTGAGGTAGTTCACCTGCGCTCCATTCCAATTCGTTCCTATTATGGTAGGCGGTCTGTCTGCATGACCACATGAAACCTGGAAATCCTACTGTAGTACATACGACTTGTCCTTCTAAAAACTACATAGTCAATAAACTGCTTCTGCTAAGGCGCTGATTGGAGACCCAAGGACCCTTAAAGTTTCAGAACGCTGATCAGAATACTAATTCGACTGCTACTCATACCGCCAGTGACTAGCCAGGGGAGGAGCGCCTAGTGATATGCATGCATAGTCTCTACTTAATTTTGAATAACAATTTATTTGATTGGCCAGAACGTTGCCCAACGTATCATTTTATAAGATCAAAAACTGTCGAAACCCTGGCATAATGGGAGTAATAATCGACCCTGCCAGCTGAACTGGTAGAACAGCCACATATACATACATAGTAATCACAACTCTCTTAAAGAAGGAAAAGAAATACTACCTTTTCATGCGTCACCGTCCGCAGTTGGAGCTGTTATTACTCGCCGAGTCATCGGAGGCCAGAAAACAGTCATCGTAAAATAACCCGTTAAAACTGTTGAACTCTATTCTTTGAATTAGTGGTTTTATTCAGAATAAAGTGAAGTACTTTATGTATGGAAATACTATATGAAAGATACCTGAATCTGAGCAGGCAAGGCCGGGTATAGTAGATATAGTGGATGGATAAGTGTACTGCTTTGGTAGGGTGGACATTGATTCATGAGCACGGATAAAACAACTGGCAGCATCATAAGGAGAGGTATTATGTATATTCTAGGAACACCTTATGATCGATCTATATCCAGACCCAAGCGTATATACAGACGTTAGGGCGTTTAAAAAAAGGGATGGGAGCGTGCGTCGAGTGGATGCCAAGTACATTTCACGTTATGGAATTGTCTCGTTCACTCGACTAGAAAAAGCGAATAAGAAATAAGATCCTGTACAGGCCGATTCTTCGGCGAGGAATAAAACACCACCCCAAGTGTGAACTCCGTATAGATATGGGTCTTGAGACTAGAAAATGCGACAAAGACAAACAGCAATGAGAAGTTGAAGGAGATAGTAAGGTGGTGTTTTCATGGCTTTTTCTTCGTGTGGCTTCCCGACGTAGGGGCTTGCACCGCGTCATCTCCTTCTAGGATTCGCCAGAGTCGTGAAATGGAAAATCCGCTGGCAGAGAAGTAGATGCCGACTAGCCAGGCGGCGAGGATATTAGTAAGATGGTGAAGGAGGTAGGCGTACGAGACGCCATAGATCGCTGAATAAATGGCAATGAAGAAGAAGAGGATGGAAGTGACATGTTTGAAGCTAAAGTCATAAGTTACTATCCGTTGGTGCCTTGACTGTAGTGAGGGAAACTCACCGAGTGGTGACTCTGGGGATCATAGTTCCAGTAGTCATGGCCTCCACAAGGAGAACAAATGGCATAATTGATAGCACATTATGATGAGATGAGAATGGCATGAACCAGTGCACAACTAGATTATGGGCCCAAACGAGGAGAACCAAAGTATTTATCGGCAGAACCCACAGCATCAAGAGGAATATCGAGTAAGAAAGATTGGCGAAGTTATAATGAGTAGTGGATTTCTGATGGATATTAGTATGTTGACCGGTTGCGAGCAGGGGATAGAAGCTTACAGCCTCTTTGGCATGCCAGTTAGCCCGGACACTGGTTGCTAACTGCACAATACAGGCCACCATATATGCGAATTGATACGGAATGACTGTCGACACAAGGGCTAACAGAATGGCGGAATTGACCAGTCGTCGTCTGGGGCTCGCGGAAGAAAAGATCGGAAGGTTTCTATGCATGATTAGTAGATGAAACTATACAAGTCTAGATTGACCTACCCTTTCTCATCACGTCGGATATAGCCCGACTTGCTCCTCAGAAAACCGTAGATGGTGGTGAGAAGGAAGAGAAGAGCGAGGGTTACATAATTGATCATGAGGCATACTCCAACACTTATCAGGCCAAACACAGGCACTAGAAACCAGAAGAAAGCGTCTTGCGAGCCCAGAAGGAGGTCGTTCTTGGTGAAGTCAATTGGGGATTCAGTGGAGTTCGTACGCCAATGGAACGGGTCGTCAGTAGGCGGTAACTTAGTAGAGGTCGCTAGGGAAGACGCCAGCAGCGACATGGCTAGAAGGAGAATAGGTAGGGATGATCGCAGAGCACTGTCCAGACCTTCCGCAAATGTGATAAAATAGCCGGTCTCGTCGTACAGTTGGAATTGCTTACGCAGGACCAGGGCCACAACGAGGAGCGGGAAAGCCGCGAATACAGTCCGATACCGCATTACCAGCTCGCCGAGACTGCTAGCAACATCCACCGTCAAAGAAATGTCAACCGTAGAATCGCAGCTCGGATCTGTCCAGAGGTGAAAAGAAACCCCGCCCAGTGTCGCCTGGTCGCGAAGGGGTGGAGGCATAAAGGGCGCCAACCCATGCAGGTTCACATTGACATCCTTGACATTAACGAAGAACTTGGATTCATGCGGATCTGCAACCGACTGCCGCAAAAGGGGGGCGAACATTTCCTGCTGTTTCCCATGGCTCTTTCGAACGATCTTGAGTTTATAGTCTAGGAGGCTCGAGTGTATAGCGGGTATGTTGAGTTCCGTAAGCATGGGACGGTTCGCTGGCAGACGGACTTTCAACCCGGCACTAAGTAGGCTCCCCAAACCCAAGCGAGCCCTGATCACCGCATCCGAGCTATCTGAAAATTCCGCCAGCACGAAGCCCTTCGTGGGCGTGTTTGCTTTGTCAACGACGGCTACGAACTGGTGCTCCGCGAGGTCCTCCAGATCGTACTGGAGATACGAGAAAGGCTGAACCCGGTCATAAGGACGTTTCGAGGAGTGTGTCGAGGCCGGCAAGTGAATCCCATCTTCGGCGGCGTTTTTACAGGCGAGTCGAGTCGAGCCGGAAGTGCCTCCGGAGAAGTCCATGTTCATTGAAAATGCCGTTGCAGGTTTCCCATTCTGCAGCGGGAACACACTACAGAAGAGAACCTCCAGGCTCCCATGATCCCCGGATTTATCGAATTGCTGATTCGTAAGAAGGGTGAACTTCTTGCCCGATACGCCTTGTGGGGGGATTGGCAACAAGTGAACATTGGGTCCTCTGCGGTGACCCAAATCGCGAAGAATGAGTCGTTTGCCTTGCGATAGAATCGTATTAGACCGATCTTCCAGTGTCAGAAGAGTGTTCGGTTCTGGTTAAGAAGAAGTTAGCTTGCTAACAGTTTGAAGGGACGCAAGACGCGCGAGAAAACAGTACCCTTTCGCGGAAGCGTCCTCTCCGTTACAGTCTCCAAACCGGTCAAATACCATTTCTTGAAGATTCGCATCCGCTCTGCCCTTGGTTTCGTCTGTGTGGCGCGTCGGGCATCGACAACTTCAAACAAGGATTTGATGATCACTTTCCGGAATTGATCGCACCAGGTGATAGACAGGTGATCCATTCCGATCCATACATCGGGAATGGTGGAGGTGAACACAGTAAAACCATGAGTCTCGGGAACGAGAGACGAGATGCTGGCATAATCTGAGGGCACAACAGTATCGCGCGAACCGCCAGCAATGGAAATGAGGGTCACATGCCACAGAGGATTGTCGTTGGCCCACGTCTGTGAGTAGGCTTCCCGCCAATAATCGTTGATTTGCTTATAGGTCTGAACGATATCGGAATCAAACGAGACGGGCGGTTTGGCATGGGGAGCAGACATGGTGACAATCGAATTGACCGAGTTCGCTTGATAGTTCGTCATCGTTAAGGCTGTTCGCGCAACGATGCCACCCATGGAGTGCCCAATGAGGACAACCGAGATCGGATCTGGTAGCTCCGGATCTCTTCGCGAGCGTCGCGGATCATGATAAAGGGACAGGATATAGGCCACGGCTTCATTGACGTATTCGGCTTGGTCGAGTAGGGTTTGCCCATGGAAGGCGGCCATATCCTCGTTAAAATCGATCATAAAGAAATCTAGGCTTCGAGTACCAGTGTTCAATCGTTCTTCGTCATGGCGAACCACATCGTGGTAGTGTCTCGACGCTTCGGCGGCTAAGGATCGGACCTGCCGGTAGCTTCCAGCATTTCCGGGGAGAAACAGGACGGGGACTCCATTCAACTATATTGAATTGACGCTTAGCAGAGTCTTTATTTTTATTGTGACGTAAGAACAAGACACGCAGAGTCAACGTACCCCGAGATTCTCCTGATTATACTCATCCACGCCTCCCTCCCGGTAGAGATAGAGATTATATTTGCTGGCAAAGCGCGTATGCTCCGTGTCAAACCCCACCATGCGAAGGAAAGTCGGGCTCATAACCGGGATTCCACAGCCATCCCCACCAGTCTGACGAAGTGAAAAGGAGCGAAGGATAAAAAAGAGGAAGATCGAAGCGATGAGGGTGGTGAAGGCTGTCGGAATGGAACAGGGCCACGGACTGCGGAGGCGGGACGGTCGATACCGGTGCGGACTGCCCGACGACGCCTCCATGGGCAGTCGTTGCGAGGCCAATGGCATCATGACGGAAGAGGACTTGCAATCCGGAGGAATTATAGTGGTCGACGAGGATGGCGGCGTCCTCCACATGCTCGAGTTTCGGGACCTGGGGGTTGAGGCGCCCGTGGCGTCTCGACGAAGGTCGAAGCTGGTGCCTGTGCGGGCTACCTGCGAACGCGATTTTTCCGGCGTGTCGGTGACATTGGGACCATTACTTGGTTCTGTGGAAGTTCGAGAGCTTAAGGAATCTTCAGCGTCGTCCTCGCTAGGCGAGCCAGACGAACGTCTGTGCATTGGAAGAAGCGGAGATCGTAGTACTCATCCAGCACGCAGGAGCCGATCGATCGCAAGTTCGGAGGAGGCTTCGGCGACGAGTCTAACGCCAGCGGCACGTAGTCAGGGGATAAGAATCAAGGAGACAAAGAATGTTCGATAACGTAAATCGACGAATAATTGGACGAAAGACAGATTGACCGACCGGGGTAAAAAGAAAAAAAGAAAAAAGAAAAAAGATAGGTGGTTGGTTGCGCCGTTCTTTTTTTCTTTTTTCTTTTTCCTTTTTTTTTTTTTTCTCTAATTTAACGTTTGCAGAGTACGTAGGCCCCCCTAGACTAGGGAACGAGGCCGAGACCAAAGGAAATGAACGAGCGGCAGGCCGACCGAGGCTTGGAGAAGGAATGCAATATCATGTAAGGAAAATAGTACCTGCGCCGGAGGAAAAGCGAGAGTGAAGAAAGAAGAACTTGAAAGAGCAATAGGTAATCAAAGAAAAGAAGAAAAGAGAAAAAACCGAAAGAAAGAAAAGAAGAAAGGGAACAACGATCAACACCCTGGAAAGGAAGGGGCGAGGTAGGAGCGCAACATTAAGATCCTACTCGATAATCCCAATACTCTATCTTAACGACCAGGAAAACCCGTTTCCGTCTGTACTTGGCGGATGCGCGCGGCAATACTACTAGTGACCCTTTTTTACGATTCTTTCTTCGCTCTGCATCGTATGATCCTAATCTTATCTCCTCTTTAAATCTAAAATAATATAGGTACAGTAAGGAGATACATTATATACAGATTCATATAGGGTTAACATGCATCAATACATAAATGAGTTACAACTAAACTTAGTGTTTCTCGCGAGATGGGACCAAAGACAACGTCATCTCTTTCTTAGTACGTAGGAATTACAGGGTTCAAAGGGTACAGAGAGTACTATTCTTGCCATGTTCAGTGAATGAAAGTGAGAGAGAGAGAGGGAGAGAGAGCACGCCATTCCTCGTCATCCGTCAATAACTCAAAGCCAATCATTGGAGAGTAATACCGCATAACCCGATGTGAGCCATTCCAAGGAACATTTTTCTCTCTTGGCCTAAGACAAGCAACGTAAGACACACGTCCTGTCAGCAACAACCTTATATGATTTGACCGTCAGAATGCGGGGGCCTTTTTAATGCCCGGTCAAGACATAAAAGGGGGGTGAATTCCCCGACATTTCAGCAACTCGGATTTGATCCATGATTTCCTAACCATGGTTGGCCGTTGGATAGGTTTCATTCAACCTAGCCTTCTTTCATCCTCTCCCAGTCTTTTCAGCGAATGAAGAAAACCTTCCAAGTGACCAACTCTCCATGAGCATTGACCATATAACATCCACAATTAAGCAGATTCAGATGCTACGTTCCAATGTCGCTGCATCTCTCGAACCAGAAACCTGATCTGACCAAATCTTGCTGACTTTGAACATCTCTCAATAGACCTAGCGTACGTGTTGGCGATGAAAGCGACCGTGGGAGGACAATGAAAATCAAGTCAATGAGATAGTACTACGTAGGGTTAGATTGGTTCCCACCGGGTATCGGATGGAGTTGAATAACATTGGGGAGTATTTACAGCCAATTCATGGGATATGAAACAGGAAGTAAACAGCGGTCCAAAAAATAAACGTTGTCTTAATTACTTTTCCATACCTATCAATCGTCATATATATATACCCAATTCCCACAAGCGTATAAACACTATCCTTCAAGCCGGGTGACGGTAGCCTTCTCCACATCGCTCTCGGCCCCTTCCCCCACCTTACTGGTTCCACGATGCGCGGCTACCGTCGCCATATCAGCATCATGCGCAACATCGAATTTGCGGCCGAGTCGTTCCGGTCCCAAGAATGTCACCAGGATCGTGTAGCCGTACACACAGCCCATGAAGATACAGATGACTTTCCCGTATTCGTATCGATGTTTTTCCGTCTCCGTGGGTGGCAGGGGGAAACGCTCGCCAATCGTGGATTCAATCGTGGAACTGGCCGACGAGACGAGGTTCCCCAATTGGTAGGCCGTTCCCACCGTGAAGGTGCGAATCGCACCTGGTGAGAGCTCCATGAGATGGATGGGAATCACTCCCCACGCACCCTGCACGCAGAATTGCTCAAAGAACGCCGCGGCCATGACGTTGGTCGAGGTGACAAAGGTATAGGGGTAGAGGAGCGCACCGCCAATGATACTGATGACAATGATAGAGAACCGACGTCCAAATATCTGACTCGCCCAGCCGCACAGCGTCCCGCCGGTGAGAGCTCCGAGGTTGGCGACCACTTGGGTAACGGTGACTGCGTTCGCAGAGAAGGAAAATTCGCTTTTCAAAAGGGTCGGATATAGGTCTTGGGATCCGTGGGACTACAAGGACCAAGCCATTAGAGGGGGCTCCCACGCTTGGCCATCTGAAGGAAATGACTTACCATGAAGTTGAAGCCCGCCATCAGCAAAACGAGGTAAATGAGGAGCATCCAATGCCGTTTCAAAGCCATTTTGCCTTCTGAGAGAAAGGACGATGTAACTCCACCACGAACGTCTTCTCGGGTGGCCTGCCGCTGGCGGAATGTCTGAGTTTCCGGGAGACACAGTCGGAAGAGAATAATCAAGATGGGGGGGCAGGCGCCGAACCAGTACAGCGGTCTCCACCCGTGAGACGTGGTGTCAACCAGCCCCCGCGCAAGTGCAGTGGCCAGCAGGTAACCAAATGCATACCCTTGCTGCAGCAAACCGGACACGATGCCTCTCGCTTCCATGGGACAATCCTCGAGCGCCGTTGCCGCTGCATTTCCATAGAGGCCGCCCATAGCAATGCCAAAGAGGGCGCGGCAGGCCAAGAACTGCTGATAAGTCTGACAGAAACCAGTACCCAGCTCTAACACAATGAAAAGGAGGTTGTTGATGACAAAGGGCCATTTCCGACCCCAGCGATCGGAGGCAATTCCGAAGATGATGGCCCCTACGGATCGAAGCATGAGCACGAGAGTAATCCCCCAGGTGATGTCGGAAACCTTTTTATTGAATTCCTCTGCCAATTGGGACGTCGTTAGGGAAACGGTGAAAAAGTCAAATGCATCCCAAGTCCAGCCTAGAAATGCGACCTAAGTGCGGTTAGATGCGCCCTGTGGACGGTAGGAATAGGCCAACGAACCGAAAAGAAAAGCCATTGCTGTGTATTGAGAAGAGTAAGTGCCTTGAACGGATTGGGAGCGGGATTCATCGGTGGCACCAGCGTCGGCAGCCTAGTCCAGAAGTATCTCATTACACTCATGTGTTCCATCTCATTGTCATCTGAAGATGGGGTGTGATTACCACCGGGGCGCTTTTCATGAGCCTCTGCCTCCATTTTGAGAAAAGCTTGTCAAGCGACACAAATGATGACAGAGGAAAGGAAATGAGGGGTGAAACCTCGGTGTTGGGAGATGGGAGTAGGGGAGGGGAGGGGGGGGGGGGAACTAAATTCTGTTCAACGAGAAAGCGAGGGAGATCTCCGATTTTAAATCACCGGAGACTAAACACGCAAAGGATTCAGTACTCGGTGCTGATAAGGAGGGGCCCCGCAAATTTCTCCCCATTCTTGTCGCCGGGTGGGTTGCCGATCGTCGACCTCGGGATGAAGCTGTAATATAATAACTGATAGTGGTGACGCTGGGGCCGCCTATTTCCTATTCAAGAAGCATGAACTTCCTCCATCGAACTGATAACCCGTGGATTGCAAAGCGGGAAGTCTAACTATAGAACTAAATCCGTATACATATACTCCTTGCGGCAGAACCAATACGCATCGTGTTCAGATCGTTGATGAATCATCTGACGGGCATGTCCGAGCAATTCTCATTCCATAGAATGTTCGGTCTGGCCTAGTACCCGTCACACTGCCAAGCTTTTTACTCCAGACTATGCCAAGCTCTCTCTCCACGTTTTCACTGAACATCTCCAGTTTTCCGATTAATACATAATTTAATGTAGGTATTTGTGCCGACTTCCACTTGTCTCTTCGCACTCACTCTGTTCAAAATTTCTGTTTCTTACTCCGAACGCCACCCGCGTCAAGAGCAAGGCTGACATTCCCAGCCATGGTCATTGTCGCGGGGTACGAGCTCACTAGCGAGTTTAGTCAATTTTCGCTCACCATTTGGCCTAACCATGGATCACTCCGGTAAAGTCTGACGGTAAGGACTGAGTTTTGATTGATTGATCGGCTGCATTCCACGAGACCCATCCTCGTAGCCCACGAATAAAGATGTAGGGCTTGGCCCGACCGGATTGGTGAGAGGGTATGCACGGGTGCGACTTTTGTTATCTCATGGGCGTCACCACCTCTGCCATGTGACACGGCAGCATTTGCTTCCCGAAGGATACGGAACTACTACTAGTAGTTAGGCACTATGGCTTGTACCCATTCGGCTCTAAACCACAACTCTTGTTTCCCGCCCAGAACCTCTTATCCCCTCTTGGCTCTTACTTGCCCAGCCGGGAGGGAAAGCTTTTCCGGACAGTGCAACAATCTCATACTTTATGCTTTCTTTGGTTACGTCATTAAATCAGTGGAGGATTCAATATGTATGAGATGAGTTGGCTGTCTCAGTCAATTAGGGTTGCCCCAATATTTGACTTCAAAGGTATCTAATGAATCTTTGTTTTCGGTACTGGGGGGGGGGGGGGGGGAAATGACTCAGGACCGCTGTCTTATACAGTTGCGGTGGTTTGTGCCATCCAACCGGATAGCGATATAACCTAACGCCAAGCGACAGTCTAAGCCCTGGTACCATATCGTTGGTCGGAAACCGGATTCATCTGATGCAGATCTGAGGGTTTAAATTGACTCAAAGATGTTGATCCAGTCGCTTGGGATACGTTTGTAAGCTAGATATACATTGTGTACGATTTATGCACATGCAATCTTATGCAAAATCAATGAGAACTATAACCGAAAAAGGAACCAACATTCAATCACTTCAGCAGAACAAGTTGACGTAGACTCGGCTATATGGCGCATTTTCGAAATATAACCCGGATATCGTCCGCCATATAGATAGAAAAGTGCTCCCTCATACTCCTCTCGAGTGCTCGTCCATCGTCCCCCGGTGCTAGCTCCATATTAAATGCCGTGACTAGTCGAGCAATAGTTGCCCGGATATTCATAAGGGCTAGCGGCTTGCCAATACAGGTGTATGGCCCTGATATTATCACTTTATTAGACATCATGGTCATGCGAGTTGGTTGTCTACATACCCGTCGTGAATGGAGCGTAGGCAGATCTTTCTTTGATCATCTCCGGATATAGGTACCATCGCTCGGGAATGAAGTCCTGTGCGTTCTGATAGACAGTCTCGGCTAAGGTGGAAAGGAAAGTTAGCCAGGGGATTCGCTTGACTTCACATGTGATGAATCGCTCACATTGGCTAATTATCCACTGCGGGCAAAATACATTCATGTTCCCTGGCACATGCGTACCTTCGATGTCGATACCCTCCGGGGGTGTTTTTCGTGGGATGTAGCTCGGGACCGGGGAGTGTATACGAAGCGTCTCGTTAATAACACCATTGAGTTGTTTTAGGGTGGTCAGATTCTCATGTGCATATTCTCCGTTTGCGTCGGTCGTACAGACGGCCAACTCGGCCCGGAGTTTCTGAACCTCCAGCGGCCGACGGGCCAATTCATATACAATTGTGGTCAATGTCGTGGCCGTAGTGTCACTAGTACTGTAAGCGACAATTCCATACAGAGGTGCATGCACTATTGGCCACTTACCCTCCTGCATTGATGATCAAAGACGCGTCTCCGAGCAGCCCGTTGAATTCATCAGTTGTAGGTGTTCGTCCTTTCAGGGGTTCCAGAAGACATGCGCTGATATCGGGAATTTCCTGCTTTGTCTACTCTAGTTAGCATGCCTAGTGGGCGAATGAACAGTAGATTCACCGTACCGCCATTCGTGTCCTGAATAGCTGGCCCCAGTATTCATTGAACTTCCAGAAAGCCTTGGAAGCAAACGGAATGGATACCGATAGCCGGAAGAACCATATCGGCATCAGATACTCAACTGGCTTGAGCATGCTGAGTATCAACAAAACAGCCCAGTGGGTGCTACTTTTCTCCAACATGTCGAAGCTTTGCCCGAATGCCAGATCACCCATTACATCGTAACCATACCAGGTGAACAACGTGCTGATGTTTACGGGTTCGTCATCATCTGCCGATGTGATCTGGTTAATGAGTTTCTGTCTATACACCTGTATTCGTTTCTCATATCCGTGTAGGGCCCGATCTGTGAACCCCGGATTCCAGATACGACGGTGTTTATCGTGATCTGCTCTAATCCGATGCGCGTGCAACGATTTCAGAGGCGCAGAGCCATCATACCACGCACTCTTAGTGCACGTAGACTTGAAGCCGTAGATGATGTTAGTAGCTTTGGGATGAACAATCGACAGATCAGATGGCCCTATACGAACAAAGCTCCCATACGTTTCATGCAGATCAGCAAGCTTGCGAAAGAGAGGCCTGCGATGGAGTTGGGCTGATATCCAGAACGCTGAGATACGTGACAAAAATGGACCAGGAAATCGGCGGAGTGGGTGAAATAATAGACGATATAGGATGAGGCTGCTATATAGACCAAGCAGATGAATGAAGATCAGGTACAAAGACTTGGAAGTTGATAGGACTACGGGGAGTTCTTCCGCGTAGTAGAGGAACGCCGTAATGCTAATGAAGAATCCGACATAGGTATAGATATACCTGGCTGGATAGAGGTGATGCTCTCCCACACGGAAGTAGAATATATGGATTAAAATTCCAAGGGAAAAGGCGTATAATTCTGACCTCTTGATGACCATGATGTTTGTACCAGTAGCGTGTATAATCTTGAAGTCAACATAGGGTTGCCTATGGGAACAGGGAAAGACCGCCCTCAAATATTTCTATGATTACACGTGGTTGATCGGCTGATGCTCTTGCTCCCGGAGCTATCATTTACAGTTCTATTAATAAGTTCAGACACACTGGTTCTGTGCTGTAATCAGCCTCCCGTGGAACGTACATGCGGCCATGAACTTCCAATGGTAATTCCATGCACTGTCCGATGGAAAGGTGGCCACTTTTCTGCTGTAACTTGAGAGAGAAAGGCCAATGAACCGCTTTAACGCACTGTGAGGTCCGCGCACAGCATTAACAAGGTGCAATGGTGTTCCTTCCCGATGGCTTACTGAAACTGATCTGTTTGACGTAGTATAATAAAGGGCTGGTCATACTTAGGTCATGTGCCGTGCTGTTGACCTAATGATCCATTTTGGTGAGATACCCTCCCCTTGAGTCGCACACTCTTCTTCTCTTCAACTTTCTTTCTCCCTTTCCACTCTCTTCCTACCATCTCGTTCATCAGCTACCCATTATGACTGTCATCGCCTATTGCATACCTATTATTCCCTGAGTTCCCCAAATTTAATCCATTGCGAGTTTCAATATTGATATCAAAACTTAACCAAGGTAAGAAGAAAGGAACGTCGTACAAAACCTTTGCCCAACTCGCACCCCTTTCCTTTTCAACCCCCCTTGCAAAAGCGCCCCAAACTAAGACCTCTTTGAGGCTTTGTGGATGGAGCTTAGCAACAAAACCGGGAGTTTTCGTTCATGCTCCGGCTCTTTCATGAACATGACGTTGTTCTTGAAGAGCTAATGAAAATGGTTCAAGATGACGAGGCTCCGAGAAGCTTTTGTGTACTTGCCATTTTCCGACAAAACAGTTCAGCACAAAGCAGGTGTGGAACTACGTCAACTGTAGCGTGCATGGCGCTACGTATGTGAACAGCCGATCGTCCGTCATGGACCTTCGGGGGGCAGTTCATTGGGATGGTACATAATTTCCATATATCCCTTCCACTTACCAAAGATAATGGACGATAGCTGCATTTGCTTTGAAGACAAGTGATGATTGCAGTGCCGGGAGAGATGCGCCAGGTGCATGAAGAAATGCATTCTATTCCAAAATCGAGGCAATTTGGTCTCCAAGCAGATGCCAGTTCCTCAAATCCTCAGATGATGCGACTAGTATCGGCGATATGCCGAAACTGGCTTGCATCTCGGTGGGGTCGATTGTTGCCTCTGGGCACATGGCTTACCCTTGAGGTGTGCATTATGAGCGCACCGAACGCCAATCTGAGAAGCCCGGAAGCCGTTCCGCGCATCCGTAGTGGGTTGCTGCAAAGGCATGGAGAGCTTCCCGAAAGCCTGTGTAATGCCACTAGGACTCGGTAGAAAGAAGCAGCCGGGAATGCCCCCCCATGACCCAGGATAAAGAGGATCTTTGTCCTTTCGTGGTGCTCATTTCCCGACCTTGTAGGTTGAATAATGGGTTAGGCAGCCACTGATCCGGTTTGCCAGAGAGCAAGAGGATTGGAAGAGGAACCGAACCGCCTTTGCACCGGTTTTGTGAAGGGGCTGGGCTCCTGAAAGAATGACGGATGTCGGATATCAGGAATGTAAAGGTTTTGTCCTATCCAAGAAAGGCTCTCTAGTGTGTAGTAGCCGGACTTGGTGCCCCACAGCGTTGTGGTAGCCGGATGATATTGTCTAGCGACATGCTCTCACCTTCACACGGTGTCCGGTACTACTCGCCCGAGTTGGCGAAACCAAAATGAGCTTTAATTGCTAGAGTAGACATCTATGTAAGAGAGTAGCAGAGTACACACTTCTTGGTACAAGCAGCGGGCTTGTTCCGAGCGACGCTATTTTCCACCAATCGCCAGATTCCGGCTGTATCCATTCAAACCCTAGAAATTCACTCTTGCTTGAAGCCTTGGCTGTAAAAGAATAACGCATGATTCAGCCTAAATATGTCGTTTAACCGATATGATATTGAACAAAGAAATGGACGCGATGGGGATTTACCCCGCATACGTTAAGCCAAGATGTACAGGATTCATACGTATTTTACCGCTAGATCGGAGGTATTGTGCTTTTTAAGATGGCTGTTGCGAGATACTGTTTGGGTTTGCTCCTACACAGCAGAAACCGCTGAGGGTGGAAACGTAGGCGTCTCCAAGGCACAAAAGATAAATCAGAAGGAACCGCTGCAATGGCTTCCGGAATACTCAACGTGAAAGGCAACAAGGTCGTTGACAGGAACGGCAACGAGGTACTCCTTCGAGGCGCAGCTATCGGGGGATGGATGAAGTACGTTGCTCCCAGTTACATATTGCTTCAAAGTCCACTATACTAATCTTACCGCCTCTGCTAGTATGGAAAATTTCATTACTGGGTACCCTGGCCATGAGTCGCAACATCGTCTTGCAATGAAAAAGGTCCTCGGGCCAGAGAAGTACACGTTCTTCTTTGACAAATGGCTGGAGTATTTCTTCACAGAGGCAGATGCCAAGTTCTTTGCCGGATTGGGATTGAACTGTCTTCGGATCCCGTTTAACTACCGTCACTTCGAAGATGATATGAATCCGCGCGTATTGAAAGAGTCGGGATTCAGACACTTGGACCGTGTGGTTGACTTGGTAAGCTTTTCTCACGAGGTCGATACCAGATTTACTGTCCCAAGAAAAATACTCATCTTCGAACACGAAAACAGTGCGCTAAGCAAAATATCTACACTATCCTAGACATGCATACGGCTCCTGGTGGCCAAAACGGTGACTGGCATTCCGATAACACCACCAACTACGCCGCATTTTGGGACTATAAGGACCATCAAGATAGAACAGTGTGGCTATGGGAACAGATCGCAGCGAGATATAAGTCTAACCCTTGGGTTGCCGGGTATAACCCCCTTAATGAGCCGTGCGACCCTGAGCATATCAGGCTCCCTGCGTTCTATGAGCGGGTGGAGAAAGCTATCCGTGCTGTTGACCCGGATCATATCCTCTGGTTAGACGGGAACACGTTTGCCATGGAGTGGAAAGGATTTGATAAAGTACTCCCGAACTGTGTCTATTCTATTCACGACTACGCCGTATGTCTCACTGTCCTTCCCTCCCCAACACACTCACATACAACCTCTCTCACTCTCTTCTGCTGAAGACGAGGTTAGAAATCAACACTAATGAGAAAAACCAAGTCAATGGGCTTTCCAACCGGCGAACGCTACAAAGGCACACTCGAACAAAAAGCCCACCTAGAACGCAATTACCTCCGCAAAGTCGAGCATCTGACCGAAAAAGGCACAGCGATCTGGAATGGCGAATTTGGACCTGTCTACGCCGACCCCCGCGCAGACGCAGACGCCTCGACCATCAATACAGAACGTTACAATCTCCTCGGCGAGCAGCTCCGCATCTACGACAAATACAACATTCACTGGTCCATCTGGCTGTACAAAGACATCGGGCTCCAGGGCATGATCTACACTGACCCGGAGAGCAAATGGAACAAGACCATCCAGCCCCTCCTAGATAAGAAGAATCACTTCTGGCTTGATGCTTGGGGGAGACGGCCTAGCGCTGAGCCCGAGGCGGCGCTGAAACCGCTTGTCGAATGGATTGACAAGGTCAGTCCTCGAGCTAAGCAGACGTATCCTACGCCTTGGAATACAGAAAGGCACTTGTTACGGAGCGTGTTTCAGACGTTTTTGGCTACTTCTTTTGTAGACGAGTTTGCGGAGTTATTCCGAGGCATGAACGAAGCGGAATTGGATGCTTTGGCACGGAGCTTTCATTTTGAGGAGTGTTTGCAGCGGGATGGACTGAATGAGATCTTGAGAGAACATGCTCATGGTCGTGAGGCCTAGCGAAGATACCATTCAGTGTATAGGCTTGTTCCCCTACATATTAGATTTTACTCAGTGATCGTGGCATCTCTCTTCCGAAGGTTGTCATTTTTTTTTTGAAAAGATGATAGCGTCTTCATAATCAAATCATATTCATCACTTTCCTCTATAATTAGACAACAGAAAGAGCCAATAATTGGTTCTTTAGGCAAATATATGCCTCACACATATAGATGTGTTACCGAGTAACCGTCAATTTCAATACCAAGTCCAATGCATATTGTAACTATATGCATTAGGTAACCGAGATTGCCTCTAGTGGTTCAGGAGCTACATTGAGCTTACATCAAGTGATATGATTTCATAGATACGGGTATAAGTGCTGGGAAGATCTGAGTCATTTTGGAGTCTTATTCATTTGACGAAATAGAATAGAAAGTACACCAGCAACTTTCATTAAAGCCATTAATTTGTATTGGAGCAAGTCCAATCTGCCCAACGAGCAGAAGGCCGAGGTAATAGTACTGTCTGGTAAATTCGATATGAAAATACCTCGCACAACCAAGTTAATATAAGAGGGTCTCCACATAGCCTTACCGGACAGGTAGCTAGGATAAGCAAATGCATAACACCATTCAAAACCCATTATATGTGCTGTTAGGGTATCTGTAAATACAGACATCGATGCATAAACGTACAGAAAGCTCAACACCTAGCACCATATGAACAACGCTCAATTGTACTGAATCCAAAGACAGTCAAATACCACGAGAAAAATAAATAAAAAATGTTCGTAATCTTGCAGTGATTTCAGAGGTTGAAAGAGGATTTCTCTGAAAAGTTGGTTCGTATGTGGCTCGTAGATAGGGTTACCAATCCTGGCCTCGATCCTTCATCAGGATTTCAATAGCCTCATCTTCGGGAACTGGGTTATCATTTAGCTCCTTAACACATTGTGTTAAACCTTCGGCGGCTTCGTCGACTTGCTCAGCCGTCCAGTTTGTGCAGGCCATCACCATTCGCCGATAGTTCTGGCCCAGCACCACGTTCTTGGATTTGAGGCGGTCTATCTCATTCGTGATTTCCTCGTTGAATCCCTTGTAGCATTGTATGCGTTGTTGTAGAGCTGCGGCGGAGGGTAACGATTTCAAGAAAGTAGCTTGCTGTTCGGAAAATCCGGAGGTAGGGTCAAAGTTCTCAGGGAAGATAGCATCGAATTTGTCGACGTCAATTCCCGAGTCCTTGTCAGCATCGCCAACTGACATCATTTTCGATGCGTCGTAAGAGTCACCTTGAATGCTCTTCAAGATCATGAGTAGGTCTTCTGATGACTTTTCGAGATTTTTGAAGCGTCTGCTCAACCCTACACGATCTGATGCTTTGCGTTTCAGTTCGTCAAGTTGTTTCTGTTCAATTTGTCGAGCTTTTGCTGACTCCCGGATCTTGCAATGCCAATGCTCGAATTTTTCGTGCTTCTTGGCGAGATTCGTAGCTAGTTCAGTGTCAACCCCGCCTAGTGTTTCTTGCACTATTGAGCTAATCTGGGCCAATGTTGCTACATGAGAGAATTAGTGATCGAGATAGTTATGATGATTGGTGGATCCGTCTGCTTACCGTCTAAAATTTCCTTCTTAGTCTTGGCCAGGTGGTCCATGAAGGAGTCAGTCTTGTTTCCAGAAAGTTGTGACTGAGAATTTCCATCAACCATATCCACGCCCACACCGTAATCCGCAGGCCGAAGGCCAGTATGATTCGGTATATGAGGATCCGCGCCCACTTCCAATAATTGAGGCACAAGCACAGAGCGTGCGCGTCCTGCTAAATTTAATGCCGTGTCTCCTTGATCGTCGCGAAGATTGACAATTTCTGAGATAAATCGGCCGAGTGTTATGACCTCGTTGGACTCCTGTACGTTTGCTCCATTTTCAAGCCCATTTGGGGTTTGTCGACTCGCTGAGCTACCTCCATGCCGGACTATGAATTCCAGTAAAGCCTCCAGGTAGTGTTTAGCTGATACATGGCCACCGCCACCTGTGGCAGCCATTACGGCAATATGGTGAAGAATCGTTCTTCCACTGTAATCAACCATGTCAATTGTTGGAGCAAGGACCTGCAACAAACGTGGGAAGCTCCTGTAGTCAAGATTGTTCCTTGTCCCAACAGACTTCTGTAATGCAGTTTCACCAGCACCATTTAGTCGGAATATGCTAACGCCTTTCTCGACGAGCGCATGTACAAGGGGCATGCGAGCAAGCATGGCTGCCCAGTGCAGAGCATTGTTCCGATATTCATCGAGCGGGGTCTCCAAGTCATCCCCGGATAGTTGCAGCAGGGCAGGATGGGTGGAAAAATCTTTGGTCCGCTTGTCAAGGAACAAGGTCATGATGAGTTTCATCTTCTGAAACCTTTCAGGGGTTGTCGCTGGGGGGAGAGGTTCAACGCCCCGCTTGCTGCCGTCACCCATAGGAGCTGACATATCCATATCCTGGTAAAATGAGTCGTTCGGTTCTGTTGGTGTCGCCTCGGTCATCGACAATGTCGATGGCTCATAGTGGAGTCCGAACGAATGTGCGTGGTTGGAAGAAGACCTGGCGCGTTTGCGAGGAGGTTCAATAGGCTCCTCATGATCGAACGCGCGGCCGTCATGAGGGTATCGGCCATTGTGTTGGACGTTGCTTCCAAATCCGCTGTCGGGTGCCACGCTGTACATGCTCTGTTGACTGCCAAAGGGAAGCTGCGTCTCTTGACTACCCATTTGATGCGAAGGTTTCCGTATGGCACTTGAGCGCCTGCCATCCATGCCTCTTGCTGCAGGAGAATCAAAGCGAGCTTTACTCATGGCGTTGACGGCCGTCGCGGCAGTGCGAGAGATGTTCTGGAAGAAAGTGCCCTGTTGGGGTTGAGATATACTACGGTTGTCCATGCCGCTATAGAGTCGCTTCCGTTGCGCAGCCATCGCTTGCTCCTTGGTGGGGGTATCTAAAGAGTCCTGCGCCGATCCGGTGGTACCATTGGGTCCCATGTCGTATTCGAGAAGAGGCCTCAGCATCTCCTCGACGTGGTATTCGCGACAAAGCTCCACACCTCTTTGATAGTTCACCCATGTACCTTGATATTTCCCGTAACCTCCCTGGACCTTCTCGTGCTCACCAGCCGCTATTTCCTTTTCGAGCGTCTTGGTCCTTCTCGCTTTAACAACACCGGCAACTTTGAGGATCTGGGTAGCATTTAACCAAGAATCCGAGCGACGTTTCATGACAGCGACTCCGTTGACTTCCATTTCGTAGACAGAAACATTTGAATAGACGGCCTGTAGATGGGCAGGGAAGGTCAATATGGAGACCGTCATGGAAAGTAAGAAGGGTTAGAATGGCACATACTCTATAGATTTGGGGCTTGATCTCCTCCTGATACGTCACCATTGCGCCGTAGCCATTCATGTCTTCAAAACTATTGAAGCTACCCCGTGCACCATGGGGCAGACCATTTGAATATGTAAAAGACATTGCCGACTGGTGAGAACCTTTCGGAGGGGGTGTACCGCGAGGGGTTGTTGCCACGGATTGGGAAGCATTAAAAGAACCCAGCTGCGACTGAGAAAACGACATTCCATTGGCAGACCCAATGCTACTTTGGGAATATGACATGGGTAGGCTTGGACGCGGCGGGTGGTGGTTGTTTGACGCCATTGGACTGGTCTAGTTTCGGTATCGGGGCACCCAACCTAGACACCATGCACCTGAATCTGACGACAGTTAGATCTCTAATGGTTTCAGTTTTGCCGGACGAGACAGCATAACCTCATTTGCCGGGCAAAAGACCGAAAAAGAAAAAGCAGAGCGAGGAATTGAAAGCATGTGGGGAAATGCACCTTCCTAAGGATCGACCGGATTCGCGCGAAGAGGCGAAGAGGCGCGTGATTAGCGCGAAAGGGATAAATGGAACGGCCGACACCAATGAACACGACCACACCTTCAGTAGAAAAGCATTAGGAGTTGGAGATTGTATAAAAAAAATATCATGAACAAGTCATTGTCATTGCCATTGAGAACTGCTCATGTATGTTCCGGCCATAAAGAAATGTCGCGGGGTGACTTCTGATCGCGTTTTGGGTTTAGCGCTTTTTTCGCGTAACGGCCTCGAGTGAAGTTCTGGACCTCGGATTCTTTGAAGTTCTTCCGACTAGACAAACCACATAGGTTCGACAATGATAACAACAACAACATGGTAAGGATACAGGTACCGCCAGTACCCCCTGTCAATCCATGGCGCATGGAGTCATGGAAAGTCCATTTCCGTGCTATACTCCGCGAATGTTCCTATCTACCCGATCCCGTTGCGAAAAGTTACATGCATGATTATGTTGTCCGAAGATTTCGACGATACGTGATAGACGAGCGGAGACCTTGGATAAAATATGATCTCGAGCGGTTGATTATGCTCTTCGATGAATCAAAAGAAACGCTGTCGCTTCTGAAGCGGGCGAACCAAGGATTTATCAAACCGCTCGAAAAAGTCATTCGAATGGCATATGGACGGAAAGGGAAACGGAGAAAGGAGTTGCTGTACGCTCTAATCTCACCCGATATTCCTGCCGATACTATGGCTGTGCAACAGATTCTTCAGCGGCCCGAACCGTACGGAGACGACTGGAAGCCCCCTTCGATCGTGATTGAACTATTGAAATCGCAGCAAAACAACGGAATTCTCTCTCAGCTAGGCGTTCGCCAAGTGAAAGACCTGAACCCTGTCATACCCAAGAAGGTGATCTCCGGGGACGGAGTGGCTAAATCTCGAAGGCGAAACATACGGAAGGAATGGTATAATGATGTTCTGGATCACCTCCTTCCGCCACTACCTGAACCAGACCTCAGCACCTTAGAAGGCTTGATGTCGGGAGAAATACCATGGTCGCCACCGAGAGAAAGGAAAACAGTGAACCTCTCCAACAGACAAAAGAGAGCTAGGGGGGCAGAACGCGAGCATCTAAGAAAACTTTTAGAGAGCGGTCCGGCAAAAGGTCAGACTTTCAGAGAGTACGCCAAAGGACGTCCTCATATCATTACGCGACGGCTTATGCAAAGACTCTGGAGGCGTACAATGTGCCTTATTCCGCGCATGGACTGGGATGACGTTGCTAAAAAGCACTACTTCACATGGGACCCCGCAAAACCGATGCCCCAGCTAGGTATTCCTGGCGCACCTGAAATATTTGAAGCTGTTGATCCCCGAGGGAAGGTAACTGGGCGGGAGAGCTTGAGACCCATTAGGGTAACAGGCGAGGGGTTCCTAAGTAGGCCAGGCGAGATACCTAGCCGGCCCGATAGCAAGTTGCCCCGTAGGGTCTCAGGCGAAGGATCCGAAAAAAAGCCAACTAACAGGCCAGATAGCAGGTTGCCTCTTAGGGTATTGGGCGAAGAATCTGTGGAGTCATTTCGCAGGTCATAACACCCAGTAAGATGTCTAAAAAGGCATCCAGCAAGTGGTGAACATTAGGTATAGGCTTGATGTCTTCTAAATCCTAAATTCTTACGATTCTCCATCGAATGAAAGTACGACAGCGCCGTTGGTGTAAATACGATATCCAGCTACATAAAGCGCGCAGGGTTAGCATCCTGATAATTGTGCATACAAACCAAATCATATTGATCGGTCACAGTCGAAGCCGCAGACGGAAGAGCGCACGAAAGAGCCCTCTGGAAGCGAACTAGACTTTATCGAGTGTACCATATCAGCTCTAATAATCTCTTGTGTGGCCAGGACCACATCAAATATTACAACATCTTTTCTGCGATTAATTTTAAACACATTGTATCTACGTTTCAAAAAGTCAACCACGGACATTTGCGATAATAATAACCCTATGTGTATTGAGAAAGCCGATTGTCCTGTGGCCTTCGTAAGCTAGTCTAAGTCAATTCAGCGTTGATTTTGTTTAATGTTATCAAGACTCTACCTAGATGTACGAAGTTAGCAATCCTAAACTTCGATGACTTGAGAACCCTGAACCATTCTGGTGGTACAATTATTTCCCCATAGTCCTGCTCAATCTACTTCATAATCAGTAATTTTCTGGCTCTCGCCTCCATGTCGGCTTTAAGAATATAGAATAGCCGATAATACTTACCTTCAAGTCTCTATGATGAACACGGGCCATAACCTCTATCGCTACATATAATTCTAGGCTTCCCCTCCCGAAAGCGACAGGTCTTTATGTTGCTTAGCTTGTACTCTCTCCTTAGACACCTATGTCAATTCCATTCTAAGACGCACCGGAGATAACCTCGCTCACCATCTAATCAATTCTCCAATAAAGCCGGTACGGGATGGAACAATTTTCCTTTGATACTATCAGCGAGACAAAGAGTCAACATGGATGATAGCGGTTTGTCTTCGAGTAATTCTGGTTTCGCTAGGAAAAAGACTAGCCAATATACCTTGCTCGCTCCAAAAGCCATCTCCCCTTTTTAATGTTTCTTTAAGAGCTCAGAAGAGATAGTTTCTAAGTAGCAATAACATATGAGAGATGAGCGGCACCATAAAGATTACCGGTCTCTTCGTGCGGAGTAAATTTTCTTTTACCTCAAATGGGTCCAAAGCCTATTTTCAAACTGCTAATATTTAAGGCAGGTCCCACGCACGCGAGTATGCTGTACGCTGTATTGCTTTTAGTATTAGCGTCATGCGGTGGGCTGGCCGTGATCTTCACATTGTATCATGATATGACCCTTGTGGCTTACATCCCTAGTTGAGAGCACTTGCTAGAAAGGAAAGTCGTATGAAACCAAATTATAGTGCGAAAAAAAGATTCTTTATTCAGACTAATTTTGCTATGTAGCTTGCACACCCAATTGTTTGGGTTTTAGCCTACTTTCTCGAAATGGATATACACACTAAATTCCAGCTTTAGCGCAGTGTAGTCTATGTCCATGAAGAACGATATGCAAGTATGAACGGTGAAATAGAAGTTTCTGCACAAACCTTGTCTAGTTTCTCTAGAAACAAGAAGGTAAGGATGGGGAACGTAAACGGTCGTATGCAATGCACTAGCCTCATCACTTCTTAACCGCAACAACAAACAAACGCGGATAACCCAGCAAAACCCGGCCGTCGATTAACTTTGGATATGCACTTTCCAACCGCTTCAGATACTCGTTCAAAAATGCTTCCTTGTCTTGCGGCAGCAATGGGTCAACATAGGGCCTTAATCCAGCGCCCTTGACCCACTCCACAATGGCTTTGTGATCCTCGAGGGAATGGTGGTATTCAGTTCTGAAAATATTCACCTCAGAAGACAAAGGCTTAAGTTGGTCATATATCTCCTGCGGCGACTGAAAGAAGTCTCTACCAACAGTCCTGAGCGTGACAGCCCAGGGCCCGCTAGCGGCAACTTCCCTCATCAAGACATGGGATGGCTCCATCAGATTGTCTGGCACCTGAAAGGCAAACACTCCCCCAGAAGGCTGAGTCCCCATCAATCCCTTAATAACCGAGATTCGCTCTTCCTTCTTGAGCCATTGAAAGACGGCATTAGAAAAGAAAAGATCAACCGATGAAGAAGGGGAGTAGGATCGGAGATCTTCGACACTGAACTCAATATGTGGGAGAGCCACCTTTGCATTCTTGATCATATCAGGAGATGAATCCATCCCCTCAATATGAGAGTCGGGATAACGAGCTGCCAAAACAGCAGTCGAGTTTCCCGGCCCACAGCCCAGGTCGACTATTCTTTTTGGAGCCTGGAGAGGGACCCGAGCAAGGAGGTCGCGGGCAGGCATAGTCCGCTCATCCTCAAACTTCAAATATTGGGCGGCGCTCCAATCTTTGTTAGACATGGTGCCTGACGAGAATGGCGATGCTCTGTAACGCAAGGATGACTGTGTGAGCGACGACTTTCCCGAGAGAAAGGAGCGCCTTGTGAAAAACGATTGAGTATAACCAAACATGTAGAACAACAAAGATAGAATCAATGGTTGTAGGATATCAAGCCATCGGTTGTCCGTTTCCCTATGCTGGATGTTATTAGATATAAATAGTGAATACATTGTGCCTTAGCTAAGGCGGCCTAGTTAGCATTCCTAGTAATCGGAAGGAGCACCCTTGTTAAGTAGCGAAGATCGGAGCTTCCTGATTTAGTGTAGATGCATATCGGCTCAACTCTCAGATGTTGACCACCATCACTGGCCAACCTACCTCCGATTAACAATTAATAATTCCATGAAGCTGACTCTATGATGTCTCACTATAGTAGGGAGATGTACTGGAAGGGGCGGTTTGTGATACATGCAGTTGCGGTTCCCGGGGTAAATCAAATGAAAGCAACATGGTGGGAACAGGGCGGGGTCGCAATGGACAAGGGTTTCTATCGCAGGCGAAAAGTGACATTATAGTCCCTATCTTCAACCTCGAGAATTAGCTCTAGTGACATGAGCTATAAAACTATAGGATGTGATATACAGATGGATCAGCTCAAGCTCTCCCGTTTCCGTACGTCGTATGGGCCACTCTTTAATTACTTTGCACAGCCCCCCCCCCCCCTTGCCCTGATCACTGGAATTACCCCGCGAGACCATTGTTCCTTCCTTCCCCCGTAAGCTGTAGGAACTTCAAAGTAGTGGCTCGATTGACACCTTTCCCCTTCTCTTCTGCGATTCTTTTTACTTATCTTGCATATTACTTCAGCCCCAATACACCGTACAAACTGTACTCTTACTATCTGACACTTTCACCCATCATGTCTGGCCAGTACGGGGGTCATCAATACAATCAATACGGAGCCCATGGGAATAACCTGAACGATGGATATGGTGGTCAGCCAGGGAACTATCCTCCTGCACAGGGTCAATATGGTCAACCTCAGCAGCATGGCTACTATCAATCTACAGTATGTCTAACTTGAGTGCTACCTTTTTCTTGATATACTTCTTGGAACTATGCATCCGCCGCGCCTACCGCTGCATGGGAGTGGGACTTTATGTCTTGGCTTCTTACTATTTACTAACAGTTCATTGCTGCGACTTATCTTAGCCTGCGTACAATCAGCCGTCTCATACCCAGTACCCATCGTACGGACAACAGGGCCACCCCCCTCCCTATAACGCAACCCCCCAGCAAGGCGCTTATCCTGGTGACTATGGTCACGTACAAGGCTCGCAGATGAACCTACCGCCTGACGGTGGCCACTCCCCATACCCGCCGCAGCAACAATCTCACCAGGGTGAGAGTGCTTCGTACTACGGCGCTAGCTCGCAGTCGGGTCACGCTCCTCAGCCAGGACAAGCTCCTGGTCCGGGGGGAAAGGAAGGGGAGAAGGGTCTCGGTTCGTCGGTGCTTGGCGCTGCTGGCGGTGGTCTTGTTGGCCATAAGCTTGGGGGCGGACTATTGGGCACAGCAGGAGGTGCATTGGTCGGGGCAGCAGGTATGAATCTAGTCAACAAAGCGTACGTCTGCCATACCTGGTTATCTGCTGAGTATCTATTAGATTCCGCGCGCTAACTTGGGGTTTCCAAACAGTCGCAAGAAGCACAAGCACAAGAAACACCATAAGAAACATCATAAGCGCGACTCAAGCTCCAGCTCGTCGAGCTCTTCAAGCTCCAGTTCGAGCTCTTCTTCCAGTAATTAGGATGGCTTGTCAGGGGTAAATTCCGCAGTAATGTCGCCGATTCTTTATTTCTGAACGATCGTCAAGGTTGGTGATGGTCTCTGGCTTGAGTATCTGCCTGGTTTTGCCGAGGCCTTCTGCTTGTATGTTCCCATTCTTAGTTGAATCAACGCAGCAGTATAAGATAATCTGTGACGCATGGCTTCATCATCAGTCAATACTCAACCTAGGCATGTTCAAGCGATACCCTCCCGCCACTTGAACAAGTTCGTAGCTTTTAACGTCAAGTAGAGTAGAACATCAGAGAATCTGGAACAGGCCAAAACACGAGCAATGACATCAAGTACCGGTTTCCGTTGGTCCTTAAAGGTTCTTTATTGCCACACTAAAGACCGAATATCGGCTGGGCGTCGGATGTTTCAATGCCTCAACTACAGAGTATATAAAGCGCTTCACCAGGCCGCTATATGCTCTGTCTAGTCTCGAGTCGATGCTCAAGCGACTGTCTGTGCCGGGACCCCGGGGGGAGGGGAGAACGCTCTCTTTAACTCCTGTACTTCTAATGTGCCAATCGACGGCTCTTGATAAGTTAGGAAGACTGTCCCCATAAAGAAAAGGCAGATAAGGGGTATGCACCACCTAGTTAAGCTTGCGATGACAACAGTGGCAATTTCCATCTGCTGTCTACTTTGGTAGGCTCAGGTAAAGTATTAGGAGAGAACATGGCACCGCACAAGGGTGGTCAACGACGTATGATCTACTACTTAGTAGTGCTACACAGTAAGGTAGAAACAATTACATTGATATCCGTCATCCCGTCACCTTCACCTAATATTAAAACGATATTGTTTTGATCCTTTTTAAAAGTATTGGTTATCCTCGTAAAACATTCCCTCTAGGTAGTAATGATTGGCGGGTCAATCCAGGTGGCAATTTGGGTCGGGCGATACCCCCCTAAGTAGGTATATGACTACGCTTTGAATCATTGAGGCGCGGCCATTAGGACTCGGATGAGTAATGTTACCGAAGACGAATAAGATCGCAAGAAGGGTCGGCGTCTAGAACAGGTATAGAAGAATGGGAATCCTAGTCAATACTTTTCAGCGGTGCAACCTGATGAGACGAAAGATTTACCTTGTCCGAGGATGAATCACAAGCAAGGGCGGTTCTTTCAAACCTTGGAAAAAAGAGAAGGAAAATATAGTAATACTAATAGAAATTTTTTATTGAACAATGAAGGTCTGGGTCAAAGCATGATTCGTTGGATTTTCATTAGCTCCCTTTGATTTTTTTACTAATTTTTTTAAGAAAAATTTTTCCTTTTTCCTTTTTCTTTTATTTTTTATTTTTTTTTTTTTCTTTTATCTCATCCCTCTTTGTTGGTACTTCTTGCCACTCATCTCCAAGGTTTTCGCGGGGGATAAGGATAAGGAGTGGGAAAATCCGGAGATTTGAACTCAAGCGTGAAGGATGGGACAAAACAAAAAGTCAAAATTCGATGGTCGATAAGGGATAAGGACGATAAGGGGCTACTTTTTTCTTGTCTTTTTCTGTTTATCCTCTTTGAAACTTTCCCCCTTTTTCTCCGTCTGGAGGAGTCGTTCGACAGATCAGCAGCACTGCATACTTGCATACGCTTTTCCACCCCGCGTACATATATCACAGGTAGCAGCATTGGATATAACATGCCTGGATTCAAGTATGCATTCGGCGGTGAGGTTTAAATCTTAGGCGAATTGGCGGTGATGCGTCGTCTTACCACCTTGTAAGCCATCGTTTCAGCCGTTGGCTTGCGACGAGTAAGCACTCGCACCGTCGACTAAAATATCCCTAGATACTCTCTTTCTCCTTTTTCCGCCAAAGAAATATCCGTCTGAACTCCGTGTCCTAAAACAATCTTTCTCCGATGTGTTCTCCTGCTGATATTACCTTCAGTCGGTCGACCTTTGTAGATCACAATTCAGCGATAAATTGATAGGTTAGTAGGGTTTAATTACTGCCGCTTATTGTACGGATTCTGGACCGTACAGCTGTTCAATTCAGCGCATTATCTAGTCGCTTACGGCGGCCTGGGCAACACAGATTGCTGTGATGTACTATGTATGTCAACGTAGCAAACGCTGGGTTGGGGACAGTTCAGTATCAGTTCAGCCACCCAACCCTCTGAAATGACGGAAGACATCGGGAAGTCTCTCAATAGTCCATAGCTCTTGTCAACCCTTAACGCCTTGTTGTTTCTCTGTATTAGGGTCTCCTTTTTTCCTTTCTTTTTTCATTTTTTGATCGATTTTTTTCCGGCCCAAAGAAAGGCTTTCCGATGTCTAGAAACTCGACTGCGCCACCGAAAGTCTGCGGGAGCGATCTGAGGGTGGCGACAGAAATAGCACCAGCATCTGCAGGCCCAACACATTCACTCACACGGGAACGGACACTAACCACGGTAGATTAGCCAGTGTTGTTGCATCCCCAGATTCATGCCCTGTCAGGGACTGAAAGACATTAGCCTAGTCCACTAAGAAGGATAATCAAGGGATGTGTTTTTCCACCGCCTTGTAGGTTTACTTGAAGGGCGGAGTGCTATCGCACCGAGCCTGTTGTCGTAATTCTCTAACCGCCCGGGAATTTCAATCAAGTGTCTAGATACCGATCAGGAAGGATAACTGGAACTCTCAAATAAAAATAAATAAAAAATATTAAATAAAGAAATTCTTCGTCGGAAGTGGCAGCCTTGTCATCAAAAGAAAGGAACCCGAGTACCTTTGATTATACAAGAGACCAAACAACTGTGTACACTGTAGAAGCAATGAGACGGACAAACACAACGAATGGATTCCAGCGATATTAGTCGCCTCAGGCCAAAATTACATATCTAAGCCGCCCGGGTTTCAGTGTGTTACTGTAGGGCAACACCATGATCGAGTAATGTCCGAGATTTTTTTAATTCCTAGGGTTCTCTTATTGCAACCTCGGATTGTCCGTCCAAAAAACCAGAAAAAAACTCTTTTAGTCGGGCGAGACGAAAGACCAATTAGCAACCACTGATTGAACTCAACGCAGCCACGGGCCCTATCGGCTTGGTTGCTTCGACAGCCATCGGCACTAATCCGGTTCCGGGTCTAGCGCGGGACTGATGGGAGAGGAAAAAAATTTTTTGCAATGGGTTGCCTCTCTTGGAGGGTTGGGCGGCGAAAAGAATAGTCCACAAACCGATAAATATCATCCATCCCCATCCACTTCGTCCCCCTTCCCTCTCTCCCCTCTCACCATATCCCCTCCTATCTCTTCTTCTAAGAGGTCTGGTCCTCTCTTTTTTGTGAACACTTTTGTTTTTCTTTTTGTCTTGCTAGACAAATCAAAAAGTTAGATTTCTATTCGGCCATTTTAGAGCGTGTTCTGTGTCAGTTTCGTCTAGACACAGTTTTCGTGGGCCGTCGCCTCTTATCGAGATACCCTCATAGAACGCTTTTGAACCGTTCTTGCTATTTTTTTTTCTCTTTTACATTCTTCCTTTCTCCTTTTCGAGTTAACGATATCCGACTTCCTTTCGCCCAAAATGCCTGCTGTTGATGTCTCTTCGGTTCCTGCCGTCTCTGGCAAGGAGACTGCTCAGTCCATCGCTGTCCTGGAGGACTTGCTCAAGAACCTCAACATTTCTTCGACTCAGGATGAGGTGAACGCTGCCAGCGATAACCTTGCCCACCTCCTCAGTGGCCCTATCCCTGAACAGACCCTTCCCCTGAAGTATGTTCTAAAACCCCACCTAAAGGGAAAAATTCTTCACCTAGACACAGTGAGACTAACACAACATAGGCTGGCCGAGTCTCTCCAGAAGCAGCTCTCAAATAAGAAGGATGCCAACGCCCGTCAGCGTGCTTGCGACGCCATCCGGGCCATTGCTTCCCACGCCACCATCGCCCCTGGCGTTGAGCCTCACCTCGTTACTCTCTTGCGTCCTGTCCTCGCTGCCGTTGGTGACAAGATGACCAACGTCAAGGATGCCGCCCAGAGCGCCGCCATTGCTATTGTCAAGGGTATCAACGGCAACGCCGTCAAGGCCGTCCTTCCTCCTATCCTTGACTCCCTCGAGTCCGCCCAGAAATGGACCGAGAAGATGTGTGCTCTTGAGTGCATCAACTCTCTCGTTGAGTCCGCTCCCGCTCAGCTTTCTTTCCGTGTCCCCGATTTGATCCCGGCTGTCTCAGAAGCTATGTGGGATACCAAGGCCGAGATCAAGAAGGCCGCGTATGCCACCATGGAGAAGGTTTGCGGTCTTATCGTCAACAAGGATATTGAGCGCTTCATTCCCGAGCTTATCAAGTGTATCTCCAAGCCTGAGAATGTCCCCGAGACCGTTCACTTGCTCGGTGCTACCACTTTCGTTTCCGATGTCACTGGCCCTACCCTGGCCATTATGGTTCCCTTGCTTGACCGTGGTCTCGTCGAGCGTGAGACTGCTATCAAGCGTAAGTCTGCTGTCATTGTGGACAACATGTGTAAGCTAGTGGAGGACCCTCAGATCGTCGCTCCTTTCCTGCCTAAGTTGATGCCCCGTCTCGAGAAGAACTTCGAGACCCTGCCCGACCCTGAGGCTCGTGGTAAGACTGAGCAGGCTTTGGCTACCCTCGCCCGTGTCGGTGATGTCAAGGATGGCAAGATCCCCGAGATCTCCACCGCTGGTGACATCTCCACCGTTTCTACTATCCTTAAGGAGATTCTCTCCCCCAAGTTCGACGAGCAGATCAAGAAGTCTGAGGCTGTCATCACCTACGTTGGTGCCATCGCCGGTCAGCTCGTTGATGAGAAGGTCGGTGAGGTTGAGAGCTGGACTCAGAATGCTCTCCCCTACATCACTGCCATTGTCGGTGAGGAGGAGGCCAAGCCCATCGCGGAGACCCTCCGTAAGCGTGCCTCTCCTGACGCCGCTGCTGAGGATGAGGTTCTCTCCGACGAAGAGGAGGGTGAAGATCTGTGCAACTGCACCTTCTCCCTGGCCTATGGTGCCAAGATCTTGCTGAACCAGACCCACCTCCGCTTGAAGCGTGGCCAGCGTTACGGTTTGCTCGGTCCTAACGGTACCGGTAAGACCACCCTCATGCGTGCCATCAATAACGAGCAGCTTGAAGGTTTCCCCAAGAAGGACGAGGTCAAGACTGTCTACGTCGAGCACGATCTTGATTCCGCCGACACTGAGCAGACTGTCATTGGCTGGACCCTGAAGAAGCTCCGCGAAGTCGGCCTTGAGCCCAAGCAGGATGAGGTCGAGGCTAAGCTCGAGGAATTCGGTTTCCTCCGTGAGCAGCTCAACGGCCCCATCACCGCCCTCTCTGGTGGTTGGAAGATGAAGTTGGCTCTTGCCCGTGCTGTCTTCGAGAAGCCTGATATCCTCCTCCTGGACGAGCCTACCAACCACTTGGACGTCAAGAACGTTGCCTGGTTGGAGAACTACCTCTGCACTTCCCCTTGCACTTCCATCATCGTCTCTCACGACAGCAAGTTCTTGGACAACGTTATTCAGCACGTCATCCACTACGAGCGCAACTTCAAGCTCAAGCGTTACCGTGGTACTCTGAGTGAGTTCGTCAAGAAGGTTCCCTCCGCTCGCTCCTACTACGAGCTTGGTGCCTCCGACATGGAGTTCAAGTTCCCCGAGCCTGGTTTCCTCGAGGGTGTTAAGACCAAGGCCAAGGCTATCATCCGTGTTAGCAACATGTCCTTCCAGTACCCCAACACTCCCAAGCCCCAGATCACCGACATCTCCTTCCAGGTGTCGTTGGGATCTCGTATTGCCGTCATCGGTCCCAACGGTGCCGGTAAGTCAACACTGGTCAACGTCTTGACCGGTGAGTTGATCCCCACCACTGGTGATGTCTACCAGCACGAGAACATCCGTATCGCCTACATCAAGCAGCATGCTTTCGCCCACATTGATAACCACCTCGACAGCACTCCCTCCGAGTACATCCAGTGGCGTTTCCAGACCGGTGAGGACCGTGAGACCATGGACCGTGCGAACAAGATTGTCACCGACGAGGACGAGAAGGCCATGGACAAGATCTACAAGATCGATGGTACCCCCCGTCGTGTCATTGGTATCCACTCCCGTCGTAAGTTCAAGAACACTTACGAGTACGAGTGCTCCTTCCTGCTGGGTGACAACATCGGCATGAAGAGCGAGAAGTGGACTCCCATGATGACCAGCGACAACGCCTGGATTCCTCGTAACGAGATTATCCAGTCCCACGCCAAGATGGTCGCCGAGGTTGACCAGAAGGAGGCTCTTGCCAGCGGTCAGTTCCGTCCTCTGGTCCGTAAGGAGATCGAAGAGCACTGTGCCCAGTTTGGTCTCGACGCCGAACTTGTTTCTCACTCCCGTATGCGCGGTCTGTCCGGTGGTCAGCGTGTCAAGGTTGTCCTTGCCGCCTGCTCTTGGCAGCGTCCCCACGTGATCGTCCTTGACGAGCCTACCAACTACTTGGATCGTGACTCTCTCGGTGCTCTCTCCAAGGCTATCAAGACCTTCGAGGGTGGTGTTGTCATCATCACTCACTCCCGTGAGTTCACTGAGAACCTCACTGAGGAAGTCTGGGCTGTCGTCGACGGAAAGATGACTCCTTCCGGACACAACTGGGTTCAGGGTCAGGGTTCCGGTCCTCGTCTCACTGAGAAGACCAACGATGAGGACACTTTCGATGCTATGGGCAATAAGGTACGTTATTTTCCCTCAAATTCACTACCCAAACCTCCTCCCGCTTTCTGCTTCACCCCATCCGATCCTTCCACCTTATGACATGATATGCTAACTCCTTAAATAGATTGAGGCACCTAAGAAGGCCAAGAAACTGACTTCAAGTGAGATGCGCAAGAAGAAGAAGGAGAGACTTGCACGAAAGTATGAAACCTTACGAAACCCCCTTCCCCCACCCCCCCTTCTCCGAGGCCGAAATGATGCTAACCGATTTTATAGGAAGCGTGGTGAGGAAGTCTTCTCTGATGAGGATGATTTCTAAAAAAATCGCTATAGTACAAAAGAAAAACGCGAACATTGCTTATGAATTACTCCTTTGCTTGAAATTAATACTTGGATGGCTCAATTCTTTATGTAATGTCGTTGATAGATGTTATGATCGGACGAATTTATTTTCCAATTATGGATTGCACTCCCAACTTTCTGTAAGACCCAAACTAATACTAATTAATATACTTGTGGATTACATAAGTAAGAGCTAGAACTGTTTGTCACAATTCGTAACACAAGTAATGCGCAGGTTGAGGCCGTTAAATCGGTGGCTTCCATTAACGGTCTATAAAAATTGGTGTTGCACCACGTGATATGTGTTCCCGACCAACACTTGGTCTCAGTAACGTATCCCGTAAGCGAGCTGGCCACTTCCGTTCTGATGTTCTGATCTCACCACCGGGGTTAAGTACTAGCGCATGTATCAACGAAATAATTGCATTTCTTTATAATAACTAATTAGAAACCCGATTAAGACATTGCAGCCGTTCATGCCCTAGAATATGACAATCACTGCAGCGTGGTGGCGCTCGTACGAGTGATCCAGCTACAGATAGTCCTGGATCTATAGGTAGAGTATCATGAGCTTTACCGATCTTATTCCCACACTAGAGTCGCTCTAGGCCCTCTTGAATAGTAAAACCCTCTGTAATAGTTAGCTGTTTAGTAGAGCGCTTTTCCTTTTGGGCTTGGACCTCAATGCGCAGTTCGAAAAGCCTTGATTTCCTTCAGAACAGTCACATTATTAAAAGTTATAATTCAGCTCCTTTTATCAATTGATCTAATGCAGCTTTAGTAGGAGAACTAGCACTCTGCGTACGAGCCCTAAGTAATTTTTTAATTGTAGTCTCTTTCTCTTTAAGCTGCTTTAGATTATGAGGTGTTTGAGGATCTGAATTTGTTGACCGACTGCCTGGTGGTGTAGGAGTTTTTAGTTGTTCACCTAACTTTTTAAGCACTCTTTCAGGATCAAATGGAACTATACAAGCTCCTGTAAAGCTATTTTAAATAGTCTCTGATTTTATAATGTAGCCGTACGAACTTCAGGGAAGCTTTTTAAAAGCCAAACTTATCAATATGACTAAAGTCAGCCTTTGATTTAGCTTCTATCAAGTCTCCGTGCGCATCTTTTAGAGGTTAGAAGCAGCCAATATCAAGAGGTAGTAGGCGATATGATAAATAGGCAGGTATATAGATAGGAATAATATCATTCTCACTACATACCTTCTCGAATTAAGGCGTTAGATGACTTCTACGGCTATCTAGAATAAGTGTCACGGTGTGCCCGCGGGCACACCTACCTGCCTGCCTGAATCCTGAACATACTTATATATGTGAGTGCAGTACAAAGCCTTCGGCTTTGTATCCTAGTCTTTTGCTGATAACGCAGTGGTTAAGCTTCTGAATGCACCCAGAGGTCACACCGTGACAATAAGCAGTCAATATTTTTCTACTGTACGGCCAGTAATAACAGGAATAAAGCGCTTTTAAAGCCAACGAAGGCATATCTTACCAGTAGTCTATCTATTAGGACTAACTTCAATACTGAGAGACCTAGAAAGTGCTCTGTCAACTGTGCATTGCATACTGGCTGAAAACCCGTGAGCATCGTGCTTTGTATCTACAGGATATAGATGTTCTCAGAGACCATATCCAATTGGACTGAGAAGCAGTTAAGCCAGTCTCGTGCAGCAATTGCCCTGCTATGAAAGACACCTTTGGCTATAAATGGAGACACGGTGTCGAGGCCAAAACCATCTCGGTCCTCTGCGCTGCATGCCATGGGCTATCATTGTAATCCTCATTTACAAACGGTTAAGGTGGGTTGAAGGACCAAATTTGGGTCGAGAGGCTGAAAGACCAGTTATCTGCGTGTACTGCGGAAATCAGGAAGGTGTTGATTAGATGCGAAAAATTCACGTTTGGGAGGGAATTTTTAGCTTCGGGGTGTCAAGTATGTGTTTGGAAATATCGTAAATTATTCTCAGTTTGGTTTTCCAGAAAATGCGGCACTATAGCTGAAATCATGGATGTCTGTTCTCCATTTCTCTGTTGATATTATGCATGTACATACTACGTACTACGAACTGGGGTACAATCCGCCTGCGGAATGCTCTTAACGCCACAAATTATCTTAAATCCGAGAGCCCCACTACCACCGCCTTCACAAAATCCATTCTGCCTTATCGATAATGCCAAAAAATGGAAGGAAAAAAAAAAACTACTTTAGCGGGGTACCTAATGTTCAAGTAGTTTCCCATCTCCAGACACATTCATCCCACTTAAAAGCTACCAATCGCATTCATACAACTTGTTTTGAAGAGTGCCACATCATTCCTGTAAGCGTTCTTCCAATTCGAGATCTCCTAGTTGAAAGGTCCGATTTTGAGAACCCGAGGGTCTCGTCGGGAATAGCCTAGATCAGGTATTCCTTATCGCTTACGAACTAATAGGGTTCTATCAGCCTTTCAAAACTATTATTATTCTTCTCTGTGAACGAATCTCTCCAATATGGCCGAAGCTTCGGCTGTATACCCCGCATCCTTGGGCACATTATATGATGAAGGGTCACCACTAAAGCACCAGTATGATCCTATCCGGTTGGCAGACGCCGAGATAGTTCCAATTCTACAACTACCTCTTGCAAAGGCTATCTTTGGCCACGAGTCGGCGGATGAGAGTGCTCTCACTCGTGTGGCTGGCGGGGAGATATCTTATACTACCTTTTTAGCCGACAAGACGAAGTCTATATCCCACACGCAGCTAGACGGTTTGACTCCCGAACAGCAGCATTCGCAACTGTTCCACATTGGCCTAGCAGCCCTCTTCAGTTTCCTTCAGTCCAATGTCACTGGACCCCCATTGGGTTTCAACCCTGCGGAGCTAATTATCCCGTCAGCTCTGCGGACTGACGCGACATTTCTGAAAGCCGTCAGAACCCATATGATTCGCGATCTCTCCGTAGATGGGGAAGCCGCCTATAAGCTGACTCCGAATGTGGAGCTCTTCGCCGTTGCGAAGGCCATCCTGGTCGACACTGACGTCCTACTTGTCAATGGCCCGTTGGTCGCTAGGACAGCAAGAATGCGTGTTAATTTCCTTCATCAAAAGATGCTATCAGAAATCACTAGCACGCTACAGGATGCAGTCTACTCCGATATCGAGCAGATCAGCAAGATCTTGTTGAATGAATCTACTGCTAACTCAGAGAAAGGAAAATTCTTCCTCGAAAGAGCTCTCATCCACAATCACTATGGTTTCGATTCCAAAGCCAGAGCTGACATTGAGAAGGCTACATCCGAAAGAAACTTCGAATTTGCTCTAACCGGAAAGTTGGGTAAAAGAACCAAATTTCAGGAACGCGATGTCAGTCAACTTGTTATCCTGGCAAAATCTGCCGACGACGCAACGGATGTGAGCCCCAACAGCCAGAGTGATTCACAGCCCTCGGGCCCGAAGAAGTTGGATCTCAATGATGATACCCTTTTGGAATCCATTTCTTTTACTAAGGATGAAAAGCAACAGCCTCAGGATAAGCAAGTTACCGTACAGGAGGAGTCAACACTATCATCAGTACTGGCATCTATCGACCCAGGAAATCAGCCAAGACTCCACCCCGTTGATTCTGCAATTCTCTTAGCTCAGGCTGCTGCGATCACCAACACCACTCCCGAGAATGGTCTAACTCGAGAGGAGACACACCCATACGCTACCCGAGTTCTTGAGGGCGGTAGCTCAAACTGGCAGATTTACACACAGGGTCTTCTAGCGCGGAGCAGAATTGAGGGCTATAGGGCTCGGACGGTGGAAAGGTCGGTCTTACAGATGCAAGCCCTTGTAGATCAAGTCATCGCCGACACCGCTACCCTCGACAGTCACGCTACTACTAATGTTGAAGAGCCTACTACATTCTTGCCGAGACCCGAGAAATCCGAATCAGCATCGGCCTCAGAGAGACTTGAATACATATGGCTGCTGAACTTCTCCACCAGGTGGAACCTCGAGGCTGAGCTGGCAACTCGGTGGGTCAATCTGGGAGGACTGCGAACTGCGCTTGACATCTACGAACGTTTGCAGATGTGGGCAGAGGCTGCACTATGCTACGCCGCTACGGAAAGAGAAGAGAAGGCGAAAGCCATGGTTCGCAGGCAGCTCTACAAACCAACGAACAAAGAGAATGAAGATGAAAATGAGAAGTTTGAGGGGCCTGAATTGTCACCTTTGCCTGCTGATGCCCCCAGACTATTTTGCATTCTGGGAGATATTGATTCAGACCCAACTATGTATGAGCGTGCATGGGAGGTATCGAACAACAGATACGCACGGGCTCAGCGGTCTTTAGCCCGTCATTATCTCACATTGAACCCGCCTGCCCTAGAAAAGGCCGAGGAGGCTTATCAGAAGAGCTTGCATATTAACCGTCTCAATCACGGCGCTTGGTTCGCACTAGGCTGCGTACAGCTTGAACTCCAGCGTTGGGATGATGCGATATCCTCATTCACTCGGGCCGTTCAACTGGAAGACAATGATGCTGAAGCATGGAGTAACCTTGCCGCAGCTATCCTGCGAACATCTAAACCAGATGAGGATGAGTCTACCCCCGCTACTGCGGAGCAGCCCGACGAGGAGCACGAATTAGAAACAGGAAAGGTGCCACAAGACCCTCACAAACGCAAGCGTGAGGCCCTCGCAGCTCTGAGTCGTGCAGCTCAGCTCAAGAATACAGATGCTCGTATCTGGGACAACGTGCTCACGGTAGCAGCTTCAATCCCTCCTCCGTTTACACCGTTCCGGGATGTTATTACAGCACAAAGGAAACTCATTGAACTTCTTAGTGCTAAGAAAGGCGAAAAATCCGTTGATCTACCGATCTTGGGCATGCTTGTCGACCACCTTGTAACAGCCTATGAGTATGAAGAGCTACTGATTGACATTAACGATGGAAATGAACCCCCGCAGCGAGTCGTCCGTAGTGGTACGATCCCTGGACAGATTTTGTCTTTGTTGGACGACTCTATTGTGCCACTAATCACCCACTCTGCACCGCTTTGGCTTCTTGTTGCTCGCGTTGAGCAGTTCCGTGGACATCCGTCCAAAGCCTTTGAAGCTCACGAGAAGGCCTGGCGTGCTACTGTGGCCTCATCAACGCAAGGGGCATTCCAGATGGGTGACGGAAAGAAGTGGATGGAAATTGTACGTTCCACGGAGAAATTGGTTCGTGATGGGTACGCCAAGTACGGCCCTATGGACAAGGAGGGTCAGGAAAATGCGAATAGAGAAGCCGGGCTTGTTGCCAAAGATTGGAGGTTTAAGGCTCGTAGTGCAGTGAGGGGTATTTTAGGTAAAGGCAAGGAGTTCTGGGAGGGTAGTGAAGGGTGGACACGGTTGAAGGAGCTGCAGAGTGAAGTCGGTAGTACATAAGCAGACTACCTCAGATGGCATTATTAGTGTTATCTCTTCGATTAAATAGATCGGTACATCAAAATTCACTTCAAAAACTATCTACACGGCATCTTGACGTTTCATCTCCGAGGTCAAAATCCAATCATCCTTAGAACATAGATATAGAACAAGCCCCCGCAAATGATATGGCCGTCCTAAGCCGATATTCGTAGGTCATAGGGGTCCGTTTTTAAGCGCAGCAGGCATGCCAATCTCTCAGCGAATAAATGTTGGCGAGGGTTTTTCGCTGAGAAGGTGTAGGTGGAGACCGATCATGAGAGTCTGGTATACAGCACAAACGCTTGCTCCAAAATGATAGGCGCACAGACGTATCTCCATTAAGTTCCTCCTAGGAACATGCCCCAGAATTTGGGGCATGAAGTAAACCATATCTCACTGATGGGACTGTATGCAGAGATGGCGGTCAACTAGATCGAACTTCCTCAAACGTGGGAATTTTTTCAGAGGCATAATGGGCCAGGAGGCAGTCCATATCCTGATCATTCATTTGGACAAGATCACCCAGGCTCCATGATTCGCAAACTCCAGACATCCTAGGTAACAAGTCAATAGATTCCTTCGAAGTATTATTGAGCAACTCACCATTTCATCCTTTTTGGACCTTCCTCCACATTGGGAGCTACCTCCCTTAGCTTCTTTCGCAACTTTCCCACATTCTCTATTGCCGCTCCCATGTTGTCTGGAAGAGTATCGGCTATTTTCTTCCGCACCATGCTCGCAAGCTTAGGACCGTTTCCATTCGTGCTGACCATCACTTGTAATGGGCCGTCTCGATGCACACTGCCGAAGTAAAAGTCGCATTCGGGAGGAACATCCGCGATGTTTGCAGGGATTTTCTTCTCTTTGCATAGCTTCCATACACGGGTCGAAGCATCCGGGTCATCAATGGCGCAGAGAACCATATCTGCCCCTTCTAGATCCTTCGGCTCGAAGTTCCGGTCGATGTGAGATACCTGACCTTCGGATACCCGATATGCGACTTCATCGTTTAGGCCAGAAGCTGGACAGACGACCGTTACTTTGGCATCAGCGTTAAGAGCATGGAGGATTCGACCAGCGGCTACCTATATTTATCGTGTTATAGTCAGAGAGAGAATTCTAAATATATATTACAGCGCTGATTGCTACACAATAACAAAGGAGCGCACCTGTCCACCTCCAACTACCAAGACATGCTTGTTTTTTACTTGCCAAGCAACAATGAGGGACCCTCCTCCCTGAACCTCAGGAAACTCTTGTGACATCTTCAAATAGGTGGCAATTGGGCTTTGATTATCAGGGGAGCGGGGTTTATCGACATAATGTCGGCGGCGGGGGCATTCTCGGTACGGGGAGCAACAAAACCCCGTGACGAAAAGCTCCAGCTTATTTTTTTCTCTCCAATTTTAGCTCCCGCTATTTTTTTTCTTCCTCTTCCTTCCCCTCAAATGTGAAATTCCCCTAGTCTACCACCACCTTGACCCTCCCCCTTCATTTATCTGTTCCATGTCTTTTTCTAGCACATAATAGCATCAAAATGCGTGGAGTACAGATTTTTTCTGGGACATCACATCCCGCACTTGCTAAAGTTGTCTGTGACCGGCTAGGGACCCAGCCCGCCCAGGCAGACCTTGGGAAATTCAGCAATGGGGAGACGAGTGTAAATATTGGTGTCTCGGTGCGGAACCAGGATGTTTATATTGTGCAGAGCGGCAGTGAAAAGATCAATGACAGTGTCATGGAACTCTTGATCATGATCTCTGCCTGCAAAGGTGGCTCTGCCAAGTCCATCACAGGTACGTTTTACGGGGCCAATCTCCCTTTGATCATATCATAGTTGGCTAACTTGCAGCTTGATTCAGCGGTTATACCGTATGCTGCCTGCCTTGTTTGACTACCGCTCAATTGATGCTGACATAGCTGAGGTACTTCCCATACTCTCGTCAATCTAAAAAGAAGAGTCATCGCGGTGCCATCACTGCCCGCATGCTGGCCAACCTTCTTTCAGTTGCTGGTGTAGACCATGTGATAACCTTGGACTTGCATGTGAGTCACAAAGCAGTCGGTGTCGGCATGGTTTCATTTTCTGGAAGAAATTCTCATCAGGACATATAGGCGTCCCAGATGCAAGGTTTCTTCGGTAAACCCGTGGACAATCTGTTTGCCGAGCCTTACATCGCTCGTTGGATCCGTATGAATGTTCCTGGTTGGAGGGAGGCAGTTGTTGTCAGCAAAAATGCCGGGGGTACCAAACGGGTCACGTCATTGGCAGACACGTTGAAGCTCAACTTCGGCATCGTTACTACCGATAGGCGCCGTCCTAAAACGAAGATGGCTATGTCTGACAGCACAGTCTTTTTTGATTCTATAGACGAAGATATCACTCCTGTTCAAAAAGACAATGACCCGTTTGTACTCCACGTTCAGACCGGAAACAATGGCGAACCTCAACCCAAAGAGTTGCCAGGACAAAACAATAACATGGAATCGTTGTTGTCGGCAAACGCGCTGCTTCCTGACATTCTGACTGGTGCTCGTCGTCCTTCGGAATTGGAAGCTGCACACGGGTGCACAGATGTCCGGGTACATGATGTAATCACTGGGCGACTCGTAGAGGGTCACCTTGTTGATGATGACTACCACCCGACGGATTCCACGTCTGCGCCGGGAGACACTACCTCAGGGCAAAGCGCTATCGCAGAGAATTCTGATGCTGTTTCAGATTCAATGGCGGAGTCCTTTGTCTCTAACACATCCTCTTTGCCTGGTGACCATGCTCTTGGTGGCTCGTTCGATGCTGCTGAATCATCTGATGAAGAAGGCAGCGTCGGGCGAGCTGTTGAGCGAGAGAAGACCATTACTTTTGTGGGCGATGTCCGTGATAGGACTGTGTTCATTGTCGATGATATGATTGACAAAAGTGGGTCATGGATTGCTGCCGCAGAGACTGTTGTGAAGAAAGGTGGTGCTAAGAAGGTCTACTGCATTGCAACCCATGGACTTTTCGGGGACAAATCCCTTGAACAAATGGAAGCATGTGAGGCGATTGACTATATTGTAGTGACCAACACTTTCCCTATCTCTGAACAGATGGTCAGGAAGTCGAAGAAGTTGGTCCTCATCGACATATCGACTCTTATCTCAGAGAGCATCAGACGCCATCATTATGGCGAAAGGTAAGTCAACCCTTCCAAGTTCTATGAGTATGGGAGTTCTAACGCTTGGTGAAGTGTTTCGGCACTTTTTCATCTCAACGACTAACGTGCATTTCCAACTGCACCTTTCCCTATCTCATGCTTTTGGGCGGGTAAAATCTCGCCACTGTGCCGCTACGGTAACACATGACCTTGATGCATTGAGTGATGACTTCAAGCGAGTAACGACCTGAAAATTGATGAATTTCTTTGTCTTTCATACCGGATGGCGGTTATCTGCTTGCACTGCGCAGGATTTCTACTTCGTACATTTTGTCCCGTGATACCTAACGCGATTTCTTTTCTAACAAGTTTCAAATCATTGAGTTGTTATTAGCGGGCGCCAGTTCAACGTACTTGTGTCTCAGCGTCACACAAACGCGACTTCCCGGTCTCACTTGAAATATGAAGATCAGCCTCCTATGGCCACACATGATGTGGTTATACCGCTGCTTTGCCACTTGTTTGTGCTTTGACTTTGACCCCATTGGGGCGCCGATGACCGGCAAATCGTTCTTTATTACACCAGCGATGCAGTCCACTTTGGGTACTGCAGGAACATCTTGCAAGGACGGAGATCTCTCTGGACTTACTTCACAAGATCGTTCTTAACGGAGCGTTGGGAGAATACATTTGGCTCTGTTTGTCTATCTACTCTTCGTGCAATTTGGCATGGGGACAGGTAGCTACCAGGGCCTTCGAGGAATGAAGGCACCAGTTTCTGGAATCTTCGTTGATTACCAGGCCTCGGCCAGTGAAACTGGTGCAAGAGAACATCTCGAACATTCCAGTAGTTGCATTAGTCGTATGTTGATATGTAATTTTTTTTTTTTTGGAAATATATATCTATCAATTCGTCTTGGTGCAAATGTGCCACGGCTCCTTGTCACTGTTCTCCCGCCAACCTAATATCTCCGTATAGGTTGCGTATCAGGCCTTTGCATCCCTGGGCAGATCGGATTGAGCTGTCCCAGAGCCACTGGTTCAACATTGATTATTGGAAAGATCCGAATTGATATTCGTTGCTTGGAATCGAGAATGTGACGGGTTGATTAGGTGGGCTGACTTCACTTGACTGTTCTCAAGTGTCCGACAAAGAGCTGTTTATGTGACGTCGTACAGCAGAGTCTCTTGATCATTGTAGCGGTGTATAGAGATATAGCAACCGGGAACGCAAGCTGAAATTGCGACAAGCCACGGCGGGCAATCCGGTCCAATGTCAATTGATATGCTTGCAACGCGACGTCATATATCGATCTCGGCTAGATTCCGATTGACAAGAGAAAGTCGAACACATCCAATCATTCTCTTGCGAGTGCAGGGTGTTAGTTGTTCTCTAGAGCCCACCGTGTTGCTTCATCGCATCTTACATGAGACGCTTGACAGACGCTACAGGATGGGGAGACAAGCAAAAAGGGAAAACAATGTTGAGTCAGATATTACGGAATAGTACGTCCTTTGTTTTTTGGAAAAGGAGACGTGAGAAGAAAGCGACCTGTCAAGCGCAAAAGTACCATGCATCGGCGGGGCGCGTGGGTCATTGTTTGGAGAACAACCAACTCCGCGGGAGACGGAGTCCACACTAACGAGCCAACGAAACCTACCGGGGCACAGGAATACGTCGGGGAACCGCATCCGGTAGATCAGCGCAAAGGTTCGACTTTCAATTCAACTAGGATGGTACAGTTACTCATTTGGGGCAACTGGGTCGGGAAGGAATACGACTAGCTCGGTTACTTCGTGAAGCATCTAAGCGAGTATGGATATGGAGAGTACGTTATTGAGGAGAACCTAAGCAGGGCTTACGTACAATTCCAACGCGTCTCGAGGCGCTACCTAGTTAGTCGATACGATGATTCGGCTGAAGTGGGATGATGAGATCTCCATTTCGTTCATTTCGATGTCATCAGTGGTCCTAGCGCCTTAGTGGAACACTGTCAGGTCCGACAGGCTGGGTAATTTGGGGCTCAGAACGCTGTGTGCACCGCGTGCTCATTTCTCTCGTCCGGCCCAGACCCGATTTTCTTTAGCCTTTTTCCCCCCTGCAAGAATCAGGTCGCAAGGGCTCTTGATTTGCTACCCGGTTCGATCTACTCTGTTAGTGGTACTACTGCACCCTCTAGGCTAGATTTAGGGCCGAATTAGCTCGCCAGACGGAGCTAGTGGTGTCTTACAACTTCGGCTGAGGAAGAAGCCCCCTGGCTTCCGATTTACTTGATACGGGTCAGTATCTTTGCCGGAAGAATAAAATGATCACCGGGTCTTAAACACTATCTCCTTCCTGCCTTCTTCTTTAGTCTTCTCTGGATTTGTGACTGAACCAACGAGGTAAAGTGTCCGCCCCGAGTACCCCTTTCTCGGGTCCCTGTCAAGTATTTACTATGCACTGGTGGCTTGACGACACTAAGCTGGTAGTCAACTCTATTCCCACTTGAAAAGCCACCGAGTCACGAACCTGGTTGGCGGGTCTGTGGATCCTCTGCAATTGTCCGTCGTGATCAGCTAACTAAGATTAACGCGAAGAGAGAAGAGAAAAAGAAAAAGAAAAGAAAAGAAAAGAAAAGAAAAAAAAAATAACCTAACACAACAGACGAAACCAAATGATTTGGTACTAGATCATGCAATTCTCTGGAAGATGGGTAGGTTGTTTGTTTTGATGTGCTACAGGACTTCAACCATATGGACCATACCCTGTAGGTATAGACCTGCATGTACTGTACGTCTCACGTGTCCCAGATGGGATGCATACACCTTTGATTGCTCCCTTCCAGAAGGCCTAAATGGTTTCCCTGCATGGTCCGGATCTTACCAATCTACTCCGTATGGAGGCGCTGGACTTCAGCCTGGGATGTCAAAAGACTAGGGCCTTCGGTAAAGGGGCACCGGTGCAACTCGGCGATCCGGTGGCTCTCAAGGTGAACAAGGGAGACCCTCCTTCTACGAGTGCCTAATGGGACAGGCTGAGACGGTGGATGAGCCCAAAGAAGTCAGATACATGAAGAGTGACTTTTTTTGGGGGAGGGGGGGGGAAACCGAGGTTTCGGATATGGAATTGCGACCCAAATTAAAATCGTTCTTTTGCTACTTAACTTCTTATCCGTCAAAAATCACCTGCCCAAAAAGAAATTTCGGTGGATTGTGAGAGAGAGAGAGCAAAAGGAATCGACACTAATAATATTAAGTTTTTCTTGAAAAAGATAAATAGAAAGATAAATAAAAATATACATTGATCAGAACGAGAAGGAAAGTGACAGAAAATTATTGTTAAAAATAAATAAATTATTTTCCCAATGTATTTGTCACATGGTGTCTCCAATTTCTCAGGTTACTCTCGCAATAATAGTACTAAAAATTATTTGACTAATTATTGAAAGAGGGGGGATGGATTTTGATTTTAAGAGTGGGCGTGAGAGTGAGCGAGATAGACCAAAATAATAATGATGATAATAATTATTAAATAAATAAATAATAAATAATAAAACCACAAACCACTAAATACTTCCGCTATATAGGTATATTAATTAATACCATCCATCCATCCATCCATCTATCTATCAAATAAGTAAATATACTCCGTCAGTATGGATCTTGGGAAGGATCTGCACGCCAAAAAGTCCCAAAGCACCGGCACTGGGAAATCCTTCTCGCTCCTCCAATCATCAATGTCCGATTTTTTCAATTAGGCCCAGATCCATAGTCCTGGATACGGTTGTGTCGATGGGCCTCTCATCTTTGTCCGATCCGGCTCTCTTTCTTTCTTTCTGAATGATGATCTTCGAGATCTGCGACATCGTGAGCCCCAAACCTATCCTACTAATTATGGTAGCAGGAGCACCAGGGTTCCCGGACTATCGTATAACTTTCCAGCTCCCCGGGGCGCCATCTTATACCCACTTTCTCTGGCCCACTGGCGATATATCACTTTACTGTCGACTCTTAAGTTAATGATGATTGGTCTCTTGTCCATTATTGACGTCTATTGTTGACCCTCTCGCCAGGTTACCCCATTCGTGGCTGTTTTTTCCTTTTCTCTCTCCTACACACGGCCTCAGCTCACACACTGATTCTCTCTCTTTGATTTCTCAACTTCCTTTTTCCTCTTCCCTTCGTACATATCGCTTCAAATCACACTCGGGTTGCTCCACTCTACTAATGGTCCTGGAACAATAATCGGGTACGTGCATTACAATTCCAGAGTCATTCCATACAGCAGTGCTCTAGGTCTGGACTCTCAGATCTTACCGTTTTCTGAACAGCAAGGTCACTCCGATGAGAAATGCGTTCTTCGCTTCTTCAGTAGACGATACCTTGCTCCTGGTCGTAATTGAAAGCTCGCCCTATATATACTATGGAGTGTCTGCCGACCCATCTCTACAAAAGCATCTCTTCATTCCTCTCCAGTCTTCCCACCTCTTTAGCCTTGCAGCCTCCTTGCTACCAAGTGAATCAAGTCTCCCTTGCTATTCTTCATTCTTCAGACCGTACTCCCTAGAACTTGACTTTTGCTTTCATCTCTCCTTCCCCCTGGTTTCTAGAAACCAAGATCAACGTTCGACTCCGATATTGTTCCGGGTGAACCAAGGTTCAGGTGCCGAAGTCCCAAAAAGCTTCCCTTGACCCACGACCAAACTTTACAGTAAGTGACGTGGGACCCAGCCTGCATGTTGAAGCATGTAAGCTAACGTGTTTGAACAGCATCACAATGGCCAACCAATGTCCGGGACATGTCTTTGTTATCGTGCAAGCCACCAATGGGAACATTCTCACCTGGCGCTGTTCGGACTGCACGTCGGGACCATTTGTGGCCATCTGGCGCTGCAAGATCTGTAATCACTGCCGCTGTAACTCATGCCACACCGCGAAGGCATGAGTAGCAGTTACACTGGTCATCATCGGGTCTGGTATACTTCAGTAAGTAGTGGTACAACTGAGGCAGCGAAATCCTGCTTTCCTTGTGTAACAAAATGGTCAGGATCCACAGCTGACCCCTTACCTGACTCCTCAGATCAGATCCTTAAACGTCTTCGTTGCAGCTAAATCCCTGCGTGACAGCTGCAGGCGCAACGAATCCTGACCGCCCTGCCCGACTTACGATTTTTTTTCCTTTTTCTTTATTCCTTTGTCCTGTGTCTCAGATGCTTCACTATTCTGCATTCCACATTCTCGGTTTCAATTCTCTGCACGAATTAGCCTCGGCGGATCTTGCACCTGGATGGAGTGCCACCAATCAACTTCGTACGTGGAGCATCCGTGGTAGTCAAGATCTCCCGTCACGACGATATGTCGATCCGCCAAGAAAAAGGGAGACCTATCGTACGCAGCAAAGGCCGAGCACTGCAAAATCCTTCCTCTCCTCTCCTCTTCCTCTCTAGTATGTATCCCCCCTTGATGACACTTGTTTCTTTAGCAAGCATTGCTTGGAGTCAAGGTTTAGCGAACGAAGCAAAGAAAGAAAAAAAACCTTTTGGGTCTGGGACATGTCATTTCGGCTTTTCTGTACTATTCACTACCCGCGCGTCTGTTTGTTTTCCTTATTTCTCCCACCTCCTCCCCCTTATGCTTTTCAAAGAATGCAGATAGAGATAGAAGCTACGCGGCAACGCACTTAATTTACTCCCTTATTTTTATTTACTCATTGGATCCCATTAACTACTTCGTAAACATAGAGAAAAGAAAATATAGGTTACACATCCATCCCGCGTCTCACCCAGCGTCACACGTGAGGTAAACTGTAACACCTCTCATAATTAGCAGGAGGCTATTATACCCCCAGGATTCAAACCTATAACTAACCTATAGGCTATAGCTATATGACACCCAGGACCGACGCCAAGCTTCTCCCAATCTAACGGTCACCAGATTGAAAATAGTTAATAACTGATTTATCCGTACTGAACATTCCATTGTACCACCCGGGAACCATTTAGGCTAGTTATGGCTGTAGGTTTTCCAGGCAGCTTGCTAGGTAGTAGCTCCCACCCTCCTAACCTGCCGAAAAGGGCCCGGTTTGAGAGATCATTGCTTTCCGGCAAGTTTATTTGTTGGGGTAGGTTCGATTCTTGGTTTTAGGCTTTGCTTTGGGGCCCGTTGGATATGGATAAATAGGATGGATGGATACACTGAAAACGCGGGTTGGACCCTTTTTTTTCTCTCTCTCCTTTGGGTTGGTGGTGTTGTTTCTTTTTTGCTTTTGTTCTTCGTGGTTGGTCTTAGGTATGTGGGTTCTTTTCCCGGATTGCTGTGCTTTTTTATGCAAGGTGTACCGGAGGGTGATGCTGATGTAGGGGGTTTCATTTAGTTGCATCCTTTCGGGAGAGATTTCCTTTATTGGAGAGTTAGGGGGAGCTGGGGCTGGTACTGCTTTGATGTCTTTTTGGGGATTTGATGTGTGGGGGTTGGATTTACGGCGGAGAGGGATAAGTGTTCGACGTTGGTTTACTCCTAATAGTATTGGGATGTCGTGAAAACTTTATTCTTTCTGTTTACGATGTTTCTAGGCCTAGACTTGGCTGATGGTTATGAGTTATATGTGCTCTGAGGTCCATTTATTAAAGTAGTGTTAAGACACATCAAGTGGAGCGTACGAGTTAGGCAACAGGCAAAATAAAAGACATTAATCATGTGAATGGCCTTCATTCTTCTATGCTGATCATATTATATCGACGAATATTATCCTAGAACGGGTCTAGAATTTGGAAGCTCCGAAGAAGGTTCTAGTCTCTGGACAACAGGAGTGATGCTAAGCTGTGGTCTAGCTCCGGGAGTTATACATTGCGGAATGCTCTCATAAAGTCAACTAGATCACTTAAGGCATCACGTGCTATTTCAAAGACCTAAGTTATATAAGTTATCTTACTTTTGCTGGAATTGAGGTGAGTGGACATGTCTATGTCGTTATGTAGTCCTTGCTATGATTAGTATCATGTTAGTATCCAGACATGTGTTCCAAAACAAATAAAAATCATATTTAGGTAGTCTGAGATGTAAACCCAAAATAATAAAAAAATCAGGTATAGATACTCTGCTCACACTTAGTAAATCTCTCATTAACATCAGTCGGACACCTACCTCTGTGATTTGGTTCACCTGTAATCCAGGCTCCGCCATTTCAGCGTCCTTCAAGAAGTCAAGTGGCATCCAAACCAAATGACCCTTAATCTTATCCAATTTTTCCCGGACATCCTTGACCGGCTGGTACGGGTCAAACAAGTGTCCCTGCTTCTGCTTACCGCGGGGTCTGAAATTCTCGTAATCTTCGAAGTTCTTGATGTTGTCGTCCGGATCGGCGCGGAAGAGCATTCGATAAATTTCGGTGTTGGTGGTGGCCCGTCCGGTCCACATCTCCCAAAGTGGCTCACTCATGGGATCCGTGACGAAGTCGTTCTCAGGCCCCTCGAGGACCTGGTTCATGCAGACATATGGGGGTTGCGCATTGGCGCTTTGGGAAGCGTCATATTGCTGTGCTGGGAGTAGCCCAAGGTGCTCTCGCCAAAGCTGCCGCCGGAGTGTGGCGGCCAAACGACCTGCCTTGTATGGTCTACCATCCATCGTGCTGTCGATGAAGTCTTGGTCCTCCACAACGATAGCCAGTTCGCTATCATGGAATCCGAGTTGTGACTGTCAGGGTTAGTTATGATCTGGGTATTTGAGGACCAAAGTAAACCTACCCGATCGTTGATATTCGCACTGCCGCAGATAGCAATTCTATCATCCACGATGCAGACCTTGCCGTGTACGTACAGCTCTTCTTGAACAAAGTTTTCCTTTTCAGACTCAGCGTCACCCTCCCAAGGCTCATCGGACATCCTGCCACCGTTTAGCATAGTTGTGTGGGCAACTGTATCCTTGCTGGAGGCTTTGTATTCGGCACTGTGGCGCTCAGCCTGCTCCTCATATCGTCGCAATCTTGCCAGCCGCTCTTCTCTTTCTTTCTGCGCATCATCGTAGCTGACTTCGCCCTTATCACCCTCTTTACCAATAGAGGGATGGACACTGTCACTCATGATGGACTCCGCAATTCCACGTTGGATGTCGTTATATGTCACTCCCGCTTCATTCTCTAGTGCTTCTAGAGCCGGAGTTTTGTTGATGCGATCATATGCACGTAGATTGAAAACAAAGACATGTTCTTAGTACGTCAGTAATCGATATAGTAACAAAGGCAGATCACTCACGTTTGGGATCGATGCCTTCCTTCGCAATCTGGCCAAAGATCGAGTGTTCGCCACGATTGATAGACTTGTATTGGTAATCCATGATCGCCCGTGTTCCTGTCGCCTCAGTCTGTCTAAGATCCCCAGCAAATCCAGGGATTGCTGGGATCACGATGATCACACGGAACTTCCTCCCTTCTTTGCTTGCGCGGACACAAGCATCAACAATGGATCGCCCAATCGTATTGAGTATAGGCTTTTGCTGATCTCCGGTGGCAGTAACTAGGAGAATTAGTAAATGTACCGTGAGAGAGAGGGGAGCTAAACGTACTGAAGAATTGATTTTCAATGTAGACAAAGTGTTCAGCCTTGCTGATGATCTCCTTGTACGCGTTCTGAATGCTGTGTTCAGTCAGGATGCCACTACTCCAGTCGGCGCTGCTGCGCACAATCTGTGCCCGCGCGAACCCCTGGGCGCCACGAGGCTTCGTGTCCAGAGGTGAGTAAGGGTGCTGAATGTAATCACCGCAAGGGTACTTGGGACGCTGTACAGCGACAAGGTCTTCGTCTTCGCCGAGACGGCCCTCCAGCATGAGCCAGTCAACATTTTTGTCACGCTTGTACTTATCGCGCTTGATGAAATTCCATCGCAGGACAAAGTGCTCCGCAATATCATACACACAGTCTCCGATGAGTCCCATGGCCACATCGTGCCAGGGCATCCGGCCATATTCCGCCTTGCTGAGCTCGTTTGCTTGCCACGAAGCCACACTTTGGAAATCCATGATACGATTATTATTGAAGTCCTGTCCCGGGAAGACCTCATCCTTCATATTTGATGGATGAACGTCAGCCAGAGGATGCTGATTAGCATCCCATCTGCCAAAACAAAGGTCGATGCCTCCAATGAAAGCCAAAGCATAGTCAATCACAATGAACTTCTCGTGATGGGCCTTGTCATCATCAGATTCTGGTCATTGGATAAGCTTAGATGCATTAACTCACCCAGTACAATGTCATGTCGGCTGCATTCTCAAAGATGTTGTGATCCGGATGACGCAAGATCTTGATATTTCCATAGCCGGGTGTTCCCTCCGGACAGAGGTTGCGCAAGGCATGTTTCGTATGGGCCGAGTTGCAAGTCAGTGCTTGGTTAACCTGACTTCATAAGTGACCGATTATATCATAGTAGTACAAACCGACTGACCTCTTTGTATACAATCACATAGATCTTCACTCCTGCTTCTGCGCGGCGCTTAAGCACCTGATCCAGTCGCCATTCCTGCGTCTGGTATGCAGGCCTACGCAGAAATAGCTCCGGTGACAGCCACCAGTCTTCGATATAGATGACTTCCTTCGCGTTTTCGAGAGCGATCGAAACGGCCCACAGATAGTCTAGCGCATCGACATACCACTTAACCTTGTTGCCCTCCCGAATTGGAGCAAATGATCCGAAGCGATGGGCCTCGGCGATTGCCGTTCTCTTTCTATCGGTTTCTTGTTCGTGTTCTTCGTCATGGCGATGGTTAGGGTTGACAATGTTGAAAAATTTGCCAACCTTATGCTTGAAGTGGTGGGCCTCCTCTACAATGTGGGTGTCTACCGACTCCCTTCCAGTCAGTTGGTTCGTAGCAAATTGGTGGGTAATATTGACCTTTCAGAGAACCCTCCAGGTGCTGGATCTTCTCTTTGAACTTGTCCATGGCGACACTCTACCCTGAGGAATTGAATTGAAAAGAACGAGCCAAGGTGGAGAGGGGTTGTTGTTCCTGAAAAGTGGGTTTCTTTTTCATCAAACGACGACCGAGGGGTACGTATGCGCAGGGACCCCATGACATCACGTTTTATTTAGACTTGACCAAATTAGATTCCTTTGGACTTGAGATCGCGGGAATCACCTGATATTGTGAATCCACTCTGCAAACACTAAAATAGTGCGTTTGAATCGCAATCCCCGTTTCCTTTGCTGATAGGTGAACCCTTCCTTCGTGTCTCAAACATCGCCGGTACGCCCCACCCATAATCATTCAAAATTAGTACCTTCCAATCGTTGTTTTTGAGTCCTATCTTCAACATATACCAAAGCTTTCAAAAGCGATATACCAGCCAGATCTCATGCAGCACAATGAGGGCAGCTCGCAATAATATCTACAAGGATGACGTTGATTTCGCCACCCTTGCGCGGCAATCGCCCGAATTCGCAAAGTAGTACGTCTTGGCTTTGTCGGACTAGAAGTTACGAGTTTTCGCATTTCTAGGCGATCGTGCTAACAATTTATAGTCTCAAACGAAACAATCAACTGGACTTTGGTGATCCCGATGCTGTCCGGTAAGATCTGCAAATTGTGGGGACTGATATCGCGATTAACTTAACTTGTGGTAGCCAATTAACCAAGAGTCTCTTGCAACGAGACTTTAACTTGAAGGTCCACATCCCTGAAAACAGGCTATGTCCACCAGTACGTACTGGTTTGTAAAGATCTGTAACACCCTTGATCAATGGAACTGACAGTAGGTTATAGGTGCCAAATAGGTATTCATTCAGAAACCTGGAGTATGGACCTTCCAAATCTAACGGTGTCAGGTTCAATTATATCCTCTGGTTGCAACGCCTTTTAGACACCACGGGAAACGAATACCGTGACGACTATGATCCTGATAGGAAAGTTGTCGGGCTTGACATGTACTCCCACGCAATCGTCGATTTCAATAATGCCGGTCTAACTTCTACAGAGGAACAGGATGCTGCAGCATATACCCGCTTCTGGGATGTGCTGTAAGGCCACAATGGAAATTTGTAGCAACGGGCAAGGCGAGCATACTGAAAACAAACTGCTTGAGTACTAACAGAGGCTAGATATTGATGATGACAATATTCGAACGTCCCAAGAGGCTGTATCCGCAAACGAACTAGACTCGCGCATCCGCATTATTAAGACGGATCCCAGTGATAGTCTCATCTCATTGAAGAAGCTGGAAGTTGAAACGTATGCGAATCCACAGAATAGCATATGTGCGTCCGTTTCTAACACGAATCAAGCCTTGATTTCACGATGTGTAACCCTCCATTCTATGTCTCTCGCGAGGAGCTGGTATACTCTGCACAAGCAAAAAAGCGACCTCCATTCTCAGTAAGTCACATACCACCACGCTGAAGCCATGTACTTATAATAGACAGACGTGTACCGGCGCAGAAGTGGAAGTGGTCACCCAAGGAGGGGAGGTTGCTTTCGTGTCGCGCATGATTGAAGAAAGCCTTCATCTTCGCGAGCGAGTCTCGTGGTATACCTCGATGCTAGGAAAGCTGAGCAGCGTGACTATACTCGTCGAGAAACTCATTGAACACGACAACCACAATTACGCGGTCACAGAATTCGTTCAAGGCTCTAAGACTAGACGATGGGCGATAGCTTGGTCGTGGGGAGATCTCCGCCCTTCAGTGGTATGTACCGTAGCTTTGAATATGGACTACCTACGATACTAATCGAGGCAGGATGTTGCGAGATCAATCACAACCTTGCCAAGACACCTTCTCCCGTTTCCGTCTGAATTCATCTTTGATATTCCCACCGGCTCAATTGACAGTGAAGGTCGAAACCTCGATAACGAACTCACTTCTCTCCCGCTTCAATGGGTGTGGCGCAGTACTCTAGCCACGGGTGCTGGGTTCGCCATGGGGAACGTGTGGTCCCGCCAGGCGCGTAGGAAGATGAAAGGTTCAGCTGGGGCAATGCAGAGTATGGACATTGATGAGAAGAAAGCAGCACTCGGGTTTAAAGTGCTTCTAAGGAAGGAAGGCATCGAGGAGAAGGGTGTCCGGGTCCTGATAAGATGGCTCAAGGGAACGGATCCTGTCTTGTTCGAGAGCTTTTGTGGTATGGTGAAGAGGAAGCTCGAGGGCAGGTAGAGGAATAGAAACTAGGTTGTTTACCATTTGTTCTCCTAGCCTTAACACATAAGAAAGGCTTCCTTTGAGGTCATTACTAATACTTCATACTAGTGATAAAGTAAATAATATGCGGGTGACGCCAGTCTCCGGTCTATCTAGAGATGAGCTGAATCGAGTTAAGAGCGATGTCGCCCAAGAGATTCTCATTCGCTTCCACGGCTGTGTTCTTGCTCCAGTACTTTTTACCTTCAACCTATTGCAAGATACATTCCCTTCAACCATTGTGGGCCAGTGTCACATCAATTTAAGGCTACCATCGGTCGATATTTATCATGGTAATTAGTACGTCCTCAGGTTGCTCCAACTAGCAGTTCATGCTTACACGTCTCTATTTTTGAAGGCTTTCTTTAAGGTAGCAACTTGGATCTACATTATCTTGGGACTAAGGATACTTGAGTGGCCCAGGAAAGATAGTTATAATACTCAGAGCATCCCTTAAAAGCTTTTACCGAACTAATACAAACTACATACCGAGAGAGGCTCTACAATCATTAGAGAAGATCAGGTTCATATAGGTACATATATAAAATCTGGCTCACATAAAAAAGGATAAGAACAGAAAAGTAAGTCTACAACAGTCGCCATCCAGTGTGAAAGACAAGCAATCCAATAGGCGGGATATCCAAAACACGGGTAAGATAGAATATGAGTAAAGAAGACGAGTGATCGAAGTCCACGGCTAGATTGCTCAGCGCCCTACGCTGTCTTTGCGATGGGAAACTGAGCTTCTCGGGCTAACAGTTGCTTGTGCTGCAGGAATTCCCAATTTTACTTCACCGATTCTGCGAAGTAAGGACTGAAGCGCAATGCGGATTTCAGGGTTCAAGTCGCGACCAAGTAGATCCACGGATAATGGGTAGAAAGTTTCAATGTGCTTATCAAAGCCTTCGGAGGGGAAGTTCGTGTACCCTTCCAACACGTCCACCACCACTGGACGCCAGGCGATCACGTTGCGATGCTGTGAATCTTCGTCGAGAAGGACAAAACTGCGAATGATGTCGGCACAGAGTCTAAAAATGTGTTCAATTAGTCAAGTGCTATCACAGACGAGTTCAAATACTTACGGAATGAGGGCAGCCTCGGTTTCTGTACGGCTGCTCTTCCTTTCATCCCTCTCATCGTGGTACATGCGGAAAAGAATGTGGACGTAAGTTGCAGCACTTCCACTCTCCTGTTTGAGAAGATTTGGCGGTTGCTTCATGAATCCTTGGCGCCAAAGCTGCATGCGCAGTTCCTTGTCCTCGTTGAATTTCTTCGCAAATTGGTAGCTCTTCTTTAAAAGTCCCATCAGTCGAAGGAGCTCATGGCTTGGAATTTGCGCATAAACTTTGTCGTTGGAAAAGAGTTCATGAACAGTCTCGATCATGAGCAATTGAAGAACACAGTTTGTTATAATACGGTTGAAGAACCGACGGCGAGCAACAGTGACCGCAGCTGGCTGCTGCTGTACCTCGGCCTGAGGTCTATAATCTTCCAGCTCGGTGTTCCCAGCGGTAGGCATGTCCCCTTCCTCATGCTCATGTGCCACATTTTGCAATCCGTTAATCTTGGAAGAGTCGGTAAGGTTTTCTTGTACTGAGGATGTTTCAGAAGTTTCTTGTGTACCTTCCTCACTGTTCAAAGCCTCCCCGTTGGTGGATTTGTGCGATACAGAAGGTCTTGAAGAGATAGTCGCAGCTGTGGTGAACAGTTCATAGGCAGTAGTCTTACTGAAAAGCTCGACAAAAGCACCGACAACCTTCTCCCAATGCTCCTGTTTAAACTTCATAACATTCTGCAAGATTAACTGTTGTAAACAGTTGCTGCCGATTCGCGCGATTGTGTCGTTTTCTTGACAGATGCATAGCGTAAGGAGCTCCAGTATGCGTCCAAGCATATACTCTAACGCATCGAAGTAATGGGTGAAAAGGGTAATCATGTTTCTTAAAGCCTGAATCATCGTGGTTGATAACCACACAGATAGCTCTTCATGGTTAGGTACTTTAGACATCTCCGACTTGGACTGCAACACGACGAAGATGGGGTAAAGTAGTTGTCTCCAGAGAACATCCCAGAATTCTTGAGGAAAGTCGCCGCCGTATCTGATCAGCGTTTCGAAGAGGTAGGTCAAAGCTCTGCATCTCTCGTCAGCCAATGTTTTCACGCTAGTGGCAAGGATAGCTTACCGTGAGCGGACTTCAAGGTCATCGCCGGTCATCAGAACGTCTTGGAACGCGATTAGGATCGGGTACCAGAATTGTTCCTCCTTGGATTGGCGGCTAAGTTGCTTGGCAAGGTTGGTATTATCATCATGGAATTCTTCAGCTGACGGGCCACGAAGAGACAGAGGACACTCTGGCGTCCTGAGCATCTTTGAGACAGTTGATTTCAATGTTTCGATAGCTTGCAGTGACTTCTTCTGGAACTTTGAATTCTTGGAGAACTCTGTAAGACAGACAACAAGATCGGGGAAAGCACCCTGTGTGATAACGACTCCAAAACGTGTGTTGTAGATCTGAGTAACATGTTCGAAAGCCATGTTGACGATGCCCTCTACACTCTATGTTAGATAATCATACTAGGAACCTTGAGCAATTTGCACTCACCATAGGGTTCTCGAGCAGCGACTGTGAAGACGCCAAACATTGTTTTCCAACCGGAACGGATATTATCCCCACGGGCCTGAATCATCTGTATAAGGCACCGGAGGATCATGTCTTTGACAGTTACCGCGTTGCTATTGGCCATAACATGCTCAAATGGTTTAAGAAAGTCCTTCTGAAACTTGAAGCCTGGAAGCTCCTCGATCTCCATAAAGCGCATTGACAGCTGACGAAGTGAGTCTAGTGCAAAGAAAACCACCGTTGTGTTGGAATGGCATCCAACAAGGTTAAAATGTTGTCCAAGCACTTCCCATATTTTAGACCATTCAATCCTGACTCTCGTCATGTTGTAGTAACTGATTTCAACCAGCTTTTGCAGGCTATACGTCCGAGGAGAGTCTGTTTGCCCAGAAGACTGGATCTCTTGCCAGCTCACTTCACTCAGCGCCCGAATGAAGTCGATTATAGCTTCGTGTGAGAGGTTGGCAGTATTGGTAAAGATCCGATCTACGCCCCTGATCATATCAGCAGACCGACTCTCCATTGCAGCCTCGGTACGGAAGGCCGTAGGGCTATTAATCGACCGTGGCCGTGGCCGTCTTGACGCTTGAAAAGATCTGCGAGAACCATCTGACGACGCTTGGGATACAACACGCGCTCGTGAAACGTCAGGCAACGATCCTTCGTCAACTCCATCAGTTAGAAGTTGAAGACGATCAAGCTGGCTAACGCATGTGAGGATTTCTCTCCAAGAGCTCTTGAGGTCGTTTCCTTCTGTAAGTGCTACGTCGAGCAGTGCTTTCAATGCTTCAACATTCTTTGCCACCATTTCTCTAACATTGCCCAAGTTCGTGAACTTAGCCAAAGCCGTTACGAAGGCGACTCGAGGGGTCTCCAAGTCGAACGAACAGCTAATGCGAATTGCCAACTTCAGTCCTTCCATGCAAAGTTTAATCATTTCTAGATTTTGAGTGTCCTGCATTGGAGCAGATAACCCGGAAAGAAAAGACATCCAGGTGACATTGAACATAGAACCAACGTGCCGGACGGATGTGGCGGGAATAAACCGCGAGAGAGCCTCTCTGACTGCCGTTTTACGCTGTGCCCGAATCAAGCTTCGGTAGAGTTGCTCGGTCTTGTTCGCCATCTCTTCGGAGGCCTGGGCATACTTTTCACCTTGGATATCTCTTCCCACCGTGGCGAAGACTTGCCCAGCCCTTGAAGCCAAGCCGCCAGGTGTAGCTGTAGGAACCCCAATATTTGCAGCGTGTTCCCTCTCTGTGTCGAGAACAATCTCACTACCCGCAATCTCGTCATATATAGACGTAAGGTATTCATCCGGTAAGTCCTGATTGTCGTTGATACCTCTGTTGTTCTTTATAAACTCTTCCTTTGACATACGGCGTCCTTTCATCTTAGTGCTATGCAGGTCCGTGTTTAGCAGGATGACGGAATACGCAAGAACGTAGGCCGTATCTGCGTTCGCAAAAGCGTTCGGATTTTGGCTAGTGTACCGCTCTGCGAACTTCAGCATGAAACGATCAATCTTTTGTGCCTCTCCAGGTAATCGGAAGTTTTGAAGGAAGCCCCGAAGAGCATCAACGAAGCGTCGCTTCGCAAAGTCCATCAAATCAACAAATGCATGCATGATAGCAATATTTTCGGCATCACCTTCGCCAAGGTATTCTCCTACCATAGCCTTGTCTAGCCGGTCGTTACGGTATAACAAGGATGCAATATCAGCAGGATCTGATTTAATAAAGCCTTCTTGGATAAAAAGCTTGATCCCTCGCTTGGGCTTGAAATTGAACTGCTGCACTGCATTCATCAGTGCAATCTTTCTCTGTTTGACTTTCTCCATCTGATTTGGATCGTCTTCTACCACTGGTGTTGACCGGCCGGTACTACCGTCAGTACCATCAACCCTCGGAGAAGAGAGAAACACGCCAGCATTTGTATCCAATGACTCTCTCGAGTTGTCAATGGACTTCTGGGACGAGATATTAGTGGCAGTCTGATCAGCTATACGCTGCGAGGCCCAGTTGTCTAACGATTGCAAAATCTCCACCAGGGACTCGACCGCCTGGTGTTTGAGCATATACTCCGGAGGCACGCCTTGAAGACCAGGCTGCTGAATGTTGGCTACGTTAGCGGTAGCGAGTGTGGGAGGTAGAGTGCCACGTTGGTGCCACTCATTTCCTAAGCGAGAGATCTTGATATGATGCTCCTGGAATTGATGCTGCTGGGCCACAGTTGTGGAGACTGGTACGCTAGCATATCGGGAAAGTTGTTCAATGATGTTCTGGAAAATGTTTTCCAGAGCTGTCCGATCACAGTCATAATTGAGATATAACTCAACTAATGCGCGCGGATCACCCGCCAATCTTTCCAGGATCTCCATAAAATACTGCTTCTGAAAAGCGGGCGAGTTTCGTTTCTCAAGTATGGCCAGATAGATTTCTTTCAAGAATACCTCAAGTTCTTTCTTCATCATCACTCTCATATACTTCAGCATGAGCCAAAATATCTCACAGCACACCTCGAAAACCCTGGGCACCGAACTTGAGCCATTTCGGCTGAGACTTAGACAAAGATGAGGACGCACGGCTTGTAGAAGAGTCATAGCATCCGAGCTGTTAGAGCCCTGCTTAATCGTCAGGAGAGGGGATGTAAACACGGCAACGTGGTTGTTGATAAGATAATGGATGTGGTGCAGAGACAATAGTTTTGATCTCATGTTTTGAGATTTCAGATCCTGCTGCTGGTCGTGACTAAGGATCTTGTGGCTCAGCTTACACAGTGCTCGGAAAACCAAAAAAGCATCTTTGACATATATTTCGTCCTCATCATCATCTAAGCCTTCGCCATCTTCTCTCTCTTCCCCTAAAGTGCCAGACGAGGACCTTGCTGGTGTCTGACGAGCCTTGGCGCGTGTAACTGTTGTTGGAGCGTTGTCATTGAGAGAAGTTATATCTTTGTTGGATTCGAAACTTTGCAAAGTCAACTTCTCGGTAGGCTCCTTCGCAACGGGTTGATCCGGAACGTTAGCAGAGGCGACGTCAGACGAGTGATCTTCGTCGTTGGCCTGAGGAGTTTCCGGAGGGTCCAAAGTTACAGTGTCAGAAGAAGTGCCCTGTGCCTTCTCACCCTCACGAATGCGTAGTTCTTTCAATTCAAGCCTCACACGAACTCGATCAAAGACAGTGCTGACCATCTGGGTCAAAGATCCCTGAGCGATCTGCTGGTTCTGGTTGGACTTGGAGTAGATGAAAATATTGTATATCTGGCGGACAGCCTTCAGGAGACCAGCTCCGTGCACCACAATTTTGTCATTCAGGACTGCCGCAAGGAGAGATTTCAGGATTTGTTGTTGGACTTCAACCGGCGTGGCTTCATTCTCAAAACATTCGCAGATCGCATCAATGGCCCGTTCGATTAACGGCGGTTGGTCTTGCGCGGGCTCGGGTTGAGAGATAGTGCCGTCCTGAGCTGTTGGAAAAGCGAAGTATGAATAAGTGATAAGTTTGCCGATACAATCAAGTGCCGTCACTTGCAGAGGAATGCTAAGGGTCTTGGTTGCGAGTAGTAGAGGGCGAAAGATAGCTTCCGGATCTATGGGTCGGCCGTCCGATTGTTTGACATTCGCAAGCGCACTCTTAACGGCGTCCTCCAATTCCTTGCTTCTCCGGGCTTCCCGGGATGCGCCAATCGTGTCAAGGGCAGTTACTATAAAGACGGTGGAGCTAACTGGCACTGAACGGTGTGTCGCAAATGTAGCAGTCGTTGATCTCGAATCCGAGCGTACGCGGCTGTCTGGAGCAGGTTCATCTTGGGATTGTTCTGAGATTCTATCCGGTCTCTCCTCGGGAGAACCTCTCTCAGAACTGACTTCTTGACCATATGGCGCGCTATCTGTATGATCCTCCTGAGGTTCAGACTGGGGCTCTGTATTGTTTTCGGATGACTGGACGGTGTCCGTTGGAGGGGTTGAAGCTGCGTCTACTGGCTCTGTAGTTTCCGTAGGCTCCAGTTCGTCTTGTAATTGATTGTGATCTTGCGAATCATCCACATCAATCTTCTGACGTTCCGACTCCTTGGGCAGCGTGGGCTTGTTCCCCCCGACAACATTTGGGGGCTCGAGGTGTGTGGAAACATTTACCCCATGCTCTTTGTTGTCTGCCTGCGACAGAGCCGGAGATGTTTGGGTTGGCTCATTGGTAGAGCCATTCTCAACTTCCGCCATTTATGCGAGACTCCGTCCGGAGTTGACCAAATACGGCATATGAAGGGTCCACATGGAAAAGTAAATGCAGGACTAGAATGAGTGAGGAGAGGAGTCCCTATACCAATCCGGTAGTGGAATTGATGCGTGTCTTCTCCGGCGGACGGGGATAATCTACGGACGCCGATTCGTGCCAGGTACGCGAGGGAGACCTGCTTACAGCTTACCTAAGCAGGCACCGGCGGCACCCGGCGACACTATTCCGATCTCTCACCGGGAAGCTCAACAGAAAAGTTCCTAGAGCTGCACTCCTCAACTGTTTGATACCGGGCCCTTCCACCTGCCAGATATATCTCTTGCCCTCCTTTCCATCCTCTCTTCTCCCGTTTCCGCAACTTGGGCCTTTTCATCGTTTCATACTCACAGCATCATGGTCGCCAGTGCTGTCCGGATGCGCGCTCCCAGCGCCATGCTCGTCAAAGGCGCCTCCTCCCTGAGGAGGCCGCAAGTCATGCACAGATTCAAGGATGCTGTCCAGTATGATATAGCCTGCATTTTGCCCTCATTCTTCAAAATCCCTTGATGCTGACATTGTTTTTCCATTTTCCAGACCCCAATTGCCCGCCTTCGCTGCCCTTTCCCGTTTCTATGCCTCCAAGTGTACGCCCCGTCCAGATTTTATTCTTCCTCTCTCGATGGCACAGTCCTCCAATTCTAACATGTCGAACTACAGCCTTCCCCCCTCACACCATCATCAGCATGCCTGCCCTGTCGCCGACGATGTCCGCTGGAAACATCGGTGCCTGGCAGAAGAAACCCGGTGATGCCCTGCAGCCCGGTGATGTTCTGGTCGAGATTGAGACCGATAAGGCGCAGATGGACTTTGAGTTCCAAGAGGAGGGTGTTTTGGCCAAGGTTCTGAAGGAAACCGGTGAGAAAGACGTTGCTGTCGGCTCCGTATGTGCTAAGATGCAAATTTTTATCGAGTCCCGTATAGCGTTGCTAATCGCGCGTTAACAGCCTATCGCCGTTTTGGTAGAAGAGGGTGCCGATGTTTCGCCATTCGAGTCGTTTACCGCTGCGGATGCCGGTGGTGACAAGGGTGCTGCTCCGGCTCAGGAGAGCAAGGAAGAGTCCAAGGATGTTGCCGATGCTGCGCCCGCGTCTACACCAGCCCCCGAGCCTGTTGCTCAGGAGCCCGAGACCTCGGGTGAAAGACTTCAGCCTAGTCTTGACCGCGAGCCTAACATCAGCCCTGCTGCCAAGGCTCTTGCTCTAGAAAAGGGTGTGCCAATCAAGGCTCTTAAGGGCACTGGCAAGGGCGGTCAGATCACCAAGGAAGATGTTGAGAAGTACAAGCCCAGCGCGCCTGCCGCAGCTGCTGGTCCCACTTATGAGGATATTCCTCTGACCTCCATGCGCAAGACTATTGCCAGCCGTCTTCAGCAGTCCACAAGAGAGAACCCCCACTTCTTCGTCTCGACTACTCTGTCTGTGACTAAGCTTCTGAAGCTTCGCCAAGCCCTTAACGCTTCTGCCGATGGCAAGTACAAGCTTTCTGTCAATGACTTCCTCGTCAAGGCTTGCGCCGCCGCTCTTCTGAAGGTTCCCGCTGTCAACTCCAGCTGGCGCGAGGAGAACGGCCAGGTCGTCATCCGTCAGCACAACACCGCCGACATCAGTGTCGCCGTTGCCACTCCCGCTGGACTGATCACTCCTGTTGTGAAGAACGTTCAAGGTCTCGGCCTTTCTGGCATCTCTAACCAGATCAAGGACCTTGGCAAGCGTGCCCGTGACAACAAGCTTAAGCCCGAAGAGTACCAGGGTGGTACTTTCACTATCAGCAACATGGGAATGAACGCTGCCGTTGAGCGGTTCACCGCTGTTATCAACCCTCCTCAGGCTGGTATCCTGGCTGTTGGTACTACCCGCAAAGTCGCCGTCCCTGTCGAGACTGAGAACGGTACCGAGGTAGAGTGGGATGACCAGATCATTGTGACTGGTAGCTTCGACCACAAAGTGGTCGATGGTGCCGTTGGTGCCGAGTGGATCAAGGAGCTGAAGAAGGTTGTTGAGAACCCCCTGGAGCTGCTGCTCTAAGCGCAATCTGGTAGATTTGAGGGTCCCGAGATACCAGATTTGTTAGCTATCTACGACCGGAGTTCCTTTTGGCATTTGTTTTATTATGTATTAAAAATCATTCTAGTCTTTTTCTTCGACCGTAATTGGTCTGTCGTGTCGAGTACAGTGCATAAGAATTTCAATCTCTTTCCTATGTTTCCTTAAGATTTTCTCTCCAACCAGAACCCTATTCAAGAAGATGAATCGTCAATTCCAACAACTTTAACGTGTGGCTAAGCCTTTTCATTTACGTTTTCGAAAGTTGGAAGTGACCACGGCGGGTCTTGGCGCTCCAACTCCACCGGCTGATCGGTGACGTGATGTCATTCTTTCCAGGGCCCTGGCATCCGTATAAATCCATGCAGGCGCCTCTTCTCAAACTTTCCTTTCCCTCTGTCACTAGCACCCTCCAATTATCTCAACTACCTTCTGTTTACTTTTTTCACTTTTCGAGGTAGGTGAGAACTATACGCCATTATCTTCGGACTGACCCTGCTGTCTGCATGTGATATTGCCAAGCTAACTCTGTTTTGTCGCAGGCTTTGAACACTTGATCTTCCATTCTACGCGATACTCCAGTCATGTCTTACGCCGAAGCTGCTGCCAAAGGCCCGAAGCAATCTGCTGAAGAAGTATGTATTCCCTCCCCATCCTCTCCCTCGCCAATACACTTACATCCCTTCATGTCTTCATCAATACTAACTCACAGGCCAGGCGTGAGTCGACACACGACCTCCTTATTCCTAGACATTGAAATGTTCGCCTTACTAACCGCAGTGCAGCCGTGCCCCAGATGTTGGTAGGGTTTATAAGGACGAATCCGAGAGCACGGCTTCTTTAGTCGATGTAGATTCACCTCATGTTACTGCGGTAGACCCAAATTTCTTGAATCAGGATATCAAGACCACTACTCAGGCTGAACGAGTAGAACGAGAGGAATCGGAGAAGAAGAAGAAAGCTCAAGAAGAACAGAACGCGAAGGCGAAGGCGAAGGCTAAGGCTAAGGCTTCTGGCGTGTGCCGGAACGCAGATAATCCGGTTTACATCGGCAATGCTGTGCTTCTGGGCTTGGTGGGCGCAGGGCTAGGATTCGGTGCATACAGGAAGCACCTTGATGGCAAACTCTCTTGGGAGTTGGTTGGACTTTGGTCCGGCGCTGTTGGCGCGTTTGGTGCGGTTGATTATTTCGTCAGCAAGTAAGTGTCTCTGTTCGTTCAATACGAACTTTGCGCGGTTTTGCTAACATTTGGTACTATCAGGTGGTTCCTTCAGAATAAATACCCTCCCAAATAGATCCGGGGTTCCCCTGCTCTCGGAGTTCATTCAGAGCACCCTGCTTCTATGGAATGTCTTTTTATTGCCGTGTCTTATCATAGCTCTGCTTTCGACGCTTCTTAGGGGACAGAATTGGCGCAATAATGGGTTGGTTTTTGTATCAATAATCTAGTAATAGCATACCCTACTCCTCGTTAATTCAGAGATGCGTTTGATTTGTATATATTTGGACACATTCATGTATATGGAGTATGACGAGTGGATAAGACCGTCATGTACGGCGTACAATAGATATAGGTGTGCGTCCAAATGTGTCTCAAGACCATGCTAGTCATGTCCACAGGCTGTAAGATAATATTCATATATGTCAATGTTGATTCGCGTCTGAATAAGTATTTATGTACACACTGAACAAAGCTACACTAGAAGTAGCAACGGTAGGCGGTCAGCGACGTCGGAATCGTGCATCTGCAAGAACATGTGGCCTCGGCCGGCACTATCTAGTAGGCGGTCGTAAAGGCACGACACAACAATCACATCATTTTCCCATCGGAAGCACACACAAATCGGGTTTATCGAGTGGTCTTTCTTGAGACTCTTCTTTGACACCTATTGCTTAATTAAGCTTATACTGGGTTTACTTGCAAGAGAGCCCCCTGACGGGTTTGTTTGTGGAAGATGGTGCGTTTTTTTGCGTTGTGATATGTGATCGTTGGCTTATAATACCTGCTGCTTAGAATTCTCTCTTTAACTCGGCCCTGAAGCAGTCCTCTGCTATTCGCCGTGATCTAGACACATTCTCGCAGTCTCCTGCCACATCCTCGGCAGCCTTGCAAGGTACTGATATGTCGGTCGACAAAGATAACCGAGTTCAAGCAATTCACTGGATATAAACTCATACAGGATTATAGGCCAGATTGCAGCTTCCCTAGCCTCCCTATCACGCACAGTCGATGATTACTCGGCCCTATCGAAAAAAGAGTTGATTCCTGAGAAGCAGCAGAAGGCGTTCGAGAGAGTAAAGTATGAAATCATGGCTAAGCAGACCATTGAGATAGGCTGACATGGCTTTGCAGTAACTTCCGGTCGGAGCTTGCAGATTACCGACAGCATTTCGATGGGCTACGGAAAGAACGAGAACAAGCGGTGCGAACTTGAATTATGCTATCTATGACGTGTGCTAATTCAGGTATTTGATGAGCAGCAATCTGTGGCAAACAGTAATGAGCTACTTGGTCGACGTCCGCATCATACGGCGACGCCAGAGAATCCATACGCCCAATCTTCCCTTCCCCAGTCGTCAGCCTTCGCTCCTTCTTCGTCCCGCGGGGGCCTGAGTTTCGGCTCTTCACCTGCGGATTACAACCGTGAGACGCATGCGCTTCGCGAGCAATCGTTCTTGGCTAGTACAAGCACACAGCTCGACGACTTCCTTGATCGGGGACGTGCGGTACTTGCAGATCTGGGGCAGCAGCGAGAGGTGCTGAAGGGAACACAGCGTCGATTGTATAGTGTCGCGAATACCTTGGGTGTCAGCGGCGAAACTATTCGGAAAGTTGAGCGACGGGCAAAGCAAGACAAGTGGATCTTTTGGGGTGGAGTTCTGACATTCTTCCTATTCTGCTGGGCCGTGCTGCACTTTTTGAGATAATTTATTAGTCTTGGCTGTTGAAATGGGTTGCTCTTTAATGTAGTTTGGGTTTGGTTCGCAAGCGCAGGTGTTTGGGATTACATTGAGATATCATTCAATTTCTTCCTCTTTTCTTTTTTAAGTGTATCTATATCTATATATCATTGGAGTCAATTGAAAGGCTACGTGGTTTAAATTGACTTTTGTTAAAAAAAAAAAAAAAAAACAAAAGGGAATTAAATAAATAAATTAATACTAATAGTACAGTACTAGTAATATTTCAGGGTCTCCATGTGAAGGTAACGAATGATGCCGAGTCACGCCGTGGGGAAAGAATCGGAAACGGAGCGATTTAGCCGCCAACAAAACCGAATTTCCTTCTCACCGGCAGCCAGCGGCCGATTCCCTTACTTTCTTCCTTTCTCTCTCTCTCCCCCATTCTCTTTTTCTTCCTCTCCACCTCCTGTCTGCATTGCTTTTTTGATAGATTTGATTCTATCTGTCCTACACATCAATCACCATGTTTGCTGCTCGCCAGTCTCTCAACCTCTTCCAGAAGCGCGCCTTCTCGGCGTCTGCTAGCCAGGTGTGTTATTGAATCCATTGGACACCTCGCTTTCTGGACCTCGGAACTAGCTCTACAACAAGCAACATCGACAACAACAAACGTACTAATCTATTTTCTTTCCGTCCACAGGCTTCCAAGGTCGCCGTTCTCGGTGCCGCTGGTGGCATTGGCCAGCCTCTCTCCCTCCTTCTCAAGCTCAACCCCCGTGTTTCCGAGCTTGCCCTGTACGACATCCGCGGTGGCCCTGGTATGTTCTTACGCTGTCTACGGCATCTCCGACTTCGGTGATTCGAGATGGGACTGACATGGGTATTGCAATAGGTGTTGCCGCTGACCTGAGCCACATCAACACCAACAGCACCGTCTCTGGCTATGACCCTACCCCTTCTGGCCTCCGCGATGCTCTCAAGGGATCCGAGATCGTCCTCATCCCTGCCGGTGTTCCTCGCAAGCCCGGCATGACCCGTGATGGTACGAACATTCCACTCTAGCTTTCCAATGGTGCCAGAACGAAGTACTGACATATCATAATTAGATCTCTTCAACACCAACGCCTCTATCGTCCGCGACCTTGCTAAGGCTGCTGCTGAGGCTTCCCCCGAGGCCAACATCCTCGTCATCTCCAACCCCGTATGTCCAGCCCTTTCCCACAGTCTTAAAAGGTTTCTTCCGCTAATTGCGACCAGGTCAACTCCACCGTCCCCATCGTTTCCGAGGTCTTCAAGGCCAGGGGTGTCTACAACCCCAAGCGTCTCTTCGGTGTCACCACCCTTGATGTCGTCCGTGCCTCTCGCTTCATCTCCCAGCTCAAGAAGACCGACCCCTCCAACGAGGCCGTTCCCGTCGTTGGTGGCCACTCCGGTGTGACCATTGTCCCTCTCCTCTCCCAGTCCAACCACGCCGACATCGAGGGTAAGGCCCGTGATGAGCTTGTCAACCGTATCCAGTTCGGTGGTGATGAGGTTGTTAAGGCCAAGGATGGTGCTGGCTCTGCTACCCTCTCCATGGCCATGGCCGGTGCTCGCTTTGCCGAATCCCTTCTCAAGGCCGCTCAGGGCGAGAAGGGCGTCATCGAGCCCACCTTCGTCGACAGCCCTCTCTACAAGGACCAGGGTGTTGATTTCTTCGCCTCCAAGGTCGAGCTCGGCCCCAACGGTGTTGAGAAGATCCTCCCCGTCGGCAAGATCAACGCCTATGAGGAGAAGCTCGTCGAAGCCTGCCTTGCTGATCTCAAGAAGAACATCAAGAAAGGTATTGACTTCGTTGCTGCCAACCCTTAAATTCACCTCATAGGATAAATTAGACCGTCTGCAGCTCCTTTCCTCCCTGTATAACAGTCTTGTGTATGTCATTATATGCCTATTGCCTATCATCCATGCTTCAACCCGCATCGGCGTTATATTGGAGGAGATGCAGCTGCAGTTAGTTTCTGGAGCAATGGCGAACTGACGGATAGTTTCGCGGCTACTTTTTCCGCTTCGTTTCATGATGGCAAGGGCGATGAACCTGTATTTCCTGAGTATTTAAAAACATAATTGATTCCCCCAATGTCTGTATTTTGATCCCGTAAAAGTATCCCATCCATACCTTGAAACCAATTTGCAGCCTCTGTGACGGTCTTAGGGACCGCTCTAGAGTCTACCGAGCGAGTAAGAGATATCTTATCTGATGCGTTGGCAGCTATCTTGGTCTCCATTCTCAGTACTGTATTTATTCCCTCTATCTTATCCTATCTCCAGAATCATACCATCCGCGTCATTTTTCGTAACCTCATTCCTCACCAATTAAAACGAAAAAACACCAAAACAAACCAAAGTCCGTTACAGCCATGGCAAAAGAAGGACAAAACGGACAGGAGAGAGTCAGGGCTAGAAAGGGTATTCATCAGCCTGTAAATTAAATAACAAACATTCAAAAATAAATTAAATCCACTTAAAGAGATCCTCAACAACCGGTCTTTCAGAGTTAACGTGTTCATTCTGCATTATCTCATTCCGTTTCATATTCTTGCGTTAGCTATTGTTCGTAAATCGTATCTTGCTCGTATATCTGCGTTCTCCTATTGCTGTTCTGGTCTTGGAGGGTTGTCTGTGTTATGTGTAGCTTCTCATCGCATCCATGTATCCTGTTCCGCCGCGGAGATCGTGATCGAATGTTTTTGCGACCTCTAGGACTTTCTTGATATGTTCCATGGAAAGGGGAGTCTTCTCGTTGACGGCTAGGGCTTGCGCTGTGCGGACGGAGTTTTTGATCTGGGTTACGAGTTAGCTGGGGTCATCTTTTAATGGAGAAAGATGTAAAGTTATAGGTATAGCTCACCTGACGTCCGTTGAGATTGTGACGAGCGAGAGCGTCATAATCCTTTTCGGTGAAGGTGGCTGTTTGCACTCCATCCATTGCCTGGACTTTCCCGAGGAACATCTTCCAGACGCTTCGCTTAGCCTTGGTAGTAAGGTCTCCGTATCGCAGGGCGACATGAATTCGTGATTGGAAGGCGTCGTCGAAAGTTTCCACCCGGTTGGTTGTCAAGAAAAGGATACCCTGAAAGTACTCCAGGAGACGGAGGAAGATGCTAACAAGAGCGTTGCGGTGGATATCCTGGATCGTACGTTTCTCAAGGAATATGTCTGCCTCGTCGAGCAGAAGCACAGCGCCCCATGAATGGGCAATATCCAAGATCTTGTTGAGTTCAGCCTCCAGGGTACGTGAGTCCGTTCCGAGCTCTCCGGCGCTGACCATGTACAATGGGCGCTTCAGCAACTCGGCGATGCCTTCAGCTGTAAGCGTTTTACCTGTACCTGGAGGTCCATGCAATACGGCGACTAGACCCTTGCCCTTGCCCTGGATAACATCATCGATGTTCTGGGCGGCGCAGAAAGTGTGGGATTCCACAAGGGCCTTGACGATTGACTTTTGATTATCTGGGAGGACAAGTGAATCGAACGCATCCTCATTCCAATCAATGTCACTGATGCCCGAGATGCTGAATTCCAGCCACAGTTTTTCGCTAAAGGCGAATCCTAGAACTACCGGACTGGCAATCAAGAGTTCTTCCTCGGTAAAGTCTCGCTCAGAAGGATCCTCTACTTCATCTATCTGTTCTTTCTGGATCTCATTGCCATTTTCATCGAGCTCGACTTCAACCACCTGAGGCTTGCCTTCCTTGTCCTGGATGACCTTGTACCGGACTCTGGGAGCGTCCGAGTCCTGACGGTGGACAAACGGCTCATCTGAGTCAGATTCCGACATGGCACAGCAGCATCCGCCATCACTACCGTCACCATCTGAGTCATCGAGAAAGTCCGGATCCTTCGGACGGACAGTGCTGATAGGGTAGTTAGGGTTGATCCGACGGTGAAGTGCAGGGTCGATCATGACTCTCCCATTGATGTTGACCTTGATGACGGAGCGCTTCTTCTTATAGAAGGCCATGCCTTTGAGGAACCGGTAGTTCGTCCCCCTTAGTGAAACAAATTTCTTACCCCTCTCAATTAGTTTGGCCTTGACATCCTCGGTCTCACGATGGTACTTCAGCGGGTAGCAACTGAGAGTGGTAATCTTACGAGCACCCTTGAAGCTTTCCACTTCAGCCAACATCGTTCCCATGCCGAAGGTCTTCCCATCGTATTCGAGATAGCGCCCCTCGATACTGTACCATTGACCTTTCATAAACGAGGACTCCTTAGTGGCGTACTCAATCTTGAAAGCACGTGGTTCGTCCTGATTCCCGTATGTTGGCGTGTAGGCAATGGTGTTCGGCTTGAACAGCGCCCATAATAGATCGAAGGTAATCGTGTTGGCTTCTAACAGCGGGTACAGGGTCTTTTTGATTTCAGAGTAATCGGTATCCAGATACTTGATCAGAACCTTGAGATGAGCCGCCTTGGTCGCAGCTATCTTTTTTGCTTTCCTCTTCTTCTCCGTTTTCGCCTGTTGCCTTAGATCCTTCATGTATTGACGAGTCTCCTCAAGGTATAAGAAAAGCATATTTGGGTCAACAGCAGCAGTCTCCTGCACTAGGCTGACCCCTTTGACGCCATCCATCACCTTGGTCAGCGCGTCACGAATGTACTTGCTTTTCAAGTCTACCACTGTTTCTGTGTACTTGTTATCCCAGTCAAACCTGCGGCGGACGGTGAAGAGATATTGATTCCATTCATTGGCATCCGGGTCATCCACGGTCTCTGTAAGCTTAAAGTTATGGATGGTATTGTCCCACACTGCGGACCAGACCACTGGGTTAGCACGGCCAATCTGTGTAGAATCTTAGGCGCGCACATACATTGATCCACTCGCTTGAAAGCTATCTTTGAAGCGGGGGCCTTCTTCCTTCCTTTCGACCTCTGGGAGCCTTTTAGGCCGTCTACCTGTCCGTCGGACAAGCTTCGTTTACCGCGCGTTCTGTTACGACGTCTACCATCACCTCGTTTGAGTTTCAGCGAGGCCAACCGCTCCTCCGCGAGTAAGAGTGCCATGTCATCTGGATCAGCATCCTCATCCTCATCTTGCGGATCCTCCGATGAATCCTCCTTGGACCGAAGTTTCTTGGCCTTCTTCCTCGCTCTGAGCTTGGTCACAAGCCTCTTGACAGCCTTCTCATCAAGGACTGTGTCGTCGTCTTCACTGTCCTCTATGTCAGACTCGGACTCGGACTCATACTGCGACCGGGTCTTCTTCTTCCGACTGCCTCTCAGTGACTTCTTCGCCTTGCTCTTTGTCCCTCTTCGCCGATGCGTCCTTTCCGGCGCCGACTCGGACAAACTAGAGGGGGATTCTTCCTCATCGGAAGCAGTCTCTTCAGCGCTGGGGCTTTCAGCCGAAGAACTCGACCCCTCGGAGCTATCATCGCTCGGCGTTACTATAGACGAGGTTTTGGTAGACTTATGGCCCTTCTTTTTCGAGTCGCGGTTGCGGCTGTTGGGATCCGATTCCTTGGTCGGGTGTTTTTTACAAGCGGATTTTACCGCGGCATTTTCCGACACAGCGACCGCTGATTTCCCATCTGGCTTGGTGGTATTGTTATCGAGCGGCGGCTCGGCGTCATATTTGGTTTCTGAGCCGACGGCGGTTGTCGTCGCGCTGGAATCGGCCATGACTTCAGAGCGCTGATTAGATGGGGCCCGCTGTGGAGCTTCTTCAGGGAGCGGAGTAGATGGGGACAAGAGCGGATCCGAGCTTTGCTCTTTCCGTGGCTCGGGCTCCGTCAGGGTCTCTTGAGCTGTGTTGGAGCTAGACTCTAAAAGAGTAGAGCTAGATGGCATTTGTAAGTAACCTCTAGAAAAAGCAAGGCGAATTATACTTGTGTTGAGGCAAAATACGGATAATATGGGTCGAGTAGGCAAAGGGAGGGAATAAAGGCGAAGGTAGATCGAGATGAAGGGGTGGAGGGCGAAGGCGATACATATACTGCAATGAGCGGAATAAACCAACTAACCTGACCGGACGTACGAGCTCTGACACCTAAAGCACAGATATCACAGGCTAGGCTGGCGCCTTGCTTCGTATGATCGGAATGGATTGGCCGACCACTGAGGGCTCTTCTGGCGGTGAGAATGAGGCGGATGATGTCCAATGCCTTACGACTTGGGGCGCGGGACGTATCGAAAAAGAGGAAGGGAGCATGAAAGCAACCTGATCTCGGAAGTCGAAAGAAACCGTGAATCAACGAGGCGGGATATCTGCCGATATTGCCGGAACTGAGGAGAGAGAGAGAGAAAGAGAGAGATGAAGGTTGCTTAGCAGTAAGAAAGAGCCGGAAGGGATTGGAGTATCGCGAGGTATAAAAATGGCGGGAAAATGCAAGACAGTCGAGTTTGTGACTGAAGCAAAGCAGTGATGCCTGAGAGCTGCATGCCCCAATCAGGCCTTGGCCTGAGGCGCGGACTTGTTGTCAGCGCTTCGATTCAGCCCCACGAGGCATGCATCCTGCTGTTGTTCTACCAATGATCGTTACCTCCATACAATGGCACACGTCCAGAATGGAGTCATCAGGTCCCCTTTTTCGTTTCTTTTGCTTATGATGGATTGATATCTACTTCCCTGCCTAATTCAGGTACTCATTACAGATATCGTCTTTTCTTCCCAGACAACTTGCTACGGTCACTGGCACTTGAATATCCGGGTAGTTAGTTTATAATGAATATTTTTTATTATGATTTCAGCCTGAAGAAGTCAGGAAGAGTGTTGGGGAGAAAAAAAAGAAAAGAAACGAGTGGAGACTCAAAAGATCGTCATGAGCAAAGGACCAGACCTGCCGATCCCTGAGTTACACAACAGTGTGTACGGAGTATTGCAGCTGTACTTTTGGCCTTAGGCCACTGAGCTATATCTACGCGTAATGCGATAGGGGGACCTGTAAGTCTGGCCAAGGGATAGCGTCTTGTGCTATAAATATCATTTCTACTCTATAGTGAACTTTATTTTTTTGTCTTTTTTGAGGGTTGAAAAGTAAGAAAAAAAGTCCAGAGAAAAGAAAACTAAAACAGAGTGTTTGAATAGCAACTAGTATTGGAGATATACTCCTGTCAAACACGTAATGCATATATCCTCCAATCCCAGTCAATGATACTTGAGCTCAGCCTAGTGTGGACAAGGATAAGATCACAATCTGTTCAGGATTCATTCCGACTGAACATGGTCGTGCCATATGTTCCCATCTGTATGGTACTCTCGTCAGCTGAAGAATTAGGCCGGATATTTTTGTCCTATTGCGGCTTATCAGTTGCACGACTTGACCCGTTGAGTTTGGAATCGACTGACTAGGGTTCGATCTGACTTCATCTTAGAGAATCAATCCGAAGAGAAAAAGAAATAAGAAATGAATACAGGAACAAAAAAGAAGAGGATGAAGAAAAGGAAGAAAGGAGTAAAACATCAGTATGCCTAGTCAAAGAATCAGTTCACCCGTTGATTTGATTAGTATATAGAGTCCTCAACCTGCATAGGTAATGCCTTTGAGGTGACTGGAAGGGAATGCAGTAGATACCTGTATAGCTTCTTCTCATTCCTGAAAAGGCGTGTAGGGGATATGTAATGTGCTACAGGATAGCTAGCAGTATATAACTACATGTCCATGGACGGCATCAATGGAATAATATTGGCCGGTTTAGTCACAGCATCTCCATGAGCAACCATCATCACAAACAGTATCTGTATTCCTCGACGTACAATCCATTCACGAGGTACTTAAGGAATCCCACAACATCTGTTCCCCTGGCAAACAGACCTTGCTACCCTCTGTGTTCCTCGATCCATAGGCAGTCCCTTCACCTCACCAGTGAATCATCACTCTAATCTCCCAATCACTCGTCCAGCATCTCCAACCAAAACAACTCCTCCTCACCCAGTGTTATTACACTGCCCACACCAATCATTCACAGCCAAAAGCCAGCTCCCCAGACTCCAGACTCTCCTCCTCACACCACACCATCCATCCACCCATATCCTACTCCTACCGTACCAACCAACCAACCAACAATGGACGCAGAACCCCCAACTCCCACCTCCCAAGACAACACCATGCCCGAATTCACCCCCATCAACGGCAGTCCCCCCGAAATCGCGGCCCCTTCAGTACGTACACCCCCCAAACCACAAGAAACCAACCCAAAGCGCAAAGCCAACTAACCAAAACAAAACCAACCCCCAGGTCCCGACAACCACCCCTACCAAGCGCGGCAAGTGGCCAGCCGCCACCAACAGCGAAAATGCAAAGGCCGGCTCGCCTCCCAAGAAGACCAAGACAGCGAGTGCCAGTTCGGCAAAGACTGTGCTCGGCCCTATCCCCACCTCGCTTGGGGCGGCTGGATTATCTGATAAGATGATCCTGCAGATGAGGGACGAGGAGGGCAAGAATTGGGGCGAGCTTAATGAGGCTTGGATGAAGACTACGGGTATCAAAGTTGGGGCTAGTACCCTCCGAATGAGGTATACTGCTATGAAGGCCAATTTTGTGGAGATGAATGAGGATGATGTATGTCCTGTTCTCTCTCTTTTTCTTGTTTTGCCGAACGTGATGGTGACGGTGTATATTGATGGCTGTTATGGATAGGAAGCTAGATTTCTCCGAAGCAAGAAGGAGATCGAGGAGAATTTTGAGCAGGAAAAGTGGCATAGGATTGCTGAGGCTATTGAAGTTGATGGTGGCGGGAAGTATCCTGTTACTGCTCTGCAGAAGAAGTTCAAGCAGTTGATTAAGAAGGGGAATCATGCTGGTGCGCTTAAAGATGAGGAATGAGCGGCGGTTCTGCTCATGTTGGCTCTGGCCATATGGGTGTTCGTATGGGGCTTGTGGATATGTTTGGGAAGAATTCTGGTGGGAAATCCGAAAGACGGTTCTGGAGTTTTGGTGGGATTCATGGATAGGATAGGGATTGGTGAAGGCTCAACTCGGAAGTAGAGATGCAATTAAGGAGTGTACAGTTGGGCAATTGTGTGACATCCTTAAAAAAAAGGCATTGCATTCTCTTTTAAGACCTCAAACAGCACTTTCAGCCCTCTGCATATTGCCGACGCACCAGAGCTACTTCTCATCCTCTTTCAACACATCTCAGTCAGACGGCTTGGAGTCGTATGTAACCATCTCGTTGTAGTTATAGCATTGCAATGCGACTAATGATAATGCTAATATGATTGCGAAACATAAAGCATTTGGCTCAAAACAGATCCAAAGTTATAAAATTGGACGGGAAAAAAAAAAGAATGCCTAACAGACTCCCAGGATATCAAGAACATCTATTTCACGTTGACAATCACGCCAGAGGTATCTATGTGCGCCAGACAAACCAAAACAAGAGCAGACAAATACACGAAATAGACCGCCTTATAGAACACTCATTTCCCGACGCCCATCTCGCATGATATCTGAATCACCGTTTTTATCTTTCATAGAATCATCACTGTCTGTCCGTGTAACCATCGCGGGCCGAATCTTAGCTCCAACAAACCCTCGTCGATCGCGTCCGGTACGACCACGGCCGAGCCAGTTGTGTTTGAGCGCTTTGCCCAGAAGCTCGATCTTCTCCTGTGGCCTGCCACCCGTCTGAACACTGGCCAAAACACTAACACATTGAAGCATCCGACCAACAGTCTCCGTAATGACATGAGACGAGTCTGCCGCATTAGACGCCCGATGGATGATCGTCGGCCGCTGTGTTGGGGACGAGAATGACTGGAAAATAAGTTGATCTGGGTTTGACGAAGTGTTGGAAGCAGCACGGCTGCGATTGCAACTTATAGAGTCTGAAGAGTAACTACCTGCAGTATTGAGGAGAGTGGAAGATTGAGAACTGTAGCTGCCGAAACCGGCATCCAGCGAGGCGGCGGTTGTAGGCCGGCCACTGTTGCTACTGCTCTTTGTCGTTACACTGAGCGCAGAATTGCCCAAGTTAATGTTGTCGAGGCTCAAACGGGAGAACGTTGCCTTGAGGCCGTCGTAACGATGTAGAATGACCCTATCGCGGAATGCTATCAACACAAGATTGCGAACTTCAAGCTCGCACCCAGGATAATCCCCATTTAAGGTGGTTGCCCAGAACTCGCGGGCTTCGCGAAGGTTCATCACGGTCCCACAACCCCTGAATTCAAGGTCTAGGGGTAAGAAGACAGCCTGTATAAACGGAAGAATCGTGCCGAAGACAAGCATCCATATCTGTACCAGATGAGGAACTAGCTTCTCATCAGGCACTCCATTTAGGGTATGGTTCAAAGACGCAAACCCTGTCTCTAAGAGCTCCCGCAGGTCATCGACTATGGCTGACGGTGTGCGCTTCTGCACACAACGTTGGATGTGAATGAGTACTAGCTTGTTGAGATCTTCAATAGCAATGCGGACATCTTCCCCATCAAAAATGACCAAAAGCTTGGCTTTCAAAAAGTCCCACGCATCCTCTGGTGACATGTTGTTAAGACCAAAGCCTTGTAAGGTCTCTCGAAGAGCAGCCTCCGTGAGGGCTCCCGTCGAGCCAATTGACGACGGCCCTTGGAATGCAACTGACGCACTACCAGCGTTTGTTGAGCTTGCCAACCACTCATGTTGCTCCGACTCCGCCGCCAACGCTTTCTCCTTTTCTTTCTCTTCTTTCTTTTTCTCTCGTAATGCTCGCCCGCCATGGAGGATATCCAACCCGCTCACGGATTTGCTAAAGGTAGTCGACACTGCTCCTGGAGAAGCAGGTGTAAATGAATATAGTGATTGAGGAGCGTTCGGATCGGATGGCTTGGAATTACTTGAAGCAGAAGACAATGGCAGGTTGTAATGATCATCCCGATCCTTCAACTTCAACTTTTGCCGCGACAAGAAATGATGCTTATGGGCCTTTTCTTTTTCCTTCTCTTTCTCACTGGTAGTTGGCTTATCAGCTGGAACAACCGTGCTTGCAGATGCATTTGATAGATTATACATGGAGGAATTGGTGGAGGGGAAGGTATCAGCTAAGCTTGTAGTCGAGGTACTGACAATTCGTGACAAGCCCGCACCGGAGAAACCCATTTTGCTAGGAGACGGGAGCCCCCTATCTTTTCCTATTCCGTCCTTATCCCGGCTGATCCCAATGTGCTTGGGTTTCGAAAAGAGCTTCATCTTGGACTTCTCCCCTTTATGTTTGTGTTCCTTTTCCGGCGGCGCTTCCAGCCCGGGAGGCTGCAGCCCAGCGTGTCGTGGGAACGCCACATTGGCTGCCGTCGTCGCCACCCCAGAATTGCCATTCTGATATGTTTGCCCTGACGATCCACCTGTCCCGTGAGGTGTTAGGGAAGGGGGTGGCAATAGCGGGGGAGGGGAAATGCTACCTCCCCTAGTTCTCGATCCGTCATCCGGACTATAGATAATGGTCTGAGGTCGCTTGAGCGGCTGTGGTGAAGGATTTCCCTGCTGCAGCTGCTGCATCGCAGTCTGGGCTGCAATCCTCGATATGGTGGAGTCTGATCCGGACGCCGTAGGAAGCGAGGGTTCGAAGAACCCCTGCGAATGATGCCGAGACCGATGTTTCGTCATATCGGGCGGATGCCCCCGGTTCGTCGGTTTTCTGCTTGATATTTCATTCTGTGGCATGTAGGAAGCGGGGGGCCGACTAAGAGTTGGTGAAGGGCCGTTCTGGCTAATCCCAGTGGTGGTGGTATTAATTGAGGAGGTCCGGGGCGGCCGGGGGGACGAGGTCCCACTGGGGGGTTGGTAAAATGGGTTTTGGACTGCAGAGATGGTTGTCACATTGGAGGTCACTGAAGAAGCATCACTTCCAGAGGAGCCTGGACGTTCCAATTCACTATCGAAGGAAGGTCGAGGGGGGTTGGGGGATCGGGTGGAAGAGCGCTCCGGTGAGACGGGAGAGCGCAACATTCTCGTGGTAGTAGTTTAGGCAATGAGTAATTTATACGTAACGCGGCGTAGCATAATAGGTAGCATTCCCCATGTCCCGTTGTCATGGGTAGTGGTGGCTGTTATTGGTTTACCAAACGTTGAATCCAATCCGTAGATTAATTCAGCCGCCTAGAGAAGGATCAACAATTTAAATGACGGGGAACTACTCTAAAAGTGTCCTTTTGTCGATCTTTGTTTGACTCCGCGGCGCACAACTTGGAAATGAAACCAACACCGCCTTCCCATAAATCAGGCGCCCCGCCGAATATCGCTTCATGAATCAAAACTAACCCTCTAACGAAACCTACCTCGGTTTCCCCTCCATGTCCACCCCAACAAACGCAGAGGATCAGCACGATTCAAAACGACAAAAGACTTCCCCGGTTAACGACTCGTTTGACCATCTCATCACTATGGCGGCAAACATATCCCCCAATTTCCTGCGCGCTGTCTATTCTGCCCCTCAATCAGCACAGACATTTGAGCACTCCATCTCCTCGCCCGCACCCCCCGCCGGATCCTCGCCAGAAGATGTGCAATCTAAAACCGCTTATTTATCGGAGCTTAGAAAACTAATACCGACGTTGCAGAATGATATCAACATTTTCTTGACCAAAAAAATGGAAGAGGATAAAACGCTTGCCGAAGCCCAGGGACGTCAAATCTCGGAACAAGAACGCAAAGAGGAGGAAAACTACGGAGAGGAGGTTGTTGAGGAGGATGACTAAAGGTTTAACTAGCCAATGTCTGAGAAAGTATGGTCGCAGATCTCCATTCGTACACGCTTCGTTGGATTCATGCAAAGGCAACGGGCTATATTACAACAAATGATGAGGGCTTGAAGATATTGGGTGAAGATATATAATGGATCCTTGGATAATATCGCTATCCTGGGTATCAATGAGCAGAAACCATCCGCCACTCCATTGCGATAATATGCATCGATAACGAAACGTACCGAGACGAAGATAGGAAGAGTGACGCGGTGACAAAGAAAAAAGAAAAATGTTGGCAAGGACAGAAGATAAATGTTCAATGCATCGTTACCACAGAGGCAAACCTAATTCTATTTGCAAGAAAACTTCATGAAGCAGCGGACGTACGATTGGCACAGCCAAGGTGAACAACAGTATTGCTATGAGCAAGTCAGTTTTAGAACCAAGATTCAAGCGCTGCACGAAAAAACTTACTCTGGAAAAACATTTATCACACTGCCGCCAATTCGCTTGTGACAGATGCCACATATCCTTTCCTCTGTGATGGTGACATGTCTCATTCTGGATGACTTTCCGTCGGTCCCTTCGCCGACCATGAGCTGCGCTTCGGTCTTGAAATTCTGAGCTTTTTGCAAGCTGGCCACGATCCTACTTTCATTTAATACTGAGGTAGCTGCCCGCATTCGACCCTTGAAATAAAAGTCAAGTTCTTTAACGGGCAGTGACTCGGGAATCAGCTCTAGCGCTGAACTTGGTGGAAGACGGGATCCATGTTTTGCCAATATCTCCAACGCAGGCCCATATCGGCGATCATACCCATGAGGCGGGGTGAGATACAGCGAGAGTAGTGTTAGATATATAGTCGATTTATCTTCGTTAAGCGCCGATGAAGATGGGGCCTCAGCAGCTATATCTTCTGTCTTGTGGAAATGGTTGCAGTACCTGTAGATAGTTCGTCAGAATACTCCATGCAAGGGTATAAAAGGAGCATGAAGCCTACTGCACATACTCTTCTGCTTTCCCATAGTCTTCCAATTTGAACACGTAGATTTCTAGGGCCTGCCTATGCTGGCCCATCTTACTAAAAACGATGGCTCTCGCTTCGAAAAATTCAGGGTCTATTACAAAGTTAGTGTCAATCCGCAAAAGCAAAGATGTAGAGAAGGGATTTAGTACCATCTCGATCAAGACTATCAAGTATTTTGGCTGGCGAATACTGAGAGCTTGACCTGAGCATCTCTAGGAATTTGTTTCGCCATACAGCACGTTCCTCATAATTAGGGAATACCCAGTCGTCGGGTCCGCCTTTCTTCAAGCGGTTCAAGTAGAAAGTGAGAAGCTTTTGATGTAGATCCGGTGTCATATCGTTTAACTCTCCGATGACATGCTCGAGATATCGAACAGCGAGATTCGGGTCGACACCCTGCAAGAACTCGAGAACTCGGTGCCGGGGTAATGTTTCCGCATTTTCAGTGTCTGCTAAGAAGATTTCCATACCCAGATCAGGGTCTTCTCGTATGGGCCATTCAGCAAATTCAAGGATGAGATCAATTCGATCGGGGGCCAAGTTCTGCAGATAGGCAACAGTTCTCTTGGGCCCATGGAGTTGCGGAGCCGTTTCGGTTTCAGACTCGGCTTGACCAAATCGTTGTAAGAGCTCCAATGCTTGGCGATGCATCTTCTTTCCATAGAGGAAATCAATCAAGTCATTGTACCGGCCGGTTTCTTCCAGCTTTTCCATGACGACCTCTGGGTCACAGAAGTTGGCAATACGGAAGAGTGAGCCCGCAAGAGCAGGAGTGGCGTACATGCAAACTCGGAAAAAGGTCGTATCGACGAGCCTGGCTTCCTCCCGCAGCTTTTCAGCGAACTCATGGTCACGAATGTCCCCGGTGATATCCAACAGTTTCATCACTGAGTCGGTGAACTCATCATTTGGTGCGCCAGAGGGTGAATCGATCATCTTAAGTGAGCCGTCAGGGTTCAAGAACCGCTGGAATCTCCTCCGGACATCGGCAAGATATTTTTGTAGCTCGCGTACGGCAGTCAAGAGATCTTTTCCATGTAGCGGCTTCTCGTTTCGGGATTCTTCCGCAGGTTTGCCGCGAATACTGCCGGAATCACTCCAATCATCCGTGCGAGTTCGAAGGAGTGACCTCACCGAGGGAGCATGGGTGAGTGTCTTTGGGGCGGGAGCATCATCTGCATTAGTACCATCCAGGTGGGACTGAACTTCGTTCAGTTTTGACGGGCCATCTGTCGTACCGTCCTCTGATACCTCTTCATCATCGATGGAGGAAAGATCACCGGCAATGACTCTAGGGTACAGTCGGATAACAGTCTCGGGAGGAGCCGAGATCTCAGTGAACAAATCAGTCGAGTCCCGATATTTGCGCAAGGCAAAAAGCCCCTGGGCCTTTTCCATCTTGATCATTCGTAGTCGACTGTGTTTGTCACTGAGCAACGCATCTTCTAGCATGCTAGTAAGACTAATAGCTTCATCCAAATAGCCCTTTTCAACGAGGGTGTCTATTTGCGTATCATAGCTCAAAGCCTCCATTCGCCATATGGTGCGGTCACTGCCAACCAGGAAGCCTTTGCCGGCATGCGCCAAACTGATATTAGGCTGTGGAAAGTGTAGGATATTTGCAGATGGTAGAGCCACCGACTGCAGTAATGACAACGTCTCTGGATTCCTAACCTCCAAAACACCCTTTGAAGGGTCGTGGAGTGCGAGCAAAAACGGGTAAGAGTATCCGATGTTCGCCGGAGCATGGCTCCATGGGATCTGCCTCCGTCCCAGAGAGTTGCCATTGATGTCGATGAAATGAGTGTTGATATCCTTCGCCAGCAATATTTGCCCTTCGCTAAGTCGTGTCGCTAGTGGCTTCGGAGCCGCACCGCCAATTCCAATGTAGCTCATGCTAGCAACTCCAACGCCAGCCAGACGACCCGTCTCCTGCCCCCCAAGACCCCCGATACTTCCTGGTCCGGCTAATTCGGTAACCACTGAAGTCTCAATATCCACCATCACGAAATTCGAGCCCAGTCCAGCCACAAGTTTTGTCCCAGAAACCCACGTAAGTGTCTTGATCCCACTAACCAGTGTAATCTCAGCGGTATCGGTGTCCAACTCCATATCGCGCCATGACCATAGCAATATCTTTCTCTTCACCGCAACCGCAAGACGAGATACAATGGACGGAACCCCAGTCTCGGGATCGTTAACAATATTCGAGGTCACGCTAAAGGTAGTGGCACCTTTCGTTTTGGTCAGCTGTTCTTGGAATTCGTAGGACTGCAGGTCATGAATAGAGACGTATCCGCCCGACAGCGAGATTAGAAGCTTCGCTTCCTTGATCAGAGCTAGCTGCTCAACCTTGTATCTTGAGAACTTCTCCAACTCGCGTAGCAAGTCTGTCTGTTTCGCCTTTGAATTGATGACGACGGACCCCGTCGTCCCAGGCTGGCCACTATCCCCGTTTTTGAGTGTACCTCCACCGCCCTGTTCGTCATTGCTGTGGTTGCTGTCATCGTGGTTTTGTTCGTCAGGGGCAACCTCGTTTATCCTGTATATTCGTAAGCTCCCATTGTTCAGTCCTACAAGGAGTCGGTCGCCGTAGGCGAGCACCGACTCAATCCTAGACCTGTCTCGGGGCTTGAGCTCGACGAGAGGCCGAGCTGTGAACGCTGATAACATGGCTTGGCAGCGAGCTTCCGTGGTCGCGCCTCTTCACTTGAGAAGCGGGATAAATTCATGTCCAGCGAGGGCCAATCATAGGAAGTTAATGATGCGGAGACGCATGCTGAGATTGCGCCAATCCTGCTGGTATCGACAAGCACTACCTCCCGTCGTCAAGTGTGTGACGCTACTATGGGACCTCTCCATCATTGACGGCCGCTTTCCGCCTCATGTGACACGGCCAAGGTCTTGCCGCTTTTTCACCCGACCAATGATGTTGTCTCGCATATAGCGGACTCGAGTCGTTTTGCTGCTGTTCTCGCTCTTGATATTTTTATTATCCGTAGGAAGTATTGATGCATGAGATATATATTACTATCAGACATTGAATAGGCTTCTCATTCAAGGACACAAATAAAGACGAGTAGGGATAATAACTATGGACAGAGAATTCTATGTTCTTTATTTACCGGATAAAATGCGCAAGTGCTGAAGCGTAATGGATCCCGAATCTCCACCTGCCGGCTGTCCTCGCATGCAGCCTCACTGTATAATCAATCATACAGTGTTGCTACAAGGTGGATGGCAATAAGACTGGATCATTGCGGGAGTGAAAAACGTTACCAGAGAGGAATAACACCGGCCACTTTATAAATGTGACCGGGAGCTGACTGCAACCTGTCGAAAGCCTGGATTATATAGAGGAAAGAAGGACGCATGGTATGCGAAGATACATTGTATAAAAGGCGTTTTTGTATTGCAGGTGTCTTGAGAGGCGGCAGACAGGATAAAGGGCACAGCCTAAGCGGAAGCCGAACAATCTGACATGATCGAAAGCTAAACGTGTGCTAAGAATCTCATCGGCTTGGTGCTAACATTTCACGCTTTGATTTCTGTGGGATAGTCTTGGTGCTTTGCCGATGTGCCTTTGGCACGCCAGGTAGACACAGCTGGAATGTCGGCTTTGAAGCGCTGTTCTTCGGTGCCGTACGCGCGAGGAGTAAGCTTGATCAAGGTATGAAGGGGAACCTCCATCCATGGGCTCTGCTCCTGAGGAGTGTTCAAGAAATAGGCATAGATACATCGCAGGACGGCCTGGTGAGTGACAATGATGACGTTCTCACTGCGTTCCAATTCCATGATAATCGGCTCGAGACGAATCACAACGTCGCGGTATGACTCGCCGCCCCGATAACGATAGTTGTACTTGTCTTCGTCACGAGCGGCGAAGTCCTCTGGGTATTTTTCTGCAATTTCTTCATATGTCAGGCCATCGCACACCCCCGAGTCAAGTTCGTCGAGGGCTTTCCATTCCAGCTTCTCGAAGCCAGTTTCTGCATGGAGGTGTCGAGCTGTCTGAATGGTTCGTTTTAGGGTCGATGTCCAGATCACAATTTTTGTGTTGGGAGGCACCCCTGACTTCTTCAACAAACCCGGAAGTGCCCGAGCATAAGCCTCGCCACGGTGCGATATATTAGAATCACCGCCGATCTTCCCTGTAAGATTATATTCTGATTCTCCGTGCTAGCATGAGTTAGGCGAAACCTTTCTCGGTACTTAAACGCTTCCTGTATCAACTTACGCGAGAGAGCCAGATTGACCTGGGTTTAATGTGAAGGTTCTGAATATAGTAAACCAACCGACTGGAGAGATAGTCTTTGATCTGGTTTATAATCACCGTGGACCCAACATTGATAAGTTTTACATAGGTGAAATGCTTCTCGTTATCGTCGATGGTTTCGTACACCTTCTCGTAATTGCGAATCCGATTGCGGAAATCCAGAGCGGCAACCTCAGGGTCCTGCCCTTTGTAGTCTGGCGACGTAGTTTTGACTTCGAGGATGTTGTTCATTATTAGGTCTTCCTCATCGCATATTGACTCAACAAATAATGTTTCAATATTGGCCGCTTGGCAGCTTTCGTAAATCCAACTTCGCCGAGATTTAGTCGAGTTGGTAGCATCCAATATTGCTACAATCCCCTGTCCGGAGCTGAACCATTGAAGCATATCCGACATTGCAGCTTCTGCCGCGGCCTTTCTCATCTTCTCCCCCTCGGAGTTGTGAGGGTCAAAGAAGGTAGCATTGGGCTGGGGTGTATTGTTTCGGCGATAGCTACCCACATTGAATACACGAGCAGGAATACCAACCCATGCAAGATACCGCATTGCTGGTTCGCTAGTTAGCATCTAGTGCTTAAGAAAGGGCTACCTTGTGGAACATACCCTTTCCAGCTATGAGACTTTTGCCTCTGGCCGGAAGGCCAACCATGACAACACAAATCTTAGTGTCATCTGCCTGGATAGACAGTCAGTATAGGCGTCTCCTCAGGGGTTTCTCAAGTAAAGTATAAAGGAGGGGTTGGTTATGGAGACCGACAACGGGTGGGACATGATGACACCATGCGTTGAATGTATAGATCAGTTTGTAAGGCGATGATGGCTCAAACAAACAGAGAAAGCCGAAAACAGAAAAAAAAAGAAAGAAAATAAAACAGCAATTGCCAATATAATCAAACATATCCAACTTCTGCTTGGATAACATACAGTGCATTCAGGATGGCCAGGATGGCGGGGATGTATCCAAAAATAGTAAGACCATTAACAAGACTCGACTTACGCTGGCAAAGTAGCTCTTGGTTTGACCTCTTCTCACAGACATGCTGGGCAGCAAATCGGGGAGGGTTTCTTCGAATCAGGATATGCAACACGAGGACAAGAGAAGGGACGAATTCAAAACCTCGGCCACCGGTTGTCCGACCGGACTGAGAGGGCCGGAGAAATGAAAAGTTAGGCTAAAGGGGGGATAGTGTTCAGGACAAAGAAATAGGGATCTTTGTTTCTTCTTTTCTTTAATTTTTTTTCTTAATCCCAATGGCTAACTTTTCACACGTTTCTTTAATGTATGCGCTATCTCTGTTCAATGACTGGACAGATCCGGCTGTCGTGCTTGTGTAGAAGATTTGAGTAGTAAATCAATCAAGAGCCCTGGTTGGATCCCATGGAAGCACAACTGTTGATGCGGTGAAGGCAGGGGAAGTAGTAGTAAAGCACAGACGTCATGCCGTGGGGCAAATTCACCACAACTTGAGGGCAAATGGCTTGAATGATGGAAGTCAAATCGTCTAGTTCACTCTAGGGTCTTATATCAAGAAATTGAAAATTAAAAATTAAAAAAATAATTTCCCCAGGCTTTTACTAAAAGGATGACGAAGATCCAGAACCCCCTAAAAGACGCACCACGTGACGTTTTACGTTTTCGTCGGGTAAAGTCGCTCGCCTTCGGGTATTGTTCTGAAGGTCAGTCGGGAAGAAAAAGACCCTCTTGATCTAATCTTGGAACAACTCCTGTCAAGATTCTCATCGGCCTCTTCCAGATTCAGCTGCATGTAATTCAGGGGTATACTCCTGGGTATATCCTGACAAATGCTGGAATCGTACCGATTGGATCAGGAAGCGTTATTGAATACCCTGTGGGACTGGGGGAGACTATGGTAAGGTTCAGGATGTTCACTTATAGATACCATCCATAGTCTAGTATCAGCCCACCGGTTGAATGGCCTATTCAGGGAAAAGTAGATCCTCAGGCTGTCGACGGTTACATGAACTAGTGAGAGGCTAAATAAACAGTTCTAGACACTAAGGAAACCATAAGTACTAGCCACAGTGGATTTCATTGACTTGATCTATTCCATTTTTTACCCCCTTTTGTCATCAGTCATCATTGTATCCCTCTTTTCCTTTCCCGCTTTTTCTGTCATCCATTTTGCTTCCTTTGTATGTGCCCCAGCCGTTGCGGTGTTGGATAGATAGATTTGAACAAACTACCGCCAACCGTCGGCCGGTGTTAACCCTTCTTTCCAAACAGAACCCAACAGGGTCGATAGCGCGTGTCTTATCGGGCAGACAGTGATCCAATATGTGTTGCCATAGGAAAGGCTTGATTGATGTCAAGATAGAACGAAAACAGGAGGGCCTGTTCTGACAAGATCCAGGAAAATTCATCCTGCCCAAAGTGATAAAGCGCCAAACTCCAGTTTTGCCTTTGCCTTTTTTGATTCTGAGCGCCATGTTTATGCAATTATATCCTAGCCAAAGACGAATGACTTATTCGCAGGTAGCTTATACACCAACCGAGACCTCAGCGGCAGCTGGTGTTTCGTCTCCTCGGGCAGAAGACCACTTGCTCTTCCTTTCTTCCGAGTTGGTGGATTCTCCACGAGCCCTCTGCACCCGGATAGGGCCACCCCAAGGACCCTCCTGTCCGTTCAGGGCATTCATGGCAGACTGTGCCTCTTCCACGCTCCCAAAGTCGACGAACAAGTAGTAGTGGTCACCGGGCTCGAAACGCTTGGCGGGGTGAGGAGTGAACAGTTTGCTGATGTTCTCACTAGAAGTCGGGCATGTCAGCATCATCACGCAGTCTAGCTTCCGGAGGAATGGGGAGCATACAGTTTGTAGTCCTTGAAGAATGTTGTGATATTGCTGGAAATAGCCTCCTGGTCGGTCAAGCGGGGGATACCACCGACATAGAGACGGCGGCTGGAATCGCTGTTGACCTTGGCAAAGGTAGGAGCATCGGGGCGGCGCCACCGGTCCATGGAGAAAGGCGATGTCTTGTTCTCAGCACGGGGAGATCCATCTGTCCGCGGCTGTTGCTGGGCGCGTTCGCTGGAGGACTTGACCACACCCGGCTTGATCTTGACCGGACGGCCAAGCATGTCGCGACCATCTAATTCGTTCATGGCTTTCTCTGCCAATTCCTTTGTTTCAAGGTCGACAAAGCAGTATGAAGGGTTGCGGCCGGTGAAAGGGTCAATGGCAATATCGATCCGCTCGCTATGAAGCACTCAGTCTGGGCCGCTCTTTATACAGAAACTCTCACTCATACATTGGGAACTCGGCTGCGTCGAACAGTGCTTGCACATCCTCCGACTTGGCAGTGTAAGGCATGTTGCCCACATATAGACGGCGTCCTTCGGAGATAGCCTGAGGAACATGGGGGCTGGGTCTGCTGAATGCGAGTCTCGAGGTGCTGGTCTTAGGGCCAGGGGACCCCGCGCTTTGCGCACTGGGGCTCTCCTCACCCTTCACACGCCAGTTGGGGGAATGGAAGGCACGACCTGTCGTTCTGACACCATTCTGGTTGAATGACTTGACGGGTGCTAAGAACTCATTAGTGATTCGTGGCACATTATCTTCATTGTTGGATCCAGCCCTAGATGAGCCTCCCAAACTTCTACACACTTTGTTGCTGCGGGACGGGGCTTTCAGGAGCGTCGACCATTTTGATAGATATATTATTGAAATAGCGATATAGGAAAGGAACGTAAGAAACGACCTGGTTCGGCGAAAAGAAGAGTCAGCATATTGATGCGGCGCAAAATTTACTTATTTCCGAATATGACAATGATAAGCACAGGATGTCTTACCGTTGGATGTCTTGTAAATTAAGTAACGAAAGATTAGCAGTATAGAAAACAAAAAGGAGGATCTTGTAGGCCTAATAGTTCAACAGGGCAAATTGCACAGGCGAAACCCGGTCTCGAACAAAACCACAATTCAGTGTTGATGCCTACTACGAAAAATTGCGGATTTACTTTTTTTGGGCGGCGAGGAAGGCCTACATTACAAACTGCGCAAACCATGCAAACCCATTGGTATGGTTCCTCCGTCTGGTTGGTCCATTAGCGAACAGCGCTAAAAACAGCGTCGGGTATAAATACTTGGGACATGATCCGTTGGTTTAATTTTCCCTCTTTACCCTCTGTAACACGCTCTCGCAGCTTCTCCTCGATGATTAGCAATGGGAATTTTTGGCCATTGATTCTATTCCCACAGGTCCTCAGGCCTCTGTACTCAGGCCTCTGTGCATGCTCAATAATGTTGGATTTATGCGTTCCTTCGAGCTCATGCTTAATACAGCCTTTCAGTATCGGTCTTGGACTGGGGCGGAGAGTTTTCACCGATCTACCTGAATGGATACAGTTTGGCGTGATTCAGGCTCATTTGAGCGGAATGTCTCCATAGCTATATTTTCCTTTTCTTTTTATACTCCCTTGTCACCACATACTTCGAATGATGAAGCAAGATTTCACACAGACCTGTTCCTAGCATACACCATGCGGATCAATAATCGTACCAACTGCTGTCTGACGAAGTTGCCCTTTTCAACCTATTTTCCATGTTTCAATTTCTATCTCTAGTTAGATCTGTCAATTGAAAATTTATAGAAGTCGATCTATATGTCGAAATAAGTAAGTGTATAGTACTGTTAGACAGAACCTGACTTTTGATAACCGCTATCTTCCAATTGTCGTCACCGACCCTAGCTTGGGCAGGGTAATTCAAGGGACTCAACAAAATTGAAATAATTTTTTCGCATTCAAATTGTAAAGTACAGTACATGTCGTAAACGCGTCTCGAATATGTAAACATACCGAATTGTACTGTATATACACACGGCCTTTCCGCTCACAGACTGTTGTATCCCGCTTCTGGTGGAACGTTGAAAGCATCTTCCCGCTCGTACAAGACCTCTGGCCGCACATTTTGGCGTAAGACGTACCTTTGGATGAAGTAAGGAATTTGCCGAAGCCCGTAAGCTGCGTGGAAGGTCGTGGAGACGGAAAAAACCTGGTCCAACTCTTCCAGTGTCTTCCCTTTCGTCTCGGGTAGTAACACGAGGATCAACCACCAGCCTACAATGTTCCAGCCTGCATACCAACTGAATGCACCTTGCGGCGTGAACGCGCTACGAAGGGAGGGCCATGTGACACCGAGTATGAAGTTGAATAGCCAGGTCGTCGAGGTAGCTAGGGCCATACCATACGAACGAATGTATAGTGGGTAGGCTTCTGCGGAATAGGTGAATGGCACAGGACCTTCTCCCACTGAATAAACGATACCGAAAATGTATAAGCCCAGAGCGATACATGCTAGTCGCGCCGATCCGTGTGTTTCTTGTGGAATCCAAAAACTGAACCCGGTGAAGAACATGGAAATGGCCATTAGAGGAAACGTGGTGAGGAGTAAGTTACGACGACCAAAAGTATCGATGGTGTACACCGCTGGAATGGCGAAGAGCCAGTTGATTAGACCCCAACCAAGAGATGCTGTTAGAGCGTTCCGCTGATTTGCTGCTTCTAGGAAGATCTCCGATGAATAGTAGGCAATGACGTTGACCCCTAATACAGTGACAGTCAGTATTTAGCAGAAGCCTCATGACGTGGGATAGTTCATATTTCTGACACATACCACAGAACTATGCCAATATTAGCGAAATCACATTAGGTCGAACACTGGTTCTATCCAACTGTCAACATACCTGCTGCAAAAACATGACCAACTCGGATGCAATCAAGGCGCGCCGATTGCGAGGAACGGTGATCATCTCGAGTATCTTATTCTGACCGAGTTTCATTCCGTTCTCGGCCTCTAGCAACGTGTGCATGTAGAAGAGGTCACGGGCAGCCTGGACCTTATGGAACCGCAGGCTGCACATTGACTGATATGCCTTGTCGTAGCATTTCCGCGACATATACCAACGAGGTGATTCCGGGCAAGAGAAAACGAAAGAGCAGACCATGATGGCTGGCAACATGGCCGATCCCACCATGAGGCGCCAGTTCAGGCCAGTAATACCAAGTGGATCCTTCACATTGTAGAAGACAAGGTCGGCCGCGTAGCCGAACATGATACCAAATGCAGTCCACATCTGCCACTGCATTACCAAAGCACCACGAATCGCAGGAGGGGCTGTTTCAGCGGCATAAATGGGGACTGTTGCAGATTTAGGGCCGATACCAAAGCCTAGGACAAACCTGGCAATAAACATGTGCCACCAGGTGTTCACAAATCCTTGCCAAAGGCAGGCAAGGGCCGAAAAGCAACAAGTGATGAAGATGGTCCCTCGGCGGCCAAACCAGGCGTTGAATGGCACCGTCAGCCAGCAACCGATGACAGCACAGCACAAATAAGGGGCAGCGTTGACCAACCCCACAAGCCAGTTAGACCTAGAGTCATCGTTCGCAATTCCGAATTGATGTTTGTAGAATATCTGGGCGCCATTGACGACAGTTTCATCTGGAGTATGGATAATATGTCAGTTCAATTGTAGCCCATATGACATAAATACGGAGAACAGGGGTGTCACTGGCATACCCATTCCCTGTACTGCCGCAGCGATGGAGCACAGAGCGATGACAAGATACATCGTCCAGGGCTGGGACCAACGATTAGAGAATTCCTTCTGTAGGACTTCTATCTCCTCGGGCCTCATATCGGGAACGTTGGTGAACTTCTCGGGTACTTGGGCTAGAACAGCGCCTATTCCAAAGACACGGATGTCATCTTCATCCCCTATCTGGTGTGTGACAGCGAAATTGATGCCTTGCCTGCGCAGTTCCTCATAGCTGTACCCAGCAAGTGGATTGGCCAATTTCGCATTGATATTGCGGCGTGCACGCTCTGCGGCTGTCGCGAAGATGCGCCGCGGCATCGCGGTCTCGCGTCTTTCCACGTGTTCAGGGTCTTCTTTGTGTTGAGGGTCTGCAGACGGCCCTAGTTCCTCTTTTCCAAACATTGTATGGACATATGACCGGCACCGTAATCTTTATCTTAAGGTTCAGAATCAATTGCTGCGAGTAGGAGAGAGTAGAAGGGGCAAAGGTAGGAAAGACAATGTTAGAGATGGATATGGATTGGAATAAAAACTTCAATCACAGAAAGATTGAGCAAATCTGGGTTCGGAAACACCGGTGGAGACAATAAAAGTAACCGTGGGTAGGGCAGTGGTTGCTCAGGTGCGCCGCAAGCCAACAAAGAACCAGCAGCCACTCTAGATAGAGTCTAAGAAGCGACGTTCATGAAATATGGCCGAGGTTGCATTTGATCACCCGCGGACCTCCACTGAGCAGTCCACCACGTAGAGGTTTCAGCTTATGGTTTCGCGGGGAATGGAGACGGAGGAGATAGATAGATATAAGTTGGTGGAGAAGGTAAGAAGGGTGGTTAGCTGTCTGCTACACTTGTTGCAGCAGTTTGGTGGGTATTTGAAGAGTGCGCCGTATGGGGCTGACCAGAGGCAATGCAGCGTGATGGTGGTTGGATCCCCGATCTTGTATCATTTCCATATCCAGGCTCAATCGATTCCTGGTATCGGAGGCTGATCCTTCTTTGCTTTGTTTGCGTGGGGCCAGAGTGCCTGTCTGCCCGAGTGTTAGCCCTTGATGATTGGAGGAGATGATCAGGTCAGGGCTTATTTTTGAAAACGCGGGAAAAGCGGACGAAGAAGGCAAGTGAGCTTTGTATTCGCCCCAATAGTCTTAACCTTAGCAATATATGAAGTTCTCGCTTGGCATAATCTGAGCTGTGTGGCTGCAGGAAGTTACTCGCAGTGCGTCAGCCTGCATTCTGAAGACTAGACCCAGCCTTGTACGAGATGGACCTTCGAAAGAGGTCATTGTTGAAGGTTGGAACACCCCTCCCTCCCAAAGATTGTTTGTGGCATGGACAGATAACCGGGGAGAGAGAAGAACACAATGGCAAACTTCCGTGGCTTTGGCTGGAAGTGTGTAGCAAACATTTGAACTCGCGACCAAAGTCCGACCCTTAGTACTGCATACCTAAGTAGGGAATCAAAGCAGATCACGAGAGCTCCATTCGTCTGAATCTTTGCCTTTCTTTCTTTCCCCCATTTCATCTGATCACTGATTGGGAAAGATGTCTCATGGCCAAAACAATCGCTAACCATTTACTATTTGACAATATTGATCCCTGCCCACGTTCAGCATAATACCCCGAGAAAGAAAAAAGGTCAGCGCATCGAAATAGCCTTCCGATTATATTCCGACCCGTCATGTGAAGCATTCAGCCTTGCTGCTGACCGCTACAGCCACGAAAAGCCCGCGAGAAGAATGGCCCGTTATCACTGCACCTTTACACTTGTCCTATTGCCAACCTGGCATTGTTCTAGGACGACAGACGATCGGTCGGGTCCCCCAAGTTGTAGCCTGTGAAAAGAGCGTATTTTGCAATTCCCACCCATGCAACCTCATCTTAACTAGAATATATAATCGCTTTCAAATGAAATGCCAAGACTGACAGTTCTATCAGCCATGTCGTTACGCCGATCCCAGACTATATTGTCCTTGATAGCCTCGCTGAAGCCAGCGTATCCAGATCCATGGTAGAGATCTCTAGGGCTGCGTGCGTCTTAACCTTTGGAGACTTGGTCTTGAGGCCCTTGGGACGATGTGAGTCTAAAGATGTAAATTTCACTGGGCTAAATCAAGATGCAAGTACTGTGGGGGATGATTTTGTCTGGGCCGGCTAGACCCCATCCCAAATAATCATAGAAAACCAGGCATATACTAGATCAGTGTGTAAGATGCGATACTTGTAGAGGTTGGCTAAATGACTGGTGGCCCACGCACATTTTTAGATTATGCCCACCTAGCTCTAGATTAGCACGCTAGCTTACTGCAAGGCTCGTAGACAGTTACTTGTAATACCGAGTACACGGTTCATTGATTGCAATTAGGTAGATCGAAGCAACGAAACGCAGTGACAGGGTTCTATCTTGAATAGTTCTTTTGAAAATGGACAAATCGTTCTGTGACATAATGGAAAAGCGAGAGAAATGAATACATGTTTCTACTCCTAAAGAAATATTATACCTGATAAATTGACTAATTACATCCTCAAAAGAAGCGGTAGAAAGTCTTCGACGGCCGGTGGAGAGACCCATAAATAATTAGTTGATCAACAATAAATTTGCGGGGTAATGACTATCGGCTACAGCACACCCCGCGCATGTCGGATAATGCACCTCTATCAAACATCAGTGCAATAGATCCATATAATTGCCGAAACTAATCGTCGTCTCCATTTCCGATATGTGGGTGAGGTGCTTCCGTTCGGATGTACTCATACAGAGCAATATATCGATAGCTTGCCGGTCAAGATTGAAGGTATCCTTGAACCCAGAGCCTAGGATATCTGTCACATTGTCTACAGCAACATTAGGTATTCAAGAATGATTCTGACGATGTTCAAGGGAGACCCTCATTTCCGATAAGACTAGTCAGATAGATATATGTACCAAGCTCATGCGCATATGACATACTAGAACCCACATCATTCCCCACACTCAACAGCAACCGTCGGAACTGAGATTGGAGATGGTCGTACTCTATGCGACCATATGCACCCTTTCCCATCATCGGAAGTGTGGTACACATCCGCTATTATCCGTCCGTGCATAGTGAAGATATAAAGCTGGCACTCCCGACCATTCTAGCTTCCATCATCTGCCCCTGTTCTCACCTGTATATTTACAGACCCGTCTACAACATATATGACCCCCAGAGAACCTATGACCTTCCACCAAAAATAACCAAACTTAAACAAAGCCAACAATGCTTGGTAAGATCGCGTTCGAGGAAGCTTTTGCGCTTCCCCGCTTCGAAGAAAAGACACGCTGGTGGGCAAGCCTATTTTCCACTGACGTCGAAACCCACGTCAAAGAGATCACCGATATCAACAAGATCCGCATAGAGCACGCAGACAAGCATGGCGTCGGCTACCAGATCCTCTCATACACGGCCCCTGGCGTACAAGATATCTGGGACCCCGCAGAAGCACAGGCCCTAGCTGTGGAGATCAACGATTACATCGCAGAACAAGTTCGCGTGAACCCCGACCGATTCGGTGCCTTTGCGTACGTTTCCTTCCCCATCGTCTGTATAGTCCACCACTGATATATATACTAATGAGCCTTTAGTACACTATCCATGCACAACCCCAAAGAAGCAGCCGACGAGCTCCGTCGCTGTGTCGAGAAATATGGCTTCAAGGGCGCCCTCGTAAACGATACCCAACGCGCCGGCCCCGACGGAGACGATATGGTCTTCTACGACCAACCAGAGTGGGATATATTCTGGCAAACGTGCACGGAGCTCGACGTACCCTTCTACATGCACCCGCGTAACCCCACGGGCACAATCTACGAGAAACTCTGGGCTGATCGCAAATGGCTCGTGGGCCCGCCTTTGAGTTTTGCGCACGGCGTCAGTCTACACGTGCTAGGGATGGTCACTAATGGTGTATTCGACCGGCACCCCAAGCTGCAGATCATCATGGGTCACTTGGGCGAGCACGTTCCCTTCGATATGTGGCGAATCAACCATTGGTTCGAGGATCGGAAGAAGTTGCTAGGTCTCGCGGAGACATGTAAGAAGACGATTCGGGATTATTTCGCCGAGAATATCTGGATCACGACGTCTGGACACTTTTCAACGACTACATTGAACTTTTGCATGGCGGAGGTTGGGTCCGATCGGATTCTCTTCTCTATTGATTATCCGTTTGAGACTTTTGCGGATGCTTGCGAATGGTTTGATAATGCAGAACTGAATGGGACGGACCGGTTGAAGATTGGGAGGGAAAATGCGAAGAGGTTGTTTAAGCTTGGTCCTTACAAGGATAGCTCTGCTTAGATTTGCTGTGTATCTGTCATGTATTCCCCCTCCTTTTCCAAGTAGGCTTCATTGTTGAGGGTCCTCTCGTAGATACAACCATGAATCACCGTGTTTCAGCCATCTGTCAATCATTGTTCCCTCAATTTTGTAAATTTGTAGCTTTCTTTGGGTGTTTCTCCTTTTCTTTCACCCTTTTCCTTTTCCTTTTTCTGCTTACCGCTTCACATGCTCGAAAGACAGATTTAAGGGACAAAAAGGGGGGGAAGCAAAACAGAAGAACCCATCAAAGCCTGAACGTAGGTTCCCGCCAGCCCATGGGTATTAAACCTGAATACGAGAATCAACATGCCACAACACAAAGCCCTGTCCCAGCGCGTGGATCTGAGCCCTGAACTCAGCCATCGCATGCGCCTGAGTCCGGGCAATCTCCTGTTTCTGGGCCTCAGCCTGGGCTCTCTCCTCCGCCTCCACATACAGCTTCTCCAGCTCCGTCTGCCGCTGGTGTTCTTCCCACTCCTCCTCCCAGATCTTGTATGAGTGGGGCAGTCGCTCCATGATCGGCTCGACGAAGCGATTCTTCAGATCGCTGTTGATGGTAATGATCTCACTGTAGTTCTCGATAGCGCGGCTCAAGACATCCCAGCCTGCGATCAGGAGACGGGCGAGTCTATCACGGTCAGTGTGAGGTTTGTCTTCGTGGAGGATCTGGCGGTTGCGGACGTTGAGGAAGCTGTTGTATACAAAGGTATCATAGAGGTCTTGGAAGATGGTTAGGAGGTGTTTCTCGAGCGGCCGTGGCTTTCGGAGGTTTCTACTTTATTGTTAGTCCGCGAAGTGACATTACGATCCAGGGGTGGGAGACGTTACCCGATGATAACCTGAGCGGTCTGTCTGAAGCGCTGGTAAACGCCGAGGTCCTGGTTTTTGGCGATCTGAATGACCGAATACAGCACCTGTTGCGAAATGTCAAGCTCAGCCTGGAGCTTTTTATCCAGCCAGGCGAGATACTGGACCATGGGGATGGCCAGTTCTTCTACCTCTTCGACGACGGACGCCGATAAGAATTTATTGGTGCGCGTACCGTTGGCGTTCACGTCGCGACGGAACAGGATCCATTCCATGCGGAGGATAATGTTGGTCATGACAGTAAAGCGTCGCTGGATGTCGTCTTTCATACCGTCTGCGCGGAGTATGATCTTCATTTCTTCGAGGATGTTCAGCTTCCGCTCTCCGGTTTCACGAAGGCGACATTGGGTCTCTGCGTTTGCGGCAGGCTTTGGGGCAGCTCCAGGTACAGGGCGCCCTGTTCCGATAGGAGGTTGGAAATTGGGACTGGGAGGCTCGTCTGGTGTGACTATTTCGTCGATAGAGAGAGCCCTTCCAGGAGCTTGACTTCTGCATATGCTTTCGGAGAGTGGTAAGGGGCCCTGCAGGGAGGCGAAGAAAGTCTGACCTGAACGGCGAGGGTTAAGGCCTGCAAAATGGGTAGGCTGAGATACGAGAAAGCCAGACTCGTAGGATCGGCTGGTCTGGTCATCACGGTTCTTGGCCTCAAACGTATGAGAGATCACATGCGGCATAGATCCAACAGGAACCGCTTGGATTGCAGATTGTCCCCATGAGATAGTACTGGCAGAAGAAGATGATGTGGAAGGAGTGTGTCTGCTTTGAACGCCGGCGTTCCCAGAAGACACAGATGGAGAGGCAATTGAGGGTATAGAAGCAACTCTAGAAGTTACACCTTGGACAGGAACATCATTGGATATGAAGGAAGTCGCGAGAGTAGCATTGTTGACATAGGCATTAGTGTTTTTAACAGATGTTCTGGCCCGAAAAGCAGGAAGCATAGCTGCGACCTTGTCGGAGTCGGCGCGACCAGGTAAGACAGAAGTGACTTGCGAAGCAGGTATTGGCTCCGAAATAACCTGACCCTGGACAGTAATGTCCCCCAAAGAAGCTGACTGTGATGCAAAAGAAATGTCGGACTCGACCTGACTAGGGGGTTTCTCTGTCATTAGGAGAGTCGTAGGGTAGTTGCACCGAGATGCAAAAAAAGACACAGAAGCAAGACTGGGATCAGGCTTCCCAATCCGCACAACCTCTTCGAACACCATTGCGATAGCGTGATTATAGGCTTCTTCGATATCCTTGTCGACAACCGCCGTGTTCTGTTCGCATGACTCGTAGTAGTCTGGAAAGGGCTCAGAGGCTGAAAGACCAAGTTCGGAATGAACGAGGAGTGGGGTAGCTGAAGAACTGTGAATGTTCCTCTCAGAAATTGTGTCGCTAGATGACAAGCTTAGATGGCGGTCTTCGTCTTCGTCTTCGTCTGATTCGGATTGTTCGTGGATATCCAATTGGGTATGCGTCGCATTTGCAAGCAGCAAAGCCATTTTCCCTTCATCTGAATGCGAAATCTCAACTCGGCTGTCTTCTTTGTCTGCAACTCTTGATGAAGTTTGGTTCTTCAGAAAGCTAAAGGTGAACGTATGGAGGCTCGAGAGGCTCTTTTTGGTATTGGCCAGTTTCTCTTGCTCGCCCATCCCAGGAGAGCAGCGACCCTTCTTGGTGACAGTATCAAACATTGTAGAGAGATAACACGCTAATAGACTCGATTTAAGAACTAAGACTCAGAGGAGTGGATTGGATAGTTTGAATGATGAGGAAAGAGGTGGGTTTGTACAGGATAGATGATTGAAGCAGTGGGTTATTGGAGACATTGAGAAACAAATTAGAACACAGAAATAGAGGTTCTGTGCCTCGAATATTGAAGACTCCATTCTCACGGTGCACTCCCATTACAATATGCAGAATGTTATTCACTTTCTGGTGGGCATGCGTCCAAGTGCTTGGGAGTTTGGCGCAGAGTGTAGTGAATACCATGGCTATTGTTAGAACCCTACATGGGAAAGACCCTTTTCGGCCATTGGACTTTGCACCCTTTTGGCCCTTCTCTACATATATCTACCATTAGGGGTAACACAATTGCAGGATATTATATCCTGTATATTCTACAGTATGAAACAGAAACATTTGACTACGACAAAACCTGAGATTACCGTTCTACATGTACCGATATTCTAAGACGATTCGCCCACTTCAGTAGCATAGGGCATATACAAAAGAAAGAGTTCCATCTACATGGAAGTGTTGGACAGGCCAGGCCAGGCCAAAAAAAAAAAATTTCGAAGGGTATAGTTCGGGCGTTTTTCAATAAGTCTATAGAAAAGAAAAAGAAAAGAAAAGAAAAAAGGAAAGATAAGGAAAGAAAGCTAAACAAATCAAAATTTGTGTATTCTAATTCACAGAGTGTTTAAAGGTACAGTCAAGTTGCCATGACACAACTGTCGATAAACGAATATACAATGGGGCTTTGTCTCTATTATCCGAGGACACGGAATTAATCGCGCACAATGAAACAATGTGAAAGTGATGGTTAACAGAAATTAACATCACAATATAGAATGAACTAGGGATAATTGCAGATATGCTCAATTGAGGACAAGTAGACTAGAGATCTTTGGATACTCATAACTACAGCTCTACTTAGGAAGTACCAATATATTGAAGTATCATCACCTAGCTACCTATGTATCATTATTTGTAGGTAATCCCTGTTTGACTTATGGATTGCCCTACGAATGAATGTACACTTTGGCAATATAACCCAAGAACGCTAGTTTCTCACTCCACAAGTGCTGTAGCACCTTGAAAAGCACAGCTAGTTAGGAAATGATTGCCTATTAAAAGTAGGGTTTATTATAAATTAGTCACAAGGAAGCTCTAGGTCGCTACCAACATAGTCAATATAGCATCCTTGTGTAATACGCAGAGTGCTTCAGATATGCAACTTCGAATCTGATTTTATAACCTCCTATAGGTGGCCTGAAAAACAGAATAAGGCTCATTTTCCACTATTCACTTCAATGCCGGGTAATATCGCAATATGTCCAGAGATGTCATCTCACCAAGGTGAGCGAAACCTCTAAATGAATAGATTAAATCATATCAGCATATGGCGAACCTAGCACGCCGGACGACCGACAGGATGGGTTCAATAAGAACGCCCGACGTCAGATTTTAGAAGTCAGTCGTCCTGCAGCTTATCATCATCCTTGTATGCGCCGCTTCGGCGTTTAGCTGCTAGTACCGTCAATAACGGGATAAAGTGCTGGCTGCCGGAAGCCCTATTTCCGTTTTCCGTGTGAAGGTACTAGAACCCAGACAGGGTTTTATTGGATTCGAGATTGAAACATCAAATTGGACCCATATCCCGGTGATGTTAGAACCTTTAGCCTGTATCAGGTGGCAGCTTGGCATTGTCGCAAAAGGATTGTTAAATTACTACGCGGATTAAATACAGTCCCTTCCTGATACTAATGCACGCAGATATCATGGAGTGACATTGTCTACTAAGGTCTCATTCATCTGGGAATGTCCTCCGTAGTGATATATTAAGTTTAATTAAGTTTCTGTCGAAATCCCACGGGAACCAATTAACCGATAGGACGGCCTCAGTTCGGGGCCGGTTCTAGTTTCGACATCTTCATCTGAGAAATTTTACCACTGGCGTAATTTCGGGGTGGAAGTCGGAAGAATGATCTTTGGACTAGATGGTGCGGCGATCAGTTTGATGAGGCAATTTTAAACCTATGAACTACTTCGGATCCTAGACATTGCGTTGAGCCAAACGGCCTAGACTACTTTTGTACGGCCGGAATTTCACCGGTGGATGCTTTTTTCGGCATGCCGATTCTGAATAATACCTTAATAATGTGAATTTGGATCCACCAAGGATTCTTCGCTTACACTAAATGCGCACTAACAGTTATTTGGGACTAGTCAGACTGTCCCTGGCAGTAGTGTGTATCGCAACGTGCTTACCATCGATTGCAAAATGGTCCCGGGAGAATGACAAGTCAACGGCTTGACTAATATTCACGCGAAGGGAGAGGGGAAGGAGTCTGAGAGCAATACTTTATTATCTAGCTTCTGTATGACAGAAGTTAAGCCTTAAAGCTACACAAGATAGAATACCACATAAGCATACTTTCACGAAAAGGCCCTCAACTCAATCTTATCTGATCAAAAATTTCAATCCATCACGGTAGAATTCCGCGCATTATTCTACCAGTTGACCCACAGCCTTCAGCTGATAAATCCGTGTCTGCCGAAACACTAGTATGCTTACAGGTTGCTTATGGGTCAGAATACACACTAGAGAGGCAGGATTCGCAGGAAGCCTCGGGCTCAGCACTATGAAGCAATTCATTCACCGGGCCGAGAGTGCCTAGGGGTAAGATGAATGGGTCCCTTCGAAGGCTAAATCTTAAATCCCCGTTAACTACATATATAGAGAAGAATGTCGCCCTTCTTGTGGATAGATTTTCCTCAAGGTGGAAAGAGATCAACCCATTAGCATTCCAACATGCTTCTCTCGTTGGCTTTTCTGAGTGCCCTATCGCTAGCCACGGCATCGCCGGCAGGACGGGCCGAGAACACTACGAGATACGACTACATTGTCGTGGGAGGAGGCACAAGTGGACTTGTGGTCGCGAACAGACTGTCTGAGGACCCCAAGGTCTCGGTCCTTTTGATTGAGGCCGGGGCTTCTGCGTTCAATAACCCAGACGTAACCAACGTTGATGGTTATGGATTGGCTTTCGGCTCAGCCATCGACTGGCAATATCAGTCGGTGAACCAAACCTATGCAGGAGGCACACAACAGGTTCTGCGCGCTGGTAAGGCTCTTGGAGGAACCAGCACAATCAATGGTATGTTTCAATAGTATGTCCCGCTGCTTACTACCCACTGACAACCATAGGTATGGCTTATACTCGCGCCGAGGATGTGCAGATTGATGTATGGCAGAAGCTTGGGAATGAGGGTTGGACCTGGAAGGATCTCCTACCATATTATTTGAAGAGTGAAAACCTGACCACTCCTACCACCTCACAGGCGGCTGCCGGTGCTGCCTACAACCCTGCCGTGAATGGACAAGAAGGCCCTCTCAAGGTCGCCTGGAAAGCAAACCTGGCCACCGGTAATCTGACGGTTGCTCTGAACCGCACTTTTCAAGCAGGCGGTGTTCCTTGGGTTGAGGATGTCAATGGAGGCAAGATGCGCGGTTTCAACATTTACCCATCCACTATCGACATTGACCTCAATGTTCGTGAGGATGCCGCCCGTGCATACTACTTCCCCTTTAATGACAGAAAGAACCTCCATTTGCTGGAGAACACTACAGCCAACCGTCTTTTCTGGAAGAACGGCTCTGCTGAAGCTACTGCGGAAGGCGTCGAGATTACCTCCGCTGATGGCAAGGTCACTCGTGTCCACGCTAAGAAGGAGGTCATCATCTCCGCCGGTGCCCTGCGCTCTCCTCTCATTCTTGAGCTTTCTGGTGTTGGAAACCCAAGGTAAGCGCCCCATTGACACTCGTCCTTCCGCCAAGATTCATCTCTAACCCTCGTAGCATCCTCAAGAAATACAACATCGCCCCTCGCGTCGAACTTCCCACAGTCGGCGAGAACCTCCAGGATCAGTTCAACAATGGCATGGCTGGCGAAGGATACGGTATCCTTGCCGGTGCCTCTACCGTCACTTACCCTTCGATTTCGGACGTCTTCGGCAACGAGACCAACTCAGTCGTTGCATCTCTCCGCTCCCAGCTCTCCGAGTACGCCGCCGCCACGGTCAAGGTCAGCAACGGCCTCATGAAGCAGGAGGATCTGGAGCGCCTCTTCCAACTGCAGTTTGACCTCATTGTCAAGGACAAGGTTCCCATCGCCGAGATCCTCTTCCACCCCGGCGGCGGAAACGCTGTGTCCTCCGAATTCTGGGGCTTGCTCCCCTTCGCCCGTGGTAACATCCACATCAGCTCCAACGACCCAACTGCCCCCGCCGCTCTCAACCCCAACTACTTCATGTTCGACTGGGATGGTAAGAGCCAGGCTGGTATCGCCAAATACATCCGGAAGATCCTCCGCAGCGCACCATTGAACAAGCTCATTGCCAAGGAAACCAAGCCCGGTCTGGCTGAGATCTCGGCCACTGCTGAGGATGAGAAATGGGTTGACTGGCTCAAGGCCAACTGTATGTGATCCCCATTTTTATACCGTCGATGTGTGTAGGAATCTAACATGAAATTTTGCTAGATCGCTCCAACTTCCACCCCGTCGGAACCACTGCCATGATGCCCCGTTCTATGGGTGGTGTTGTTGACAACCGTCTCCGTGTCTACGGCACCAGCAATGTTCGTGTCGTTGATGCGTCCGTCCTGCCTTTCCAGGTTTGCGGTCACTTGGTTAGCACGCTTTATGCGGTTGCTGAGCGCGCTTCCGACTTGATCAAGGAGGATGCTAAGAGTGCTTAGTTCGGCGGGAAGGCTTGCTTTAATAGTGTACCTTGCCATCTCTATCCTTGACGTTTAGTGAAGGACGGTCTTTTAGGCAATTTTTCTTTGATTGTTTTTGTATTAGTACTGTGGAATTTGATAGCTGTTAGACGCAGTGATTCTTAAATTATTTTCTTTAGCGCATATGCGTACTCTGTTTAAAATGCGGGCTGTCTAAGGCGGATTCTGCTGATAGTTCTGCTGCATCAATTTTCTTGTATGTTAACTACCAAGTGTTCCCAATTGAAGAGATTTCTGGATAGAGATTACGCTACTTTTACATTCTGTCAAGACTTATTCCCAAGCATCAGCTACTATGTTTTCTATACTACAGAAAGAATCTTGTAGCCTTTCTACTTTCGATGGTGTTTTAAATGTAGTTATATTGTCCAGCGTCCCAATTGGTAAGTTTAACCTTGCAATCACGAGCACACACGATTCCAAGCTAGGTTTAGAACAATGTAGGGTTCCAGAACTCCATTTTGCATAAGAAGCGAAGCTCTCTGCGCGGAATCCTCCCAACATGTATGTGCTATGTGCCTGTTGCGCCCTAGCCACTAAAAAGTGGCGGGGGCGAAGGGGTATGTAGTACAAACCACGAAGTCCTTATATTCAGTCGCTAAGCAGGACCAGTCTGGCAACTACGGCTCTCATGTACAGGTTAAAAATCCTCTGCTACCGTTTGATTTCCTTATCTAGAATTGACATAGTGTTTCCTTCGTACTGTGAGTGTAATTGCAGGAGATAATAATCAACATACTGACCGCCCTTCCGTTGGAACTAGTGGATAAGGTAGTTGGCCAAGTCGATCCCCCATTGGAAAACCCTTTGTCACTGGTATATTCTTGAAGATTACTAGCGGTAAGGACCTGAAGTACCTTTGTGAAGTCTGCACGTGTCTCCATAGTGTCGCTATTCCATATCTGTATAGGCCTCTTGTCCCATCCGCACCATAGCTATCATTACGTCCCTTGGTTACGACCATGAAGGCAATACCATCGAATACTTAATGCACACACGAGAGCTCGGCTTCCGTGCTCCAATCCATGAACTAAGGAGTTCCCACTGTGCATACCACGGTGAGAATCCGAACTTCCTCGATGAGGCTGTTCAGGATAGGGTTGGTGCAAGCATACAGGCGATGAGGAATTTGACGATGAGGGTGTATTTGAAGTTACGGACCGGGTGAACAGAACAACCCCTTCTTACTTCCTTCTGCCCTCAAAATCATGATAAATAACAAGCCACTATAGGATATTGTCGTAAATCCTTGGATTTCATGGATGCGTTGAATTCTCTGGAATTTTCTGATGATCAGTTACGAAGCTTCCGGTCAGCACCACAATTACTATTTTGGCAACCAGCTTACTTGAACCTAGGTGGGGGCTATGAATATGTTTTCCCGTGAATTTACGTTGGGATAATTCTTCTCCTCTCAAAAGTCAAAAACAGATTCAATCCATTACGCTCATTGCGCCTGATCATTGTTATGACGCCCGCGCGCCCTACCTTGTGGATCTTGTCCAACTCAGGGAATTGAGGTCCTTAGATTAGATGGGTTGAACCTATATAAAGGCTTCGAATCCGTCAGAAAATGTATCAAATTCTATGGTTGCCAAGTCCCATTGCTTAATCTCGAGGCTTTCGACTGGGATCATGGGAATGGTACCCGGTGGGAAGGATTCAACTCACATAAGCGCCAGGACATAGAGATTCCAGGTAACTTCTTTGCGCAAAGCGTGCTCAATGTTCAGCTTGGAGACCAAAAGCTTATTTTTCCACGTCTTGAGAATCTTCATATGTCGGCTGTGTTTTCAAAGTCACGGGCATGGAAATGGCCTATGCTTTCAATATCGAACACCTAAAGAGCTTAAAATTGCGGAATGGGCCATGGTTTCTTGACTGGTACAACTGATACTCAACTCTGGAAAGATAATGAAATCTAAATCCCTTGTACTTGTCTTTCGATCCCTGTAGACTTTGGAAGGTGTGTTTACGCATATCGCGAAGACTACTAGCAAGGTCATTCTGCACATTCACAGAGTAGAGGACCTCTATCTCATGCTTCCGGGGCCCATCGATTGGGGGCATTGTCACAGATAGAATGCCAAGTCATCGTGACCTCAAGCGCTTTGTTATGCACTTTCTGGTGGGTAAACATGGTTATATTTTCTTCGATGGAGACATATCTCGGTATCCCCAATTGGAACATATATTACAGGCAATTGACTTGTTTTGAAACCTCAACTGGGAGAGCTTGTATGTATCGATCACCGATATTTAATCTCACATTGCCGCTAACTGAAACCAAGGCCTGTCACTTACGAAGGATGCAGCCAAGGCCGTTATGCAAATTGGTCCATGTGAGGATAAGTGGGGTGATCCTAATGGAGTGATCGGTTGTGAGCTACCCCAGTGGCTTTCAACGGCCTTTCTTACTTCTACATATGGCAACAGTAAGCTGATTCAATTATCAAGTATAATTATAGTATAAAAGAATCTAAGGTCCCCCATATCCACCCAAGGAAGTATACAACTTTGCACGGTGGGGAGACTTCTCATATGAAAGCCGCGATTCGAAATCCAATACTTTCCTTTGTAGCCCTGAAAGTGGCTACGTGACTTTGGCTTCTTCTGACATATCGCCTTGGGACCTCATTCAAAACAATATAGATATGCTGGCGCCCTGTCCTTTGGAGGACATCGGATAATGTGTTCAACAGAACTCTCCACTGAGAACTGAAGATATATTCCCACCTATATCGTTTACGGTATTATCTTTTTGACTACTAATAGCATAAATGAGGGTCAACAGTCTGACGTAGATGGTACGCTCCTAGGCCGAATAATGGGCTAAGCTCATTGACCGGGTGTTTCCCTTCAGAAGAAAAAGGTATTTTTTGATTTCCTTCTCCCACCCACCACCGTTTGAAGACACTGCCGCACAGAAATGATTTACCCAATAACTTAATCACTTATAATATATTGGGAAAAGTTTGTTTACGACGCCATGGAAATCATAGAATCTGTGTAATCACTTACTTTGTAAATTATGGAAAACATAGATTTGCGGGTGTTTGCTTTGTATATAGGCGTACAGTGGACAAGAGTGACAGGGATGCTCGCGATCTTATATGGTGAAAAGCAAATCTATCCTTGGAAGAACTTGATCAGGTATGTTAATTTAATGGCAATGCTGCTTGGCTAAATGACCTCTTACACTCATTTTCTGTATAGGCTACAGCTGGCTGCGGCTTTATGGCAATAGAGTATCGTGGCGATGTGTTTGAGAAACAGCTCTACTAATTATTATGCTACATAGGTTATGTACTGCATTCAATCGAAAACGCTCACTACTTGAAGCGTCTATACTGATCGAAAAGAGGCAGTTCGACCCTCCCCTTCGAACACCTGGTGTATGAAGAAGGAAAGCCATAGCATGAACAAAACGCTCAGACCAAGGATCCAACTTCCCAAGACATCCATTCAAGGGTTAACGAGAGTCAGTATCTTTCTTCGCACATTGACTAATTGGCACGTCATTGTAAAGGACCGTGACAACTTAAAGTAGAGCGTGGAATCACTGAAGGATTCAAGCTGTTGACATGAAACATTATTCATGGACATAAATATAGCTCTCCGTACTAATCCTCTTTTTTACGCTGCTCAGGCTTCTCGCAAGACGTATCATGTTCGTCTTCATCGGCCTCTTCATCATCAGGTAATGGAACATCCATGACACGTTCTCCGGCTCTTTCTAGGGCCCTTCGGCTCCAGCTTCTTACACCTTTGTACACAGCCTAACGTGGATTAGCATCGAGTCGAGGATACGCTTTGGTGGGAACACTTACCCAGAGAAAAGTAAGAACGCCGATCAGAATGACCACCCAGCTGATCGACGCCGCTCGGCTTCTGCCCGTGGTCCTGCCACTACTGATCATGCCACCGGAGCGAAAATTCCACCAATGCCAGGGTGACATGGCAAAAATAGCTTTGATGAATGATAGCACGCCCAATGACGCCAAACCTTTCACGAAGTGTTCAATCCATGAGGCCCTCTTTTCAGTCGGCAAGACGCGAGATACAGTACTGGAACCCCAGAATTCAGAATAGTAGATTGTTTCCATGGGATCCACGTAGAGGTTAATGATTGGGTCAGCAACAAAACCAAGCGTAAAAACAGTGAACATTAAGATCATCAAAGTCAATCCAAGCTGCGCGAATGTACTACTGATCCAGCGCGCCCATGTGAGGCGTTCTAGCCGGTACTGGAAGCCACAGGTCGGGCAATGCCAATAGTTTCTCTTGCTATAGTCCGGGTCAGCATGTCGCCATGCTTGGAGACAACCCTCGTGGACATATCGGGACGATCCTTTGCACTTGCAGGGGCGTAGGAGTCGACCGAGCTCCGGATCAGAAGACTCATAGACGACCCGTGGCTTGGGCTGAAGGAAATCAGGGATGTTATCGGAAGGAGGATGGAAGGCAGGCAGAACGGTTTCCAGACAAATGCGACATACACGAGGTGGGTAGTGCTTCTCAGGAGTCTCCGGCGGAGGGGTAGCCGTATCATCATGTTTGTGATTACGTTCAAACCTTTGACCCGCCTCAGGACTGGGGGCTGTGGAAGCATCCGGCCACTGCCAGAGTGGCTCTGGGCTTGAGTTCATTATGGCTTCTGCCTAAATTCTTTTGAGATTATATTGGTCATATCACAGTGACCAGATCTACCAGCGATCTGGCGAGATTGCACAATCGACTGTGGAGGAGTGCGTCGATTGAATGGTTGGTTATAGACAGAAGGAAGGAAAGCAATGGGGAAGGAAAAGCCAAGGGAAAGAGAGCGAGAGAGAGGACTACCGCGCTTTAAAGGTAAAGTGGAGAGAGAAGTTGACGGAAAACACGCTAACCGCTCGCCTAGAGTCACCGCCTTAGACGCGGCTTGGCATCGGCGCCTGAGGTAACCGACGTTAGGTAAGGTGCTGCTGCGTCAACATCCTGTCGCCTGCTCTGTCCAGACGGAAGCTTCACCTTGGTTCCCCCCACGACTTGTCCTATCTTCTTACTTCCTCATCTGTCTCCTTGCTACTTTCCGATCGATTTTCAAAGCTTCCGGAGATAACCAAACGTCCTCATGGCGGACCGCTATTCCTTCTCCCTCACCACCTTCTCCCCTAGGTAAGACAAGAGCTCTAGCTCCATCAAGGACGACGTCAGCTAACATTGATTTACAGTGGAAAGCTGGTCCAAATTGGTACTGCATAGTCTCCACCGGGCATTGCTAAATATTTGCTAATAGTTATCAGAATATGCCTTGAATGCTGTCAACCAGGGTGTAACTGCCCTCGGAATTAAAGGTATGAGCGTTATCTCGTTGCTCCCCGCACAGGCAGGTCAGATAGTCGCTTAAGTATCTAACCTTGACTAGCAACAAATGGAATCGTCCTCGCTACTGAAAAGAAATCATCTTCACCACTCATCGACCCTCCTTCCCTTTCCAAAGTCTCCTTAATCACGCCCGACATTGGCATGGTGTACGCTGGAATGGGTCCCGACTACCGTGTGCTGGTCGACAAGGCACGCAAAGTCTCCCATACTGGATACAAGCGGATCTATAATGAATACCCCCCTACCCGGATATTAGTGCAAGATGTTGCGCGTGTCGTGCAAGAGGCTACTCAGTCCGGTGGTGTTCGACCGTACGGTGTGAGTCTGTTGATCGCTGGCTGGGATGAGGGTGTCGAGCCCGAGGCGGGAGACGCACAGACGGGCGACCGGGAAGATGAGCCTAAGAAAGCAACCGGCAAGACAGGCGGTATCTTGAAGGGTGGTCCAAGCCTTTATCAGGTTGACCCAAGCGGCAGTTACTATCCATGGAAGGCTACGGCCATTGGCAAGCATGCTACGAGCGCGAAGACATTCCTTGAGAAGCGGTACACTGAGGGTCTTGAGCTTGAAGATGCTATTCATATTGCTCTTTTGACATTGAAAGAGACAATCGAGGGAGAGATGAACGGTGACACGATAGAGATTGGTAAGTTCTAGTAAATATATCGCCCTGTTTCGAGCCAAAGCTAATTGGGTCTAGGTATCGTTGGCCCTCCTGCCGACCACCTGTTGGGCTTTGAGGGCGTTGAAGGAGCTCAAGGGCCTAGATTCAGGAAGTTGACGAAGGAGGAAATCGAGGACTACCTTACCAATTTATAAATGATCTCGGTATGGGCATTGCGGTGGTTCTTGGGCCTTGTAGTATAATAGACATATGTCGAGACTTGCGAGGATCCCATACATGTTAGCGAAGATTTTACGATTGTGTCCTTAACGTACACGAAGGATATTTAGCTGAGCCTTATGACATGTTTATCATGCCTAATCATGCCCATTATTAAAAGAGCCATCATATGGAATGAATGCGCCTTGTTAATCGAACCATTCAAGGCTTTACTGCAAAAATGAATGTCACGTCTTTTGATTAGTAGGTCGGCTCTCCAACAGCTGCTTTAGTTAGGGCAGGTAACCTGATGTCAGTGACCAGCCAAGACAAGATCCCGAGGAATTTAAATTGCACCAATATAACAGGACAGGGAAGGGTCAATGGGGACAACGGCTCGAAAACCACAGTTTAATATGACTATTCCCTAATTTCACGAAACACTCTAACCCACATCAGAATCCTCCTGGTCCGCTTTTATGTTGATGCGGTTCATTCGTGAGCTAGTGAATAAATACCTCTGCCTAGGGACATTAGTACAAGGGTCATCCCCTGGTAACTCACTGAGTCAGAATGGGGGCTATCGATGTTAGGTTCCCGGTCATTTCCCGCGGCAATACGGCTAGATAGCAATCTATTGGGCCTGGGGTGCTAAAGCACCACGGGCTGACAGTGGTGGCCTATGCTAAGCATAGACATGTGCAGTTTCCCTACTGTTCTTGGCCAGTCTAGGTTCATTAGGCTAGTAGGGTTCTGGATTCTTTTCTCTCCTCTAACTTTGGCTAGGTGAAAAAAACCCGCATACTAGTACCTGAATACGAAGCCACTGAATCCTCGGCCTCATGGCGCCTCCACGAAGCTTTAGTCTGTCTGGGGGATCGCCACTAGATCAGATAATGTTATTATATCAAGGGAATGATCCTCTGAGATGCTCAGAGCATCTGTATTAACATAACATTGTGTTGCGGTATGTGCACAATAAGTCATACATACTATACTGTCAATCGTCATACTCCTACTTTCGCCGCCTATTGAGGTACACATTCTCTTATCCTCTTTTCCGTTGTGGAGGTTAGATGTTTTAATTTATATCCTACTCATGCAGTACAAGAAAAGGCTTTGGAGCGTTCTTGGCTTTGCCGTATATTCTACCGCCACACTATGCCGGACATTGTGAATCCCCTTGATGGTATATCTGGTGAGCTTGCTGGCAATCGATACGGTCTCAGGGCGACCCTTCTCTTCTTCATCTCCATCTCCATCTATAATGTGATAGAACTGGTAGTCCTTGTGCTGTCGACATTCCGTCGCTGGAGAGGCCTATACTTTTGGAGCTTGCTACTTTCAGGCTGCCTGGGGGTGGTTCCATACTCGCTCGGTTTTATGCTGAAGTTCTTTACGCATTCCAGCTCCTTCTTGTCCGTTACAATGCTTACCGTCGGCTGGTGGACAATGGTTACGGGGCAATCTTTCGTCCTTTATTCACGACTTCATCTTGTCATCCGTGATGAATACATCCTCCGGCGTGTGTTGTGCATGATTATAGCAAATTTCTTCCTTCTACACGTTCCTACCTCGGTCTTAACATATGGCTCCAACGTCCCTGACCGATCGCCCATATTTGTTAAAGGATATAACATCATGGAGAAGATTCAGATGACTGGATTCACCGCACAGGAGGTGATACTTTCAGGCCTCTATATCTGGGAAACAATTAAATTGCTTCGTTTGGGTTCGAGCCGTCAGAACCAAAGAATCATGCACCAGCTAGTGGGAATCAATGTCATAATGTTTATTATGGATTTGGCCCTTCTCGGATTGGAATATGCCAACTTCTACGCCATCCAGATCACGCTCAAGGGCGCCATCTACAGCATTAAGCTGAAACTGGAGTTTGCTGTACTCGGGAAACTCGTTGACATGGTCCATGTGCACAGGCGCCCTGCTACATTGGGGAATGATGTACAATTGTGTTCTCTAGAGGGTGACACTAGTCCGACAACACCTGCATCATCATCTGGTTTGTTGAGTAATATAAATTTCTGCGGTGTTGTTCACGAAGGGATGAAACGAACACACAAGCTACAAGATGAGATATGCATGGATAAAAAGGATTTTACAATGACAGAGGTGTCGGCCTTAGTCAAGCGGCGGCCACCTGAGGAAATAATCTAAACCGTTCTCTATATACCGCTTTTCTTTGCTTTAATCTGCTTTTGTTTAGTCGATACCCGTTTATGGCTTTACAAACCAAGCATCTTTATAGGGACAGGATCTCAACCGCCCAAGACGCGGACCTATATACACAGAGCTTTATTATCAATCCAAGCAAAATATGTAATGTGTTACTCCCCGTCACTCAATCCAGCATCATCACTCTCCACCCATCCGAATTCTCCATCGGAATCTTCGTCTTGGCTATCTGCGATTTCATCGACTTTGCGCTTCCGCTGACTAGCCGATAGAGTCGTTTCAGCTGACTCTTGAGGCAAGATTATAGGAGATGAGGACTTATGTATCCCACGTAAACCATCCTAATCGGTTATGTCAGCCATTCGTAAGCATTACAAAAAGGAAAAGCCAAAACCCAACCGTTTCAATCTTGAACGGGACAATATTCTCATCCAATCTCAAAGTTAGAGCCTTTCCTGCTCTTTTCATAACCTCCGCGAATCGAACCCCTTTGGAATCCCCGTCATCCTCGGGAAGAAAGTCCCGAAAGATAACGATCCTCGTATAGACACTATTCTCCCACGTTCCACCCGCGAGAACCGGGCATAATGTTGCGCGCGGCTGGCCCTTGATCCGGGTGTGTGTCTGGTTGACTAGAAGTACTGCTAAGGAATGTATAGCTGCTAGTTTTACGAGTTGATTGCCCAGGTCGCTTGTGACGTTCCATTTGCGGTTCATGAGCCATTGGATTTGTGTTTTGTCGGTCACTCCTGACTGGGGAAGACGAGATTTGAACTCAGATGGATTGGGGAAATATGATGGGAACAGGGCTGATATGGAGTCGATGACGAGAAGTTTGGCATCTCGTGGGGGGAAGCCATTGGGCGGACGGACAAGAAGAGCTAGTAGATGTGGTAGCGACTTTGCATGGAAGTAGATCAAATTCTTGATGGGGTCTTCTGGTGTGTCAGAAGATGTGGCATCCAGGGATTGCTTTAGCATGCTTGCTAGGCGCACTTTGGGGAGCGGAGATCCCGTATCTGGAAATGTTAGAGCTAGTTCTGAGGTTCATTGATGTCCATACCGATCCATATCACTTTGTCTTCGTTCCGGAGAGCTGACGTGGCAATGCTCAGACTACGGATATCTTGTTAGATCAGCAGCCACGTGCAGCGGCGAGACATTGGAAACCTTACGCCAGTGACGTCTTCCCGGCACCAGGTGGCCCGAATACCTCAGTGACATGTCCACAGGGTATTCCATTGGTGCCTGCACAACGGGTACGTCCCAGTACATCTTCCGGGGAAGGCGGACGGATCGCTTCATCTAATTGAGGAATCCCCGTCGATATAGCGCCATTGACTGACGCGCTAGACACGTGCAGGGACTGCGACGCAGGAAACGAGACAACGCGATCTGCAGTTATTATTAAATTATACCTTTCATTCTTGATTGTTTACAACGACTTACGAGGCTCCTGAGTGGAAAGGCCGAGGAAGTCCTGCCTGTTCATGGTGACGGCAAAACACGAACCAGGTGAGTCAAACCTGTCGGGGTCAAATGGTACTTGCGCGCTTCGGAACACTGATATACTGTCGACCTCTCATTTTGGTGTCGCAGTATGCTTAGCTTTGCTGTTAACCTGAGTCTAGCAAATGGTTGATGGAAGGTGGCCGATGTCTTGATTTATCCCGACAGTGAGTGGACTTGATGAATTGCCGATTAGGATTAGTTATCGGGGTTAAGGCTGATCTAATCTCCGTAGATCATCTTTTTCATCTCCATCTTCTTGCTCACCCTAATCGACTTTTAGAGTTATCATCGTCTTCTATGCTTTTTATATACACTTAATTGACCGTTACTGTCTTACCTGATCTGGCTGGGCTTACACGTTGCGGACTTACGCTTCAATGCTAAATCATACTAATCTCATACTCGCCCTCAATACTGTGCAGCATGCGATGAACTCATGTACACCTCTAGCCATATACTGGCTACCTTTGATACCCATAGCCCTATTTCTGATTTCTCGTAACTACCATAAGTGTGCGGAAACTCACCCCAAAGGATGTCGCAAGTTAGGTCTACCACATAACAAGACCAACCTTCATGATGAATTCGACCCAAAATATAGTAAAGGCGTACCAGAAAACCACACCGACAAGCAAGGCCTCGCATCCTGGCGCATAAAAGCACTTTTCGCATATCCTATCAAAAGCTGCGCCGGCGTCGAATTAGACGTTGCCAAAGTCGTCCCGACCGGGTTTGCACATGATCGGCAATTCTGCTTTGCCGAGTATATCACCCCAAAATCCAGTGGTGCAGGAGACGAACCATCTCAGCAGCCGCACTGGACAGCAAGGACCCTCCGCGATGGCGAGCTCTGCAAATTGGCTCTCATCAGACCGGAGATCTGGGTCCCGGATCCCACAGCCAACGATTACTCGACTGAGCTGGAGGAAGTGAAATCCCACGGCGTCATGATAATTCATTACCCCCGAGTCCCAGGGACCGGTATCCGTTCGCTCCCAGCCAAACTGGGCATGGCATTAGGCCTCATCTCAAAGGACCTCTTCTTCCGAGTCCCCCTCTCTCCCCCGGAAGATACAAAGTCCATCTACCCCTCGACCCCAGTAAAGATCTGGAAAGACTTCCCCCTAGCCTACGACTATGCCCTCCATCTCCCACCCTCGCTGCACCACTTCCTCAACCCAGCCGGCACCCGCGGCCCTCTAACCCTATTCAGGGTAAACCCAGCCCACCACAGAGAAATCTTCCGGAACGCACCCCCGAAAGAACAACTGGGCTTCCAAGCCGTCACTGGCTTCGCGGACGCATACCCCCTCCACCTCCTCAACATAGCCAGCGTGCAAGACGTCGCGGGCAAATGCAAATCTGACACCCCCAAACTAACCATCCGCCGCTTCCGGGCGAATATCATCGTCCAGGGTCCGGCGGCTTATGAAGAAGATCACTGGAAGCGGGTACGGATTTGTTCCTCCCGTTCTGGGGCTGAAAAGGGGGGTGTGGAGGTGCATACTGTTTGTCGGACGATTCGGTGTCGCTTGCCGAATGTTGATCCGGATACGGGGGTGAGGCATCCCGTTGAGCCGGATCGGACGTTGAAGAAATGGAGGAGGGTTGATCGTGGTGATTTGACGAATGCTGCGTTGGGGATGCAGGCTGTTCCTGCTGTTCCTGGTAAGAGATTTTTTCTTTCTTTTTTCTTTTTTCTTTTTTCTTTTATTTTTCGTTTATTTGTTTCTTGTTGGGGGGGTTGAGTTTGGCTGACTTGAGTAGAGTTTAGGGTTTGGGTTGGGGATGAGGTTGAGATTCTTGAGACGGGGGAGCATTGTTACATTAAGATGTTGAAGCCTGGGGAGGAGGTGGAAGGGGTTTAGATCTGTAATTTTTGTAAGATCGAATATTGGTATTTAGCTTGGCGCGGGCTAATTGTGAGTATGAACTTTTAATAACATCTAGCAGAGATATCATCGAGTTAAGTTATTAGTAAAGTTGTAGAAATACTCTTGCCAGCAAGCATAAAGTCTGGACCATAGTCCAACTAGATGAGACAACCGAACTCAACAGGGTATCCTTCATTATGCACCTCTCAAGGTATCGTTATATACTGGCAGATAAACCAAAAACCATCACTATATAGTAGCCGGACCGGCCTCATCGGTCTTATAATGCGACTCCGAAGGTCCCTTTGACTCCTCACCATCACTTCGAACCTCACCACCCTTGGCCTCTACAACGGCAGCCTCTTCCTCCGGATCTTCCGGAATGAGAAGATTTAGAACCAACCCCAGCACAGCCGTAACAGCGAATCCATTGGTCATAACTAGCACCACAGCATCCAGAAGTCCCTGCAGGGCATGGTTATCCCCACTGTAGGTGAAGACGTATTGAAACCACTCTGGCACCAAGGTAGCAGCCATACCGATGGCGAAAGAAGCTGTCAGGATAAACCGGTTGCGGCGGGTAAACGGCACGGTAGAAATGATACGGATACCAGAGACTGCAACAGACGAGAAGAGGAAGGTAGTCATACCGCCCAGGACAGAGCTAGGGATGGCGACGAGAGCAGCGGCGAACTTGGCGAAGATGCCCATGATCACGAGGAAGAAGCAGCAGCAGTACCCGGCTTTCCGGTTTGCACACTTCGTCAGCGCGATGACGCCGTTGTTTTGGGCGAACACGGACATGGGCGTGATGGTGCAGAGACCTGCGAGGAGACAAGTGAATCCGTTGCCGAGAACGCCGCCTCTGATGCGCGAATCGAAGTTGGGGCCTTCCACTTCCACTTGGGATACGTCGCATGTGGCGGTTATGTCGCCGATGGATTCCATCATGATCACGATGTAGACGGCTAGGAGGGGGAGGATGAGTGGTGGGTATATGGTTAAGGGGAATGTTCGGACCCAGATGAAGGATGCTACCGGGGCAGCGTCGATACCGGAGCGATCGAAGTAGCCACATGCTGCTGCCACAATGCATCCGACCAGCAGACCGATGACGACGGCGCAGGATTTCATGATGGGGGAGCCGAATCTTTCGCAAAGAATGATGGTCAGGAAGACCAGGAAACCAAGACCGATAAACTCCGCGCTGCCCCATGGAAGAGCGTGGGGTGCGTCTGCGCTGGGGCACAGGGCACGGGCGGAGGGGTTGCTACCACAACTGCCCGAGCCTCCTGCCCAGTCTTTCATGCCGCTCTCGATGAGACTTGCTCCGATCAGTAGGACGGTTGGGCCAGTAACTAACGGTGGAAAGATGCGTTTCAAGATTTTGGTGCTCATGAACGAAAGTCCGATTTCAAGTAAAGAGCACAGGCATGACGTCCCTAGGAGGGCTCCGTAGCCCTTAGGGCAAGGTAGACGGTTGCCCTGGCCATCGACAGGGCAGTATCCGGATGTGTACATTTGACTGAAAGTTCCCGTTGCTACGGTAATTGTTGAAAATGAGGTACCCACGACTGAGATCAGGCCAGTACCGATAGAGTAAGGAGTTTTATAGATGTGCATGCGGGTCATCTGAAGGGCGGAGAGCAATCCGGACACGATTAGAGAAGTTGACACTAGGTACTGGTAGTCTTCATCTCCAAAGTTGGCACCCGCCGAACCACCCAGGAGGATTGGGGGTGAGATGACTGGAAGGGTCAGAAATGGGCCAGGGTTATTGTAGTGGGAAGATATGCCCACCTCCAGCCAACATTGCCAGGGCATGTTGTAAGCCTAAAAGCAGCGCTAGAAAAACCGGCACGCGGTCTTCGAGTCCGAAAAATGGCGCTGAGCGCTTTGTTTGCTTCATAAAAGGTATTCTAGGAGTGAAAAGGTACGCATAATCATAGTCTCCTATTAGACCATCTCTGTGAAGAGAAGATGTTAGACTTATGCTGATACCATACAGGATAACCGACAGTATCGATATACCTCGTTGTGAAAGTTTTGACAACCCGACGGCCTTTATCGGCCCAAGTCCGCTTGGGACGCAAGTCCGGACCAATCTGGTCAGGTCCATCCATGGTGTCGGACTGATTATAAAGGGAAATTTAACGATGTTGAACTTCTCACAAGGAAGCAAAAATAATTTTGAACGCGATCGAGTTAGAACTTCCGAAAATGGATAGGGCTCACCCCGATATGACGCACAACCGCTGGGGGAAAGGGTTTGGTGGAGCGAATAGTATTATGCTTATTGAAGCTGGGATCTCAACACAAACCCACGGGGAAGCTCGATGTTTATGTCCCCAAGGACGTCTGTGGAAGAGACTGATGGTAGGATATGCACCTCAGCCTTTCTGGAGAAGCCCGAAGAGGATTGTAGGGTCCAGAATCGAAGCGATATGGATTATCAGCGACAAGGACGATGCGTCAATCAATCGAATCATTACATTAAAAAGTTGGTTATCTATCAGTCGCTAACTTTAAATTCCACCTAGTTTCGCCCTTGGCGGAAAAACGCGGGTCGAAGCGAGACATTCTTTTCATTTTCTTGCTTACTTTTCGTAGACAAATGAGTAAAAGAGGAAAAGAATAACTAGCATTTTGGGAGTGACAATATCTAACAAGTGACTTGTCGTGGACTGAGAGACATCATATATTCATTTCGCCGTATAGTTACTCCGGAACGGTCTGACTGAGACAGCAAAATCCTTGCACTCGGTTTAATTTTTCTTCTTTGGCCGCGCGAAACCCCCTCCCCCCCCCTCTCCAAGTTATTAGCATACTGAACCCTCTCTTTCGCTAGCCAAGCACAGACGTAAGCAAGAAGTCCCAATTCATAGCTCAGTAACTTGATATCTTGACTCTTGACAGCAGCCTTGACTCACACGAACCATTTTTGGCCCATGCTTATCCGTAGCTTCAAAGTGGAGCCGCGATAAGAGAAAGATGTCAGTCTGCTTATCAGTGACCATTGCGGGCACCGCCGAAATCCTCTAGAATCTGGGGCAAGCTGATAGCAAGCAGCCGAACTATTCGCGATCGAGATGCCAGTCAGGACATAGTAGACAGTATCCCTTGATCATCAGCTCTTGGGTGAGAGATGACTTAGCAGGGTTTTTGTGTCGCCAAAGTAGGCGATTAAGGGCCATTTTTTGACCATATTGGGACCATTCAGCTAGTTTGGGCCAAGTGGGGAATTAGTCGCAAATGATTTCATGTTTATCAAATATTTGACTGTGATGTGTGACTAAAAGGGTTGTCCGTGAAAAGTGGCTGATGAAACTGGTCCAGCCACAGTATGTTCAAGCCTTACTACTCTCAGATACTTGAAATAACGGCCATTAGTGCTGTGACCTGTCCCCATATTTTTGTGGGGTATGCGTTTACGTGTATCAACTCTGTTGTCATCAATTCTATTCTGATTGAGGGAACATGTCTGCTAATGTCTAGATCATTTTGTAATCCGCATGTGTGTGAAGCTCGATCTTGGCGGCGATCTCTAGTCAGCGTATGTCGAGAGCCATCTCATGCAGTCAGCCACAACACAGTAGTGTAAGCCCTACGAGATGACTAGGCGGTTCTATCTAGTTTCATGGGGTCTAGGAATACTTTAAGGATCTCTATAGAGTATTTAGTCTATGAGTGTAATTGTGAGATAGCTGCTTAGAGATTGTCAAACCGAAGCTAGAACAGATGATGATAGAAATGACTGACAGTCAGCAATTGATATTGGTTCATTTCTCCCGACAAAACCCCGCATCCTAGACGTATAGTGCCTGCCATGGCTGTTCCGAATCGCGTAAGCGCATGGAAAGTTTCGAAAACGAATCAAGGTTTTCCTCTACAGTCCACAGTTTACGGAGTGGTTGCCACTGCTGAGTGGCAAGGAGCAGGAACACCTCCATAGGGCTGCATCAACATATACTTTGGGTATGTGCTCCAGCTCAGTCAGTGACTTGAGACGGAGGCTCCTCCTATGTTTTCAGCCATACTAGATCAAGGGTAACTGCTGTAGCCATACCCCAGCTTGCGTAGGACTTGAAAATCTTCGCAACTTGATTTCGATCCGGTTGCCACCCTGTCAAGATAAAGAATAGGAACTAGTGTTCCGATATTGTAATCGGAGTTCGGGGACTCTTCCATGCGGAGAATGCAGCCATTGATCTGTGGAAGCTTGGACCAATCAGACATGGCTGAATCCATACCGCCTGCAGAAAAGTGAAAAATGTTGGGGATTCAACAGATGGCGAATCGGTCATGATTGGCCGCGGGCGGCTGGCCTAACCAGAAACAGCAGACGTTCGCCATCGAATCAGAGGCGGCCCAACAAGCTTACTGGGAGGGCAGTTGGATATTGTCGTTGCCCTTACGTGCCTTTCTCTGTATGCTGCTCGTCGGACTTACTTTGTTGAACCGCCTGAGTGCCTGTCCTGAACCTCGGAATCTTATGATCAGTTGACTGAGCGGACCATCATAAAAGTGCGCAGGTCAGGACTCTTCTCTCCCTTCTTTTTTCCATTTGAGCACTCATCCTCACATCCATTTTGGCTATTCTTCTGTTTGCCCCAACCGTCATCCACCGGTGGGACCCCCTGGGGCGTGTAAAGTGAATAGCTCCGCGAGTCTCTTTTTTTTTTCACTCATTCTTCCTTCGCCTCCTGTCGGAGCTTCCCCACCCTTTTTGATTTCCATCTCTTTTTCTGGTCTCTCGCCTCCGTTTAAATAGTCCGGTCCTCGTCTCCTCTCCACGTCGCAACCTTAATCCCTCTCCCCTGTTGTCGACCCTCTCCCCTCCTATTTTGGTTCGGGCATATCGGAGTGCTCTAGGAGAAGAAAGACGAAACGCACCCGACATCATGTCTGCGAAGACGGCAGACGCCTCCCGGCCTCGTGCTGGTGACACCAAGAAGGTTCACATTGCCGACACCGCCATGACACGGAATAACTGGTATAAGCATGTTAACTGGTTGAATGTGTTCCTCATCATCGGTATTCCTGTGTATGGATGCGTTCAGGCTTTCTGGGTGCCCTTGCAACTCAAGACTGCTATCTGGGCGGTCCTCTATTACTTCTTCACCGGTCTAGGAATCACAGCAGGTAGGTTCCGCCCCATTCTGCAGAGATAATCGTACCGGATCCAGTAGGCTAACCATCGGTTGACACAGGATACCATCGTCTGTGGGCTCACTGTTCTTATTCCGCTCGTCTTCCTCTCCGCATCTGGCTTGCGGCTGTTGGCGGTGGTGCCGTGGAAGGTTCTATCCGTTGGTGGGCTCGTGACCACCGCGCTCACCACCGTTATACCGATACCGACAAGGATCCCTACTCGGTCCGCAAGGGCTTGCTCTACTCCCACCTTGGCTGGATGGTCATGAAGCAGAACCCCAAGCGTATCGGCCGTACCGATATCTCCGACCTGAACGAAGACCCTGTCGTGGTGTGGCAACACCGCAACTACCTTAAGGTCGTTTTCACCATGGGCTTGTTTGTTCCTATGCTCGTGGCTGGTCTGGGCTGGGGTGACTGGTGGGGTGGCTTTGTTTATGCGGGAATTCTCCGTATCTTCTTCGTCCAGCAGGCTACCTTCTGTGTCAACTCCTTGGCTCACTGGCTCGGTGATCAGCCTTTCGATGACCGCAACTCTCCTCGTGACCATGTCATTACTGCCCTCGTCACTCTGGGCGAAGGCTATCACAACTTCCACCACGAATTCCCCTCTGACTACCGGAACGCTATTGAATGGCACCAGTATGACCCAACCAAGTGGAGCATCTGGATCTGGAAGCAGCTCGGTTTGGCCTATGACCTCAAGCAGTTCCGCGCCAACGAGATCGAGAAGGGCCGTGTTCAGCAGCTCCAGAAGAAGCTCGACCAGAAGCGTGCCAAGTTGGACTGGGGTGTCCCTCTCGACCAGCTGCCCGTTATGGAATGGGATGACTACGTTGAGCAGGCCAAGAACGGCCGCGGATTGGTGGCTATCGCCGGTGTTGTTCACGATGTGACTGATTTCATCAAGGACCACCCCGGCGGCAAGGCCATGATCAACTCTGGTATTGGCAAGGATGCCACCGCTATGTTCAACGGCGGTGTCTACTACCACTCCAACGCTGCGCACAACTTACTGTCAACCATGCGAGTTGGTGTGATTCGTGGTGGTTGTGAAGTCGAGATCTGGAAGCGCGCTCAGAAGGAGGGCAGCGAATACGTCCGTGACGGCGCCGGTCAGCGGGTCATCCGCGCTGGTGAGCAGGTTACGAAGATTCCCGAGCCCATCCCCACTGCTGATGCAGCATGAAGTCGCTATTTATTCATTATCCTGTGATGTATGATTGTTGGTTTGATATTGCATCCTTTTTTTTTTTTTTTTTTTTTCCTCCACGGGTTATGTTTCCATTTAGCACCGCAGGCGTTGATTATACGATACTTAATTGTATGGGGTATTGGAGTTGGGTCTCGGTTTATCAACTTTTAAGACAACGGGGGACTTGAACGACTCAAGGATTTTCGCATCCTTAATAAAAAAGCGAAACAGTCAGAACATTTTTGCACGTTCAATGAAAACAGATGATATCCACCGATCTTTGATGTGTGCACATACCGTATACCTGGAACCGAGAACCTACTGTAGGGAACAGTAGTCTATGATTTTTCCCTATGATGGCCTGTATTCATTTTGTAGATCAAAAGATCCTCCGGGGTAAAAGGTAAACAAAAGTCGAGGTTGAGTTTTGCGGTGGGAGTGGTAAGTCATCAGACCTGAGCTCCACCCTTTGGTTCCCGTTAGCGCGAACTTGGACTTCAAGTAAATACAAGCATGAACTGCCAGTCACCATCATCTCTGCATCACCACTGCAAAGCCACGTATTCTTCTTCTGCTGGACTTAATTCTTCTTCTACCCCGCCTTACTAGTTTTTACCCCTCCCACCATTCCGTCTTCCGCCGCTCGCTCCGTTTATATCCACGCCCTCGTCCTGTTCTTGGGCGTTCTTCTGGTCATCGTGGCTCCTCCGCTCCGCCTCTCGTCCCCCACTTTCAGACTCTCCTCAGTTTTGGGCCATTTCCGTGGCTCACGACTGACTACAACTACAGTTTCCAATACAGCATTAACGAACCTTCGTAAATCCCTCACCACCGCCAGCATGGCTCCGGAACACTACCGCCGCCCGCCTCAGGCCCCACCTGTCTTCACAGCAACCGCTCAGTCGATCGTTGATGATGCTAAGCGCCTCATCGAGACATCGCGCAAGGCCCAAGATGACGTCGTCGCCAATACCAAGCCTGAGACGGCTACATTCGACTCGGTCTTGAAGCCGCTGGTCCATGACGAGAACAACATGGCGCTGGAAGCTCACATCCTCAGCTTTTACCAGGCGGTATCGACCGAACAGGAGTTACGCGATGCTTCGTCCAAGGCAGAGGCAGAGCTGGACGAATTCTTCATTGAGACAGTCATGCGCGAGGATGTTTTCAAGCTCGTCGATGCCGTGCTGAACAAGAACGAAACCCTCGACCCCGAGTCCCGCCGCCTCTTGGAGAAGGAGCACAAGAGTTACATTCGCAACGGACTGGGTCTTCCTGCGGGACCTAAGAGGGACCGCTTCAAGGAAATCAAGAAGCGTCTGAGTCAGATCAGCATTGAGTTTCAGAAGAACTTGAATGAGGAAAATGAGGGTATCTGGTTCACCCCCGAACAACTGGACGGTGTGCCAGAGGATGTGCTATCTGGTTTGAAGAAGGGTGAGGGAGAGAACGAGGGCAAGCTCTGGCTGACCTTCAAGTATCCGGATCTCTTCCCTACAATGAAGTATGCCAAGAACCCCGAGACCCGCAAGGAGGTGATGATTCAAAACGAGAACAAATGTAACCAGAATGCACCCCTGTTCCGCGAGGCTATTATCTTGCGCGATGAGGCTGCCCGCCTCCTAGGATACCCCAACCATGCGGCGTTCCGCATTGAGGACAAGATGGCAAAGACCCCGAACACGGTCAACACCTTCTTGGGAGATCTGCGGAGTCGTCTGACGGCCGGTGGCCAAAAGGAGATCAAGAGCCTACTGGATTTCAAGAAGAACGATCTTGAGGCTCGTGGCGAGACTTTCGATGGTAAATACTACCTATGGGATCACCGGTTCTACGATCGTTTGATGCTGGAGAAGGACTACTCCCTCGACCAGCAGCTCATTGCCGAGTATTTCCCTCTCCAGACCACTATTGAGGGCATGCTGAAGATATTCGAGGAGCTGTTCGGTCTGGAGTTCGTGGAGATCACCGGCGATGACCGGGCTAAGGTCGCTCCCTCCGGCAAGGGAAGTGACATTGTCTGGCATGAGGATGTGCAGATCTTCAGTGTCTGGAACGACCAGGGTGAGGGTAGCGGGTTCGTCGGCTATCTTTACCTGGACCTCTTCCCTCGGAGCGGTAAATATGGTCACGCCGCCAACTTCAACCTGCAGCCCGGGTTTATCGACAAGGACGGTAAGCGTCGGTATCCAGCCACCGCCCTGGTGTGCAACTTCACCAAGCCGACACCGAAGAAGCCTAGTCTGCTCAAGCACGACGAGGTCGTCACACTGTTCCATGAGTTGGGCCACGGTATTCATGACCTCGTGTCCAAGACCATTTACTCGCGATTTCACGGAACCAATACCGTGCGTGACTTCGTCGAGGCGCCCAGTCAGATGTTGGAGAACTGGTGCTGGACTCCGTCACAACTCAAGTCCCTCAGCAAGCACTACGCGTCACTATCACCTGAGTACCTCGCGGCGTGGAAGGAACAGGCCGGTGACAAGCCCCAGCCGGCCGAGCAGATCCCAGATGAGGTGATTGAGAACCTGATCCGGACGAAGCATGTCAACGATGCTCTGTTCAACCTGCGCCAGCTGCACTTCGGCATCTTCGACATGACGGTACATGAGCCCAAGAGTCACGAGGACATCAAGAAGCTGCCGATCTCAGCCACCTACAACCAGTTGCGCAAGCAGATCACCCAAATGGACGGACCGGAGAGCTTGGGCCTGGGCGATGAATGGGGACACGGTGAGGCGACTTTCGGACACTTGATCGGTGGTTATGACGCCGGTTACTATGGATACTTGAGGTGCGCTTCCTTTGGTTCCTTCCAGTGTTCTAAACGTTTTTTTTTTTTTACTAACAATGAAATAGTTCCCAAGTTTACTCCACCGATATGTTCTACACTGTCTTCAAGGAAGACCCGATGAACCCAACCGCCGGCCGACGCTACCGCTACCAGGTTCTGGAGAAGGGAGGCAGCCAGGATGAGATGACGACCTTGACGGAGTTCTTAGGCCGCGAGCCTAAGACGGATGCATTCTACAAGGATATGGGACTGGCTTAACGGGATAATTTCTACCTATAAATATCTACAGATATATAAATGATTGAGTGAATATAATTCGTCTGGAATGACACAGAAAACATGCGCTGGAAATCTTTATAGAATGAACCATGTCTGAGGTACCTAAATATCGGAGCAAACCCTATCGAGATAGCGCAGATCAAATCAATCTTATCGATAAGGCCAACCAAAAGCTCTTCTCCAGCTTCAACTCCAACATCCAAACCACCAGCATAACCAACCAATTCACCTCAACTCACCAAATAACCAAAAAACACAACCAACCAAACCTCAAAATCACCAACGTCTAAAGCAACCCGCAAACAATAACAAAATGTCAACCCCTCAACCAGACCCCCAATCGCAAATCCAAAAAGAACAAGAACAAGAGCATGAACAACAACATCAAACCCCCAAACCCCGCCTCCCAGTCCGAACCCATCACTGCCGCTTCTGCAACCACCTCCTCCTAGCCTCAACTCGCGACATTCCTTCCCTCCCCCGCCGCAAAGACCCTGCCAAAGACAACGCCATCATCCTCCCCCTGCCCGCAACGACCGCCTCTCACCACAACGATGAATCAGACGATGAGACCGAGGCTGGTCCCGTAACGGGCTCGGGAGCTACATCCACAACTAAGCTGCAAAAACATTACACTATTCTTCTTTCGACGACGGTTCCGGATCGCAAGGCGACGCTTGTTAGGCGGGAGGACGGGTTCGAGAAGAGGGTTTTTCTGCGCTGTGGACGGTGTCGGGTTGTTGTTGGGTATTTTTTGGGGAGGGTGCATTTTCCTGAGACTGATGAGGAGGATAGGGATGGGGATGGAGATAGGGAGAGGGGGGAGAAGGTCGTTTATTTGCTTCCGGGGGCTTTGGTTGAGACTGAGCGGATGGGGGATGAGGATGTGTTGAAGGGGGGTGATGCTGAGTGGAGGACGTGGAGTGCTGAGGTTTAGATTATTTTGTTGAAGGAGGTGTGGTTGTTTGTTTGCTTGTATGTATGTATATTATGCTAACGGAGTTTTTTCTTTGGAGGGGGGTGTTATATAAACGCTGTACGAAGCTGGGCTTGGTTGATATTACTGTTACTGGTTTTATATGGGATATCTGAATGTTTGATGCGAGGTACAGTATATCTGAACATATTCAACTGCATTTCGTCACTTTTTGTTTGACTCAATCTACTTCTCACGTGTGCAATGGTGATAATAAGCTGAACCAGGTTAGTAGCCAAACTCAACTCCAACTCGGAACAGGGAAGGATAAGAAACTTACAGCCCTTCTTCGAACACACCTCCCAAGCAATCTTGTCGCTATATCCGTTCCGCGTCCAGAGCGCGCGACACTCTGCGCAGATTCTCAGGGACGCGCGCCAAAGATCACAGTTCTTCTGGGCTTTTATCTGGCAATCCGTGTAGCAAGTGCCAGGTGGCTGGTTACGGCACGTCAGGGGTGCAGAGGCCGCTATGGTACAAAGCACAATCCGTGTAAGCTCCCCCCAAGTAGTTTGGTCCCTGGCCTGCCGGTTGTGAGGGTTTACGGTGAGCTGAGACGAGAGATGCGGCTCCGATAAGGAGAAGGGCCTACATGTTGGTTAGCCTCAGACGACATGTTGGGTTGGTGTGAAGCGGGGTGGTATCTTAGATGTTCTGAGATGTGGCTTACTCAAGGGGTATGCATTGTTGCCTGTCCCATTTACAAGGAGATTATGGGAATGAAAGACTGACTGCTTCCTTCCAGATCATCAGATCCCCTGTGAGCTTGCTTATGCAGCTAAGTAGATGCCCAGCCCAAGCCACTATAGACTAGACTGATTGACCTTGTCCCTGGGGTCTCGTATATACTAGTATGGCAATGGTGGCTACAGACTTAGTCTCAATGCCGACGAAAGCAGATACCCTAGACAGGCATTGCTGTGTCTTCATTGCACAGGGCTCACCGTCCCGTATTTGGGGCCATCGGCAAGTACCGACTCCCATTAAACTGTTTCTGTCCGCCAAGTCGGGCTCTCATGAACCAGAATGCTACTTACACAGCAAGCTCAGACTTAATGTTGCACTCGATCCTTTCCGGGCAGTTTTCGGCCCCAAAGATGTTCAGTAATTTGCGCCAATGTGGCAAGCAGACCAATGTACCCCTTAGCGAAGGCCTCTTGGTTTTTCTTAGTGAGATGACCTAGTTGCTGGTTGGGGGAGCCATGGTGGCTTTCTGGGTACAGCTTTCGGTATGTTGGCTGATTCAGTTGTGTCGACTTTAATTCTTCTGGATATGGTCGAGAATCTGTTGGCCTGTGCTAGGAGAATCTTTGACCGACGGTATAGATGCCTCGCAGCTCGCTGCATGTGCTCTAATAAGTCTGTCATCTCTTTTTGACCTGTTGCTCTGTCCTCTCTAGTGGTATCTCCGGTTCCGTAAGTTTCCGAGTAATACCCCAGCTTAAGGGCTTGCTCGTCCCAAATTTGGATATGCTCCTCATGACTGTTTCAATCGACCTTGTTCTCTAGGAAGAATCTAGACCCCGGGAAGGCAGAACAGCCCTTATCAGGTCTCCATTCTCCTACAACTCTGCTGATAAGCAGGCAAGACTGATTTTCTGTGGAATAATTGTTGCCTTTAGACACAAGGTGCAAGGTACAAGGATCATGACACTGCACTTTAGGTCCTTGCAGGGGTGGTTGTCGAGGACAAAGTTTGAAGAATTATTGCCTGGGAGGCACAGGTTGCAGGGTTTAAGGCATCAATATACTGCACTTCTAGGCCCTTGCAGGAGGTGGTTCTTCCCAGGCCAGTGGCTGGTGGCTCCGTGGTCCGAGGGCAGAGGGCAGAGAGTATAAGTTTTAAGACTGAGGGGGTAGGTGTTACCTCGGAGACCAAATATATATACTTCTGTTGCATTATTTCCCTTACTCGTTTCTCCATATTTAGAATGACGGTGTAGTCTATGGAATATACCAACACATCATCCTTACCTCCAGTCTCCACTAAGTGTCTAATGACGTGTCTGCCGTCTTAAAATACTCTAATATAGAAGAGCGCGACCAAGATGGGCATCAGATTACCGGCAGGTTGGGTAACTATGTCCACAAGATGGAGGGGTAGAGGGGCTTGATCTTATCTCTGGGGTTTGTTTTACGCTTCAACAGATGCTTAACTCTTCTTAGCTTGTTCGTCTATGGAGAAGGTAGTAAATTAGTCATTGTATACATTGAGATCTCTATATACTATAAGGTATAGTTGCACGGGCATGGGAATTCGATTAGTGTATACAACGTGAGAATGCCTTGTTGGTAAATAACCTGATCGGACTCCAGTTATATCGAGGCTGGAGTTACTGGTATGTGGAAAATGTCGGTGTGGACTATGTAAATGTTTATGCTATATCATTGCTGTTGTGCTATCCATATCATGTGAACCCGATATACAATACAAACGAACTGAAACTGAGCCCAACTCCGTCCCCTCGAGCGATTCTCGTAATATCATAGAACATAGGGTATCGTGTATCAATCATCAGTTGGCCAGAATCGTGCGGACGAGGTCTAGGAAGTTAACGAATTAGTCCAAGTTCCGACTACTCCACCCTGGGGTTTCGTCTCATACCGGTATAATTAATCTCGCCTGAGCTAGTGTCAACAGCCTTGAGCAGCTCATCAACTTCCTCATCCGACATCTTCTCGCCCAAGTTCGTCAGAACTATCCCCGGTTAGCATCGTCTTCGCCTGTTGCCACATTCCAACATTGCAATACGTACTGTATCGAAGCTGACCGACCCCAATAAACCCGGTCATATCCTTATCGAACACCTGGAATCCACGGCAGTATTCTTCGGCTTCGCCGGGATCACGGAAACCACCCGGTCGGTTGAGAACCTTCAGGAAGGAGTCGAAGTCGACTATGCGAAAGTAATTTGTTAGATTATAGTTCATGGTGAATATGGTCGGGATAGAAGAAAGATAGACGTACAATCTCCGCCGAGGCTCTTCTCTAGATCGGCAATTTCAGCGAGGGTAGGATTCTGGCCGCATGCGCGCAAGAGATCACCGAGTGACTCCAGGGTGACCTTGCCGGTGCCGCGCTTGTCGAAGAGAGAGAACGCTTCCTTGTAGTTGGTAGAGGCCTGATCATCGTCGATATTATGTGAGCCGGCCATTCTGAATGGCAAATGCGATCTTCAACAAAGGAAAGCGACGGGATCAAAGAAGGATGTGGGGGAGGGGGAGGAAACGAGTATGGGGTGATTTAGGGAAAATAACGAGGGAATTGATGGAATGGCGGAATAGGGCGAACCAGGGAATGCGCATGAGGTTGAGGGGCGGCAATTCAATCCAATCGATTCATTGGAACCGAATGCCCCCAAATCCAGTAGGAAGTAAACAACCACTTCCTCCAAGATCCAGATCCTCCACCTCGCTGGCCATGTTTCTCTCGCCACCATATAAAGGGATTGCTGAGCAACAAACAATCAGACGGGGCCACGTACCATCTTTTCGTCTTGCTAGGAGGGTTTGGATGCGATAATGATTCCGCAAATGGTATGTGGTTCTGTAGATTCCTGCGAGGGGGGATGAAGACAGGGATGGATGCAATGGAGTATTGACAGTTAACCAGCACGTCAATTAGAGGAAAAGAGATAGAGGTTTAGTTTACCATGGAATGGAATGTTGGTAGTCATGGTAAAGGCGGGATGGAGAAAAGGAGAAAGTGGAGTGTCCGTTGTTGTGGTAACCGTTGCCTTATTGGGAATCCCTCCATCCCCCATCGGGACGTCACTGGTTCAGTATCCGTAAAGTACTTTGCATTGCATTTGCACTGCACTGACACTGCATAGGTACTATCTGGGCACCCCTTCCCTTCTCTCTGATAGTAGCATTAAGGAGATCGTTGAGAGGTAGTTCCCCCCTTCCCTGCATCATGACATTGGAAGTACTACTAGTATATATAACCACACTTCCGTCTTCTTTGTCGGCATTTCACCTTCACCTCACCTGTCAAAGCATACCAGCTGCTTTAACTTAATTCTCTTTAGTCTCACCATGCAATGCTATCAGTCCACAACCCCTTACCCTAACCACATGACTTACAAACAGGTCGTACGGCGATTGATGCCACATAGCGTACCTGAACAGTTGAGAGCGGATGCATATTTGCAATCTGCATAAATAGAGTCTACCTTCCTTGGAGTATTCGTTTCCTTGGATCACTTTAATATATCGACTTGGCCCACACGGCCCACATCTTTGTTCGGTTCATTATCTCTGGAACGAGAGAGTCTATTCCAACATGTAAAAACGTGTAAAACTTTTTTCTGGACCCTTGGCCTGCAGAAGACAACGCTATCCCATTGGTATCACCGCATGATCATAACACATAAAAGACCACAAAATATATGTACATAAGAACAAAACAAGAAGGATATAAATACCGACCAGCCCTTAAAGCAGAAATAGAGCCCCCTCCTTGGATCTGTATATACGCAGAAAACAAAGGATAAACATGTATATAAGAAAGACCCTAAATAATGAATACTTATCGACCTTTCAATTTCTCAATACAACTGGTTAGCAGGTTGGCCGCTTCTGCCAACAACTCCCATCGTGTGTTGATAAATCCATCCCGCAGAATTATCAACAGCCCCAGGCACTGATTGCGGCCTTTCATCCCTTCCAGGTCGTTGGGCGAGCGTGCGCCCCCTACCCGCCGGAGATACTCCTGCATGTCCCGGCGTTGGTCCGCCACTGTGGTGAGCGCTGGCGGAGAACGAATCGGCCCCTCCAGAGCATATCCGTAGCACCAGACCACCAATGCCGCAACGTAAATCACCCAGGGTCGATTGAGCAGATAGTCGTCACGCCCCGAGTAGAGTTGCCCTTCCTCCGACTCGCCGCTCAGCAGGCACTCGGAGAGAAACTTCAGCGCGTAGAAAGTGGCATCCCGTGCAGACGCCTTGGTGGCCCACCGCTCCGTCATCTTCTCACGCGCCGCATTGTAGTCTCTGGCGGTGATGGCCCGTCCCATGAGGCGGGTGGCCCCGCCAAGGATTTGACAGTCAACGATGTCGACATGCGACGCCATATGAGCTAGGCCATGGAGCACGTCGCGGGATTCGAAGACATTGTCGTCATCGAGAGGATGTTGAACCCGATATCCGGGGAAAGGTGGCGGTGTCCCGGCCTGCCCCAAGGCCTCGTCGAAATCTCGTCGCCAGTTGTCAAAGGCTCGCAGAAGCGCAGCACGCCATTTATCCCGACCCCCTAGCGCCTGAGGGACCCCCAAAGAACTGACCTGAAGATCTCGCTGGTTCATATGCCAGCTGACGCTGAGCAAACCAGCCATGAGAATGGTCCTTCCGAAAGCATTGGTCCGAACTCGCTGACCATTGAGGGTCCGTTTGAGGCCATCCAAAAACATAACCGGCTTCACTCCGTTGGCATGGAGACTAGCCTGTACACGCGCCACTTCAGCAGCACTAGTTGCTGACCACAGGGCCTCGTCACAGGGCAAGGGCAGGCGAAGCTCGTGCGCGACCATCTTGGCCGAGTGGCCGAACATGGTGGCATGGGTGGAGTCCAAAACGAAAGCGGCAAACGCCACTCGCCGGGTTGCCTCCGCTTTGATCCAGTGCGTCCAGGATTCATCCGCAACGAAGTCGGGTGTCGACGTGGAACATGATACCGACCGGTCCTGCCGGTCGTCTCTTAAGCTCGCGGGGGAGTCAAATGCGGAACGCCCAATCAAAGAGCTGCCGCGACGCATCAGGGTCAGGGTGGTGTCATGGTGGATGTGTGCCCGCTCATGTAGTGCCCGAGTAGAATACATCTTCTCGTAAACCTCGAGCAGCAATAAGGCCTGGAACACCCAGAGCTTGGCGGGGGGCCGGAAATCAGTGTCCATGAAGAGCTCCCACCGGAGGTGCCACACAATAAAGTCAGCCAACTCGGAAGCCGACTCGGTCAATTCTGGACCATGAATCTTGTCTAATGTGGATGCGCCGATGGCGATAACAATTAGCAGAAGCAAATTGGGTGCCTGATCGGCGGAAAAGGTGGGCCGATGTAGAATCGGTAGCTGTGAGTGAAAATGGTACCAGTACGACCCGACGTACGTCTGCATCATGCGCAAGCTCAGAACATGATTGTCATCATCCATGTCACCATCCATCAAAGCATCTTTGCGCTTTGCTACCGCTGAGTAGGCCGCCTCATTGAAGCGAGTCGCCATGAGGTGAAGTAACTCCTGCCGCTTCTCCTCCGACATGATGGCGCGGGGTGAACCAGGATCCAGGATGCTGGTAACGCTCATAGGGTGGTGAGGTGGAATAACACCGCTCAGAAGCGTCCCATAGGCGGGATCACCTAGCAACAATTGATTTTGCAGCTGTGCGGGGTCCATGTAGTTCGGCACCATCCCGGTCGCGGCAGGATAGCTCATGGACGACGAGCCGGGGACAGGCTCATTGAAAAGCCACGCTGTGAAATCTTCCGCCATTGCAAAAGGAGACCTATTATATGATTCGCTGCCGAAGATTGGGTACACACAATTGGCTAGGGAATCAAATCCAGGGTCCCCGACTGTCGAGCCCGGAGCTATCATTCCCGACATAGCATTAAGTGAGCCCAGGTTGGCAGCTTGGTCAAGAGCTGCTGGCGTAGAAGTCGCTGCAGGAGCTATAGAAAGGCCTGGATAACCATTTACAGGCATCTGCAGACCAGCCTGGGTGGTGAATGGTACAGTATCAGCCAGGGACGATCGGTTGACCTCTGTTGGTAGTGAAGAGTACGTTCCATCAGTACTTTGGCGCTGTCTACTGGGCGTTGGATTGGATTCGGACAAGGAATGATGCGACTGTGTCTCATGACCAATCTCACTAACAGGAGCATGTGTCGAATGAGGGTTACTTAATGACCCAAAAGCCGATTTATGTAGATCTGGGGGACTATAACTCGTCGGTTCTGGAGGAGAGCTCTTTCCGTGAGTGCTTAAGCTATTGGATCGGGGGAAAGTGTTTTCGTTTTGCGATGGTAGGACATGATGTTGGTAGCTAAAGACCGAGTTTAGCCCGACGGAGGGAGATGAAGACGATGAAGGAGATATTGGGATAGGTTGCACGGCTCCGTTAGAAGCGGTCGGTGGAGAGACGACAGTCGTTTGGTTGACGTGAGGCACATGATGGGAGGTCTGAGGTTTGCTGGTAGCCGCTTGCGCAAAATGATCGCGTTTTTGGAGCTGAGAGCCTTGGGTGGTGTGACGTTCTCGGTGTCGGATACAGAGATCTTGTCGGACGAAGGATCGGTAGCAATCAGGAAAGTCACATCGATATATTTGCTTGGGGGTATCTGGGCCAAGGACAATAATTACCGATCAGTTCATCATCCGAGACCCTTTGCGGTGTGGGGTTTCACTTACGGTTCAGCTGATGCCGGTATAAATGCTCCGCACGCGAATAGCTCTTCCCACAACCTTCAAACGTACATTCGAATTTCCGGTCTGTGTTGATCTTTCGAACCCTCTTTCTTTTTTTCGAAGCGCCGTTGACGGTGATAGTCTCGTTGTCATCCATCATCTCCGCTTCTCGTTCTCTGCGGATGCCTTTCGGTCCTTGGTCTAGACCACTCACGGTGCCAACCGCCAAGGTCATCTTCAGTCGGATGAAACCGAGAAGTATTAGAGATTGGCGGTTGTCCTTGCTTGTCGAATTTCACGGTCGCCCAACGCGCACAAGTTTCTAGCCTGCGGAGAACGAAAGAGTTACCGAGTACGCCGGGGCATCAGACCGGGCGAAGACGGGCCGAGTCCGGGGTGGAAGAAAGCCACAGTGAGGATTCAGAGAGATGCTAGTAAATCGAGGAAGTAGGCCATGGACACGGAATAGGCCAAGAGGTGGGATGTCTTGTTCGCACGTCAGATGTGAAGGATGGCGGATGCACAAAGACAAGACGAGTAAAAACCCCGTGGGGAAAAACGTGTGGACGGAAAGCCGAAGCGTTCCCGAGACAGAAAAGAATTGTCGCCGAGAAAGAAGAAAAACCTTTCCGACCGATAGTCCAGAATGGAAGTCCAACGGTACAAAATTCGAAAACGTAGAAGAGATGAAAAGTAGAGTAAAAGGAGAGATGTAAGAAGCGGTGGTACGATCGCTGAGACCGGTATGGAATGATTAATTGGGGAAGTCAAAGGCGGAGAGAGCACGACAGAGTTCGCAAAAGAGGGGAAGGCGAATGAAATATATACTAGTTAGTCTTAAAAGTCCCAGTCGTATTTATACAGACAAGTCTAGCTAGTTCCCCAACAGCACGGCGCGGTAAGACGAGTTCATATAGAGGACCAAGCGACTGAAGGATTCAATGCCATCACGGAGAAAATAAGATTTTGGATATATTTATTCCCTTCTCTTTTAGAAAATATAAAATTGAATCTCGTATAACGATAATCACTAGTTTGTGCTGACTCTTAAGGTGGGGGCATCTACTGTACATGTTCTTCTATCTAGTGAGTACCGATGTCATGCATCTCAGCAACTCACATTCATTGCCAAACTCCCCCTATCTCCACTTTTCTTTTCTTTACTTTAGGCTCTATATCGAATGGCCTTTATTTTATTTTATTTTATTTTTTTTGTTTTTATAGTTCTCGTTTCGCGACTATCCCGGTTTTTTCGTGAAAATGAAGTACCAAAGAAAAAGCAACTGGAATGCCAATCATTTCTTCTTGGTGCCTTGTTTTGTCTACTAATTGAAGCGGGTAGAGGGGAGATCGTGCAGGGAAGAAGGGACGATCTTCATGAGATTGAGATCGATTTATGATGAGGAATTAATTAACGGATGTAACGAGAACTGCACCGAAGCATTGCCGAATGCAACTAGAACCCTAAGCCAACCAGTCAAAGGCGATTATTTCCACCTACATGACGTACGATACCCTACTTTAAACGGATATCATGCATCCTAGTTAGAATGTAAATAATAGAGGTTAGTATATACTACTATGTAACTCCTATTTAATTTGATAGATAGGAGGGGCTGGAATGATAGGGTTTGGGGACGTGTGGCTGATAGCCCTTGAATTTAACATTGACTGACATCTCCAGTGGAGACATGGAATACTGGTCGTAACCCTCTCAGATCTGTTTCGGGCCCCATGCAGCTGGCGACTAAGGGCCCTCTTTTCTCTTGGGAGTAAAAATCGACGCGGTTAATGCGGATATTCGTGGTCAAGTGAGCATGGATGGGACCATCTTTCCCGTTCCATCCTTTCGCTTGTGGGCTAATAATAAGAATTATTCGTTAATTACTCTGGTCAAACCGGCTCACTAGCATAGGAGTGGCGCTCCTCGAGAAGTAAAACAGGAGAAAATTGCTTCTGAATTCCCATTATGGGCCTGTTGATTGCCTATACAGCGGGGTTGATCTGCATTCCGAGATGATGTTCAGTGTGTGTAATCGTAGCTAAAAACAATACCGGGATAGATCTACACGCTTAACTTCCGTCATGTGCAGAGGACAGCCACCAGAGCCGTGGAAGTGAACGCTGACTACTTCCGCTGTGTGTTGAGGTCCGCGGAGTAGATCAACGCGGCCTGTTGGGAGCCTATATTGCTTTTTCTCCTCAGCCTCGCAACCTCGATTCCGAAAAAGAAGGCAACCTAGCAATGTCACCTAGTCTCAAACTCTCTTTTTCACGGGTATCCCGGGAGCATAAAACTAATTAAGAACTAAGGACCCGAAAAATATCTGAAGCACTCGAGGTGTTCTTAATTGAGGATGATCGTTTATTGGTACCTGATGATCACGCATGAACCACTCGCACTGGGACCACTGAGGATCTGATAAGGAGATCAATGACATGTCTCCGTGGTACAGACAGATTAGGATCCGAAATGTATATGTACCTTATATTTATTGGTCGGACAGATCCTATTTTGTGGATAATATTAGTACTGACGAGAAGTCTCCGTAGTCCCTCCCAGCGCATCGGTACGCGATAGAAGAATATTACGCGTTCCATGCTTCAAGGTTCCTGCAGACAATAGTAGGCAAACTACGGAAAATAGTCATGTGTGTCCCTTGCTTCTCTGTGTCAACATCACCTGTCAAAGATCCTATAGCCCAACACCACGTTCTACGAGGCATTTACTCGGAGTCAATCAGTTCATACGGGGAAAGGGTGAAAAAAAGCAACTACAACAGATCGCAAAAAGGCAAATCTGCCCACCGGCACAGCCATTGAGCAGCCTCCTTCAGACATCCATTTATCAAAAAGTTCTAAGCTAATCCATTCCCCGGTAATCCAATGCGAACACCCGCGCATCATGAGACCACCCATGCTAAACCACTCTCCAACATCGCCCCCAGTACTAGTTCACGAGCCACATCGCGAAGTCCTACTTACCCTCCAACCAGGATTCGTACAATTAGATTACAATATCAGTTTTAGCGGGTACCCGCCCCGAACTCGGGCGATAGAATATGATAGACCTGATGGATGACCCGACTGGGTACCTGGACACCAGCATACCTGCTTCGACCAGAACCGGCACATCCATCGAATGGAGATGAGACAACCGGAATTTATTGAGATCATACATACAAGATATGCACATACTTTCGGAGATAGCTCTCATGCCTGCCTTAGGGGGGTTCACGCAGAGGAGTTTTCGGCTATTGTAAAAGCTGAAGCTTGGAGATTCACATCCTCGAATAGTCAGGATTGAATGTCTTGATTTTTAACTTTAGCATCAAGTCTATAAATATAAGGTAGGAGAGTGTGCGTCACCATGTTTTGCCGCGAGACTGCACGTCACTATGATCCGCGAGTTTGATCCAAGGCAGCATATGCCATGTACGTGACTCTGCCAGAAACGAGCCTACCCGCTGCATCTAGTGAGAAGGGGAAAAAATCATGGAAGAAACCATTGATTACTTAAAGAGGAAAAGTCATGTTTATCACAATATGAAAGAGGCTATAGACAACTCACCAATCATTCGAGATGTATATTTGCCTGATCTGGTCAGCAAGGTATTCGAGACAACCTAATTGGTGACCGCGGCCGGTCATATCTGTCAATGTATTCCATTTGGTAGTCTCAGGCTTGAGCGTAAGGTCAGTGGGGCCTCTACCTAGCTGGCTGCGTTCCAGAGTGAAAATAGCGTATACTACTATCTGGTTCTCTTGTTGAGACCCAATACCGGAGCCTCTCGTTACTGTAAGGTTGTCTTCCCCATCCGTGTCTACTCCGTACCATTTCCATTTCTAGATATTGACTATTGTACTTGATGTATTACAAGGGGCTTTGTGACTATATCGCTGTTCCAGACCCAGTGAGTGGCCCGCGAAATCATCCATCCTGTGCCAAGCGAAAGGGGCCACCTGAAAATGAACATGTAAACCTATACAGGTACTGGGAGTAATCTATGGGTTGTAATTTTTGTGTTTCTAAAGTCGAGGGTCGGGGGGACTGGCTCTCAACGCTTCGTGTACTGTATTGCTTGCTGATCCCACAAGATGCGCTAAATTGCATGGATGGGAGGGCATACAGCCCCAAGCCGCCCCACGGGTCAATCCTAGGTGGATGATGGACATCGCTCAGTCTCGAACTCCTCAGTTAAGTTGATTCTGACTTGTTAAAGAGTTTATCCGCTAAACCGGAACCGGGTGGCCTCCAACCGGCCCAATCCTTCTCGAGGTGCCACGTTTCGCCGCCGGTAGGATGCCGTAAAGTCTACAGTTGTTAGCTAATGGCAAATCGAGACAAGCTAAAGAAGGAAAGGATCGAAAAGCGGGGATAGGTAAGTATCACCTTGTAGAAGACTGCGAATTTTACGGATTTCACCCGATTGTACCCGGTCAGATATCCCCTTCAGCAGCCGCTCGGCCTCACCTGCCTTCATCGTGCCCGCTGGCAACATCTGGAGTGTGGATTGGAGCCAAGCGCCGGCTTCCTGTGGCATCAGGTCAAACAGCGACATCATGACACCGGACGCATCTGGGAAACATTCAGCGGGGAACGAGAATAACATTCCTGTTAGGATTCGTTGCGAAAGAACTTGTCCTTGAGATGCAATCAGCTGCTTAACCGCCTCGCGAATTTCCGGGGGATTCATGTACGGATCCCCATTCGAGGTGGTGAAATTGGAGACTGCAGGCTTTTCAAAAGCGAAGCTGAAAAGGTCATGGTAATAATGTAATGTGGCCATGAGCGGATCGATCTGCTGCAGAGTAAGGGCGCTCAAGGCTGCAGAGAAGATCGGCACAGAGAGGGATGATGTGATGCACTCCTTGGGGTAATACCGAACAGCGTCTGAAGAGAGGCGATAGAAATCTTCGATCACTATTTTGTATTATTAGGATTAGCGCAATTTAAAATAAGAAAAAGAGGGGACAAAAGTGGTCACGTTTGGCACCTACCATCAGGCAAGTTCTCCGGGGGCAAGTCATTCAGGATACGCAAGAAGGCGATTGCCTGTTGCTCGTAAAATTGGAAGACGGCGTGACTTGTGCCTGGGTCGACAAATTCGGCACCTTCAGCAAATTCCCGCACGACTGCATCAGTGGCCCACAAGAAGCATCCTTCTCGTGACGCTTGGAATCCACTTGCAAGGCTTTCTGCTAGCGTAGGTAGTAATGGAGTCATGGCTGTTCGGTAGGAAATAACCATGTTCCTCCAGCAACGGCACACTCGCTCCAGAATGGGAGTAGATGTAGTAAAATTCATTACTATAGTCGTCATGATTGGCAGGATTTCGCCGCAATACTTGACTGCAGGGTTTTCGTCACGCGGCGAAACATACGGATTCACTACATATACGAATATCGTAATCAACTGGAGATGATCTATAATAATAGAGTTAGCATGGATATTCTTTCAATGACCGTGGGAACGTACCAGCGACAGCCCGCTGGCCTAGCTCGTCCTTCGCGTTGTTTGCCAGGTTCATGATTCGGGCCATGATGGGGTTGCAGAACATTTTCATCGTTTCATAGATCTTATCAAGTGGCTGCACCGCAACCACAGCTGCCACACCTTCGGTCACTTCTTCCTGACTTGCCGGCTTCAACTTATCAAGGACAGACTCATAGAACGAATGAAGCTGAGCAATATGGCCGCCCAGTAGTTTTTGACAGTCAGTGCCAAGGAATTTGAATGCCAGAGCTGAAGCCTGAACAACTTCCGGGGAGCTGTGTTGGAATCCAGAGATAACATAGTTCAGCTGCGCCTCAAGGGTTTCCGGATGCTGCGCCGTCCATTCCGTATACCGGGCGAGGGCCATGATGGCCTGGAATCGAACCTTCTCTTGGTTTGGTATTTGCACTATCAGAGGGATTACCTGCGGAAGAACCTGACTCTCTTCAGGGTCAACCATGCGGCCCATAGCTCTCAAGCTAAACAGGGGTGCCTCAAGTTCCTGCCAGTTCGGAACATGCTCGTCGCTAGCTTGCGAAGCATAGTTGGAGATCCACTGCTGAATTAACTGATAAGCCTTCGTTAGGCATCCCGTGACTCCAATCACTGCACAGCAATCTTTGAGGACATCTCCCATCGAGTGTCGGTAGTGACGGAACTTCTCTTCTTGTTCCCGGTCCCCACCAAACAAATCAGTTTCACCTTCTTCCGGGCGAGGGTATTCGAGGTGCTTCACCATGACGTCCACCAACTTGGAGAAGACATCGGCAAAGCTTACACGCGCATCGTTATACCGTTCTAGGGCGACATACTGTTTCAATTCGTACCAAAAGACGAAAGTAAGCGAAACAGCGTCTCGTTCCCAGTCTCGTGCGCAGCATTCTAGGACAGCCTCTACAAGACCACGGAAATCGGATGGCAAGCGTGCGATTAATACAACCCAAGCTTCACCGGCCTCCGCAAAAAGCCTGGTAATGCCCCTAAATGCATCCGTATCCTCAGCCTCAGCAGCCTCGGCAATCTTTGGGCGGAGGGACATTAGGCGCGGGTATAAGGTTTGTATGATGGGAAGCGAATCGTCCACCTCCCGAGTATCTCTGTACAGAGTGCAAAGACTCTCCACTGCGGCTTCAAATGATACGTCATCGTCAAGTGCCTTCACAATGACATCCAACAAGGGTGAGTCGACAATCTTCGAAGCAGGAATCTCGCGCATCCATGATGTGATGCAGTCCAAGAGACGGGGATTGGTAGATGCGGTTGCTAAAGTTGCTAGAGTGTTTAGTGAGGTTAATTGCGGAGGGCATCAAGGAACGTGTACGTACGCGAGGACTGAGCATACTGAATCAAGAGGTGCATCACTTGCTCTGCGTTATCTTCCAAGAGCTCTTTCGTCCTGATGATAAGGTCGTCTTCCTAGTAATGCTAATGTATTAGAGTCTGAACTTTTGGTTGTATGAAGCAAAGCCGTCGCCCATTGCGTGGTAAAATAGGATGTTGTCTGCCGAAACATACACTCAGATTGATTTTGCGACCCTCTGTAACTTCTTCTGGGAGGATTTTGAGAAACTCCAACACACAATCGCCGGCATTACTTCCTAGTGCTGAGCCAACAGTAGCGAGGACGTCTTTCCACCCGGTCATCTGAATGGCGAGACTTGCCAAACACACGCATAGTTGTGTTTGAATCGGGCGAGGGCCTGATGCAAAGGCCACGAGGAGATTCATCACCGAGTCTCTCAAAGCATGTACAGATTCTGCGGGGAGCTGGTCCAGATCGAACATGATCTATTATAATCAGCATCCGAGTAAATTTTTTTCCATCGGCCAGATGGATGGCTTCACCTTTCCCTTCAGCGTAGTCGCCGCAAACAACTTGGCTTCGACAGGAACATCGGGGGACTGTAGTAGTTCATGGGTAATTGTCCAAGCCTCAACCTAGAGAGTTATTCCAAGACTGTCAGTGAAAACATGTTTGGCTAAGGTGGACTCGACTACAGAAGGGGTGAGGGGCGGGGGGGGGGGGGGGATTGCGAACAGATTTCTGGAATTTCTCGAGAAACTCATGAGCATGCGCCTTCTCTGTTCTGGAGACATTTCCCTGCATTGTAGCGACCGCAGCTAGCACAGGGCCAAAGGCCTGTCCTGCGGTTCCCTCCTTGCTGGCCATCGTCGATTGGAGTGGGATGTTAAGTTAAAAGCGAAGAAGAAACGGAGATGAGGGGTTAGCCAGGCCGGAGGCTCAACACCTATGGAGTACGGTCATGAATACTCATTAAAGAACCCCTAAAGAATGTAGGCAACGCAAGATTCAGGTACCAAAAACCATCCAAAAGTGTCGGATATGGTAAATCGGGGGGTGAGTACTAGCGATTAGCAGTAGAAGTGGGATGTGGTGACGCCTGAGCCTAAAGGGAAAAGTTGAGTGAGCCGCAACAAAGTCCCGAAGCGGTTTGAATCCACCCAAAGTTAAGCTCCCTCTCTCTCTTTCCTCATCTTCTCCGCCCACACCCAACCTTCAACGTACGCGCAAAGGACCACGACACTTGTCTAATTTTTGCTTCAATCCGGCTCATCGGTCGCTTCCCCTTTTTGATTTCGACCCCTCTTTCACTCATCGTGTATCATCATGACTGGTCGTGGAGGCGGTGGTGGCCGCAAGACCTTGCTTGCGCCAATTCATTTCATTTTCAAACTTCTTCAACAACGCTCTACCGTTTCTATCTGGCTTTACGAGCAATTGGCCTTCCGGATAGAGGGAAAGATTAGGGTATTTGGTTCAATCCGGAGAAGAAGAAATATCATCACGAGCTATTCAGCTAACTGGGTTAGGGATTCGATGAGTTCATGAATCTCGTAGTCGACGATGCGGTAGAGGTCAGATTGGCTACAAAAACCGAAGAAGAGAAACGGAGGCCTCTAGGTATGGGGACAGTACCTTGTACTTGTTCTTTAACGGTCGGAAGTGCTGATCGGATATCTACTAGGTCAAATCCTGCTGAAGGGCGATAACGTCTCGCTCATCCAAGCCGTACAGTGATCATAGAAGGATGCAGGAAGCATACGGAAGAAAAACAAGAAAATTACTTTGCCAGGCTACGACGATATTTATCTCTCTTTAATCATGTTTATTTACGGGTTGCCGCTGGAAGACACTCTTGCACATCAATCAAATACACGGAGTTCTGACACGAGAGGGAGTTGTTCTTTTGGGCTATAAATTAGTGGTGACGGACGAAGCACCGATTGTCGCCAACGATGAGGACATCTACTGGCCAGTCATGATTCGCAACAGGTATTTGTTCGGTCGCGGGGAGAGTTTGCTCCTTGAGAGAGAGGGCAACTGGGCGAATGTTAGGCAAGAATAAAAATTTGTGGTTTCTTATGTGTTGGGAGGGCTCCCTTACCAAGTAAAGGCATTTTTGGCGTCGTTGTCTTACTCTCAATCTCTTTGGGGTACCTAGTCAAAAAATGATCATAATATCCTTTACCATGACCCAGTCTTCTAAATTCACGGTCGAAGGCCATGCCCGGCATAACAATCAAATCTAGCCCGATCCCTCCCTCTGTCGCTTTATTAGTTGCTGAAGGAGAGACTCCGGTTCCGCCGAAACAGTTGGTCTTTTTTCCAACTTGGGTTTTCGCAAGAGATGGGATCCCCCATTTGTCGGGTGTGAGACTGTTGAATTCTTCCATGGATTCCAATGCCAACATGTCCATGATAGACGTCTTCTCCTGTGTTGATGGTGTCTCCACATTATGGATATAGGGTATGAAGACCTCCTTGCCGTTCATCAAAGCGTCTTGCACAATGGCAGTAGTTGATAGCTCTCCCGATGGCATTGATAAATAGACTCCGATCCTTTTGGCATTTTGGTACTCAGTGAGAGAGAGTAGCCTTGTCGTGGCAACTCTAGCTATGAAGTGTCAGCACTACCTCTCACCAAAACGATAAGGTCCCTGACATTGGTTGACGATGGAATCCGCAGGGATCCTTTGTACAATATCCCGCATCTTTCGGCGAAGGTCTTTCTTCGCTGTTTGTAGGCTAGCCATCATGTTGCTACGAGATAGTAGTAGGGTCTCTTAGAGCCAAAATTGGAGGTTGATGGTTGTATTATCATAAATATGCTATTCGACGACTGATAGAGTGGCATGCATGTACTCCACAGCACAGCAACTCGTGATTCTTGATACTACTGGATTTGGCGATGTTTGTCAACTTTGTTTTGGTAGTATTAAATCAGCGTTCTGGGTGTGGCTTGGCTCATTGGCTTTTCTTAGGATGACTGGCGTGGTTGGATCGACGGTTGTGCCTGAATATGCTCCACAAGGAAGGGCCGTGGAATCGGACCCTCTCTGGAATTCCATTCTCCCTTTTCCTTGCTACACCCCCCAAACATCAGTTCATGTCTGTCGCATGCACATATGAAAATGATTGTGGGATACCTTTCTCTTAGCTTACTTGCCTCGGCTGTGAGCGCTGGTAGCATATCCGATCTCGTGGGTACTTGGTCGACAAAGTCTCGCAATGTTGTTACAGGTCCGGTATGTTTGCGTTGAGTCTCGCTTTGTTTGTTTATTAGCGGCTAGCATGTCGAATGCGAGTCTAATATACCTTTTATTTGGCCCTACAGGATTTCTATGATCCGATAAACGATAAATTTCTCGAACCGAAGCTCACTGGGATTTCCTACTCGTTTACGGAGGATGGTCACTATGAAGAGGCGTATTATCGCGCCGTCGCCAATCGTCAGTATTCAACAACGCCCCTAGTGTTTATTTTGTCTAATATTCTTGGGTGGTGGATAGCTGCGAACCCCTCATGTCCGAAAGGTATTATGCAGTGGCAGCATGGCAAATTCGTCCTGAACAGCGACGGATCCCTCGAGTTGACTCCTATCGCCGTGGATGGTCGCCAGTTACTTTCAGAGCCCTGTTCATCACTCAAGGCAACATATACCAGGTATAACCAGACGGAAACATTCAACGTACGTGGTTATCGCACCTTCGCCGATTTACTCGCTAATCCCGTCACAGTCTTTTCAGGTTTCCGTGGATCCTTATCACGGCGTTCGGCGGCTAGACCTTAAGAGTTTTGACGATTCGCCTATGCATCCGATGTACCTGGTGTACAGTCCGCCGCAGATGCTGCCCACAACGACCTTGAATCCTGTATCTGAGACGGGGAAAAGTAAACGTCATGTCACCAGAGATACGGACCGATCGACTAGCTTGGGGAACATGATTCGAACAGAAGAGCTTCTCAACCCTGACAGGTGGCTTTGGATTGGGGTGCTCGTCACTGCTCTAGGTGGCATCACGCTATTTTACTCTTGATCTGCCAAAAAGCTTGGATGATTTGATGTGTCAATCGATCGGCTTCGCGATGGATATGGAGTTCGATAGGCATGAAAACTAGAGATACCTGGGATAATACAGGGTTGGGATTACAGGAGTTTCTTGCATACATTCGGGCGCTGGAGTAATTTCTTCGATCTGGCGTTCCGCTCATTAAATATAATCAATGTCGAGACCAGAGTTCTCTTCTGGTGGATGTATTTTACACTTGGGCTTGCGCAATCTCTATGGATATAATGATCCGCTTAATACAATGCTTTGAACGTTTAATTTGACGCGGTCTTAAAAAGGAACCTGACTGTAGTTCTGCCAGGATTGGAGTGGGAGTCGATTTACCATTATACAGTAGCTAATATACACATCTTTTCTTCTTCTTTTTTTTTCCCTCATTTCATCTTTCCTAAGCGGTAGCAACAGCCTCTTTGGCAATCTTAGCGACTTCCGCTCTCTCCGCTGGCTTACCGTCCAAAGCGCCCCCGGGAGCAAAAAGTGATTTGAGCAGTGTTCCGACCTCGGCCTTTTGGCCTGCCTCCTTCAACTTTGAAATCTCCTGTAACACAATCTGTTTCACATCATCCAGGCTCATTGTCTCTACTTGGTCCGCATACTCTTCTAAGATCGCCACGTTCTTCTCCTCGGATTCTTTGAGATCGGGACGGTCGGCCTCTGCAAATTGTTGCGCAGCGTCTTTTGCGCCCGTCATACGCTTCCGGATTAATGACAAAAGTTGCAAGTCTGTTTGGATTGGAGACGAGGTTTTCAATGAATTGTTCGTTTCGGAAATTATAGCGCGCAGAACGTTCAACCTAGATTATCATTGACTACGTCAGCAATCGGACTTGAAATGCTATTTGCAGCTGAAAGTTCGTATACCTCGCTGTGTCTTTGGCGCGCATAGCAACCTTAAGGTCGGATCTGATCTTAGCCATCAAAGGCGGCGTGGATGGGCTACCAGTTGAGTTCCATCGTACTGCGCGCAGGTTCAGCCGAATTGGGAGTCTTTGAGGGCGGAACATTGCGCAATGAGGTTGGAGCTAAACACAGTAATGATAGAGGATTCGGAATTGAATGGAAATAATTGCTTCAATTGCTAGCGGAGTGATTATAATACAAATGAATAAGAATATAACCGAAGCGTAAATGAGAACTAAAGAGGACCAAACAATCGCGGCGGACAGAAAGCCAAAAGGCGGAGAGAGAGGTTAAGTCACGATGAATCTTCGGGCCCGTGCACAATTTTGTTTCTCTCGGCTTGTCATGATTTGATTGTTATTCGGTCTGAATAATCTTATTTGTCTCTGGAGGAACACCACACGCCTCCATTGATGATTTCTTTCTCTACCTCTCCCAGGAATTGACTTCTCCCCGGCTTCTTCTTTCTTCTCTTTTATCATTTTCTCTATCTTGAACTTCCCTACGCTGAACGAACCTACCTCGCCGGGGAGCGCGACGAATTTCCCCCAAAGCCGCACGTACATCAGCTGCACGCCAGCATCATGTCCTATCCAAAACTTACTCCAGCTCTCACACCTCAGCGACCGCTACCCGGCGCTTTTTTTCAGACCCCTGGCCCCAACAATGCTCCGAGTGCGCCAGTTTTCTCCCCGAAGCCAGCTCCCCCCGCAGAGCAACCTTCACCAGCTTCTCTCCCAAAGCTCCCTCCGGCCGCCTCGAAGACAAAAAGCCAGACTCTAAGCACAGAGGAGCGCGCGGCTCGAACTGTTAATGATACGCTCACCCAAGAATCCCGCTATCCTGACCTGGACAGCTACCTCTCTCGTAAGTAAACAATGACCTTGGAGCGACACGGAGCATGGTTGACCCCTTGTGTAGAAGGATTCTCGTCTGACTATGATATTCCTGTTTCGCCATCATGGGCACCCTTCCAAAAAGTGAAGATGTATAATATTCCGGATCAGATCTTTGATCAGTATAATCGTGCGCAGGTCTCGACAAGCATGGGTCTTTTCGCAGAGCTGAATCACGCCTGGGTTGCCATTGACAATGCTCTCTACATCTGGGACTACACACACCCAAATCCCCAACTAGTGGGATTCGAAGACCAACCGAACAGCATTAATGCAGTTAAACTGGCCAAATCTCGACCCGGGGTGTTCTTGCCTTCGATCACACACTTGCTTGTCATATCAACAACGGCAGAGATTATCCTCCTTGGCATGGGGTGCGAAACGACCGCTACTGGTGCACGCCAGGTGACTTTGTATCAGACGGGCATGTCTACACCAATCCGTGGCCTGGACATTCACGTAATCGCGTCGTCGGAAGCGACAGGTCGTATATTCTTCGGCGGTTCTTCTGACAATGATGTTTATGAGCTCACATACCAGCAAGAGGAAAAGTGGTTTCAAGGACGGTGCTCGAAAGTGAACCACACTAGCTCTCGTTTGTCGGCCCTCACTCCTAGTCTGAGCTTCTCGAGCTTCACACAAAAGATGTTCGAGAACGTAGAACAGATGGAGGTCGATGATAGTAGAAGGCTGCTTTACACACTGTCGTCCTCGTCCACAATCAGAGTATTTCACATGAAGCCCGATGGTACTCTTGCCTTGGCCATCACGAAACCTGCGTTGGACATTTACGCCAATATCGGACATATAATCGCATCAAACGAGACCCTGAATCCCAAGGTTCCGATCGTTTCCATCAGCCCCATCCCAGCTGCGGAAGCATCGAGATATCATTTAATGGCCACCACTGCTACTGGATACAGGATCTACCTAAGTGCCACTGGCTCGTATAATTGGTCACCGGCTCCCAACGGTACCAATGCACCTACAAGCATGCAGGCTCACCATGTAAAGACTCCGCCTTTCGATACCACTTCCGCAAGTCCAATGGGTCCAGGCTTCCAGGGTCAGGGACGTTTCCAGCCGTCAGTGGCAAAGATCCCGATCCATTCTCTGGACCCGACCAGGTTTACTGTTCGGTACCCTCCTGGTTACTTCTTTTGTTTCACATGCAAGGATCCTACGCAAAAGACAGATACTCTATTCGTTTCGTCCCCTGACTCAGGTCGTGTGGCTCGTTCCCAAGAAAATGTGATTCCTGGGAAGGCTGCTGAGACAGCTATTTGGCTTTCTCTGGGTAGCAGGGCGGAGGATGTTGGTCTTTGCTCCCCATCCACCGCGGCTTCGGCGACTCCTGGTGGTTTTGGTAATGAGCTTGCGGTTCAATTTGACAACCCTGCCGCCGAAATCGCCATCCTGACGAATACTGGTATTCATATCATCCGTCGTCGACGTCTTGTTGACATGTTTGCGGCCCTGGTTCGTGGTGGGGGTGACGGCGATGAAGGCTTGGAAGGAGAAGTAAAGAACTTCATTCGGACTTATGGTCGGAGTGAGACGCTTGCGACTGCGCTCGCTGTCGCCTGCGGCCAAGGCGTAGAGATTTCCGCGGATTCGCGCCTGACTCAGATTAACGACCCCCATGTGCTGGAATTTGCACGTAAGGTCTTTATCGAGTATGGTGGCAGACCGACAATGAACGAAAATGCCGTTGCTGACAACTCTACCCCGGCAATCGATGCAGTGGTTCCGTCACCCCGGCACGCGGGCATTGCTCTTTACATGTCGAGATTGTTACGCTCCATCTGGAGGAAGGAGATTGCTAAGGTTGTCCCCTCTCCCAATGGGGCACAAACTATATCACCGTCTGTTTCGTCCGCAAAGTTGCAAACCATCCAACGCGATCTGTCTGCTCTTCAAGACTTCTTCAAAGCTAATAAGAGCTTCATTGAGGGGCTAAGTGGACCAGAGGCTCTGGCGCGTGTATCGACCAAACAAGAAGAAACCGCGCTTCAAGCGGAACACCGAGCATTGCATTCCCTTGTTCAATTGGTATCTCACACCATTGAAGGCATTTCTTTTGTTCTGGTTCTCTTCGATGAGCGGGTTGACGAAATTGTTGCAACGTTGCCAGATGAATCGAAACAACGATTTATGAAGCTTACATTTGAGGAACTCTTCAGCACCAGCAAGGGTCACGATATTGCAAAGGAACTTGTTAAAGGAATCGTTAACCGGAACATCGCTAAAGGATCGAACGTTGAAACCGTTGCCGACGCTTTGCGACGCCGGTGCGGTAGCTTTTGCAGCGCTGAAGATGTTGTTATCTTCAAGGCTCAAGAGCTGCTTAAGAGAGCAACGGAAGCCGGTTCGAATTCCGAGTTAGGCCGCAACTTACTCAACGAAAGTCTTCACCTGTTTCAACAGGTGTCCGACAGCTTGCCAATGGATTACTTGGTTTCTGCGGTCGAAAACTTCATATTGAATCAATTCTTTGCAGGTATGTAATGAATAGTGGCGAGCAGCTAAAACAACGCTAAACGATCAACAGGCGCCATCCAGCTTGCACTTAATGTTGCTGCACGTTCGGACAAAGCTAATATGGCCCTCTCCTGGATTGTGGATGGTCGGCCAGAAAATGTAAGGTTACTAAGACTGGCTATCAGAAGTATCAAGTGCTGACGTACACTATAGGACTCTCGGAGTGACTACTTCTATTTTAGGAAACAGTGCTATGATCTTATCTTCAAGGTCATAATTGCTGTGGACAATCTTGCAGCTAATGATCCAGGTGTTATCGATGGCCAACTAACTGTCATTGCTAAACGCAAGAACGAAGCCTATGGGGTTATCTCTGACTCCATTGACGAAGTGTTCCTGACCAGTTTGTATGACTGGTACCTAGAGCAGGGCTGGAGCGAGCGCCTGTTGCAGACAAGCTCCGCATTTGTGGTCACTTATCTTGAGCGCAAGTCGGTGGATGACCTTGCGCATGCGGACCTCCTATGGAGGTACTATGCTCAGTCGGACCGCTTTTTCGAAGCTGCCAAGGTTCAATTCCATCTTGCACAGAGCGCTTTCACTCTTCCCCTTGGTCGCAGGATTGAGTATTTGGGCCGTGCCAGGGCCAACGCTTCAACCTTTACACCGGATGTGGGCCGACAGTCCAGGCAACGGTTGTTGCAGGATATCTCAAATCTTATTGATCTTGCGAACATTCAAGACGATCTTTTGCAACGCCTCAAGGATGACAAACGACTAGCCCCAGAGCGCAGGACGCAGGTGCTTGCAGACGTTGACGGACCCATCATGGATATTAGCATGGTGAGTCAACCCAATTTCTAACTCAAAAAAGGTCTTCCCTTTGCTTATTTATCATAGTTGTTCAACCAATACGCCGATCCTGCTAGCTATTACGATATTTGCTTGCAAATATTCTACCTAGCTGATCACCGGAACCCGGCCGACATTCGGTCCACATGGCAGCACCTACTCCAAGATCTGCACGACGAAATTATCGAGAACGGTGAACCCCAACCCTACGAAGCCGTAATTGATAAGGTGCGCGGCTTAGGAAGCCGGTTGCGTATGTCCGAGATAGTGTTCCCGATCCCCGTTCTTCTGCCGATGCTGGAACGCTATGCGCTGGAGCACCAGCGTGGTGTTGGGCCGGCAACATGGGTCATTGATCTGTTCCTCGACCTAGGAGTTGCGCACGAAACGCTTTACACCGTCCTTGAATCCATGTACTACACGGATGAGGCGCCCTTCCATGGTACCAACCGGAAATACATCGCCAAGGACCTCCTTTATCTCATCGAGCGCTGGTTCCACGACACCGTCCGACTGGGCGGAACCGTCTTCGGCAGCGATGTGGTCGCGGAACGCATCACAGAGACGCTGCTTCTGCTACAGCAGGGCGGCAATATCCCTCCGGAACAGTTGCAATTGGCCAATGAGCTGCGGGCACGGGTTGAAGATATACTGCGGTAATTAATGGATGCAATTATGAGGCGCAGCTAAAAAAAGAAACTCTTTATCATTTTATCCATCATTTTATGTGTGCTTTGATTCCATTGTACTAGCTAGCCATCTGGAGTTCATTTGTTGTTGTACGTTGGTTGGTTCATAGGTTTTTGGCTGTGCAGCATAGGTAGGTAGGTATATGTCATCTTCGAATCCTCCATTCAACACATCCTATTGAGTGATTGTGTATGTTAAGTCTCAGAATCGTTAGAATCAAGTAGAAAGAGAGGGTGTATCATATCATCTCGATTAATTTATATATTAACCGACCTCAGAACGTTGTGTATGGGTCAGTAACTCCATATCCGAAAATGAAATGAATAGTAGAGATGGAAAGCACAAAATTAAACCAGTCTATAAGCTAATTTTCAGATCCAACCGTCTATCGCAAAACGAACATAAATAGGTATCCCAAACGGAAAGAAAAGAGGAAATTAAGTGTCCTAAGCCGTGTATGCATATGCAGCCGGAAAATGTCAACGATTTTGCACGCCCTTCCCAAAAAAAAAAATAATAATCCAGATTCAAGAACGCTCAACAGCTTTTGCACACCCTTCCGGACCGCCGGGACGAAAAGGTGATGAAGATTAGTAAGACAAAAATGGCAGGCTGCGTGTTGAATGGTATCTCTTATTCTTTTACTCGAACTGGTCGTACACTGGGATCGGCTTCTCGCCTAATGCGGTCAGTCGGAAGATGTGGCGGAGCTTGGCACCGTAGTCATCGTCTAGGTAGTCGACGATTGCCGAGTCTGTGGATCCTCATCGTTAGTTGGTTTGCTTTCATATTTAAGGGGGGTTGATAAGCTAGGGTGGGACTTACGCAGAGTAGAGCGGTTGTCGAACATGACGATTGTCTTGGGTTGCCATCTTACTCTGGCTTGGAAGTCGTGGCCTGTGACGATGTGGTTCATGAGGAAGTCAATGAGCCAGCGCTGTTCGGGTTCCTTGAGGCCCTGGATCTTGGTGATGAATTCGCCGTTGATGAAGAGGCATTTCTCGCCTGTTACGGGGTGGACCCGGACCAACGGGTGGGTGGTGTCCACAGGGTCTTTGCGCACGAGGCTATTTGTTAGACGGGCGTGATTGATCATTTTGGCGGAGGAGTGGACGGCCCGAAGGGTATCGAGCCAAGAGCAGAGAGTCGGAGAGAGGCGTCTAACCTTTCATTAGTTTCCGTGGAATCAATCAAAATTGGGGCAAAAGTTCGCATACTTGTAGGCCATATCGGTGGCCGCGAAAACGGTATCACCTCCTACTTCTGGGCCTTCCAGGAGGCCCAACATGACGTAGCCTGGAGGCTGGATTTCGTAACTCACATCCTGATGCCACAGGGTGGTAGTCGTGCGCTGCTCCAGGAAACGCGAGATCTCTTCCTTGTTGCCGTCGCGATGAATGATATGGAAACCTGGGTGGCCGCGCACCGTGCCTGAGACAGGCTGATAGTTTGGTTTTCCGAAGTAGCGCATGAACTGTTCCTGCGCGTCAGGCCCAGCATCAATCAGATCCTGCGCCGGAAATGCGACCACCTTACGCTCGGAAATCAGCAATGCGAGCTCATCCTTTGCGGCGTCCGAGAGCTGGCTCAGCTGGACCCCTTCGATGATACTGCCGATCTTCGGCTGGATTTCGGTCACTTTAGCCTCGGGAGTCAACAGGTTAGGCTTTGACCTGTCCTTGACGCGCAGCGCGGGATCGTCAAAGTCGAATGGGGGCAGTGGATCAAACCACACTTTGTCCCATGTCGGCAGATATTCCGGGTATCTGGTTCTGGCAGTGGTTGCGCCATTGACGTCCACATAAGGGATATTGATATCGTAACTGATGGGACTTTCTTCCTTATGGGCGTTGACGGGTTGGTTCTTAGGCCGTATGACAGGAGCAGTTGATGGCATGATGAATGACCAAGAGGATGGACGGTTATGATCTATTGTCCAAGAAATTACAAGAAAGGATAGGTAGGGGAAAGGACACACCCGATAGAGGGAGGCCGATGAAACTCAGAGTAGAGGGAGGAAAGGTGTTCTAGAAGATGAGATGGAACTTCTTGAGAGAGAGAAAAGAAAAAGAAAGGTGGATGAGAGGGAGACGAGTATAAATAATCTCGCATCCACACTGTCGTTGCGCTCTGATAAAACGGATTTCTCGATTGGGAAATGGAATATTGGGCAAAATGTGGATGTAAATGCCACCGCGGCACGAATGATCTAAGGATTCAATGGAACTTCGCTTAAACACGACTAGACTAGGTACTATCCCTTTCATCTCCGGCAGCGACCTTGCGCTGAGGATGCGCCAGATTATTCACGGCGACGAGCAAAAAGTGACTCTAACGAATGCGATGCCATGACGACAGGGGTACAGGATTCGCTCCTGAACGGGTCTCGACAGATTAGACTGGGGGGGATGTGGAGGGGACGGCGGCAGGTCAACGGGCCAGTCAAAAAAAAAAGGAAAAAAAAAAAAAAAAAAAAAAAAACAAAGTAGGACCGGTAAAAAATAATAATGATCAATAATCGAATTGATTTAAATAAAATTTAAAGGTTGTTCGAATAAGGGTAAAAAGGTGAAGAAGACAAGACGATATGAGACAAGACAAAGCCAAAGGGAAGCGGTCAAAAGACCCAATGGGTCATCGGCGTCCACTTCATATAGATTTCGCATCGGACGATACAAAGGACTTGCAGGGCAAGTTTCCTCCTAGCTGCAACCCATAGGTTGGTTAGCGATGGGCACAGTCTGCTTCCTGCTCCCGACGTGCTCCGGGGGACTGGCTCACTCGCTGTAAGTGCGTATTCCATTTGTTTCTGGTGCGGTTTCACCGCTCAATCTGGTGCAAACCGGACGAACGATAAGGAGCCGAGGGTGGAGCCTATGCAACATGCACGTTGGGCCAATATCGCTAGCCTAAGTCTCTCTTTCTCGATCCCCGGTAACAGGCTCGCGGAATAGCATGATGGTGCAGTAGTCCCCCCCGAGATATAGCTAAGTATGTAGTGTATCAAGTTTAGGGTGTGATAATAGCTTTCGGTCGCGGCTATCATGCATCCCCTTGCATTCCTTTCGATTGGGAGAAAAGAGGAAAAAAGAAAAATTTCAAAGAAATGCCCCCCAAAGTTTAAAAAATAGAGAAAAATGAAAGGGCGTAAAATCCCGGTAGGGCCCCCGGTTAATGCTCGTACTACAGCAAGACCTCATGCATTATGTAACCTGTAGTCCAATGACCGGACATTGTCTGCTGATGCCGGTGGAATGATTATTGATGTGATAACGGAGTGCGACATTGCGATGTGTTGCTTCCCTTTTCATTTCGAGACACCCCTAGAAAAAGCCACTATTTGAGCTATTGATTGACTGGATAAGTTTGGGTGTCACACAAATTTCTTCCGTTTAACTGTTTCCCTAATTTTTTTTCCCCCTCCCCTCTCTCCTTTCTGATAGAGTTGCCCTGTGAATCAGTTGGGTCGTGTTCGTTGTGATGGCTCCACCGTCGAGTGGAGAAAATAATCGAAACTTTGGTGTGTCCCATTCTTTGGGTCACACATGGGTTTTTTTCTCGACGTGGCTTCTAGTGGGTTGAAAGAACAATCCTAATCATTTTTAGCCATCTTGACCCGCACCGAGTGGCCCAATGGAGCAGCCGAGGCGCACTCGTTTGGAACTGAGGCGATCATGACGTTCATATTCCTTTCGGCCATGCGGCCCAGTTCCCGTGAGCTCTTTATCGAAAGTTCCCCACAGGAGGCACATCAGTGGACTTGTGCTCGCAAAGGGGCCACTCAGCGCGGCCGCGGAGCGATGGAAGGCTTTCCATAGCCGTTTTGGAAGATCCATCGAAGCCTCGAACCGAAAATTCAGGGCAGCTGCCTGATAATGTACGGTACTATGTACAGTACTAAATGATCGATCGATAGAGTGATGTATGTCCTCCCCCAATCTTGGTCAAAATGCGGCCGTGGTCCACTACTTCCTGGATTCCTCAGGGTCTGGAGGAGTCGAATTGTAATTGAGACCGAGAGGTGCAGCTATCCAGCATATTGGCTTAAATGCTTGTGTCTTGTCTTTACTATGTACTTTAGGTAGATTTGAGGTGCCTCGGCACTTGCCCAGCCGTAGCTCATGACCAAGGGGGCGGTTTCAGAGACATTTCCGCAGTTTTTCTTACGGGACCAAATTTTCCATTAGCAAAGGATTTGCAAGGGCGACGCCAACGGTCGGAAAGTGGTTACCTGTTGGATGGTTAATTGTGAAGGTCATACCAGCGGTCAAATTCCGTCCCAACGTCCGGGGAAAGAGACACACAGCTCCTAAGGTACCCATGTCAATTGACTAGTCGTCGTACTATGTGATAGATTCGCGGGAGTGGTTCCGGAGTTTGACGCTAAAAAAAAAATGCAATTTTCCCGTCCCAAGAGTGACCGGACCGGTCCAAATCGTGATGATGATAGTCATGAAAATACATCATAGGCTATTCTTCGAGAAATCCTGGGATTGGGCTGCAGTCTCTAAGTGAAAAAAAATGGGAAATTGTCTGTGTTGAATGTGGGGAATGCTGTAGGTTGCAAGAGGCTTAGAGAGCGTAGCTCTTCCTTGCAGTACTTTTTACTTCAACCAATCTGGTTCCGGAACGACGGCAAGTCGAGGTAACGATCAGCTCCAGGGGCCGTCATGTTTGGGGGCTTTTTGCACCACAAACTTCACCAAGACCAGGGACAAGGGGTGGCAGAGGATTCTTTCGTAAGAGTTGCGGTGAGGCATCTAAAACCGGTGTCTCGTGTAGTTACCCGTTAGCAGGTTACGCCCTATTAGATCCCTTGTCGCGGGATCACTTGAGAGAGAGAGAAAGAGAAAATATGTGTAGGTGTATACTGATCTTGTCGGGTTTTGGATATCTTCAGCTGATAAGATCGAAGCATGATATGATGCAAGGTCAACATCTCAGAAAAAGCAAAGAGGCCGATTAGCAACCGGGTCACTGTTTCTTGGGACACTAAACCTAACTACCCGTTAAAAATAATTGGGAGTAGCGATCCACGCACCTAAGCTTAAGCTATGTTTAGGCCTCTCCTCTCGTGCAGCACAGAAAAAGCAGAAAAAGAAAAAGGAAAAGGAAATATGGTTGTGCTTCCCAGGCTTTCGGGTCGTCGATGAACAGCGGGGAACACCTTTTGTTGAACCGATGAATGGATGTTTGCTTTTCCCACCTTCCTCTTTCTGCCCTGGATCACCTGACCCTTCCTGTGGTTTTCCGTCACGTTACTGATGATTGTTTATTGTGATTCTGTTTCGGACCTCCGACAAGACAAGTATTCCATTCCACCCAGACAATCACATTAATCAATTTGATTCAATTGCCTCAATTGCCACCTCCTAGAGACACCCCTTTTGACAATGGTGCAGTCGGCGTCTCTCGTGTCGCGAAAACGCGACCTAATTTACTTCATCTTTTTCGCCATTCATCTCCCGATCATTTTCCGTAAATCTCTCTTCCCTCCCTTTCTCCATTCTCCACACAGCCTCCATGCTCGACTAATGATATCTGTACATACTAACGCCCAACTTTGAAAAAAAAACGTCCAGTCGTCGACAGCGTGCCTCTACTCCCCTCCATCCTCCAGACTAACCTCTCCCACCACCTCCGTTCCTTCTACATAACAATCTACCATGACAAATTCTTCTCGGAGCCCCCTCCGGCTTGGTTCTCTACCTTCATCGCCATGGAGCTTGTCTACCACACGCCGTTGAGTCTCTGGGCTCTTGGCGCCTTGTTACGAGGTATAACGGCCCTAGATTCTTTATTTATTTTTCCTTTTTCTTTTTTCGTTTTGCTTTTTTTTTTTTTTTTTTTTTTTTTTTTTTTTTTTTATAATAATGGTGGTGGAGGGATGCTGTGGGGTAGTCAGTCATATCGTAATATCGGGGAGGCTAACAGAAAGGATACCGACAGATGATCCCTTGGTCCCCATGCATTTGTTGGTGTTTGGAGTTCAATCATTTGTTACGTCCAGTGCCTGCTTGGCAGAGGTTTGGAGCTGGCATGATCGCACGGTCTCCCAGAAGCAGGATTTGACTTTGTTGTATGCGCCTTATGTTCTACTGGGTATGTATTCTTTTCTTTATTTTCGTTCTCCCCTTTCTTTCTTTTCCAGTGTCTCTGTTGTGTTCTCGCTTTGTTTCCTTTTTTTTTTATCCTTCTAGCTTGGTTTCGGATGTAAAGATAAGTTTGCGGCTAACTGGGAGCCCCAGGAGCGTTTATGGCGTTGGATATGCTCTTTAGGTTGCGGGGGAAGCTACTACTGGGTAAGTCTAAGAGCGAGTAAAGCTATATAGGATAGACCGGGGAGAAGAGACTATTGGCCCGTGTTGGAAGAAGTAGTAGTCTGTACGGTGTCTTGTTGTGGAAGTCTGGGCCACGATTTCCAACTCGGGTGGAATTTATCAATCGATGGCAACACTTTAGGCGAAGACGCGAGGTTGGAATCTTCCGGTCCAGCTTCTGCAGTGAAAATTCTTAAATCGTTAGGGCTACGTTGGCCCCCAACGTGACTGATCAGAAAAGACACCAAAAAGAAAAAAAAAAAAAAAAGTAAAAGGAAACAAGAGGCTCCACCTTGCATGACACTTCCAATTTACAACGAGACACAGCTTAAAAATGGATTCACCGCAAGTGCAGATAAGTGTTTGTACTGTATTTCATGATAGTAGTGGCTAGACCGCTACGCTGAACTGAATCGACCATCATCGCCACAAGGGGTACGGGGCCAAGAATGGAGCTGATAATGCGGTAAGCTGCAGCCGATACAATGCAGATGAGATTGCCGAGTCTACCAATGGCATGGCTCTGTCATCCGCACAAGAGTCGATTACAGGATTTGTGGAATCTCCGGGCAAAAGCCGCTGTCTCCACTGCGCAGCAATGAAATCTAAGCGGTAAAGGTACCGGAAAAGACATCACGATTTCGTAATCTATAGTATCTTGATTTCACATGTCATATCAGGAAGCCGATGGCTCCATCGAGGTCCCCGTTAGCTGCATCTAGCGCCCGCATGGCCTCCTCCCGAGTGAATCCAAGCTCGGTGATCTTCGCAATGGAATCCTGTGGCCACCGGGATGCTTGCGCCGTGGATGAGCTGGCGCCACCGGGTTTTTGTGCCTGATGGGTGACGGCACCCGTCCGCGCGCCGACTTCGGCACCGTCAGCGCCTTTGACCAAAGGCTCATCCTCGAATTCGTCCTGCAAATGCTTGGGAATATCAGCTTCTCCCAGGAACGGCACGGCTTGGTCTTGAATGACCAGTGCCCCCCTCTTCAGGTCAATGCAGGCTTGATGTCGTCGCAACATGTCCAACCCCAGGAGGAGATCGATATGTTTGCCTTCCATCACGGTAAAGGAGCACGGCAGAAACATGCTTCCGATCCTGATCTGAGCCGAATGGACTCGCCCCAGGATGTTCGCGGTGCCCACCCCCTTGGCAATCCCTCCGTACCGCTGATCGACCAGACGCATGATGTTACACTTGGTCGCACATTCGGGGGACATGATGGTAACTTGGGCACCCGAATCGACGAACGCGTTGAGTTTGTGGCCGTTGACTTCGACGGGTATGTACAACATGGTCACGCGACCGAACGCTACGACGGTGAGCCAGGTCATCTTCTCTCGCGGAAGGAGAAAACATACATTCGGGATGATGCTCCATGGCATTATGGAGGTTCTCTGTCACCGCATTCTGACGAATGATCTCCTCAATCGCCCGCTGGTTTTCAGGGTTGAACGGATCTGCATTCAGCATTGCAATCCGGGCCTCCTTCTCAGCCTCTACCTGAGCCTCCCGCTGTTGTTGGTTGAGGAGCACCTCACGGAACCGCTGGGCATCACCGGCTGCATCTGCTAATTCCGGGTTCTGCCGTCGAACAGCTTCGTGCACTCGAGGGTCGCCCAGAATGTGTAACCGGATGGTCTCGGGATCAGGGGTCATCGCCTGACGCCGTTGGATGTTCTGTTGTGCTGCTGCAGCGCTAGGACCCCCGGCAGTGCGAGCGGGCGCCTGAGAACTCCGCAGCGTAACATGGACACCCAACATGTCCCCTTCGCCGATTCCAGCGCGATCGAGGGTAATTGCGTCATCTCCAAGCAGCTGGTTATTGTAGACGATTCGTTGGGCACTAGGGGGAACGGAAGTTTCGCTCTCGACGATTGCTTTGAGAAGTTCAACGGTCATGTCCCCACCAACCTCAAGCGGTATGATATCAGCATCGGGCTGGTCCGGTCGGATGACACTAACGGTGATACGCCTAAAATCGATTTTGCTCCCGGTTAGATGATATTATTGATGGTCATTGGTTGGAATTTCCTTTTTGTTTCCTTTCTTCCCACTTACATGGTGTCCGGGTCGCAGTGCGGGGAAGCTATCGAGAGCTCCGACGGATGGACCTGAAGACGGAAAAAGTTTCGAGTGTTGATACACGAGGCGTGGAGAAGTATTCTACAAGAGAGGGCGCCGAATTGACAGGAGTAACGTAAAAATGATGATTGATCGATCAGGCGAATTCACAATGTTTATAAAAGTACACGCAGGCAGAGATGGGTACGTCACGAGCTTTGAGAGAAGGGTACGAGGGGGGAAGAGGGGGAACAGGGTAAGGGAAGGATTAAGGGAAAAGAGAAGTATAGTAAGAGCAGGGATATCTTGGGGAAGGAGGGCGACAGGACAAATAGTTTCAGGCGTGTGTGTTTTCCTGTTGATTTTAAATTCGGTGAGGAAGGAGGAAGAGGAGGAGGAATTCAAGCAATAGTAATAGTCGTCAGTTGGTCGTTCTTGGTTCCTGAGGACGTTTCGAACCGCGGTCGGCGAATAAATGTCACATTTCTGTCGATTAGGTAACCGTCCATGAGTGTCCATCGTCTTCTTTTGTTCGAGGCGCAAACAAATTACAAATTCTTCCCTACAGTTGGATGAAAAACTACATACGAGGGGGACATAAAAAAGTATAACAGGGTGTTTCTTCCTTTTTTTTTTCTTACCCCTTTGCCCTTTTCAATTTACTTTTGGTTGGGGTGGAACTTAATGTATGTGAGGCAGGGATGTATACAGAGATATATATACATACTTCCAAGGCCGGTAATCTCCAGGGCTGCAGGAGCCTCTCAACCCTCTATTTAAATGTACGCCTTGTCTTGTCTAGTGCGGTCACGACCCTCTGGGCAGTCGACTTCACTAAGAATCTGACAGTCATGCCTTGGAGAAAATAGATGAGTGTCGTATATTTTTCCGGTACATATGCATTTCATCCCCCCAACGGCCTTTATCATTAGCAAGACTTCAAGGACCCTCGGGGCCAACGGAAGGATGGTAGCATTATTGGCCTGAGTTGAAAAGGTGTTCTACCGAATTGAGCTAGTTACAGATGGGCCCAAGTTGACTACTAAACTTCTACAACCGCACTCTGTCTGTCTAACTCTCTCTCCCCCACTCTCCCCGATCATTAACGGTAGATCTTATTTCTCCCTTTTTCTTTTCAGCATCTTCTACTATCTATTAGATACTTGATCGACGGGAATTTTACAAAACTATTCGGTGCTACATCTATTTCTATTTCTATTCCTCACTCCATTCCGATTATTATCTTTTACCAGTAAGCCACACTCAACTACCAAATCTCACATCATTCGGAACCGTACGGCGTTGGATAGTTGATTTGGATTGGTCTTGAACCCGCGAACGTGCATCCCACCAACGTACAAGCGCCAATTTCCTGCTTACTCTCTCTGGAACTGACTGCGTACAAGGTGGGTCACATGCAGCAGCACGTATCGTGCTAGTCAACATATCATAGGCTGACTCTCGTGGAAATTCTACCCTGGCGCAGATGTTCTGAAACGTTGAATCGTTCGACGCACATCCCGCCGTTGTGAGTCTAGAACGACGGGGCCCGGTCCACATAGCTCCTAGCCAGGTCCTACAAACTGATCCCTCTATCTATTACGCCGCGGAAGTAGTTGCATGAATGCCTAGGAAATTCCTCCCTTTCCTGTCTCGAATAATAAATATCTGACGCGAGTTATCCTCGTCTACCCTCCTAACCCGATAATTCTTATTCTGATAGCGTTGCTAGGGATACTTTGGGGAAACTCCTGATGCTCGAATTCCTTGATTGATACACACACACACAGAGAGAGAGAGAGAGAGAGGACCTTCGACGAAGCTATTTTGGACTCTCCTGTCGTACCTGTGATGTGAAAGTTGAGCCTTTTAATGTCGGGCTGATAATGACGTACTAGACCGATTTTGAACCTACTATGGCCGGCGGAATGAGCCACCAACTGGGTCGTATCTAACTGTCAATCTTGTTCGGTTTCCGGTACTTCAACTGGGCCCATTGAATGTAAACACCCGTCTCGACAACTCTGCTCCCAATAACGCCACTTACGTTTCTCGGCTGGGTACAGACTTAGCATATTGAATGCCCCTTAGCTAGAAAGGAAGGTATCCGCTAGGCGCTGAAGAGGAACTGGGAACCCAGGCCCCCTCAACGAGCACAGCTTCGATACAGGACCCTAGGAAACGATGGCTATGGTCACCCAGCCAAGGTACATTGTCATCTTCCTTGCGGGAAAGATGGTATGCGTATGTTCCGTGACCGGTGAAGGCAGTCGAACCAAGTGGGAGATATGTACTGCAAGAATGGTTGGCTCGTCTTGGACCTGGAAGTCAGGACTCATGGTTGGCTGACAACGAAATCTGTACGAGCTTCAGTGTCACAGGGGACTTAGTAGAATTTGGGCAGAGTGATTGTAAATCGCCACACCTAGAGCTATAACCGAAGATGGCTTGCAATGAGGTTCGGGTGACAGCAGTTCATGGAGTGACTGGCGGGTCGTCTGTTGAATATTGGTCGCTCATGCATGGCGAGCTTTCTCGTAGAGTTCCAGGCGCTCTAGGACTTCCTGCGCACTCAGATTGCCGGGACGTAACTTACCAAAAGGTGACATGCAGAGTGTCATAGCACTCCCCGATTCACGATGCCAGGAGGAAGGGCGTCTCCGGGATCTCGATGGTTTTTAGCTAACCAAATTGTCTTCATATGGGGCAACGAATAGCTAGTTTTGGCGAGCAACTTGCTAACTGAGGCTTTGCAACTCGTAAATGTCCCAGATAAAAGGGGTCTCCCTTGCGTATTATTCTAATCCGAGTCATATACATTTGAGACGGTATCGGAACGGATACAGTGCTGTAACGTACACGTCGATAGACTGCCTCGAGCCTGGTACACGAACCGGGTTACAGCCCTGGAACACTCAGAAAGCCGCGGTGTATTTGGTTCATCTGCGACCTCTGGAGGAATTTGAAGAAACGAAAGACGCTCTTGTCAGTTTAAGAGACTTGGCTTAATTTGCCTCCGGCTGCTTCGATCTGGCAGTATATAACGCCATCAGCCTCGAGGACAAGATCCGCCTCAACTCAAGGGTTATTAAGTCACTAGCAATATCAACATTTTGCCTTAGATTCAATTGACGCACCAGAGCTAGAACGACTGTCATCAAAATTTGAACGAGATGGGAGCGAAAGACAAGAAGTTAAGGACTTTCCGTTAGCTATCAGATATTGGGGAAGCTTTTCTAGAGCCCAAGCTGGTGTCTTAGGAGGCCTATAGACCCCCAAGTCTGTGATGCTAGCGGGCTTACAGTGGACTACATAAATTTGAAGTGTTGTGAGTTGTTTTATAGTTGCTCAAACTGAATCTGATACAAAAATATGTTTTGACTCCACGGCCGCCGTTGTCATCGTATTGATTCCCTTGTGAGATTTTATTAAACAGCCGCTGGCAAAGGATGATGGCGGAATTGTAGTCCCGGGCTTGATATGATAGAGAGATCTTATAGTCATGGGAGCCTGTCTCTACTCACCTACAGCAGTGGTCATCTTGCGCAAAAGTGGTAGCCTTGAGAGCTCAGTAGTTCGGCCGATGTTTTTTGTGGGTCTCCGTAGGTCACTTCACTCGGCTATTCTCTAATTATGACAGTACTACTAGGAGACGTTAAGGTGTTAGCCGGACTAGAGGAGTGGGAAAATGAGCAGGGGTTTATCTCGGAGAAGTTCCTAGTTTAAAGCATGTTGATATGGATGGTATCCCTTTAAATTTTCGGCTGTTGTTTCCCCTTTGACTGATTCCGTGTACTGTTCCTTTCGGAACAGGCTCAAAAATATTTCTCAGCATTAATCCCACATATGTCATCTATAGTCACCATCATGGTAAATCATGCTGGAGGGAGGAAGAGGAGAGAGAGGGAGAGAGTGTATGTGTGTCTGCGTGTGATGTTACATTATCTTGACTGGTAGTCTTGGAGATAAGCTTTTTGTCTATCAACCTACAGAAACTAAACTTGATCTCTAAGGACATCATTGGAGCACTTATATTGCTTTGTTTGCGATATTCCTTTCCTTATCTCGTGCCATTGGGTCTTTAGCTCAGCTCAATGAAGACTTTTCTCTCGAACAGAGGAGCGCTTTTCTCGGCTCATCATAAAGAGATAACTTATGGAGAACGTCTCATGTTCGGGGAGCAGGCTCAGATATTGGACGTTCACAAAAGCCTACTAATGAATTCAATATGAAGAGTGGACACATAATCCCTATCTCGCAAATCAACAAAGACCGAACCTTCTCTACTGTCCTTTGATAATCAATAGCTCTTAAGGTATGTGCGAATTAATTGAGACACACCAACGTAAGGAAACAAAGAAACGCAAAGTTTAAAGACGCCAAGATATCGGTGAAATAATTTCCGGATCAGCTCATAAGGAAAATAAGGAGTTTGCGTGTATGTGGCGATTAGGTAACTTGAATATCTCAACCATGTTTCTCTCTCACCGGTACCATCTTTGTTAGGTGAATTAGGCCTGCACTTTAAGAGGCTTGGATTGAAGCCATGTCCTCGAATCGGAATGGCCCTTGATATATATAAAAGTGGGAAAAAAAATTATGAAATGGTAGTAGCAGGAGCTTCCCATTTACAATGCTCTTTGTTAGAAGTAATCAGATTAGATCGATAAAGCGGGACCCACTTAGAGTTCATAGCGTGCGCTTGGCGGCTTTCTCCGCCCAATGTGCATGAGTAGAATACGAGATCATCCCATGGTAGGCCCACTATTTTCTACGCTCTTTGGGACAATTTCCCGCTCTAGAATGCTAGGCAATGCCTAGGTCATGCCGGTTTACTGTTGCCTTATCTGATTTGATTCGCTAGCTTAATTCTTGTTTTCGATGCTTTTTTTTTCCCGGTCACGCTCAAAGAATTTTTTCTTTTTCTTTGCTTTTTTCTCTTCCCCCTCGACTTGATAAAGGCTGAAACGACGACTTTCCCCTCTTCAGTTGCAGTCGTATCTCAAGAACGACGGGGAAAGATCAAAATGTCCACCGAAAAGCATCCACATGTTCAGGATGTTGCGCAACCCCACGAGCCCCAGCAGGAGGCTGATTTTCCAAGTTCAGGAGTTAAGCGCGTCGAAGCTATCTCGTCGCAACTCGGCTTTGTATCTCGTATATTTCTGTTTTTCGGAATCTTTTTGATAGCCTACGCTTATGGTCTCGATGGACAGCTTCGAGTGAACTATCAGGTAAATATTTACCTGCGCGAGGTTTTGGGATCCACACAATCTTGATCAGGGACTAATTCTGATAGCCCATCGCAACCGATGACTATGGCAACCATAGTTTGCTTGTTACGATCAATGTCTTACGTTCCGTCATTGCAGCTGCTGCACAGGTATGGCATTGGACCTTCTTTGCGATCTCCAACTGACTCTTGGGGTAACAGCCAACTGCTGCGAAAATTGCCGACGTTTTCGGGAGAGTCGAACTAATCTTTCTCTCCGTCATCTTCTATACTGTTGGTAGGGTTTGCCTGCATATAGAAATATCGAAGGGTGTTGACGCGCGTCTCTAGGAACTATTGTGGAAGCCTGCTCTACGAACCTTGAGACCTTTTGCGCAGGTGCTGTTCTGTACCAGGTTGGTGGCTATGCTTGCTTGTCGCTACTACATCTCTGATTAGAACTTGGTTTAGGTCGGATACACCTGCATTATCCTACTGCTCGAGGTCCTAGTAGCGGACACAACTTCGCTTCGATCCCGTCTGCTCTTTTCCTACATCCCTGCGACGCCTTTCCTTATAAATACCTGGGTTGGTGGTAATGTGGCCACTGCCGTTCTGGGAGTCACTACCTGGCGCTGGGGCATCGGGATGTTTGCAATCATATTTCCTGGTATGTACATGGCCGGGCAAAACTGGAGACTTGTCTGACCCACGCTAGTTTGTACCCTCCCTCTATTCGCAACACTTCTGGTTGGGCACCGCAACGCCAAAAAAGCCAACCCGGAAGCCTATCGCCATCCTATCCAGCTGCTTGGTTGGCAGAAATTTACGCGAGAATTGTTCTGGTATCTAGATGTGGTGGGCATTTTGCTTCTGATTGCTGTCTTGGCTCTGATCCTCGTTCCATTCACAATTGCTGGTAGCACTGCCGAGCAATGGAAAACCGCTAAGGTTCTGGCCCCGCTAATCATAGGCTTGTTTTGCCTGCCCGCCTTTATTATATGGGAGCGCTCTTACGCTCGGTATCCGATGGTCCCCTTTAGGGTAAGCCGTTACGAAGCATTCTCTCAATCAACCACTGACCAGGGTATAGCTGCTGAAAGACCGCGCAGTTTGGGGCGCTTTGGGTATCGCAACGATGCTCAACTTGGGTATTTTTGAACGAACCCCCGCGTCTCAATGATATGCTAATGATTTTTTGCAGCTTGGTCATTGCAGGGCTCATACTTGTTTACTGTGTTGCAAGTTGCATTCGATCAGAGTTTACTCAGTGCCAGTCGTATCTCGTCTCTATACAGGTACGCCTTAGTTACGAGCCACTTGCTTGGATCATTTCTGACATCTGTAGCTTTGCTTCTGTGATCACTGGATGTATCCTCGGGGCCATCATCATGAAGGTAAGGCAGTTGAAGCCTTTCATCGTTGCCGGAACCGTTCTTTTCGCAGTGGCTTTCGGTATCCTTATACAATTCCGCGGAGGAACGGGAAACTCTAGTTATTCTGGCATTATCGGCGGAGAGGTTCTTTTGGGTATCGGTATGTTGTCCCACCCAAAAAAAAAGTGATTAGTCCCACTGATTTGTTGTGTTAGCTGGTGGCATGTTCCCATACCCTGCCCAAGCAAGTATCCAGGCAGCGACGAAACATGAGCGTAAGTGCGAATCTTGCTTATTGAATGATCTCATCTAACTGTCGCAGATGTCGCTGTGATTACCGGTCTGTATCTCGCCACGTATAACGTCGGAAGCGCAATTGGGAACACGATTGCCGGAGTTATTTGGAGACAGAGGATGGGTCCAGAGCTCGCGAAGCGCCTTGGTGATGCTGATCTCGCCGCGCTCGCTTTTTCGAAGCCTTTCGAGTTTATCGTTTCGAACCCTGTCGGCACTCCTGCACGTGATGCGGTTATCGTAGCATACCGAGAGGTGCAGCGTCTCCTTTGCATTACTGGAATATGCTTGACTGTGCCTCTTATTGTCTTTTCTCTTTGTATTCGCAACCCGAGATTGACGAAGGATCAGAGTCTTCCTGATGCCGAACGGGAAGAGAATTAGTGTTGCTCCTAGTGATCAATCGCTCACTCAGCAGTAAGAGATAATGTGGGATTAGATTTTTCATGCTGGAGAGGGTAATGTTTGGAAGAGTTATGCTTTTGATTACATGTGCTGCTAGAAGGCCGGGCAGCATACTTAATACCTTCATCCTAAGGTCTTGATAATACCTTGTTAATATTTCTCAATGCGACTGATAGTAATAAGTTCAGCGCACTTTAGAGCTATCTATCACACACATTTGGATTAAGACCGAAGTAAAATGAATGCGTCGCATACCGCACGAGAGTCGACTCACTTTCACTTTTGCTACTACGTAATGCAAGGGGCTGTATGTTGGTGAAGATGGACTCTTCACGTATGAGGGATCAGATGATGTAGTTGATTGTTCAATTGCTTTCTTTCCTGAGGCCCTGCTAGTGTCGGTGGTTTCTCTCAAAGCGTGAAGCCTCAAGAGCTACCTCGACGCTATATGCTATATCGGCTTACTTGCCTATGAAGGCATTGATATAAACCTTTCACTGCACTACAATATTAGAATTCAAGCCATGATTGGCCATTCCATCCCTTCTCATGTTCCACGAGCTTGCCCTTACCCTATTGACTATTCATATACCCCTGAGGAGGGTCTGCCATTCATTGCTGAGGCTCATCCGGTAGGCTCCGTCGGGATATTCTCGGACGTCATGCGCAGAGCGAAGCTCTCATTTGGGGGGGGGGGGGGGGGGTCGTATTAAAATAAGAGATGTACCCCTTGTGCATACGCTGTCGCAGGTACTTGTCACACCTGTGGATGGGTATATTATTCCGACTCCATGCATACAATGTGGAAAGCAACGTTGTAATACCACATTGGCTGACGGAGTACGGCAGGGAAGGCCTGTCATAAAACCTCGGAGGCAATCTGCCTATAGACCGCATTATGCTTCAATAGTTCTACGGCTGTCGGCTATATATATGGCTTATTTTATACTTCCTCGGTTCCGTTGGGGCCGGCTTTCCGGTGGAGACATTATGAGAAGTATTGTCTTGGCTGGGGCTGGTGATTGCTGTCAGCATCGCCGGGCGAGCCCTCTCTATCCCATCTGTTGAGGGGGTTTGAGTGGGTAGTACGATGTGTTTTGGCAGGTCAACTGTTTTGAGTTGTGGACCGGCTGCTACCGGTAGTGCGGCTAGAGGGCCTCAACTCTCTATTCCTAAAGAAGCTCCTTTGGCTGTTACGGTCAATGGAGTAGAAGTTTGTGTTGTGCAGCAGAGCTCTCTGGAAAGATAGATCTTCCAAGGCTTGAAGTAGACGTTAGGTGCATGGAAAACGCCAATGAGTTGCAGCTTTAGAGACTACCGATACATTTGCTAAGGACCTACAGACCCCAGCAATGCCAGCTTCACCACAGAACACTCATCAATTGTTTCGGAGACCCACTGCTAAGACATTAGACAAGTAAATTAGTTGAGTGAGATTGCAAATTCAGTTTGTTGCATTTGTAGTGTAATACGTGTATTTAAATTGATAATACCAAAGTTAGCGTAAAATAAGTGCCTCTAGAAAACCAGGCATATCGGATCTCGAGTATTGAGTGTAACGTGATTAACTAACCCGATCACATTTCAGTTTCACTAGGATAACTTAAAGCTTCTGGCAACTCTAACATTAACAGTCTCTTATAGGGAGAGCTCATTTAATTCAGGCAAGACAAATTTGGTACAAAATTCATGTAATAGATAGACATATTCCAATGTGAATCCATGTATAAATGACGGTATAATTATGACATTTCTTCAATCTCAATACCCACATGTTGAAAGTGACCTTTGACACTTTCTTCTCGCGCACCTACTACATCCACACACCATTCAAGAAAATTGTCAAATTCCTGCTCTTACCAGTCACGTGCTCATTTGCCGGCATATGTAAGGGAAGGGGTAGAACCATAATTTGTTTTTTGTGGTGACTGTCCGGAACGGCCCGTATCCAGCGGGAGTCGGTGTCCCTGCCTTCTGGACAGTGTATCGGATAGATTTCTGGTCAGGAGGATTGCCTCGTTTCTGCGTCGCGTCAAACTCGAATAACATAACGAGAATATTGTAGCTGTCATCCTGCTGCTTACAGTGGAGGCCTTTGGTATGCCTGGTCAAGGTTTCGATTCAAGTAGGCTTCTTGAAAGCAGAAAGTCTTATCCACTGGATAAGGATCCCCTATGTGGAATGAAGAGGCATGCAAGAAGCTTGTCTTAACTACTTATACACACTTTCTAGGTTGCAGATGTGTTGCTTCTTACAATGCAAGATGCCTTTAGCTATGCTCTCCTACTGGCTGAATACATGACATTGGCAAACTCCTTCCCTATTGGTCGCCTGATGTCAAGGGTCTGAATGTTGCCAACTCAGCGACTCAATTTCCTCCCAGTACTTGTGAAAGTTATCCTTGCCTAATAACCACGCAGATTGCCGGCGGCATTCCTTGTGCGATTTGATTTCTAAATAAATCAATAATGGGCATCTCTTCCAAGCTAAGACTGGTGAGACAGAAGATAAAGGCAGGTAGATCGGAGGGGAGTGGTGCAACACCCTCTTTAACCATAAGTCCACCGGCTCTAGGAGGACCTGCCAATTCCCTAATTACAACAACCACCGGACAATATCCTGGACAGTCTGTGTTGTCTGTTCCACAGCCTCCAGATGCCACTCCAGATGTCACTCCCGCTGCACTGTGTTCCTTCTCTCAGCCAACGGCTTTCGCCTCTCTTCCCCTGAGCGACGACTTCGAACTGTGGACTCGGGCTTACAAGATATTTCAGACCCGAGAGCCTGAGTTAATGGAAGACTACAAGAAGCACTTGACGTCCCAACAATACAATGGTGCAACTGACGCGGACCTCTCAACCGCACAGTCGGTGGAATCAATCGTGAAGCAGCTGTTAGATAATCGGGAGAAGAAGCAGTGGCAAGTTTCGCTTTTTGGGAAGGAAATAAAAATACGAGAGCAAGCCGAGAGGTTGGCGAAGTTCCTCATTTGGTCCGATCCTATAGTTAAGAGCGCTCTCAGCGCTCAACCATACGCAGCATTGGCATGGTCTGGTGTTTCGTTGCTTCTCCCCGTGGGTATATAAATCTCTGACTGCCGAGCTAATGCTGACTTTGACAGCTACTCACAAGCGGCACTACAAAAATCGAGGCCATGTTAAAAGGATTTAATTCGATTGACGATATCCTAGTCTACTGGGAAATCTGTGAAAAAACGTATCTCCGATCCTCACATGGACAAGGGTATCAAGACCTCCTGGAGCCCTTAGCCAAGCTCTATTCACATATTATTGAATATCAGGCACGCGTCATATGCCATCTCTCGAGAGCTCAGCTCTCTCGCGCATGGCAGAACGTGGATGGCTGGAACGATTGGGATGGAAAAGCAGCAGAGATCGATGGTTTAAGCAAACAGTGCAGCAGCTGCATCCCACCTCTCGAAGCAGAGGAAATTCGGAAGAACAGGGATAGTCAACTACGAGAGATGCAAGAATCGCGGACGATCCTTGATGAAATTCGGACAATTCTAGAAGCGGGTAATAAACATACCCAAAGGAGTTATGAAGACCAGAAAGAGCGAGACCTTCTTCAAGATCTCGCATCCGACTATGAAGATTACAAAGACTTTAACCCAGTAAGGGTCCAAGGCACATGCGAATGGTTCTTCAAGGACGACAGATTCCGTAAATGGCGGGACAGCAACACTTCTAGCCTCCTCTGGGTGTCTGCTGGTCCTGGCTGTGGAAAGTCAGTTTTGTCGCGGGCTCTGGTCGATGAGCGGCGACTGTCTACGAACGTCACGACATCAGCCGTCTGCTATTTCTTTTTCAAGGACGGGGATGAACGCCGCATGTATGCCACTAATGCTTTGTGCGCAATACTCCACCAGGTTTTTACACATGGTCCTGCGAGTGGCCTGATCGGGCATGCACTTCCCAGTCATAAGAACTACGGCAAAGATCTAGCCCAAAATTTTTCTGAGCTGTGGCGAATCCTTGTGGACTGTGCCAACTCACCAGATGCTGGAGAAATTGTTTGCGTCCTTGATGCCCTGGACGAATGCAATGCGGATGGCAGGCGGCAATTGATCGAAAAGCTGAAGGGGTTCTATTGCCAACCCCGACGTCCATCTAATGCGCTCTCAAAGCTTAAGTTCCTGATCACTAGTCGCCCATACGATGACCTGGAGGTATCTTTCAAAAAACTCTCTGATACAACCGCATATTTGCGTTTTGACGGCGATGAAAAGTCGGGCCAGATTAGCAACGAGATTAATCTAGTTATTGATGACAGAATGGATGAAATTGCACGTGATTTCGAGGAGAGCGACCGTCGAATGATTTCTAAACAACTGAAGAATATGGAACACCGCACATACCTCTGGCTACACCTCGCATTTGATATTATTAAGCAGAACCCGAGTGAATATGGCAGGCGGCCTGACGTGGAAGCACTTCTATCTAGTCTTCCCGTTGAGGTATCTGAAGCCTATGAAAAGATCCTGGACCGAAGCAAAGACCCTATTCATACAGAGATTCTCCTTCAGATTGTTCTGGCTGCGGCACGGCCTCTGACTCTTGATGAAGCTAATGTTGCCTTAACACTAGCTTTGCAGAAGCAACCGTTTACTTCCCATACTGCCCTGGAGTCAAATTTGTGGCCCAGAAAGGTCTTCAAGAGCACGGTGAAAAATCTATGCGGTCTCTTTATCAGCGTCCACGAATCGAAGTTGTCGTTTATCCACCAGACAGCAAGGGAGTTTCTCATACATCCTAAACAAAATGGCAAGTGGCAAGGCCGTTTAAGTATCTCAAAGTCGCATACTGGGATGTCACTAGTCTGCCTGAAATACTTGTCGTATCTGGGTGAGCAGAGTACAGGCAGGGATTTCATGGCAAGATTTCCGATGGCCCAGTACTCCGCGCGGTATTGGATGGATCATGCAAGGCCTTCAGAGACTGAGAAGGAAGTACAGGAAATCATCTTGAACTTCTTTCTCCAGCAAAGGCAAGCGTACGCAGTCTGGGGTACACTGTTTGACCCGGATCAGCCTTGGGATAAAGAGCCGCGGTGGAATAGAAAGATAGCGACTCCATTGTACTATGCATCTTTAGAAGGTCTCCAACATACAGTAGAACTACTGTTAGAGAGAGGAGCCGATGTCAATGCGCAGGGCGGGTATTATGGTCATGCTCTCCAGGCTGCTTCTAAACAAGGCCACAAGGAGATTGTACAGATCCTGTTGGAGAAAGGAGCCGATGTCAATGCACAGGGCTGGGATTGCAGCAACGCTCTCCAGGCTGCTTCTGCTGGAGGCCACAAGGAGATTGTACAGATCCTGTTAGAGACAGGAGCTGATGTCCGTGCACATGGCGGGGGTTATTATGGTCATGCTCTCCAGGCTGCTTCTGCACAGGGCCACGAGGAGATTGTACAGATCCTGTTAGAGAAAGGAGCTGATGTCCATGTACAGGGCGGGCGTTATGGCAATGCTCTCCAGGCTGCTTCCGCTGGAGGC